TAAGATTACCAGTAAGAATAAAGGTAACAATAATATAGTATTCATTTCTCAATTGAAGCATAATAATAATCAACAAATTAAACGACAATACCAATTAATAAAAAATAACAACAACAGTAAAACCATATATACATACACCATACATTCCCATTCCCATTCCCTTTCACTTTCCCCCTTACTTTTCCCCCTTCCACTAAAACTCCAACTAACTTTCCACAAATATATACATACAAAGCAACCCTTACAACTACAATTTCATAACCACAATTTCATAACCACATTCCCGCACTCCAACACCTTATCCTTATATAAAAAACCTTATCCTCATCCTCATCCTCATCATCCTCGTCTAAGATCCATCCATATACCTCTCTTTGTGCTATACAACCACTCCAAACTTTCTCGAGGCTCTCTGGCTCCTAAGAATTTCTACTCCATCTCATCCCATCCCATTACTTTTTTGTTACACATATATACAAACCAAAACCAAAACCAACAAACCAAGGATTTCCTTGTAATTGCTACTAGTTGTTGTGTCAGATCTATACTCGTAGTGTTACAATAGTGAATCTACACACAAGCGAAGTGAACTTGAAACCCCTATCCTATACTCAAGTAGGTGAATCTCAACTTATATTACACTGTACGAATATATATATATCTACTCTGGTTAATAGTTCTCATCTCTCTCTCATCTCTTATCCTTACTCCCACCCACCCGCCTATAATCTAATCCAATACACCATTAATACACTATGATTATTCCTCCCAAAGTTCCTCTTAAAATCCCTATATCCGATCATCTCACCAAACTCATATTCATATTCATACCCACACTCATCTATACCTTCACTGATCCAGATCCAGACCCGCACTCTTACTCTTCTCTATATCTTCTTGACCTACTAGTATACCTACACCTATAACCTTACCCATACCTGCACCAACACTCAAACCCAAAGCATCCCAAATAACATCTCCCAACTCAACTCAAAAACCTACAAAATGCATCCACCAACATCATACATGATTCACAGTATATATACATATATTCCACAACAATGATATACGTATAATTATCCGGAATATTAATGTCATTTTGTTTATTCCATTTCCCTGTTTCAAACGATTCGAATTCTATTGATGTCTAGTAAATCTAGTCGAATATCTACCTGTAGATACTAAATATTTCTCTCTATAACCGTGTAAGGTAATATAATCATGTAATATAATAACGCCCTTCCAAGGAAATCCATCCTCCAACCCACCAAATCCAAACACAAAAATAAACACCGAATCCTCTACCCATCACTTCATTCGAGTCAAATCAAATCATAGTAAATCATAAACCACATAACCACCCCCAACTTACCCTACACCCCCTCATCCCCCTCATCCAACAAATTCCCCTTACCATTCGTAACCCCCAACTCCCCCACACACCAAACCCCCACACTCCCCAGCGCACAAACAACCGCCAACCCCACAAACGGCAACCCCAACCAACCAATCCACTCACCCCTCCACATCAAACCCACCTCATACAAAGCGGCGACCGCCGGGCCCGCCACCAACGCACTACTAGTTTCCACCACTGCAATCAATGCGAAAAGTCTCGCGACATGTTGTTGATCCACCAGACTTGTGATTAAGGAGCGGATGAGACTGACGAAGCCGGTTCCGAGGGTGTAAATGATGAGACCGGTGATGGTGAGATGGAGGGAGGGGGAAATGGCGAGAGTGAGGGCGCCGAGGATGAGGAAGAGGGAGGAGATACGGGCGAGGAGGAGATCTTTGTGCGTGGATGAGAAGTGGAGTTTGGTGATGAGGAGGTGGGAGAGGGAGGGGATGAGGAGGAGAAGGAGGAGAATGTTTATTAGAGCGCGGAGAGAGAGGATTAGAGAGGCTTGTGATAGGGGGATGGAGAAGCGAGTCGAGATGTAACGGATACAGAGGTCGATTGATTGTTGACCGATGACGCGGGTTATAGATGGGAGAAGAAGGAGAAGAACGGGTAGAGTAAGGAGAGGTCGACTAGTGGTGTAGAAATCGGTGAGGCGACGAGTGAGAGTTGGTTTTTGTTTTAGGGGTTCGTTAAGATCTGATGAGGAGTCGCTAAGGTAACTCGATGAAGTATCTTCGACGAGTGAAGATGTCTGGGAGGCATGGAGATGGAGTGTTTCTGGGATGAAGGCGATGAGCCACAACCCCAATGTCAAGATAGATATTCCACAGTATATTGAGATCCATGGAGAATGAACCATTATTGCGGCAGCTACAGTAGGTGCAATCAATTCTGCGGAAAGTGAAGCACAAGCACCGAAAAGAAACGCATTTGCTCTATCATATGTTAGCGAGACCTCCGAAAGGATGACTTCCTTTGGAATAATACCTTTCGCTTTGAGTAGTCACGTCTGAGATAATAGCATAAAATATTGCAGCCGCTGTTTTCTCACCACCTCCAATAAATTGCATGAAGGGTGCTAGCCATACAACACGAATAGGTAACATCATCCATTCGCTCATTATGAATACTTCAAATAAGAGGGATAGGAGAATGCCGAAAATAGACATAGCGAATACTGGCTTTCGCCCAATTCTAATTTAATGTCAGCTCATGTCTTGTAGAAGTCAATTCCCAATAACAAGACGAAAGTTGACTATGAGACATCGAAAGTAAGAAAGAGTCATACTTATCAGCCAATAACCCATATGGAACAGCCATAAACATTCCTGAAAGCCATCAGCTGCAATCTCTCAACTTGTTCACTCATTCCTCTCTTACCTGGCAATGATTTCAACGTTTCCAACCCCGCAGTCAAAATATTTAATTCCTCCTGCACCTTATCACCCTTACACCTTGCCTCATCTATTCTACTACTCAAACTAATATTTCCTTGGCCTTGTAGCTCTTCATAATAACGATGGCATAATATATCCTCATAAATCCGCATCGACGGAATCCAAGCCAAATACCCTCCAAACCCAATTATAAAAACTATCGTTGTAAGAAGTAAGACGATAATTCGCGGAGAATGCGTTTGGCGTATCAGAGGGTGCGTATGAGAGGCAATCGGCCGCTGAGGACAAAGGAGAGAAGATTCCTCGTCGCATGAGGATCGTTGTTGTACTTTTGATGCCATCTTCGTGAAGGAAATGAAGCGTTGCGCCGGCGCAGAAATTATCCAGAAAAGAAGATAGATCAAGTAAAAGAGAGAAATAAGAAAGAAACAAACCACCAAAGAAATAAATAAACCCACATACCCAAGTATACTTACTTTACATATTTTCGGAGCTGAGGTAATAACAAACGATGTATTTTAAGGAAAGGAATGTCAGACACAGCGGCACGGCTCGTAGTAGAAACTGTCCGGAATAGAAGCAACTGACCTCAACTTGTCGCATGAATGTTAGAGATATACATCAGATGAAGCCTACCTACAGAATTCAACGTGTTCACTCCTGACTAGATGTTAATAATTTGAGGCTTTGGGGGCGTACAAATGAATGAGTGAAGAGGTTGCTGATATTTTTTGATGCGGGAGACGAGGAGGTGAAGGGGTTGTGGGAGATCGTACCTGATGTTGACGCGTGGACAAGGCGTAATTCACGCGCTGAGATGCAGGCACGAATTCGGCATTGTCATCGCGAAATGAACAAATGAAATTTCTTAGAAAAAATCAAAAACATGGAATACAGAAACAACAAGCAACCATTAATCAAAATTCGAATATTGACATGGAGATATCCTTTAAACAGATGATCGATCTTCTTTTCCCTTACTACTCACTCTCTCACTCTCTCCCTCTCTCTTTTTCTCTTTTTCTCTTTTTCTCTTTCTCTCTTTCTCTCTCTCTTATTGTCTGCTGATACCTCTCTATGCGGTGCACCATTCCATTAGTTTATCATAATAAAGCAATAGAGTGGCCTTAATTTCATCCAAAGACCTCGGATACCGACAGACGATTGTATGACTTCCCAAAGCTGATGCAGAAAACCAAATTTCGCATTACTTTTGAGAATTCGGCGATTTCCTATAGGTATAGTATTCATTCAGCAATAGAGCGATGCAGTGACTGATCTTGCCGAAAGGCCTTGGATACAAACTGTACTGTGCGACCTCAAGAGACACACAGAGTTATGTTCTCCGCAATCAATCATAGATAAGGTATCATTTCGATACTTCTCAGGGCCCAGAGGGGGGAGGGGGGTAGACATTTCCTACCTCTCAAGTCGCAGTTATCCGTGATAGCCTTTCTTCATGACACAATTAAATTTGATTCTTTCCGATCCGATTTTATTGAGGATTCAGTAATCTTGGCTTCTTAAAAAGAAAGATGCCATTTTTCTTGAGCACAGAAAACTAGTTGGTTGAAGCAGCCATTTTCCTTGGGTTACAAAAGAATCAATTCACTTGTCGCTCCAATCTTTTTTTAGTAAAAAAGATTCGACTGCCGCAATTGATAATCAGTCGGGATTGATCTTTCTTTGTCAGTGCGATGTCCGTCCTGGACCCTGGACCCACGAGTTTATGGAAGAGTCATGGAATCTGTTGCTCGGTAGACAACCTCCATGTCCATGTCAATGCCAATGTCAGTGACCACAAATAGATATTCTATACCCGTACTTTCCGAGGTTGAACTTTTCGGACATTACATCTTCAATTTTCACCTAAGTATTTCAACCGGTTCAGTAACTTTAGGCGTTATCTAAGGACTTCTATTTTGAATGCAGTCTGTGCAATGCCAATGTCTGGCTCATTCTCATATCTCCAATGCACCATGTGCACTGTCGACTTTGTGATTTCCAAGAAAACGAGAACATACGAGTACCATATCAAAGTCTGGAGAGTAAAGTCAACCAGTCTGTATTAGGGAAAATGAAGCGGGAATCAGCGATGAGAATCCAAACAAGGGCCGCCAATAAATCCAGAAAGTTCCTCTCGGGGCGCTGTGTAGGGCATATCTCGTATCCCACCGCATGACGCAGGTGGAAACATATCTCAAGTTTATGGAGAAAGTTTCCTCGGCTGTCAAGATCACGGCATGGCTTTTGCCCCTCATTATTGGCATATCATATTCAATCTTTCTTCCTGGGTTTTCCAATGGATAAATGTTCGTATCTGCGTGGTAGTGGACCTCAAATTCACGAAAGTTAGAACACGAAGAAGCTAAATTTTCATGTGCAGACTTCCGTCATGAAACTCAAGGATTCCCGTATAGGCTTCTATTTTCCAATTGAAGATTTTCGAGCGCGTTGGGGCTACCAAGGCCGCTAGAAGAAGATAGTTTATCGCTTAGTATAAGTGTATAAGCTAAGAACCATAGTATCGGGTCAAGGCACGCAATCGTGTTAACGGGAAAGATCTGCTAATCTTGATGATCTCGATGATCTTCCCCAGACAACTTTTGTCTGAAAAATGTTTATTTTCGCTATTTTTGATGTCAATATTTACGGATGAATGTTTTTATTATCTACACTTATCGCGCCACATACAATAGTCACTGTCCGTGAATTTATCTCGTGCCTCAGTCAAGACTTCTCGCGGCTCCAGTTTGCAAATTTTAAAGGTTTTTGGGGACAAGTATCTACGTGAAATAGTAACCTATTTGTCCAAACAAGTTCAAGTCAACTTGGCAGTGGAGGCTCATCTTTTCAGCTCGGAAAATGTATTAGAAATGATTGAAGTGTCACAAGTCTCATGATTTGACCACGAGAATGATTACACATCAGTCAATTGAGAAAAAAGGAACATTCCACATCCCAACATTCCATTCCAAAACCATATGATGATCGTGACAAACAAATTTGTTTTAGCTCTGAACAACATTTCGATGTACAAGACGACAATACATTTCGCAATCGCATGTTAGCCATGCTTCGGATATAAAATTAATATTGATATTGAATGTTTCTGGTACCTGACGGGTACTACAATGCCACGATACTACCCATGAGTTTCCTAGCGGCATGGACCGAGTGTTTTTTTTTTAAATTCTTCCGAGCCTTCCCAATTTAGCTGAACGATGATAAATCTGATAAATCTGTGGCACTTAACAATTCCACATTCGGACAAAAGATTCCTGCTACACGAGATTTCTGACCCAGTTAGTCTGAGCGGTGCAACCAACACCCTAAATATTCTAAACATAGACATAGCCACCAGTTGACAAGAACAAGAGCAAGAACGTCGGAATATTTGTAACTTTGTATCTTAGATATGGGACTAATGATATGATACGAACGGTTAATACCTTGATTTAACATCATATTTCCAAAAATCTTTGCGGCTCAGCCTCTTTCTCTTCGGCTATTTACCAGATCTTTGATTATTCTATCTTCATGAGGCTAGTATCCTCTGATCGAGTCTGCATCTCCACGGCATTTTGGAATTTCTGATCAATGAGCTGATCACTTTTCATCCAAGTGGAATAAAAATGATTCCATATGGCTTGGCCAACAAAGAAGGTCACGCCGAATACAAGGGGTCAGGGGTCAAGTTTCTTGTGTGCGATAGAGTTACGGTAGTAGCTCACTTTGACGGTTAGATGCTTTCGCTCATCGTGCATCTTTGATCGCTGGGATATGCATATACTCTCAACCTTTCATGCTATTGAATGTGGCGCTTATTCTGCAGCTCAGCTAGCTAGACTAGATTTGCTCCATCTTAGTCTTGGTCCAAGTTAAGCCACCAGGCTGATATGATCCCATCCCCAGTTTACCGGTGCATCCACCATATGGTTGTGGAAGTATAAGACTGAGCATCTCTTCCACTCTCAGATCAATATCATTAACATCATCTTCATCTTCATCTTCATCTTTACACTCTTCTTACATTCAAATCACAAACATTCTACAACATTTCAACATGCGTTCCGCAATCATCGCGTGTGCTTTCGCAGCTTTGGCGATTGCCAATCCTCTCCCTCAAAACATTGATTTGGCTGCCATTGATTCTCTCCCACAAGCTGAAGTTACTGCTGCACCAGTCAATGTCACTTCTCAGAGTGTCAACGTTAAACCATCTAATGCCGCAAGTTCCGTTGGAGCTGCTAAGGTAAGTGGTACAGCAGTTCCAACTGATGTAGCCGCCAGACGCAAGGTATTCAGACGCTCTTGCGAGGTCCAACCCGCTGGAGCTGGTCCAACTTCTACGTAAGTTCATACTCTATCTTATCTCTAAACAAAGACAATCACTAACAGCCTCATAGCCCAGATACAGCCGAAGCTTTCTTGGCTGATCATCAATACAATGCGTTTGCCTCTAGCGCCGCCACCCCACAAGGTTACGATCTTGCTTTCTCCGGCTTGCAAGGGTCGTCCCAGACTACCTCGTATCTTGGTTACAAGACCTTGGATTCGTACGACACTGTTGACTGTGCTTCCTATTGTGATCAACAAGATGGATGCATTGCCTTTAATATCTACCTGGAGCGCGATCCTTCCGTTGATCCCGGCACCAACTGCCTCAACCCAGCATCCACCACCAATTTCAAGTGTGTGAAATGGGGTGTTCAGATCTCGGATAAGACTGCCACCAATGTTGGACAATACAGACGTAAGTACTTCCACATCCATGTGCCAACCGCAACCCCTCTAACACCCCCACAGACGAATTCCATGTCGTCATCTCCGGCTCCAACGGCTACAACAAAAACAGCGCCCCACCCCCCGCCGCCGGTTTCCAAGGGCCCATCGCCCTCGCCGGCGCCATCAACGCGCCCCTCGACCCCATCACCCAAACCGACACCTACATGGGCTATAAATTCTTCAGTTTCAACGACGTACAAACCTATTCCAACGGGGCCATCGCCTGCACCAGCGCCTGCAGCGCCCAAACGGTATACAACGCCGCGCACCCACCTTCTACCGGTCACCCAGCTGTTTGCAACCAGGTTGTCGTTTATGTGTTGAGCGATAATAATATGCCGCAGGGAATTTACTGTGCCATGTATACGGAAGAGTGGGCGCCGGTCTATGCGACGAATGTGGGTCAGTATCGTGGGGAGGATTATTGGTCCGTTAGTCAGGCGTATGCGTATACGAATGCGACGTATGCGGAGAAGTATGAGCCTATTTGTGATGTGGAGGGATGTCCAGAGGGTTCGTACAGAGGAGGGAATTATGGAGGGTATGGGGCTAAGTAGTTGTATGGGGAGATGTTTGAGATAGTTTCTGGGCTTGGGGAGAGAGATTGATGCGTGGGTGAGATGGGAATGATGGGTGGGTCTGTTGGATAATTACGAGGAGGTGGATCAGATGAGGTGGACTTGGAGTGGTTTTCTTGAATTTTTTGAGTACATAGTATGACATGTTATGATTTGACGAGATGAGATGGTTTGATTTTAGTTTATTTTTTTTTAGTTTTATTTAGTTTAGTTTTGGTTTAATTTAGTTTGATTAAGTTTACGCGTGGTTTCTAATAAACCTCAATTGTACATAACAGCGAATTTATTTAACTTTTAAATAAATAAATAGCTCAGGTTTTTTCTACCCTTATAATGTGTCTCTCCTCTCAGGTCCCGATGTATCTACTATATATATAAATATTCCGATTAAAGCGCTCTCACTTCAGTCTACTTGTACTATTCGAGCAGCCTATTTGATATACCGGTATATAACTAGACTACTAGTACTCGAGAGTCGAGTCGATAGCAGAACCGAACGGAAATGTAAATGTAAATATCATTTTATGTATACTTAAATGCTAATGAGATGAAGAGAAACAAACGATTGAGAAAGTATACTATATTACTCGAGTAGTACTAGTAGTATCTCAAAGTACTAGCTATGTATTACTAATTATTATATTGGAAGTCTTATATTGATTAGTATTTGTATACGAGTATTCGAGTATCTATCAAATATATAACGTGGTTTATCAGTACATGGATCATATCAGTAACCGGAACACTTTTACCACTCCAACTCACTTTCCACTAGAATAAAATTACAACAACACAATAAATTAGAATTAAATTATATACATTCTAATAATCAACTAATACTGGATCCAATTGACAAGTTCACACATTATATCCAGTATTATTGTAGTTACTACATTTTCATTTAATAGTTTGTTTTACTTCTGAAGAATCACCATTTATATATTTGTTATATTATATCTGATCTTCTACATTCTTTTGTTTTAATATATCATGCCCATTTCTTACTTCAAATATTCCTCTTTTATATAATTGAGTTTTTTTAGTTTTCCAGCGTTTGCTAAATACTTCATTTGTTTTACAGAAATTACAAACCTTAGCAGTTAAAAATGTGTTTGTATAAGTTAGAAGCTTTATACTTTTAATTAAAGTTGCAACTGTTTCAAATATTGGAGTAGGTGAATTTCCTTGATATCAGGCAATACGACTTTTTACTAGAGTTGATTGAGAAAAAGCTTCAATTGGATTTTGAGATGTTTGAGATTGCTATATATCAGAATCAATTGACACTGATCTGTTATTTGATAGTATCCTTATTCGAATATCCAGCTTTGAGAGTACAACTTCTGGTTCAAATGGTATTAGCCCAGTTTCGTGGAATCTAGCCTTACTATTAGATATAGATATTGATTCGAAATATGTGGTTTTGAAAGTGTGAAAGAACTCGGTTTTGGTAATATGGGTGATATGCGCTTTTATAAAGTTCTCGATCTATCAGCTATACGAACGCTTTAAAGGATTAAAACAACTAATATCAAATGGTTGAGTTAAATGCAAAGAATGAGGTAGTAAACTAAATGGTATAATATTGTATTCCTTGCAGTATTCCTGAAATACTACTGATTTATGACTTTTATGCCTATCAAATACTAATATTCGATATCTATCTATTTTCCTGTTTAAAGTATGCTCATTGAAATGCTTAATCTATTCAAGACCTGTATGATTATCTGTCCATCTATTGGTAGTAGGTTTAATGATCTAATCATGTAGTAAATCCCTTTCGGTATACCAATTTGAGAAATAGTATTCGCCTTTAACCATTAGGAATAAAGGAATACTGAATCCTTCTCTATTAATATAAACAATCACTATAGTCCATTCTCGGTTGTCTAGTTGTATAACTTTATTTCTTCCATATCAATCGGTTCTAGTAACTATTATATACAATAATATTTATTCTATCATAAAGTCTGTTTTATCGAAGTTGTATAAATCGCAATCCTGAATACCGTATTTTGCCTATATATTCGATACCAATCGAAATCAGTTCCCAATAAACTCTGGGTTTTCGTAAAAAGCTTTTTGGAAATCATAAATACAATTAAAATACATCTTTAAATCTGAATATCATTATATAAATCGATTAATCTAAAGCTTTCCAACTTTTTTGTTATCTTGCAATTCGAAGATACAATTCGCTATATCTTCTATATCATTTATTCGAGAATTAAATCCTTTTTTATTTATATCCAATATATATTGAAAAAGCGATTTATCCTTTAATTCCGTTATTTTATAATATATTAATCGAAATCCAGTTTTCAGTATTTAATCAGCTATTCTGTAAACAAAGATAGTATACAATATATTATAGATTTTAGCAGTTTTCTGTATACTCAGTTTTTTGAATGAAGCAATAACTTGAATAACTAGATTAATTTGCAATTCTTGCATATTGATTTGAAAGATTGGATATGGATTTATCGTGTGTCAAAGTTAAGAGGTGGTAATTGAGGTAAAAGTGTTCCGGTTACTGATATGTTCCGCTTACTGATAAACCACGTTAAGCATACCGGTATATATTCCTTTTTCTTTATATCTTCTAATATAAATCAAAAGATATCTTTCTCATCTCTTTCTTATCTGTCTCTCATCTCTTCTCCTCTCTAAACCAAAACATCCAAACTTCAAATCTCCGTGCCGGTAAATAGTATTATATGTGGAGTACCGCCAGAGAAACCCCTCCGGTGTCGGATAGCTGTTTTGACTTTGTTGGCGGGGCATGCACGATCTGATAGAGCTGATATCTATTATTTTGATGCATTTTGCCTGAAAGTATGAAGCGGTTAATTATACAACAAGTGGCTTGATTGAATTGAAGTGAAGTTAAATGAATTATAATTGTATACAAGTGTAACACTTGTAAATCTGTAACATCTTCCCGATATTTGGGGATATCCGGGCTCGGTGTATTATTGTATTATTGTGTTGAGTGAAGAGAGCAGTCCGAGGGAGGGGGTGTAAGGTGTGAGGGGTGAGGACTCAGGAGGGGAGGGTGTAAAGTGTGGAATTGAGAGAATGGGTGAATGAATATATATGTAATGAGAATAGGATAAATTGATTTCATTAGGTATTGAAAATATAAAGGTTTGGTCATTCATTGTTTATATATGACTGATTCCCTCCGTTATCGATTATCGATTTATCGACAAGAGCAAGAAGCTTGAACGTGTGGAAAATTCAATCTTGTCTTTCTATCTTCCACTTTCTTTCCTTCCTTCCTGCTTTTTTCTTCATTGAGGTTATTCTAGATTTGTATACTCATACTCATATCTATACCCCTATACAATAACACAGAATTGATTGACTCGACTACCGGAATACAATTCCCACCATCATCTTCCTCCCTCCCCGCGGTTAACAAAACCCCCCACGCCCCCCTCCCTGATCCTCGGTACAAGCAAGCGCATCTAATCACAAGCTAAGAAATTCCCAAACACCCATCCGATCGACCCTTCGCAGCCCGGCAATCCATCATATATCTAAAGCCTCCTTCCTTCCTCTGCACCTACAAAATGTCTCTCACCCGCAGCCTAACCTCACTCCTGCGCACCACACCCCGCAGCACCATTTCCATCCTGCATCCTCGATTCGGCGCCGCCATCACACATTCGCGCTCCATGGCTAGTACTACCAGTCCATCGATTCCCAAAATCAAAGTCAAGAATCCCATTGTGGAACTTGATGGTGATGAAATGACAAGGATTATTTGGAAGGATATCAAGGATAAATTTATTCATCCGTATCTCGATGTCGATTTGAAATATTATGATTTGGGATTGGAGTATCGGGATGAGACGAATGATCAGGTTACGATTGATGCGGCGGAGGCCATTAAGAAGTATTCGGTAGGTGTTAAGTGTGCTACGATTACGCCGGATGAGGCCAGGGTTAAGGAGTTTCATTTGAAGCAGAGTGAGTATTTTGTTTTTTTATTTATGTTTTTATATTTTACACGTCTGCGAGGATGGAGGTCAAAAGAAGAAGAACTAATAAAGTGTCAAATAGTGTGGCTTTCACCCAACGGCACCATCCGTAACCATCTAGGCGGTACCGTCTTCCGCGAACCCATCGTCATTCCTCGAATCCCCCGTCTCGTTCCCGGCTGGAAGAAACCCATTATTATCGGTCGTCATGCATTCGGAGATCAATACCGCGCCAAAGACATGGTGGTTCCAGGTCCCGGTACCCTCAAGATGATCTACACGCCCGAAGGTGGAGAGCCCATCGAAACAGTCGTCTATGACTTTAAATCCGGAGGAGGAGTGGCTCAGACACAATATAATACCGATGAGTCCATTAGTGGATTTGCACACTCGAGTTTCAAGATGGCGCTTAATAAGGGATTACCTCTATATATGAGTACCAAGAATACGATTTTGAAGAAATACGATGGTAGATTCAAGGATATCTTTGAGGAGATATTCGAAAAGGAATACAAGACACAATTCGAGGAGAAGAAGATATGGTATGAACATCGATTGATCGATGACATGGTAGCGCAAATGATGAAGAGCTCTGGAGGATACGTTATGGCCTTAAAGAGTAAGTTGTACCTCATATATATTCCTCCCAGAAACTCCATTAACACCCCACCCCCAGACTACGACGGCGACGTACAATCGGACATCGTAGCGCAAGGATTTGGATCCCTCGGCCTCATGACCTCAGTCCTCATCACACCCGACGGCAAAACCTTCGAATCCGAAGCTGCGCACGGCACCGTCACGCGTCATTACCGCGAACATCAAAAGGGCAATCCGACATCCACGAATCCTATCGCGTCGATATTCGCCTGGACACGCGGATTAGTTCAACGGGGGATTTTGGATGATACGCCTGAAGTGGTGGCTTTTGCAGAGAGTCTTGAACAGGCGTGTGTGGATGTGGTGGATTTGGAGGGTATTATGACGAAGGATTTGGCGTTGGCTTGTGGGAAGACGGGGAAGGGAGATTTTGTTACGACGGGGGTTTATATGGAGGCGGTGGAGAGGAGGATGAAGGGGCTTTTGAGGGAGAAGTTGTAGAGGAAGAAAGAAAGAAAGAGAGAAAGAAAGAGTCAGCCGATTTGATTTTGATTGGCTAGATTTATATACCAGTACAAAACAAATCAAGTAACTCGTTTGATTGAAGGGAGAAATGATGGGAAAGAAGAAAAAAGATAAATGTCTTGTGTTGTGGTGAGGCGTGGTGAGGCGTGGTGTGGTGTGGTGAGGAGAGGAGAGGAGATAAGTCCATACATACATACATACAGTATATCGATTAGATCGCATGGTTCGATTGATTGATTAGTTGGTTGTTTAATCTGTTTAGTCTATGTATCTTCACTGTTTTTACATTTTCATCCATGTCGTTGGCGGCTGGCTGGCCCAAGGGCCGGTTCTATTGTTATTGTTATTACTATTACGTTTTATGTTTTATGTTTTGAATATATGTTTTATGTTTTGAGAATATGTTTTATGTTCTGAATATATGAGATATGAGATATGAGATATTATAAGTAAGGAAGCATGAAGCATGCAATGCATTGGATTTGTTTTGGGGTTGGGGTTGTGCATTGGAGAGGATGTGGTGGAGGGATTATGAGGCCAGGGGGTAAGGATATGGGGAAGAGGGGGAAGAGGCTAATAGGGGGGAAGGGATGTAGGAGGAAGGGAGGAAGGGAGGAAGGGTTATGAGGTTATGAGGTTATGAGGTTGAGAGGTTGAGAGGTTAAGAAGTTAAGAAGAGAAGAGGTTAAAAATAGAAGAGGAGGGGAAAACGGGGAAAGGGTTAAGAGGGGATGTTAAGAAGGTTAAGAGGGGGAGGGTGGTATTTAGGAGAGAAAAGGAGGGGAAACCGGGGAGGAAAAATGGGGAGAGGGAAGATGAGGGAGGGAGAGGTGGAAGGTTAAGACCGGTGGTTGTATCATACAAGTTTCCTATAATTACGAGTAATGAAATTCTCTCATGAAACATAAAAACATTAAAAACATTAAAATTATAAATTTGATTCAAATTCATTCGCTCCTCTCTACTCTACTCCTAGCCATTATATTTATTATTCTCATGAAGCCTCCAAGAAATAATCATATAAAGCCTTCGATATCTTTGATTATATCCATTTTCCCAATGTTGCATGCATGTTGCAGTTTTCCTTGTCCCATTCGCATTTTAGAAAGAAGCAAATTAGATATCATTCCCCCCCCCCAGAACTCCTGTATCAAGAAAAACCCATCCATCCATCCTTCCTCCTTCCTTCCTCAATACCCATTTTCTTCCCAATTAAATACAACTCAACGTATCAAGTCACCCCAAATCAATATTGCAGTTCTGCAAATGATTACCTCTGTATAGATGAAATATCAGAAGACATCATCACAATGAAGTTGCAGTATCCCTAAAGCATGTCTGACGGAACCAAACCCATCAACCGAAAACTGGTTTAATCAATTGGACCGAATGGATGAGGTGCTGGACCCGTATCAATGGGAGATGAATTCTTCGCTCTCGATTTACTCTTTCTGGAACTTGAGGGAGCGGTTGGCTCGCCAGTGTCAGACTTTCTCTTCGATGGTCTTTGTCTTTTGGTTTTATTGATTGGATTACCAGATTTGGGTGTATATCCGCCATCATCCTCAGGATCTCGCTTGCGTTTGATTTTAGAACCGGCCGGTCCACTTAATGTAGTATCGTAGCCAAGACCATCTTCTTCGACAATTTCTAGGGAATCAAGACGACTGGGTGCGGGGATAGCAGCTCGTTTTCCTGCTCCACGAAGGGCACCAGGTTTGGTGTTTATCTTTTCGGTGGGACCTTCGCCGTCTTGGAGGAAGATCTTGGGTTCATGACGACGAAGCCAGTTGAGAACACTATGGGGGTTCTTGAGGGTAACATCTTGCATCGTAGGGGGGTAGACGATAGTTGCGAGGGCGGGGGCGAAGCCAATTGAGGCGTCAACTTCGTAAAGGTAATTATCCATATCTTCGGCAGACAAATAGCCGATGGGATACTTTTTGCCAGGAGGGGGTTTGAAATCATTTATGGATTGACTAGAGACGTGAGGATTCATCAAGGAGACATGTGGGACGGTCGCGATAAGTTGCGCGAGAGATTTCGTTGGCTTGACTGTAGTATTCGTGCCATCTCTGTCTTTCAATAATTCTTGGACTTCTTTATAGATAGCTTGACCTTCGGGTGATACATCATCGGCGGCTTTTGCGAGTTCTTCTTTTGTGACTAGAGCAGGGACATGTGCCAGAGCAGGTCCACCAATACTCAAATCTATGCGCTTATCGGCGGGTAATTGTGCTGAATTATTTATATCGAGAAGTAAATCCATCAGTCGACTGTGAAGTCATGATGTTAGCTATGATTTGCAAAAGAAGCTCGAAAGCGTAACGAACTCATTCTCTTGCGCCAACTTCTTTGCAGTTTCACCTGCCAACTGCTCCTCCATGAATAATGAATTACTTCGGCGCATGGCTTCGTCGAACTTTATTCGCATTTTGCGATACTTCTTTCTAATGGCGCTCATATTAGCTGTTGAACGTGCTAATCAAAAATGCAAGGTGTATTTTGGATTGTTGGATTCCACCAAGAGAAGGTCAGGGAGGAAGTTTGATAGTCATGGTTATTTCCAAAAGCCCTCACGCAAACCGAAAAGTGAATATTTGGAGGAGTAGCTATCTGAACTTGGGTCAGCGACTTACCGAAAAGACTTGTACGGCGGCGGTTTAGAACCATCAGTCGGGCTGCTTTGAGCACCCTCTTCCTGCTCTGTAACATCTTCACCCAAGATTTCATCATCAATTGAGGATGTCATTATTGAAATCTGTGATCCTCAATTGAAGAACGGCAGCAAGATTGAGACGGGCAATAGTCGACGAGTAGTTGTGAAAATAAGGAGGTCACTGTCGCAGAACCGAGTTTGTTTATTCGAGCAGTGAAGCATTCATTTCATTTAAAGCATAGCATCATGAGGCTGACAAGTCAAGAGGTATATCAATAATAATTTAGGGTGAAAATAGCCAGCCTTCTCCAAGGAAGCTCGGGCTACACCAGACCTCGTTAGATCCGGGTTATCTTATCGCCGAATGCCTTAGAGGAAAGTTTCTCGATAAGAAATTTTGATATTAATTTTATTGGGGAGATTTCACCAATCGTCTTTTATTTCCAACCACAATGTCTCCCATTGCTGAATCGAACACCATGGATTCGATCAAAGATCTCAAAAAGGAGAGAAAGGAGAAGAAGGAAAAGAAAGATACCAAGAAGAGAAAGTCCAGTGCCATTACTGAACAACCGGCTTCCACAGAGTCAATGGATATCGATTCTGAAGTGACCGGTGCTGACGAAACCACTACAAGCGATTCCAAGAAGAAGCGATCGAAGAAGGAAAAGAAAGAGAAGAAAGAAGAACCAATTGAGGGATCGGAGGAAGCAACTCCTGTTACAGAAACTCAAGAAGAAGTCACCGAAACAAATGAGGATGAGCCATCCGAAGAACCACCTACCAAAAAACGCAAATCCTCCGTTGATGAAATCGAAGTCGACATCACCCTCCCAGAACCCCCTTCCAAAAAAGACCTCCGTCGTCTAAAGAAAGGCAAACCCCTCCCACCTTCCAAAAATGGCGCAGAAACCTCTCCCGAACCTGAAGCCAAGAAGAAAGCCGAAGTTGAAAAGCGTTCGGGCCACGGTGTATGGATTGGAAATTTACCATGGAGTGTGTCAAGAGAAGAATTACGCCAATGGCTTGTGGAGCTCTCGGATCTTACAGAGGAGAATATCACCAGAGTGCATATGCCTGGTCCTAATGATGGAAAGCCTGCGAATCAAGTGGAGAAGAAGTTTGGAAAGCCCGTTCATAATAAGGGATTTTCTTATGTCGATTTCGCAACAGAGGAACATGTTAAGCTGGCAGTTGAGTTATCCGAGCAATTGCTCATGGGTCGAAGACTTCTCATCAAAGACAACAAATCTTTCGAAGGTCGACCGGAAAAGAAGGAAGCTGTAATTGATGGTAAACCACCCAGCAAGAAGATATTTATCGGCAATCTACGATTCGACGCCACTGAAGAGGTCCTCAAGGAACATTTCGAGAAATGTGGAGCCATTGAAAAGATCCACATTGCAACATTTGAAGATTCAGGAAAGTGCAAAGGTTACGCCTGGGTTGTTTTTGAAGAAGTATCTGCTGCGCAGAGTGCAGTCAAAGGTTGGGTTCATATTGAAGATGAGGTATCTGACGATGAATCCTCATCCTCCAGCGATTCAGACTCCGACGCTGATTCCGACGACGAAACCACAACAAAGGCTGAGAAACACAAGAGACCTAAGCCTAAGACGAGAAAGTGGTGGGTAAACAAGATTCAAGGCCGACCTCTACGCATGGAATTTGCAGAAGATGATCAATTGCGATATAAGAAACGATATGGCAAGGACGGATCGAAGAACCCCAACGAAAGACATCCACGCGAGGAGCGTGAGGAGCGTGGAGAGCGTGGAGAGCGTACCGGTGCTGGTGGGGCTAATGATGAACCGGTTGTACCAAGGGTTGCAGGGGAGAGAAGAGAGAGACCTATTAAGAAGGTTGAGTACAGACAGGCTTATGCGCCACGTTTGACAGGTGGTATTGTGGAGAGTGAGGGTAAGAAAACTAGTTTCGAGTAGGGGATCATGGAGATGCGGTTTGGGTTGGGTTGGCGATTGTAATGATTATAGATATCTGTGTAAAAAGTATCATCCTACAATTTTCTTGTGTGCAGAACTGCTGTGTGCACACTCATCTATCTCATTGCTTCCACTTGACTTGACTTGACTTGGAGTCTGAGTATCCAATATCTCAATATGGAAATCCAGATATTTGATATAGCTTTTTTCTATATTTATTACTTATTTTGAAATTTAATCTAAATAGAATTTTATAAAACTTGAAGCATATATTTTACTATATAATCGTAAGTAGCTCTACTATTATAAGAGTAGAGCTATTTATTCTAAGGCTTTTTTATTTTATAAATACTCTAATAACAAACTATTATAGAGCTCTATTATATAATTATATTGAATCTAATACGAGTATATAGTCTTTAGAGCTTCGAAGGTGGTTTTCCGATCCGAATCTCAAGACTAACTAACTACCTAGGTATATCCAATTAGATCGGAAATCCTACAGCTTTAATATAACTGCACCCCCATATCACCTCGCTTAAGCATGAATTTCATAATACCACCCCTATGTAAACACTATCTCTACATCTCACTTGCCAACAGTTACCAGGTAGTTTGCTGTAAGAGTCTATGCTCCATTGTAAAAAGCGATTAATGAAAGGCAGAAATCTATTTTTGGGGTTGTGGCGAAATGATCGTTGCCAGCCTCGGTACGAACCTAAACAAACACAAACACAAAAAAAATAGAAAACGCAAATTTCATTCATTCATGCATCATCTCAAAAAGAAGCAATATATCTAATGGGAAATATATCCATATCTCTATCCCTATCCTAATTCCTATCCTAATCTCAATCCCAATCTCATAAACTTTCCCTTTCAATCAATCAATCGATCAATCGATCAAATCTGGTTCTCGAATCCTCAAATCCCGTATTAGCATTATAACACCCGCCCAAATAATAAGTTTATGGCTCAAAACGCAAAATTATAACTCCCCTCTTCGCTACATAGAGTCTCCATCCATCCATCCATAAATTCCTTTGCCAAAGATTTCTCAACTTTCCCCCTCACAAACTGTGGTCTTTTGAGGAACTGGAGAGCGTTGTACACGATGGTGTATTCAATATCGTATGCTATCCGAGAACTTCTCCGAGAAGACCTGCGGCAAACGAAGTTGTTGTGTTGATTCGATTGGCGCGTTGAAAATTGGTTGTTTGAAGGCTCGAGGGAATCTACCCAGACTGTATCGTATGAATTGCACCCTCCTATTTCTTCTATCCCTTCCACCCCCTTCACTCCCTTCCTTTCCCCTCCCTCCCCTCCCTCTCCCTCCCGTCCCGCCCCGCCCAACAATACCAGCCCAACAACCTCCAAACCCCACACCCACACTACTGCAACTTTCCATCCCCCGCCCTATCAACCCCCATCTTTGGCTGAAAATAGCTCACCATCCTAGCCGCCGCGTCAACATGCGGAAGATATTGCGTCCTATCCACCACATTCCCAGTCAAATCACCATTACCGCTCAAGTTACCAGTACCACTCGCATTATCAGTAACAGCAGCCTTGCCATTGACATAACCCCTTATTCCCCTATTCCCCATTGCACCGTTCTGCATGTTTGGATATCCGTTTGTGTTTCCATGCTGTACATTCATTCCAGTACCTGCACCTCCTGGTCCCTTTGCAATAGAGTTACTATTGCTATTTCCCATAGTTGGATTCGGGTTCATGTTCTGATTCTGGTTCTGACGATGATTTTGAATACCACCAGCAGCAGATCCAGCAGCAGGTAAATCAGGATATGGATGTTTCCTCGGACGACCCCTCCCCACATGTTTACGTTCGATTTTCGGTGCAGAGCCCAAACTTGCGCTAGGATGTGCATTAGAAGCAGAACGCTTGAGATTAGCATCATCAGCTAGATTTTGTCTGGGACCCGCTCCTGGTGTACTACCCAAATTTTGCCTCTTAGCATCTGGTGCACCATTTGTGCTCGAAATTGAGTGCGAGGCTTGACGCTTGAGATTGTTGGGGTTTTGAGGATAGTTGATTTGTGCTGATGGAGATCTTGCACTTCCGTTTGGATTTTGACTTTGATTTTGATTTAGAACTAGATTTTGATTCTGTCCTTGGTTCTGTCCTTGATTCTGTCCGCTCAGTGAGGGTCTGCGTGTAGGTTGTTGTGGAGGAGGCATGCTGGAATTTCGTCGAGAGCTTTGTTCTTGTGACTTGCGCGCTGCGATTTGTTGCTTGCGGATGATGTCGTTGAGGATGGCCTCTTGTCGTTCCTGCACAGTTGCATGTCTCATTTGTTCTTCCAGGAATCCAGCATGTTGTCTAAAGCCATGCTCTTGTCGTCCCTGTTCAATTGCATGTTTCTGTTGTTCCTCCGAAATTCCAGCATTCAGTCTAGAACCCTGCTCTTGTCGTTGCTTCAATTGCTGATCCTTGATTTCAACATCCAGTTGTCCAGAATCCTGCCCTTGTTGTCCCTGCACTATAGCCTGACGCTTGCGTAGATAATTGTCTAGCACGAAAGCCCTCTGTTTTTCGGTGAGCTTCAATTGTTGCTCCTTGGGCATATTTGCATGAGTCAAGATCTGATACACCATAGCATGTCTTTGTTGCTGAGAAAGCTTGGTGTGTGGTCGCTTGGCCCCTTGTTGCTGTTGTTGTTCCTGCTTCTGCTGCTGCTCAAGTCTCGCAGAAGAAGAAGTCGCTGTCTGCTTTTGGGAAGGTCGCGGATCAACAGCGTCTGGATTTGGAACAGTGAGGAACGGCTCGAAACTCAGATCTTTTCCCTTCAGCTTCGCCTCGACACGTTTGACCCACCATGGCTGTATTCCTGTCTGTTGCATACGTTTGATGCCAGTTCTCCAGAGCATACTCACAGCCGGATCATTGAAATCGATGGTTCCATCTCGAGTACTGTTGAAGTCCAAGAATAGACTTGCCAGATGAACGTTCGTGGCAATCGTGCCATTGATTGACCTGGATTGAAGTGAGATTGGATGATAGACCAGCAGTCTGCCTTTCAAAGCTTCCTCACGTTCTAGTGCAGCCAAATCTGTATGCGATATGACATACACAAACCCCATTATGCCTGGCGCGGGTACTCTTTGGCATTGTTCAATTCTTGTCGCAGGAAGTAGTACGGGGCCTACTGGAACGTGCAAGTTCTGATCGTAAAAGTTGATTCGGATGTTGGGTAAACCTGTAGACTGAAGTAAGTGGTAGTTGAGAGGAAAGATATCCATGTTGATCATACCTTTTCCATCGATGAACCATTCCCAACCCTTCAGTCCAGCCAATCCGTTATGTATGGCAGATGGATACTTATTCTTGAATGCTTGTTGCGACACAGAATAATCATACTGAAAGAATAATCCAGCTGTATTTGCTTTATATTGATGGCCAAAAACACCTTGCATCTTGAGAACGTTATGAAGTTGTTGCATTGACATGATGTATATTGTATCAATTCTGACTGCTAGAAGATTTGATTTGAAATAAATAAAGAGTCTGGGAACCCAAGAGCGATTTAAGTAATGAAAGTCAAGAAGGTTACTGTAAAGCGCAATAGAATTGATGATTGTACAAAGGTTTCTGCACTTTTGTTTCCAATGTTATTGTGAAAGTATGTTATTGTGAAAGTATGCCTTCTAGAGGAGATCGTTCTTGACTTTTTGTACTAGTTGATTTGAACTTTTTATAGTGCTGTTTACTCAGCGAAATAATTATTAACGTATACGCCAAATCAAAGTAAACACTACTAGCTTAGCTATCTATATACTTTTATATATTTTGAAAATAATTATTCATTAGCTAATTTTCAGTTTAATAGAAAAAGGTCTTGATAATCTTATTCAGATTGAACTAGTAATTATAGATTATAATAGATTAGATTAAGGTTTTATTATTTTTATTTTTATATTCTTAATTATATAATTATATAATATTTGTTATTCTAAGTTTTGAGATTACTAGTATAATAAATTAGGTTTTTTATTTCCTATTAATTGATTCAATTTTTGAAATTCTCATTATTTCTATAAAGAATATCAAATAATATACGAAAATATTGAATTTTTAAGAGATAAAATTGATTGTAAATTTCTTTAATTTAATTTAATAAAATCGAAATTTTCTACAAAGATTTTTTATCAATAAATTATTTATTGTATCGAATTATAGAAAAAGATATAACGAAATAAGCTAGCAATATTATATTCTGATTCGGCCTATACATTAATCATTTCGCCGAATAATCGAAAAATAAGTATAAGAATGAATATTAAACTAGACTATCTAAAGAAGGGCTACTAGGTAGTCTAGACATTCTATAGTCAATAATGATATTTTCGACAAAAAGATACATAAACACAATACGACAATAAGTCTTGACCATTCAAAGTCTCTCATCTTCCAGGAAAAACTCTTGACTACTTCCCAAACATTCTTCCAGCAGCATCAACATCGCCGTAATCTTCTCTTCTTCGAGTCGACACCCAATTAGTGAGAGACCAATGGGCACATTCACAAGATCTTCGGACTTGGTATTTTTATCTGAGGGCTTGGTCAGTCAATGAATGATGCTTTGTGGTTGGATCAGATTCTACATTGTTTCATAACCTGCTCATCAAGTTCACTCCTAGGCCTCCAATCTTCAGGTACAGTATCGTGCAACCAATCGACGTGAGTTACGGGGAAAATTCCAGTTGTGAGATCTAGCAGGGCTGATAGACCTCCCCACGTTTGCTATTGATCATTAGCTAGTCGTCTCATTCGCTTTGTGGGTCAAAATTACCATCATTGGTTCGCCATAGCTAGGTGCTGGAAGTGCGCAAACAGGCATGATTAAAGCATCGATTGGTCTGCCTGTCGTTGTCATATCCTCTGTATCCTGCCATCTCTTGTGCCAACCTGTGGCAAGTAGAGCCCTCATCCGCTGCAACTCACCCATTTCAGCCAATGGCCTTGCTTCAAGCTGTCCAAAAGAATGTTGAAGCCCTGGCATCAAAGGTTCGCCAGAAACATAGGTCTCATATCGAAATTCTTCTCCGCCATACCCCAGGTAAAGTTGGAAACACAGAAATGTGACTAAAGTATTCTCAGTAACACTGTATTCGATGACTTCATGACCAGCAGCGAGTAATGCAGCTTTCGTCATTTCCATAGCTCTGGTCACAGGGGGTGTTGTTTGAACCATCGGATCGTAGCCGAATGCGAAGCATAGTTTTGTAGGCAATATTTCTTCATGCCTACGCCATGGGATTGGTAAGACCTGAGGATCAACTAGCCAGGGTTCCTGGTCTAAAACACTCTTGAAGAGGAGTCGAATGTCGGACGGACTGCGACACATCGGGCCTGCAGTGGGTTTTATAGCTTCTTGTGAAGAATGGGTGTTGGTAAGGCCTTGATAGCTCAGTCGACCATATGACGGGTGAAGGCCATATAATCCAGTGAACGAACAAGCAGTCCGAACAGTACATCCTATATCGGTTCCAATGCCCAAATGACTTCCGCCAAAACTTACAAGAGCACCTTCTCCACCTGAAGAGCCTCCTGGATTAACTCCACGGTTCCAAGGATTCCAAGTGGGTCCCCAAATATTGTTGTTTGTATCAAGCATCATCAAACCCATTGAGACGTTTCTAAGAAATGTTAGCCAAAAATTATTGTCAGAAAGGGTATCGTACGTTTTGCAATACAAGATTGCTCCGGCATCCAAGAGTAGAGTCACCAGTGTCGAGTCCTTATTCGCACGTAAGTTTGCCTTGGAAACCCAACCCATTGTAGTAACTTTGCCTTCGTAGTCGAACTGATCTTTCAAACTGATTGGCAGACCGTGAAGAGGTCCGGCGAGCACACCAGAAGCTTCATATTCTTTATCAAGTTCCTTTGCACATTCAATTGCTTCAAGAAAGAAAATCTCGGTGAGACAGTTCAGAAGTTGTTGAGCCGCAGCAGCACGTTTACAAACAGCTCTAGTCACGTTTTCTGCCGTCCATCTTCTCTCCGCAATATTCCGAACAACTTCCGAAGCAGTGGAATCCGTGATGATTAGCTCTTCTGGAGTAAAAAAGCCAGAAGTTTGTGGCCAATCCTGAACGCATCTGCTCGGGGGAACCGGACAGATCTTCCACTCGTCTGGCAGATGCGAATATCTCTCCCTTCTTTTCTCACGAGCAATATCCTCCCACGCCATCTTATTAGAATATTGAGTTTGATGTGCGTTTCTCGTGGTTCTTGATGATAATACGATTCATTTGAATATTTTAAAGTCAGAAGGTACGTATTGAATTGTTAGCCGGGAAGGAATAAGTCGAAGGGGAATCCTACAGCAGGCACGACACACCAAGACTGTAGGATGTCATTCCATCAAGCCATGAGAAGAGCTTTGGAGGATCATTGTCGATTTCTTAAAATTAAGCAGAGCTAAAAGTCTGATTTTCTAATGATGGAATTGGGTGAGGACTGGATTATTTATATGCAAATGTCGAAATGTGAAATTTCCTTATTATGCTGCTCTGGAAAAGTCGAGAAAGTACGTAGCCTGTATATCGCTGACAGACCGAGTACTGTAGTGAGTTACTAAGTGCTAATATTACACCTCCAGTATTCCCTTTGAGGGCCCTCGGGCTTCGGGTTTGGTACAAAGAACAAAACATAAATCCGCAGAAAGCAACTTCAGATTTAGATACCCTCGATTCAACATTCAAACTGTCCAAAGCATTTTTGTAATCTTACTTACAAGTTGGAATAACCATCTTGATGAATGAGAATATGAACTTGCTTGAAGTATCTGCCCCGTGGATTAGAGCAAAAGCTCTCAATGTATTTCCTCTGGGAAAGAAAGAATTGTAGTGGTAGTCTTCACATTAAGTGATTGTCCATGTTTGGATTGAACGGGTTTATAGCACCTGCCTACTGAATGCGGGCATTCTCGCGTACCGTTAAAAGATACGCCTTCGCTATGTCCCTCCAAACTATCTATCAGCCGTTTTACCTCCCAACATTGCCAATCAAGGAAGGCTAGATCCTCCGAGGCTTCTTCGACGGCGTCAGTGTCTCGGAGAAGGCAAAAAGAACCTTCACGCTTCACATGATAGCCTTCAGTATGAGTTTGAGACCATTTTGAAAGTCACAGGCAAAATGTCGTATGTATTCCGTTTAGACGAATGAGTAGTGCGATACATACATTATTACATTATATTCAGTATCTGCTAATTATCCTAACCATATCGGGATAAATCAAATACCAGGTGTCATGTACTTTGATACACAAACCTAACTCCATGCCTTGAAATGCCCTGAAATGCCGCCATACAACTGTCTCCTTTTCCCCACAACCAAAAACGCCCAAAGAACTCACGCCAAACTTCGCGTATTCCCAACTACGATACCTTAATCGACTCTTCTTTTCTTGTCCGCGGACTTATCAGATACAAAAGCCTCATCCATCGACTAACCTCTCACTTGGAATACTACAATGCGTAATATTCTAATTGACATCGTTTATTCCCATTTTCACATCACCACCATTAATGTAATCATCATCCCATTCAAACGGCACATCTTCATCACCATTGGCCTCGTCAAGATCCATATTCCCCTCCGGTACTCCGGCCAAACGAACCGTGGGATCATGATGAGGCCGATCGCGACGAGCTAGGGTTGTGGCACGTTCTTGCGGATCAAGTTCGAGATTAGCAAAGCCCTATAATTAGATGTTAGATGACTACATGATCAAATGATATAGAAGGGAGGAATCTTACGTCTTGAGGAAAAGCATTGGCATGATTGAAGCCGGGAAGAGGTCCATTAGCGGGAGCTTGACCTGGGAGAGAAGCTAATTCGGCAGCGGTAGCCGGACGAACAATCCTGGTGTGAGTGATGACTGTCTGCGGGTTTTGAGGAGACTGAAACGCTGATTGAGGACCATTGGGATCGGCAATGGGTGTGTATCGATTTTGGAAAGGTGAGGGTGAGGGTGGGGGCGGGGGTGGCATAGCCCGAGCAGGAGCAGCATGATCTTTAGCTGCTTGGATATCTTGGGGATTTTCACCTGCCAAGAAGAGGCCAATGGGACTGGCGAGGTTTGGGTAAAAATCTGGGAGAGGTCGAATTGGGGATGGCATGGCCGAAGGAGAGTTGTGAGGGGCTGCAACTGGCTGTGGTACCTGATTAGATCCATTCGGTCCAGCTATGGGCAGCGGTGCGCCGGCGGCATTTGCTTGTGGATTCTAGAGAGCACGAGTTATTATAGATAACTGGATCGAAGATGGGATTCTTACGGCAAAAAGAGCCACTTCTTCGCCAGGAATACCGGAACTAACATACCCAGCTCCGGAATTCTATACTACGAGTTAGTTGACTATTTTCGAAGACTCGAGGAAGAAATACTTACGGGATCATTGATGAGAGCTCTACCAAGAGCCTATTATGTATTCGTTGATCAGCACGGTGCTCCAATAACAAGCAACAAAGATGAAACCACCGTTTCCAAGGAAAGTAGAAGCACCAAACTTACCAAACCAGTAATCCACTGCCTTCCCACCGGCATCGTCTCCATTCCCTTTCTTTTCGGATTCTCCTCGATCCACTCATCGCTCGGTCTAACATACGCATCCGCATCTAAATCCGCCGGCAGCTTCAACGCAGCAGTCTTCCTATAGTAATCTCCAGGAGCAGGATCACTATCCTCTTTTTGCATTCCACCACGCAAACGTGCATGCCATTCCCAACTGGATTTATTTTTGGAGTAGCGATTGAGAAGTTTCTTGATGGTTTCGGGCTGGTTGTTGGAGGGGCCGCTGATGGTGGGGATACCGGGGATGTAGGGGTGGCCGACGGGACGGTTGGGTCGGGTTTGGAAGGTGTAGATTGGTTGGGCCATTTTCTGGGGGCAGATGTTAGTTCTTTGGTTCTTTGGTTTGATGTTAGTGAGTTCAAGAGATGGGAATGGGGTCAGTGAGGATGGATTTTGTGGTTTAAAGTGCTTATGCGATGATCGTCGCCTAGTTAAGGGGGGACTTTGCGTTCAACTTACTAATATCAAAGTTTCTTAACTCGAGTAGATATGGTAGTATTGCACAATGTAAGGTCTTGGTTTATGTCTTAGATATAGACTGTAAAAGTAAGGTGCAGAAGATAGATGTAGGTTGCAGATGTAATATTGACCAAGCAGAGTATGATCGGAAAGTCCAGTAGAGTGTAAAGCTTTGTGATGTAGATGTAGATGTATGTGATAAAGTAAAAGACAACTCCCAGTACGATATTGAGAGACTTAAATACTTAGTCACAGGCTAGTAGACTACAGCACGTAAAGAGGAGCGAGCCGTATAGATAAATTATTCCACCATTAGTATAGCAGGATGCTCGCGTATTGAGGAGCTGTACTCCGTTGACTCAGAGAGAGTGAACAATAATATTCCTACTGAACCGTACTATTATTCATTGAGATATGGGTATATTGAATATCCAGAACACAATGTCAAATTGCCAGGGTCTTCTGTCTACCGAAAATTATATTGCGTTCTCCTCTGTTCGAGAGTTACTAATCTGCACCTTTGGAGGCACATTAGGCCGTTACATCGAATATGATTACCGGATCCCTTGACTACGGTATCGAAACTAATCAAACAAAAGAATTTTGCAACGAGGACGGATGAAACACCCTGAAATAGTACTGGTTGAAGGAAGAGCGCACGAGAATAGGGACACGCAAATAGAAGCTCGAGTGCTTGAGGAATCAATAAAAGCGGACTTTGTTGATTTGATCGAAGATTCCTATCAACTATGGGAATCTGGAACCCCTGGATTAGAGTGGAGAAGTATCAGTCCTTGCGACCAGTAGATGTTTCTCGTTATCACCAGTTTATTCGGTATATATATATAATGTTGCCATCGCATAGCACATCCAGACGATTCCTGAAAATAGATCAAATTGGCCTAAAAATCATCGCTACCATGTCTCGAAATCTTCACAAAAAGAAGCGTACTTCAGACCTTAATCTACCACCTCATTCGATATAATGAATCAAACTCTCATGACTTACTCATCCTTCGTATGGGCCGCCTCCTCATTACTAATCGACTCGACCATTTCTACACTCTCCTTCTCCTGGGCCACCTCCTCATCACTATTCGAGACATCGACCTTTTCCACACTCTCCTTCTTCTGAGCCACCTCCTCATTATTATTCGAGACATCAATCTTTTCCACACTCTCCTTCTTCTGGATCACCTCCTCATTACTATCCGAGACGTCGACCATTCCGACACTCTCCCTCCTATGGGCAACCTCTTCAATGCTATCCGGGACTTCGACATTCTCTACACTCTCCTGCTTCTGGGCCACCTCCTCATTATTATCCAAGACATCGACTTTTTCCAACCTCTCTTTCCCAAGATCACTTAACTCCCTCAACTTCATCCTCGCAGCCTTTACCGATCCTAGAAGGTCCATACCCAAGTCTCCCGTTCCAGTCAATGATTTCTGTCCAGGCGGTATCTCAAAAACAGGAACGAAATCCGGAAACCCATTCTCATAACCATCTTCCAACTCTTCCAACTTCTTTTCCAAAATTGGAGCATGCTCTTCCCACCACCTGGCCATAACCTTTTTAGCTCTTTCCCCTGCAATAACAATATACTGAGTTGCCATCATGACCCTGAAATCTGTATCTATGCCTGGCATGTAATTATATTCCGGCTCCAACGCCTCAGGAATATCGCATGCTGGAAATTTGCACGCGTCGTCATCATGATCATCGAGACCCGCCGCAATACAGCGAGCATAGAATCCGGAGAGATTGATCCACTCAATACATCCTTGAGTATACTCATCTTGAGTTTTATATTCCAACTCGAACTCATCCACTGCATATGTTAGAAGAGAGTACATGAAAAAGGGGATTGACGCACCATGTCTCGCATTCCACATATCGTGCTTGATTTCCATATGAACATCATAATATATAGGGCCTTCCTCGACCATCTATCATTCGTTATTTCTAGATTAGAATCCATTCCTTTCATATCCTTGCCGATCACTCATAAGGGGAACTTACCTGTCCATCAACCCCCGTAAGCACTCTCTTCGGCATCTTTAAAAGCTCCTCAATAAGCCGTAATAACATCTCCTGCTTAGCATCCTCGTAAGATATGAGTGCCGCTAATTCATATATTGTTTGGAATACAAAGTTTAGATGCGAACGTGTGATGCTGCCATAAAATGTGTAATTGTCGATTTGTTTGGCAGTTTCCGGAGCAGCGTTATCACTGTCAGAGAGGAGGAAGTCTTTCAAGATATTCGCAATATCTGATACCATCTTCTGGGCGGAATGCCCCGAGCCTAGTTTAGTGAGGAAAGCAAGCCAGGGCGGTACCACACTACTGGCATCTGATGAGGTTGTCTCTTCAGTAGAAGACATATTGAATTGACTTAGTAGTAGACGGTGACAAATTTATTCGTTGTGAAATGCAAAGATATTGTTGATAAATGTGACAATTACTAGATGAACAATAGCCATGAGTGGAAAAGGACGATACATGTATAAGAGATTAAATAAATGGTTGAAAGATAGAGGTGACAAAAGCGCAGGCGCCTGCATATTGCCGGGTGGCTAAATCAATAAACAGGGGTATGTTTATATTTACGCATACCCCTCTCATGTCCCAAGCATTTAGACGACCTCGATGTATCACCTCTTCCCTTTTCAATGCTAAATCATTGGTAGGATATGTATCAACACTTTCACATCGTGAATGGCGTTACCGCTTGTGGGTACAACTCGAGGTAAAAAGGCATCAAATCCGTAGAAGCGACCAATAACCAGCAACGGGAGATGCACAACTCGAGAAGAAAGCACAGCGGTACCGGCACGTTGGAACGCTACGCATGCGGAGAAATTCAGAATGTCCTCCAATCACCAATACAATCGATTGTCACGGTTTTGCCGCTCCGAAGCCATAAGCATGGATTCAGAGAGATGGCGGTACCGATACATTGGTAAATAAGATGGTGATGTATCAAAAATATACTGTGTCACCCAACCAATCCTGATCAGCAACCTGTTCCCTAAACACTATCAAGATTACACCACGGACTTTGTCTATGGCGTTTAAATTTGGTGTTATCAATGTATTGAAATAATAGTCTGGGCTCTCAAGAAAGTACTCGGCGGTACCGGTGATTTGGTAGATACGAAAAGACCATATGTGGTAACGCTGTGCTATCCAATCATTCATGAAATTTCGACTATTTTCAAGGGGAACGTCCAGACATGCCGGCAGGCGTCTATGCGCTTATGCTACTATGAGACTTTCTCCAAGATGCGTACATGCTACCTGAAAGGACACCAGCATGGGAGAAGAGCTCGATGGGTTTTACACCCTGATCAGAAGTCTGATTATCCTTCGTCTTGATGACTTCGGTATCAGAAAGTAACATTTTTGAGAAATTGATTCGATGAACACTCACACTGATTTTCGAAATTTAACGGCTAGGTCGTGTTGGTGTTTCTTAGTGTGAGTAGAAATCTTAGATGAGTATGCGAAATATGAGGATATAAGGGGCGCCAGGAATCCACCTACTGTTCAAGCAACGCATTCTTTCCATCAGCAGACTGATAACATCATCAAATACTTACACATTTCTCTTCAAATCCCAAACATAACTTTCTGACCACTTCGAAGTGTGCATTTCAATGTAAGTGAGCCAAATATACAAGAGTCTAAACAAGTCATTGAACTAAGAATACTCTCAACAGCCAACCGAACAATCAAAACCCGACTCAATCGTCCAACATGAGTGTAAGAAGAAATTCCGATAATACCAAGGATCACTTGGTAAGTCAATAACCTATAATCCACAATCCTAAGCCCGGAGCATCCAATGGTCTTGAGGCCAATTCCAGGCTTGAGAAGCTTGAAAAGCTATCAGTCGGTAAAGATGGATTGATGTTTAAACACATTTGTCTCAAAAGATCCAATAACTCGACTATCTTGGAACCTTTGAAACTTTTGAACGAGTTCAATCTTCCATAACCCTCTCATCATTGGGCTACTGGGCTGCATTCTGGATTGTTTGGATTCTTTACCTAAGTCAGCCTCTCTGACATCCCCCTCAGCAGTATCACACTCCGCGTGGTAACATCACACACAAAGTAGTCGTTGCCGAAATCGACAGAGCACCACCCATTCTTCCCAGAAACCCCATCAACAACATGCCCCACAAATACCAGAACAAAGAAGGGCCCCGCGGCGGCCCCAAACTACCTTTATTCGAAAGTCGAGAACTGCCTCAACGACGCATCAACGCAAGGACAACCGGACCCGTCTCTCTATACGAGTATCCGATCACCACTCCAAACAAGCCATCATTCAACTACGGCCGACCAACACTTGCGGAAGAAGGAATTTCACCACACGATCGAGCGAGGAGGCTCGAGCCAGAACATCGGTTCAATGATGTAGGATTTATGAGGGGCGTGACGACTCCGGATAAACATGTTGTGGGTGCTATTTATCATCCAGTGGGAGATCGTGGAGGGTTTGCGCGTGCGGAACTCGAACCGCTGGATCATCAGGGAAGAGAACATAATCGGATGCTTCATGATCGAGCGCAGCATGTGCCACGATCACCAACGTGGCCGACTAGAGGGGAGGGGAGGAAATGATCAAACGCTTCACCCACGTGCCTAACCAGATGAATAGCGACAGCCATCTACAGGTCAAGGGGTTGGATCTTGAGCTGGACTTTGTTCTCATGGGAAGTTGCACATTACTTCTAGTGTTTGATTTGTGATTGCGCTGGGCACGCGTACAGATTGATCTGTATAGATCATATTTCGCGTTGAAATCATGTTGTCTTTTTGTTCGAATTCATGTTGGATACTTGTTGTGTTGGTTTTTGCTTTTATTGTCGTTTGGTTTGCGGAGGAGTGGTAGTTTTGATCTGGATCATATTGTTAGCTCGGAAATTACTTAGTATATTGCCAAAATTAATGGAATGAAGTTCTTGGACCCATATTCTCAAGTATACTGGAAGATAAACTGCTATAAATAAATAAGCAAATAAATAAATCATAAGTCATAACATTATCATTATAAATCTATCTCTATCTTTCTCCTTTTCTATACATCTCAAATTCAAGCAACCACACTCCCGGAGAAAGCATCCGAGATCTCGGTAGAATTCTTATCCAGCGCCAACAAAATGCTCAGTAAAACCTTCGACTTCTGAGGATTCAAATATCCAGACGCGATATGCATTGCCGTCTCAGTGCTAATATCTGAGTAAGGAACCTCTCCATTTTGAGCGCGGGAGCTTTGGACTATGGGGATGTTTAATCGTTTGATTACATCTTCGATGGCGTAGTTAAATGATGTGCTGACGCCTCCTGCTCCTGCACCTGCGATCTATTGGGATGTTAGATGGGATATTTGACAAGATTATATGTGGAATGAGAAAGGGGAACGTACAACTATGCCTTTAGCACCGCTGGAAACGGCATTGTAGAGTGTATCATTATGCATATCCTCATATGCAAACAGGATGTCTACTCGAGGAATCTCAGTCACGTTTGAGATATCGTAGGCGATTTTTCCGGTGGGTTCCACGGGTGGATAGAAGAAATAAGGAGTGTTTGAGATGAGTTCTCCTAGATTCCCCATCTCGATGGCTTTGAATGTATCCATGGTGTTGGCGTTGGTTTTTGTAACGTAGTATGCGGAAATAATACGATCGTTCATGACAACCATGGCTCCACGGCCTACAGCCTTGGGGCTGACACCTACGGTAACGGCTTCTAGAAGATTGAAGGGTCCGTCGGCTGAGATGGCGGTTGAGGGTCGCATGGAGCCGACGATGATTATGGGTTTACCGCAATTAACGGTAGCGTCCATGAAAAATGCGGATTCTTCTAATGTATCGGTGCCATGAGTAATTACTGCTCCACTCATTGTATCATCTTTGCAAATCACCTCGTTGATTTGCTTTGAGAGGTCGAGAAGGATACTAGAAGTCACATCTTCACTACCGACATTGGAAATTTGAACACCCGCAACGTTGGAAATGTTGAGGACCTCTGGAACTGCATCAAGAAGAGTTAAGATGCCCACAGCGCCCGAAGTGTACCCAGTTGTTGCTGTATTACTGCTGCTAGAGCCTGCAATTGTGCCACCTGAAACTTGAGTTAGTACGTTTTATCAGACAGAGTGATAGGAGCAATGATATACCAGTTGCGAAAACAGTAATGTTTGGTAAAGTAGCATTCATTTGGGTAAAGTTAAGTCCATTTGAATTAGTGAAGACATATGGACTGGTATCGCGAGGGTAAACGAAGGGAGATGCAGAAGCAAATGCTGCAAGCGCAGAGAGGGAAAGAAGATGTGAGAACATGATGAATTGAAGGTTGATGTTCTTCTAGATGCTGAAGAATGAGGCACTGGATACAGAAGAGAAAAAATGAACTCTTTATACTCATCTCTACTCGAGTAGTTTACCTCTCTTTCTCACCGATTTGACTTTTGTCTACTGGCCGCCAAGTATTTTACTTGATAGTTTAGCGCATCATTGCCAAATTAAGCTACCAAGTGTTTATCTCCATCAAATTAGCTTTCTAATGTCAATGAATTATCAAATCATGCGTCCGATAATTGTCCAAAGTTCCAAAGGGTATCAAGATAGGACTCTCGATCGTAGTAAGAAGGGCTCACGGTGTAAGTTGCGGGGTTGGTACCTGATGATCAGGGAAGTAGAAGAGGCAGTGGGATGTGGTGTATTTAGGCGGAGCGGGTGGTAGATAGCCTAGAGACTAGCGGGGCGGGGCATCTTCAGGGGTAGGCCAACAACTCACTCAACTACCGAATAATAACCTGAGCCAAGCACTCTTCCCGATGGGATCTCGGACATGTCCCTGTCCCTAAAATCTCCGTTGCACGATCCAACAACCATGATTCTAGAATCTGCATATACTATATAGGGACAACTCTCCGAGTACCGGTATATATCTGAACTTTGATCTTCAACCGATATTCCTCGTTGCTCGTTGTACATTGATTCGCTCTTTGACTACTCCGTACGCACGCTCAGGCACGATCGTTGGAACTCCAGATCTGGGGTTGAAGGGAAAACGATAAATACGAAAGATCTGTGAAGAAACTCCGCTCTGTTTGTGCTAACCTTTTGATAGTTTCGCTCTAGCAAATCTGTCAGTATCCAAATTTTCCTACACGTCATCGGCCTCTTATCGATATGAAAGAACGCCGATTAGATGGGGGAACCCAGGGCGGTAAGATAAGGTAAGGTTTTGCTTTATCCTTATCGAAATTGGATATATGTGAGGAATTCGAAGTCCTTTCACGATAGCAATATAACCACAAATTTGTGAGTATAATAATGAGTCCATCATTGGACCAGAAGTGGGAGTGGAAGTGCTATACCCTGATCGTGCCAATAACGTGGCTGGCTATAGTGTATCGAAATCTAGGCGCTGGATAAAGAATAGCAGCCATCTTGTGAGCTATGGGAGCTTAACTATAGCCTTAACTATAGCTCATCCCATCATTCAGGGTTCATGCCGATAGAGATTCAATTAGCGTAATATCATTTCGGTCTTGGTATCTATGCAGATTCTAGACGCGTTCTAGAGTCTATAAGTGGATGTATAATATGTACAACGATCGTCTGTAGAGTTGTGAGATAGGATCCTGAAGTTTCAACAGGACTGTTTAACATACCTCAATTGAATGACTATTCAAATGAACAAGTCATTTTTATCCCGAGGGGAAATTTTGCAAGTGCAAAATCCATGTTTTTCAATACTTAATTGGGCAGAATTCGCTTTCGCAGAGTTTTGTCGTGGAATTTGTCTGTACTGTAATTGTCCATGGGGAGAGGAGTAAGGATAGAGAAGATGTAAGATTGATTGTGTCCTTTACTCTTGTGAAACTAGAGATTTTGCAATGGAATGCTTCCGTTTATTGTTTTGCTGTGTAGAAGGATATCTCAGTGATGAGAGAAACATCAAGTCATTAATTATATAATGGAGGGAGAATTAAAGGATGGTAAAGGCGTGACGTTAATATATATGAAGTTGGCGGTTCCTGCAGCATTAGTCATCATTGTAAATTTACAGTACCACCTCAGTGACGATTTGTAGTGTATAATCATAGATGCAATGTGATATTAACTGCAATCAGCTTGCTGAATTATTAAAGTTATGTCACGCGATAGGTATGATGAATATGGAATGTTTGTTTTGCAGCAATCTGAGTTTATGATAGACAATAGACGGTTGTAAATGTGAGTATCCTTTGGTATGTATCTTGTATTTGTGCATACTAACACAGTCAATGTAGTACAACCAACTATAGACTGAGCTTTGTCAAATGAAAGGTACACGTTTTGCTTTTTTCTATGTGTTGTTCCTCGAATCTGATATCCTGCATCTCCCAAAACCCATGTTCTTTATCTGCGAAAACCATTGCTACAAACACCTCCCTCCATTTCCCACCACTCCGTCTCACCATCCTCCTCTAGACACGAGCTAGATATGAGACCCTCCAGATATTCTTCCCAGAGTATTTCACAGCCATCCACTAGCTTGACGCTGTATCGTCCGCCGGAAACACCATCTCGATTTTTGGTATGTTGGCTTCGGGGTGTCTTCTTTTCCATTCTTCGAAACTGCTACGTATCTCCGCAATCCGAGGTGCAAAGTTATTCTCCATCAACAACTTCAAGCCTGCTTGATTCTTTCTTCCGGATCCCTTCAATGACTTTACCAGCCTCATCTTCGGAAACATCTCAAGCGTCTGTTCGACAATCTCACACCCAACCACAAAACTGAGAGTTTCAAGCGCTGGGTACATTTTGAGGAACTGTTCCCAGATGGATATCCGTTTCCCAGTGTTAGAACTGACATCCTTCACTCGACTATTGACGTTATAAGCCGTGGCCGCATCGCTGTACCATTTTTGGTCGGCCAAAATGGCGATGTGACGATACTCAACAGTAATCTCCCTTGTGCACCGGTGGGGACAATTGTATCCTTTAAGAAGCAAATATTTATATCGGAAGTCCGCATAAAATGGTACGTCCCACAAAATCGTATCAATCATTGGGTTAAATAACTGGGGAGGTAACTGGGGAGGTAATCCTTGCAGCCTCTTATAGTTGTGACAGTTCGCATCATGATTGTATATTTGTTTGTAGAATTTGAGATATGCCTGCCGAGATTCGAGACACACATAGTATAGCACATGAGGTATTCGCAGCGAGGATAATTCTATTGCACGGTCAGAGACGAGTTGTCCTTTGGGAAGTGCATGATACCATATCTGAAGTTGTATCTCCTTGGGTAAGAGGGGGAACTTTTCGAAGCTCGATAGCACGGATACGTTCGAAGGATCCATTATATTGATGATAGTATTTCGTTTGCAGGTGAAATGTTTGGATGAGGTTTACAAACAAGAAATCCGTGATCGCCAGGTTCAGCGCTAGTGCGGCAGTGAATAATATCAAAGATTAATACGAGTATTCATATTCTGACCTATCAGGAGTTTTCAAGAAGCAGGAAGACTGTATGATATCGCTGATTTGGTTCACCTGTAGGCTTGTAGTGAATAATTTCATAATTTCGTCTCGGGTCACTCCAGCCATCTGTTCCGCTAGTATGTGGTACGGTTGCAATAGTCACAGGGAAGACGTAACTTACTTCACGAGTGATTGATCTCATTTCATTTATTTATATAAAAACTTTATATTTCATTAGTAAGTATAAGGTCTTAAGCCTTTCATTGGAATTTAATTCTTATATTCTATCAACAAATAGTATCTTGCCTTGACGTCTTTTCCCAATACGACAATCAAGATCACTACGCCACTCAAAATCGCCTGGATTTTTCTCACTTACTTTATTTCTCTTTGCTATAACAATAATTCATACATCGTACCGCAAATGTATCAATCAGACTGCCTGCCCCACAACACAACAAACGAGCACGCTGGTAAATCTTCCAATATAACCTTACTGTAATGCTGATACAAAGCAATGTGAATATGACGCCAATGTAGTCACTATTTCTCCTCACTCTGTACATATAGAACCTCTCTTCCCTACTAGATTCAATAATTTAATTCTCTATCTACTTTTCTTTCAGCTCCTTATCCAACACAATGATCTAATCTAATCATCCCAATACTGTGCGTTCCGATATAAACAGACTCATTCACTTCCACAATCAGATGGACTGTTCTAGTTGATCTAGTGTGAGAGGAACCAGCTTGATTTGTAAGGTTACATGTGAGTTACCCAGAAGAAGACCTGAAAACTTCCTCCAGTGTCAACCATCGTTCATTAACTTCCCTTCATAAAACACCAATTCCTCACTGGAGTAATCCGGTGATTGCGAAAATAATGAGAACGGTAGCATGCAATCCTTAGTGGTAGGTTGCACTTGCATTTTTCTCAGGTCTAGTGAATGGAGATTATATGAAGCGCAAATTTTTCGATAAGACCTCAACGACCTCGATTTATTCCATGGGCATCTATATCATTTTATCGACTGAATTCTTTGTCTAGAGCGCTTCTCAATCTCAATACCGGATGTATGTGCCGGACCTTGTAGAGATATGTACTCCTGGAAATTCTTCTCGCTTTTCCATGACGCTAGCGGGAGGATCTCTTCTCAGCTATCGCCTATCGTTTTCTCAAACCATAAACGTCTCAGAAGACATCATGATCCGAACTCTGAATGGTTGTTTTTCATCTGAAAAGAACATGCCGTGAAGCCAATTTCTATGTTCGTGGATTGACCAGTGCCAGATTTAGGTGTGACGTTCACGGTTGAGACAAACGTGGATATTTTGACCCTTAACGTTCATCTGTTTACGGGAGCATACCATAATGCCAAGATTCAACATGTTAAAGCTTGACTTGGTACTAGATCGTTTCCTTTACTTTCCTATTGGCTTAAAATCCCGTAAGGCTCTGATTTTCTGTTATTTCGAGAATTTGAGCTCGAAGCCGCCAGTGCGCTAGGGTCCAAATAATCCTACTCTACCAGTATAGAGCTTTTGACAAAAAAGTTGCTTGGTTGGAAGGAGTCGCAATCTCGCAATGAGCTGATAGTTGGCCTGTTCGTGGATAACGATCCATCTTTCTCAGTGAAGAGAAGCCTCGTCTAAAGTCTATGACTCTATACTTCTTTTAAACGCTTGATCTGAAGTTCTGAGCCCTATATCTTCAGATATACCTTCCTCATTCGGTCATGGTGAGGAGGAGAGAGGGGTCTCTTACACCATCTACGACCAATACGAGGAACTCCAATACTATCCTTTCCTGCTTCTTGAAGTCTCCTGGGTCGGCTACAACATCGGCCAATGTGCCCCTTTACTGCTGGTGTGACGAAAGGGTGCATCTGAAAGTTTCAGACCTTATCGACGACGTTGATGTGGTCTCTCTTATGATTGTCAGGTATTCCTGGAATATTCTCGATTCGAATTCATTCGTCGTTCAACTCATTCTTTCTCGTCATTCCAATACCATAGGCTGTGCCTATTTCATTTCGATCACTTTATTCCTATAGAAAGTAGTCTGCTTTGTCTGACAGATAATATCTACTTTTATTATCCATATATCATTATCATATACATTCCATATATTCTTATTAGTCTCCTTGTCTTTAGCCCTTTTGTGGTTGCTCACAGAAAGATTACTATTGTTACCAGAGATATTAATGGCAACAGTATTGCCTTAGGGATTAAAGGAACTGTTTTTGCTGGTGCCGGCTCAAACTCAAAGACCGAGCTTGACACCACTGTTTTTAACACTGGCAAAAATAACTGCGGACAAACCGAGGTAAATCATAACAATCTTCATAGACGTCGAACTCCCACTAATAATTGATAGGCTGCGGGAACAAACAAAGCAGTGAGCGGTGTCACTAAGTCAATGGCTCTTTCGGGCAGCACACTTCCACAAATTAGCACCCATAATGCTTCTATCTCGGGTACTTTTCACATTGTGACTTCCGATGGTGCAGGTGTATGTATATACCCTTTCTCAACGCCAAAAACCAAGGTAATTGATATGGCAATTAGCCTCTTACAGCAATGGTCGACACGACCGGGAAGGGCGACTTTTCCAAAGCGGTCAAGGCCGTGGTCACTACCCAAATTCCGGGAACTAAGGGTAAGATTCAAAAGAGCAAGCAACAGAGATGGGAACGAGTATTGAGAAGTATTGGCTTGATGAAAAGAGCTACCAATATCAACGAAGACTTTGTGGGTCGCTTTTCCCTCAGTCCTCGTCCATATATACTAACCACTTGGAAAGCCTTTTAGTGTGGCGATTCCCGCTGGAACAATTTGCACCGGTACACTAGCAGGTCAATCTAATGTTTGTATAGTTGAGATTGTGAATCCATCAAAAGCGGGACCTTTTGGTGGATGTGTCGCCGTTCAACAATTTGGTGGCACCAACACAACAGATATTGCTAGGAGAAATCTTAAGCCCTTGAGCTTCTCTGTCTAAGATCAAGGGGGTTTGTATTGGTACACCTTTCGCTTTTTCTTGGTCTTTAGAGAATATCTTTACCCCGGATTAGCGGATTAGTCAGATAAGGCTAAAGTTTGGGGGCCGAAGTGGGAATACAAGTATTTCCTTAGGGCTAGACAAGTCAGTCGAAGTAACCATTTGTATAACCATTTATATACATAAACCAATGTGTCAATGAAATGACCCGTTCTCTACCGGTAAGTACTTCTGTGACCTCTACATGGGAGAAGATAAATGTTGTGATCGAAGCCATCAATTATTCATGCAGCGAGCCTCTCTATTGTACCCATCCAATGACAATATGTAAGATTCAATTGGACCGGAGTTTTGACTGGTATTAATATTGATAATAGTGGTGGACCCGGGGATGTTGTGCAATCACTATGTAAATATCCATCCGCAGTTCTTCTTCACAACAGATATGTTGATATGTTCATCTAATAACAAACATTCTGAGTTCAAGAGATCCAATGTAACTTATCAATAGATCTGATACAACTTTCACTCGGCATTTGTCAAAACACAAAGTCACAATGAGGGTTTGAGGATTCTAATACGTAACTAACGTCTCATCTATGATGAAGCTATTACGAGAAGCGACAAGATAACAGCGACAAATCCTTCCTCCAGATAAGAGTTCTTCTACTCATTCGACAACACATTTCTTCCTCAACTTCTCATCAACCAACGAACTTACCTTGATTTCTTTTGCATGTCAATGTTTCCTTACCAGCTTCCTCATGCATTTTGGCGTCAAATCAAGCTGCAAGAAGCCTTAGTTAGGCATATTCCCGTCCTCGTGTTCCAATTCTTGTATATCTCCGATTTACAACCATTGACAAATATATTTATTCATCGATGGATATGATAGATTGACTATTTGTACAATCCAAAGATGCAGTACTTCTTACTTTTGATAATTTGTCAATTGATTGATAATGTACCTGCCTACGTGCATGCGTAGGTTGATCTCTACTGCTTATTTTCTTCTCATTGCCTTGCCTTGCCCTACGTCCGTACCCAAATGTTCTGTCATTGATTGTATCAATGTTAATCATTGGAAACTCTGATATTAAATATGCTTACTGGTACTTCTAATACATACACGGGATAGGTAGTGATATCCAGATTCTAGAAAATATACTCCATTCCACCTTCCACCTTGACAAAATTTGAGTTCAAGGATCGGTAGTATACTATCTCACTTCATTGTTATTTTATATAGATATATCGATACTGAATCTGGTGGATATATATCATGGACGAGCAAAACGATTCCAAGTCATCATGGCTATCAAAAGTCTTCCAACGTCCAGCCAATACCTCACCAATACTCACTCCTCCAAACGAGCATTCTTCACTCCTGCACCAATCTCCCAATGAAAGAGAAACATACGAGTTCGAAGAAGACGACACAACTCCCGCCCAAAGATGGCTCTCCGAATTCCTCCTCTTATCACGAGGTTCCATTCCCGTTATCCTCGCATATGCATTACAGAATTCCCTCCAAACGATCTCAGTCTTGATAGTCGGACGACTGAGCCCTGAAGCTCTGGCGACTGCGGCTTTCAGTTACATGTTTGCTATGTCTACGGCATGGCTTATTGCGCTTGGTGGAACTACCGCTTTAGATACATTGGCATCATCATCATTTACTGGAAGCAAGAATCCACACGATTTGGGAATATTGTTACAACGGGGTTTCTTGATTCTAACGGCTTTCTATATACCAGTTGCTATATTATGGGCATGTTCTGCACCGGTGTTTAGGTTATTGGGGCAAGAAGAATATATGTGTGTGGATAGTGCTAGATTTTTGACGGCTTTGATACCGGGCGGACTGGGATATATTTATTTCGAAGCTATGAAGAAATATTTACAAGCACAAGGTACTGACTTCACTGTTCCCCTCCCTTCTAGCTATCAAAACCTAATTACTTCCGTACAGAAATCATGCGTCCAGGCACCTACGTGCTTCTAATAACCTCGCCCATCTCTGCCGGTCTTAACTATTTCTTCATCCACACCTTCGACTTCGGTCTCATTGGCGCACCCCTCGCAACAGGTCTCTCTTATTGGCTTTCCTTCCTCCTCCTAGTCCTCTACTCTCGCTTTATATCCGGGTATCAATGTTGGGGGGGTTTCACCACGCAATCACTCTACAACCTTGGGACATTCTCTCGTCTTGCTTTTCTCGGTGTTATTCATGTTGGTACCGAATGGTGGGCCTTTGAAATTGTTGCCTTGGCTGCCGGTAGGTTAGGTACGATACCATTAGCTGCCCAAAGTGTTATTATGACGACAGATCAAGTGATGAATACGATACCCTTTGGTATTGGTGTAGCAACCAGTGCACGAGTTGGGAATTTGTTAGGAGCGAGAAATGCAAAGGGAGCGGCTAGAGCGGCCAATGTGGCGGCTTGGTTGAGTATGGTGATGGGCTTGTTGGTTTTGATTATTCTTATGAGCGTAAAGGATTTCTATGCGCGGATTTTCAATGATGATTTGAGGGTTATCAAATTAACGGCGGAAGTCATGCCGTATGTGGCATTATTTCAGATAGCGGATGGATTGAATGGGAGTTGTGGGGGGAGTCTAAGGGGTATGGGTAGACAACATGTAGGAGCTGCAGTTAATATCGTTAGCTATTATTGTGGTGCGTTGCCATTGGGGATATGGTTAGCGTTTCATGGATGGGGCTTGGGGGGGTTGTGGGTGGGTCAGTGTATTGCGCTTTATATTGTGGGTGCGTTGGAGTGGGTTATTGTTGCTTGGAGTGATTGGGAGGGAGAGGTGAAAAAAGCGTTTGGGAGGATGGAGGTGGGAGAGAGGGTTGAGGTGGGAGGGATAGATGCAAGAGAGGAGGTCAATGGGAGTTTGTCATTGTGAGGTTGATGGGTTTATGGAGTCTTTATGAAGGTTCTATAGCACTTGGACAGAAATGTATATTGATATCTCGGTACGAGTAATTTCAAACATCCCAACATCTCAGAGACTCTACAGAGCTCCTTCGGAATTCTATATCTCATCACTGGCAATATCATATCATGATGTTAGGCTGTCGAAAGTAAACATTGATATACTACTCGTAAGACTTACAAGAACCTAAACTTCACCCTGACAGTAGAATCCGCGTAATACAATACAAATCTAACACTTCTAAGCAAATCATTTACCTCCCCCCTCTCTCAACTCACTTACACGCAAGTAAGTCTTATAATACAAAATTCATATTTTGAAAATCATAGCATAATACGAGTATACCAATTGTGTGACTTCCCATTCCCATTCTAATACTTACTTTCACTCTCAACATCAAAGATCAACTACTGAGGAATCGCCCGCTATTTTCTGTAAGTTATCGGTATAGTTCTTGGATTTGTTTAATTCTAGTTATGTTATTTTCTGTTCTATTCTTTGCTGGTGATTTTGATATATGTATATATCATACTACTACTACTAGTAGGCTGGTGTGGTGTGATGTGATTATTGATGGAAATAATAGTGATAATAAGTATTAGATAGATAGATATGTCTTGGAGGTACTCGAGTATTTATGTAAGGATTTTGAATATTGGTTATAATGGTATTGATTACTTTAAATCAGGATTGTAAATGTACTCGAGTATATACTCAGTACAACATACATATTCAACCCCAAAGATAGCTTGAGATATGATCGTACCAGGAAGTTGAGAGTTCTTGTTTCATCTTCAATATCTGTCTGTCTGTTTGTCTGTTGACTCCTGAAATAGCCGATGTTTATTGGAAAGTCTCAAGATATCTACCTAGTATATTTTTAAATTGTTGAGGGCTTAGAGTCAATGGATTCAATAAATCAGTGCAGCTTATTTGAATTCTGGAGTTATTGTTATAGGTTGAAGTACTCGAAAGCATCGAGTTAGGATATCAATATACGAGTAAATGAATATATGATACACATCACTTATACTGCCCCCATCTCTAATCCTCATAAATTCTACACAGCGCTAACATTCCCTTGAAGTTCCTGTAACTTTCCGGGATGGCTGATTTTCTTTTGGGGGGGGGTGGGGGGGTAATATTATTGCTGATGTATGTGTTTACTTTCTCTTCAATTCTACTGTTTTCCCGCTATTTGAGTTGTATACATATTCTTGGTTGAGTTGTATACTGTGTATGTCTCTCTTCAGTATAAATAAATATACAAGTCTAGTTACTTATAAGTTGCCAAAGTTCAGAATTCAGTGATCAAAGCCAGTTAGTTCTCACTACAGGCATCAAAGGGTATTCATATCTCCACGTTGAGACAACCAATACCAATACCAACATCTCAATATCTCCATATCATAGTACTTATATAAACATAGACCCTATAGATAACAAAAAAATCACATTCCAGTTGAGAGATTAGCATTGATTTTCACTGCTCTTTACGAACATGTGTTGAGTTACATAGTCATCTTCTAAGGGAAAGATATCTCTATACTCGTATTGCTTTCCCAAAAACATCAAAGAACATTCTCCTCCACCTTTCTCTTGTCTCAAGATAGTTAATTACATTACTCGAGTACATAACAATAAATCAATCGTAACATTTTCACATCATCATCCACACATCATATTATATCATCACCACCTAGTAACCCCTATTCATCCCCAAAACTAAGACACCACTGGTGTACATCTAATCCTCACCCTCACCCTCATCCTCACATCCACCCCTACTCCCCCAACTATCTCCCATTTAAAACCCCTCCCATTCAAACCCCCACTCACTCACTCATCTCATCTCATCAAATCAAATCAAATCAGACCATTCCTTTCTCTCAGTATCCCTCCCTCAAGACCCTCACCCCACAAATACTTACTACAAACACTTACTGCATCCACTCTTAACATCCCATCCCATCCCATCCCATCCCAATCAAAACTCAAGAATACTCTACAACTTGAACGTACGTGCTCAACTAACAAAAACAACCACTACTCCTGAGTACAGATTTTCCGACAAGTGATTATCGCTAGCGTCGGGGCTTTCCTCGTCTTCTATCTTGCTGTTATATTCCTCTTCCTATATGTCTCCCTGTAATTTAATTCAGTGGTTCACGGTGTTCCTCCTTTCATCCCTCTTATTCCTCTTGCCCCTCTTCCTCTCCCCCTTCTTCCACTTGCACTAGCTAGCTTTTCCCCTCGTACTGCCATCTCCCCCCCTCGTATTTCCACATCCCGCCTCCGCACCCACACCCGCACCAGCACCCTTACCCCCTCTCCATCCCCCTCTCCATCCCCAACCCCATCAACCACCCAAACAGCATAAATCTCCACTTAATCAACATGCAGCCCGCCTCCTTTTCCTTCCACTTTGTTACTCCCAAACCCCAATCCCACATCCCCATCCCAAACTAATCAATCCACCAACATAAATCGTCCCTCCTAATCTCAATCTCCAATCCCAAACTAATCAACCCCCTCCTAGTCCCCATTCCCCAACACCCTCTTCCCTCTTCTCTTCTCTTCCCCCTCAAAGTTCCACACGCGGCGCAATTCATCATTTGTATATAGATACAGATACCGTGATTCAACTAGTTCAATCCAATCCAATCCAAATCAAATCAAATCAAATCAAATCCACCAACTACTCTACCCCAGAAAGATTTCAAATTCAAGAATTGAGTTACCGGTCTGAAGCTCAGAGGCTCAGAGGCTTTGAGTAATAGGGGGGGGTGGGTATTGGGTTGAAATAGTTTTATACCAACAGTTCACATCATACACCTCCATTCACTCTTTATGCATGAAGCTCATCCTATCTCATCTCATCACAACTCACCACTTGTCAAGAATCTCAAACATAAACGCTCCTGTTAATATTGAAAAAAAAAAAATTGTATTTCGATTGATGTTATCGTATCGTGAGCGGACATGGAGCATATAATATCCATTCACCCATGCATTCCGTCGACCAACCAACATGCAAGTCCACTCATAATAATCCCACTATGTAACTACTACCACTACTTACTACTACTACTTCATCATCCACAACGGCTCTTGCTCGCGTTATCCATGACTCCACCTCCACCCGCTCGCTAATAGCAAACATAGGCTTCGATCCAATGCAGAAGGCCACCCCACTACCACGCGTTCCACCCGAAAGAAATCTCCATATCCTGTTCCAATCGAAACATCAAGGCCATTATCATTGAGAGAACACACCGTACCAAGACGAGAAAACCGAATCAAGGATCGGAATGCAAGGTGAGCCGAAAAACACCACAGAGGCTCTAACTTGCAACCCAAAAAAACCATGCCAACCAAATCGAAAGATTGAATTGCCATCCCTAATACAAAATCATGATATGAGAATTTGAACCTCTCCATCTGAATAATGAGCTTAAATATATATTTTTTCCGTAATTGAAATCATGCGAAGAGACGATGATAAAAAGCAACGCTTCAAAAGAGACGCATAAGATAGCCGAAGGCATTAAAAAATACTATAGAGACGTGACTCGCAGATCGTGAATGCAGGCAGTAGCAGATGTAGATGTAGAAAGTCGTTATTGTGTATAGTAGACCACGCCTTGTTGCTGCGGATAATAGAAGCCGTCTGGACTTGGTGTCATCATTCCGCCCATGCCAACTACCCCCCCTACTTGTTGCAAGGGAAATTGTTGAGGTTGCTGATAGCCTGTGAAACTTGGTACAGCTGGGATTTGTGCGGCGTCGTAATAATATACCATTCCATTAACTTCTTGAGCAACCAGGTTTTGAGGTGCTTGTGATGATGAGATTTCGGCGCTCTGTGGGGCTGGTTGATTATATGTTTGTTGTGACTGTTGTTGTTGTGTGGATATGAAAGGAGCTATACCAGCTGCAGAGGCCATAGGTGAATTAAAAGTTTGAGGGTAATAGTATCCTTGAGGAGGCTGCAAAACAGGATAAGTCTGAGGATAAAAGTTGGAAGCTGACGGTTGATAAGGATTGGGTTGAAAAGCTGGTGCGTGAATAGCTCTTTCTGGAATTTGTGATAATGGTGTACCAGTTGAAGCTTGACTTGGATAAGATGGTTGTCGGGAATGTTGGATATTATCGTGCGAGTAACTGTTGCCATTTATTTGAATTGGAACTTGTTGATGAAATGGCTGTTGTGTTTGTTGGGGAGGATTAAATGACATGGATGCGGGTGATTCGATATCGGCTACAGAGACCGTCTTTTGAGGCCGAGGTTGATGCATGGGAATAACATTTGGACGGTTTTCCCGGAGCGTTGGTTTTTGTGGAAGTGGGTAGGTTTGAGGATGTGGAACATTATTGAGAGACGAGATCTGTGGAGATCCATTAACCACTCCAGACTCGAGAGCCTGGAATTGTTGAGGTTGTACAGCTTGACTAGACGGCGGTAATTTTACAACAGGTCTTGATGAATCCATCAACATCTGTGGCCTAGACATAGTTGACCCGCTTGGTGAGATAAGCGCATCTCGATTGACCTCCCGTGCGAGAGACGAGCGACGACTCATGGCAACACTTGGGGTATATGTACTTCCGTAAATGCTTCCACCAAACACGCTTGTACGTCTTGAATAACCACCAACAGATCCAAGGCCACCTCTTCCTCTGCCACGTCCACCAAATCCTTGTTGATTAGGTCGCATAGCTCTTGGGATGAATATAAATGATCGATCGACGGCAGGGAATATGTAACGTGGTGTATGATCAGGTAACGATATTCGTACTGGTTTATCTCGACGAAGTGGTGGTCGGTGATCAGGCAGACGCGTGTATTGCTTCACTGGAGTTCCAGGAAATACCACAGGCTTCTCCATATCTGCAAAGAATACACGGATTGGTACATTTCCAATGTGCTTCGTAGTCGAAAGTGATCGATTGAGCGGTGCAGATTTTGGAGCTGGTGCTGGACCTCTTTGAGGTCCATTTGAAGCTCCATTTGTAGATGCTGGTACGGGTTCCGTTATTACTTCGTGCATGTCGTGTGCCCATTGAACATCAGTAGGTTCCAGAGGTTGTGAGATATGACTGCAAAGTGTCAGTAGATTTTCAAAGACAAAGAGATGATGATGATGATGATATACTTTATAGGTGCATATGGGCCTCCAATACCGGGTCGGCCTCGACCACCTCTGCCCCTTCCAAATGGCCGGAAACCATTTGCCGCAGGTCCAGCATGACGATGATCGTGCATAAAGAATGCTCCTCTGTTCGGCACAAACGCTGGATCCGCATCTCTCTTTTTCTTGTATTCTTCATGTTCTCTCTTTCGTCTTTCGTGGGGTGGTTCTTGCGGTCGATCCATTTGAGCAGTAGACGTGATGATGGCCGGTGAAGGAATATCAGTGGTTTGATCTTCTTGAAAATCCTCGAATTGTACAGCTTCTGCCGGTTCAGAACTTTTTGGACCATTGACCATCATTTCCATATCATTGGTACCATTTGTGAACTTCGAAGCCTCAGTAGTATCATGGCTAGCTTTTGTCTGTCCACCGTTGCGTTCATCTGATTCATTTCCATTCGTTTTGGTTGATCCAGATGGCTCAATAGCCACAGTGCCGCCATCGATAGGTTCGTCTCCCTCGTGTGCATCTTCTTCGTCACTGATTATCGAGCCCTCTGATAAGGAGTCGTCATCCAATTCAGCAATATCTTGAGCTCCTTCCTCATCAGCCTCGTCTTCAACCCGTCTCCGTCTTACGACCAAATCTCTGCGTTGGCGGGAACCCATGTCGAGAGGCTGTTGAACTTATCGGTTGAGCTGCGACGGGGCGATGGGCGATCTTGGGAACGTTGTCTAGGGAAAGAATTCGTGACAGATCATGCAGTGGCAGTGGCGTTCGTTCAAAACAAGTATGATGTAGCGCCCGCGCTCAATGAAAAGTTATCTGCGATAGCGACTGGGATTTACCTCTATGTTTTGATGTAGAGCAAACTGTAAAAGGCGAAACCTGCACACCGAATCGTATCTGTTGTGATTAGAAGAAGGTATGGATGTGGTTGATAGCTCTTTAGGTGTAGAATTAAGCATTAAAGTTTATCAGAGGCTGAAATCCTAAATTGGTTAAGGTTACCTTGAGCTTCGACTTTATTTATTATTATTCGGTGGAAGATTTTGAATATATATACCGATAATGGACTGACTAGATTAGTAAGCACTCCACTAAAGAGATAACTATGGGGACTGGGGGAATAAAATGATAAGTCATAACCAATTAATTTATATCTATTATATTTATATATATATTTACTGTATAGCTACGTAGGTATGTCATTATTGAGAGAATCATTCATCTGTTTCACTCTGTCTATCGTATATGAACTCGAGATTTCTATTGGAGGTTATGGTACTGTACAGTGTACACATCCAGCATAAAGACATGCCTATTTTAGAACATTCTAGGCATAGTCAAACAACGAACGAAGTTGTTGTCAACATGAACACGACAACCAAGCAGGACTGCAGTTCCCCGTCGAGTGCTCGAATCATACTTGGAATAGCATAAGAAGTACTGGTACATTGAGAGAAAGAAAAGGGTTGCGATCTAATAATCCTCGAGTACCGGTATATATCCATCAAATTCTCTGCTTCATATGTAAAGGGGCCACATTTCCAATGTTCATGAAATGAGCGTCACATGTTTGACAATCCGTTAGATTTCTCATCATGCCATCAGATGCTACAATCTTGCTTTTCTATCCAGCTCTGCAAGCTTTCCTATACGTCCAATTTCATCTGTTTCTTTTGGGTGAAAGGAACTTCCCCAGTCGGTATCCCAAGTCACGTGTCGTACCGTTGGAGTATATTGAGGGATCCCGAGCCAGGGCGGCAGTGCCGGTCAAGGTGCTGATCTCATCGTCATCGTTTAATTCTTTCAAAGATAGCTGATTGGTACGTACCCTAGCTTAGGTAGCTCTAGACGTCTCATGAGTTGTAAACCAATGACTACATGATCACATATTATGTATATTTTCCTTTTTGTTTCGTACGAGTATACCGGTGATGAATGAAAGCTCAAGTGATGTAACGCATTGGGTGAATCACCGGTATCATAAACAAAACCTGGAATAAGAAGTAATGTTTTTGATTCTGTGATCATGGTCAGTAATCTCTCTCTGTAAATTGGTTCACATTTGCACGTTTTTCGAACCTTCATTTATACAAGACATCAAAGCAATCACATTCACGTTCACGAGTAGCAATAATATAAAAAGTATTTTTAATGTAGTATTATCGTTACTTTCTTACGGAGAGGCTGATTGATCAATTCAATCGTTCCTCTTTGCCCGTCGTGTGCAAAAGCCATTTCACTCTCTGTGAAACTGGTATGCCGCTCTCTTCATCCCAATACTACGAAGTGAAAGAAAATGTTGCATTGTTACTTTGAGGTATGTCGAGACTGATTGATCTTATAAAATCGTTGCTCCTTAACCGGTTTTGTGTAACTCTATGTGAAACTGTGCAAGAAAATGTCGCGTTTGAAAACTTTAGAAGTAGGAGATGCCAATGCTAATTAGCATGATCATCGGAATATTAGTGACGAGAAAGAACAGAAAAGGACTGAGAACATTTTTTTCTTCAAGATGCTGAGAACCAGAGCCTTTTGAGTAGCACAGCCTTCATGAGTATGATGAGAACTGGCAGAAAAAGGATGAGAGACGTTTTCTTCTTCAAGATGTTGAGAGCCAGAACCTTCACGAGGAAAGGTACCCTTCTAAGAAGCAGAGCTCGCATGATTATGGTTTGAAAGGCCAGAAGAAGGACATGGAACGGGGCATTCTTCCTTTGGCTCTTCATTTTTTCCAATCAGCGCTCCCAAACCCATTACCCTCTTCAACAGTAGCATCGCCACTTTGAACCTCTTCAGTGAATACAGGCTTGATATCATCTGGAGAGAGCAGAGCATGCTCACGGATTTGATGTATGTCCTCCGTGTTACCATGGTAATCCATCATCTGACACAACATTCCAGCGTGAAGTTGACTGTCGAGGTTTTCGCAGTAGTAGAGGACAACGTGCAACCCCCGAAAGCCCTTTCTCCCAGCTCTTTCGCTTCGATTAATGGTGATTTGAAACCCAGCATCGATGCTGATTTTCTCTCTCAAGCCTCCTGGTGGCTCTGCTTGAATGACCAGGTCTACATGGAGATTAATACCAGCACTTAAGCCATCTGTAGCGATGATAACTATAGGTTCTTGAGACGTCTTGGAGGATTGGTTGGTAATGAGCAAGTCGATATTTTCCTGATATTTGACTAAGCCTCCGTGCAATGGAACCAATAGGCGGCCTCTGGAGTCTCTCATATGTCTGGTATGAGGAGTTGGGGCGCCAATATCATTGCGCGCAAAGAAAGCCTGCATGTGCTCTACAGTCTCCTTGGATGAAACAAAGATCACTACACGCTTCACAGCACCATTTGAATGATCGAATGCACTGTCGACAAATTTGGAGATGTGATCGAATTGAGATCGGGCATCCTTGGCAGGACCTTTGATTATGTGAATGGCATGTCGGATCCTACTCGTCGCGTCTCCTCTCAAAGGTTTGTTCTTCAGACCTTCCAATTCGATTTTTATAACATCATCGATTTCGCATAAAGTCATGACACCAGCCATTTCCATTAGATTGAAGGGAGAAATGAGAACAATCATAGGATCGGAATTGTAACATTGGCATTTCATGTATGAGTAGAGTCCGCGTTCACCGGTCAACTCATTATTCCACTTCTCCTGGCGTCTGCCACCTGGCAGGAAGCAATGCGCTTCATCGATCACCAAATGCGTCAGCTTGCTGAGCGATATCATTTTCCGTCGAATAAAGGACATGAGTCTTCCTGGAGTCGCGATGATAATATCGACCTTGCGTTTGCATATATCATCTGCTTGGCCTGAAGCTGAAGGAAAAGAGCCGCAGCAGACTCCTACTTGAATATCTTTCTTCCCCAGACTTGAAGCTTCATCAGAGAGGCATGCACTATAATTCAGGAAATGCTTCGAAACGAGAGGAGCAGTGGCACACAGAACGATGACGCGTGGTTCAACTGGAACAAGTTGTAATGAAACTGCTATTTTCTGCTTGGTAACTCGGTCGTAATCCTTGAACTTGAACCAACGGGATCTTGATGCATTTCGTGAGTCCGTGTAAATGAGACACAAAGCAGTTCTTGATGTGTTTTCTTCATGCTTCTTCTATTGTAGGATTGTATTCAGGACTCCGAGAGTGGACGCAATAGTCTTTCCGGCACCTTGATACTATTAGCTTTGACCTGTAGGGACTTTCAGAGGAAGAGAGACTCACCACTAGGCACACCGATAATAACATGGGATTTTTCCAAGCTCAATCTTGCATCCTCATTTCTATAACGAACGTGAGCATCAAGTGACATACTTTCTACTATCGGGATTTGACAAGGAAGAGGTTGTAATGTTACTATCCCTGAATTTCCCGAGTGTCGTGTGAATTCAACGATCTCAGGTTCGATGTACTCGGAGTCTCAAGTTTTGTTACACATGATGATAAGGTTGGGCAAATTTTTTAGGCAGATCTTGTACTTCTATAAATAATATTAGTGAGATCCAGACTATAATTTGAAAGTTCGTTGAAAAATACCATCATGGGGACCAGCAGTTTTGCCAGCGCTCTCAACCTGTTCGGTCATGTTTTCCGCGTCTACGTGTATAATGTTAGACATAATTCGCAGCCATAGGATCGAAAGTAAGATCGCTGGGGAACAAAGTTGAGGCGGTACCTTTAATGTATGCAGATGGGTAGTTTGGGTCTTCGATCTATCAATTGACGCGTTTGATTTTGATGAAGATCGCAAAGAGTTTGCTCGCAATAAAAGAGGTCAACTTCTCAAGAACAGATAAAGAGTGTAGAATATCTGATCAGAAACTTTCACCAGACGTTGGAAGAAATATAAGTCCAGTGATTGAAATTGGGAAGTTGTCGTTGGAAGGGTTGAAAGATTGGAAGGTAAAAAAAAAGAAAAAAAGAAAAGAGACGGGTTGAAGGTTGAAGGTGGGTGGGAAATCGTTAGCTAGCAAAAGAGGGGTATACATATTCACTTTCAATTTCCTACTGTCTGCCTGTCTCCACGGCGACTGAAGCCGAGACATTTGCTCAATAGTGGAATCTTTGACCAGTGTTCTATTTTCACTTCCCTTTATGAATAACCCGATAGAATCAAAAATACCCTTATTAAGCTCATTCGATCGTCTACTACTGTAGGTCTGGATTGGATTTATTATAAAACATGTATGTAATCTTTGGGTATATCAATAAGTACGCGTTCCTTCACGTACGTCTTATCAATATATGCATGTTTTTCAATGAGCAAGAATAGAATAGCTTCAAAAATGCACGCTTTCAATGGTGGAATGTGAAGGAAGCTGTTTGCATTCTTATTCATATGATACACTTTTTATGCGACCTCGAGTCAATGGACCCTGAACCACTTATGCTTGATCATTAAAAATCTGGTGATCGACTAACGTGTGATTTGTATAGTTTGAAGTGAAGAGAAGTGCGTGCTACCATATTCATGTGTCTACCTAGTTCTATGGGTGTAGAGCCTTGAGCAAATTCACTGGTCTGCAACGAAGAGGGATCATACCGTTTGTTCTGTATAAAGTGGATTAAAGCTGTGCATATGGTCGTCGCAACTGAAGCCTTTAGACCGACTTCTGTTCTTTTACAAACATTATTTTTAGTCAAACAGTTTTATTGATCGTGATCTTGAGATGGTCTTACAGTGCATATTCCCCACAACTTGACAGCTGTATTACTTTTGTGGATGGTTCTTGTATAGGAAAAGCTCAACCGGATATACCGGATATATTTAACAGAGAAAAGTATAGTTATAGATTCAATAATGAAAGATAGTTTTTATTAAATGGGCAGTTTGGAGATTGGAGATGGTCAGGTGGTATAGATTGTGGGTGATATTGCTTTCTATCGATAGAAAGGTGATCTATTGCGCTCTTTTCAACTTCTCCTCCACCTTAAGTTCCTTTCCCTTTCCAACTTTTTCGATTTGTCGAAAAGTTCTATTCTACTTCTCAACCACCATATTTTGCGTCTCAGGTAGATCGACGACTCAAATTTTACTGTCAAAGCAATCATCTAAGCAAGATTTGACGGCTTTCAACTTTCCCATCACCTCAATTTTCATTACCTTTTGGTTTTTCTGCGATCTATCAAGGGTTTCATTTACTTTTCAACAAGCCGTCATACTATTCAACGATCAAATTTCTCCAACCAGATCGATGTCTTCAACAGCACCTTACTGTCAAATCACCCGCGACGGCAAAATGCAGAGATAAGATTCAAATCGCACATGTATATTCAATTTTCCATCTTCATGAAACCTACATTGTGTCCATGTTCTTTTATGGAGTGAAATTTTATTGACATTTCCTTTCAAGGTATAGGAAATACGATGGAGGCAGCTATGGCTGGAGCTTTTTCGTCCCAGAAGATCAGCATGAGCTTAGAAATGGCCACTGGTTCGTCCGAAGGTACTTTCCTCTTAAGCTTCATGTTTAAAAATGAGAATTGAAAAAAGCTGACAAATATCCAGAAGCGCAGATAATCTTGAACATACCAACTGGTCAATAAGGTGAATGTTACTATCATCCGCGGTGGAAAAAGCTCGGTGCACTCACTTGATATTGGAAACCTCATCTCTGAACTTCAAAACGCATCGAAAACAGTTCTCGAGTCTGTACCTCCTTCCCCAGAGAGCAAGACACCGGTAAATCAAAACAAGCAATCTGCCAATATACTCGGCTTTGATTGGGCAGCTGTGAGAGAAAAGGAGAAAGAGGAAGATAGAGTCAATGCGGCTTTGGGAAGACCAGCCAACTGGCGACAATATATAGGAACTGTCAACTCGACGCGACTCAGACTCACACGCGAAGAAGGCAACGTCTCCCTCCCCATCGAAAGGAATCGACGAAGCCCCCAATAGAGACTCAATGGTGGTAGATGTTTTACGCTGAGGTCAAAGATCTAGCTCTCAAACAAAAAAGGTACGCCAGCTCTTGAACATGATCCTACCATCAACGACCTCCAAGATTCATGAGACTAATTACGCTAGATTTAAGACAGCAACGGAGAGATACTTTTACCGCAGACCGGCTCAACTCAACTCGCTACGAAATCCAATTACTCGATGTTGCCCTTACAGCCCTATTTACAATTGTCCTTTCGTTCCCGATATCGCGTCTTCATTGGCCACGCAGCTTTTCTTCACGCATGTGACGTTTCTACTGCAGAGAGCAGCAAGTATGATAAATCCGCATATAGACCTAGGCGTACACACTGAGTTTTCCTTCCTTACCAGCCTTTCTTGAATCAACGTAACAGAAAGCAAGCAGCACTTGGTTCCCCTTGGTACCTCGTGGCGCCTAACATAAGGGGTCCTAGTTAAATACAAAGAGTTCCTCGGTGCACTGGTTCCTTCGCTTGATATGTGAATGTGAACTTGCCAGTAATACGTGTAGATACCAATGACATCGAACCCTCAATCACCAATTCCCGCATGCTTATGCGCCGGAAGATATAGAGTACGGCTCCACGGAGCATATCATGCAAACTTACCCTAGTCTCATCGTATCTCAAACCCACGTGTGGTGTGGCTCGTATGGCTTTGTCCACTCAGATTTCTTAGGTAGTACCACTTTAAACCAAACATTCAGGTATAATATTACAAGGTGCTCCTTTAATAAGCTTTCAAAAGGAGGATTCGAGAAACTAACCCACCAAACTTGTTTCTTATTCTTTTAGGGGTTCAAGCTTATTTGGAGGGTATGATTGGTATGTTTCAGGCCGTTGGACATGAGGAAATAAAGTATGGAAAGGAAAGCGTTGCGCTGTGAAAGAACAGGGTATTCAGGACTCGAGAGTTGTCAAAATGTCAGGAAGGAGTACCTACTTACTTCGTGGCGCAAAGTGTGGCATTTGAACTAGAGTATATCACGTGCTGTAAAAACTACCCCACATCATTCTCATTCATTCTCATTCATTCTCAACTCTCCACTTCTCTTCTTCTCTTCTTCTCTTCTCTTCTCTGTCAACTAGTATATTTCCTGATTCAATTAATTTAACGCGACATAGGAGACACCAATTGGTATCACAAATGTCCGAATTGGACTTTATTCTTCTTGTATTCTACTCTTCCGGGCGGGTATATATGCATCCCCCCTCTCCCTTAATTGCATACGGCGCTGTTTGGAAGATAGTTCTAGGGCTCGAATTCATTTGCTGACACATTCCCCTATCACCAACCACTCCTGACTTTTCTACATCAAACAAAAATCCCATTTGTAATGAAATTGGAAAGGAAAGCAAACGCGGCTATCTGCCAATAGGAAAAATCGAAACGGACATTTGTTTCATCTTGAAATCGGATATCGGACGCAACTAGGCTTATCACCTCGGATACAGTAGTACTGTGTATACATGAAACGAAAAAAGCTAACGTTACTTGGGTACCCGTTAAAGGGAGAACGATGCCGATTGGACTCCCAAAGTAGATCGGTTCAAGAACAAGCATGTTCCATCCGATCGTTTAAACAGCTTTGCGGGGTTGAGAATTTTAGATAGAGCTCATTTCCAAAATTGATTAAGGATTTGGTCGGAGTGGAGTATGTCACTCCACATTTCGAGACTAGTGGACTCAAATAAAGTTAAACCACTCCTTTGGAAACATGAACATCGAGGCCTTGTCATCTCACCTCACGATCTAATACACTTTGACAACATTTCGATTAGTTCGCTTGCCAAAAATCAAAGTGGCCATTCCTGTCATCCCTTTCATCCCCTTTGGTAGATCTTTCTTATAGTGCTTTTGCCTTGATTGAGTGTTGGGCGGTTGGCTAAGTGGCCTAAGTCAGTTAGTTAACACCTCGGTCATAATTTCCAAGAACTTTATTTCGATCAAGGTAGAATATATCCACTCCCTATCAACTCCTTTACCTGCTTTTGAGGAATGAAGCAGAGTATATAAGATGTAAAGTACCTCGATAAATTCTTAGCTTTCTCATCACAGTCTTGTACTTTTCTACATTCTTTTATTCTTGTCGCTTTTTCGCAACTCACATTCATTTTTTCAATTTACATTCCTTCAACATGTATTCCGCAGCTGTGCTTGCAACTTTCTCTTTCCTCCTCGGCGCCGGCGCTCAACAAGTTGGAACTTCAACCGCCGAGACTCACCCCGCCTTGACTATTCAAAGCTGTGCCACCGGTGGAACATGTACCGATGAGGCCGACAGCATTGTCCTCGATGCCAATTGGAGATGGCTTCATTCTACTTCCGGCTCTACCAACTGCTACACTGGCAATACCTGGGATACCACTCTCTGCCCGGATGCTGCAACATGTACCACCAACTGTGCCCTCGATGGTGCTGATTATGAGGGAACATACGGTATCACCTCAACTGGTAACGCCTTGAAGCTTAGCTTCGTTACTGGAAGCAACGTTGGTTCCCGTACATACCTCATGGACTCCGAGACCACCTACAAGGAGTTCGCTCTTTTGGGTAATGAGTTCACCTTCACCGTCGATGTTTCCAAACTTCCTTGCGGTCTTAATGGTGCTCTTTACTTCGTACCCATGGACGCCGACGGAGGGATGTCCAAGTACGCCACCAACAAGGCTGGTGCCGCATACGGTACTGGTTATTGCGATGCCCAATGTCCTCGAGACATGAAGTTCGTCGATGGCACAGTAAGTTTTAATTCATGCCAGTTCGCATTGACTCTCACTAACCTTTTCACTAGGCCAACAACGTCGGATGGGTCGCTGATAGCAACAGTGCTAACTCTGGAACCGGTAACATCGGATCTTGTTGCTCAGAGTTTGATGTCTGGGAAGCCAACTCTATGTCCCAGGCACTTACTCCTCACATCTGCACAGTTGACGAACAAACTTCTTGCACTGGTGATGACTGTGCCGCAAACACTGGTGTCTGTGACGCAGATGGATGCGATTTCAACCCATTCCGTTTGGGTAACACCACCTTCTATGGAAGTGGCATGACCATTGATACTACGAAGGAATTCACTGTTGTCACCCAATTCATTACCGATGACGGAACCTCCACTGGAACCCTTACCGAGATCAAGCGTTTCTACGTTCAAGATGATGTTGTCTATGAACAGCCAAGCTCTGACGTCTCTGGTGTCTCTGGAAACTCCATTACTGATGACTTCTGTACCGCTCAAAAGACCGCTTTCGGAGATACTGATTACTTCAGCAAAAATGGTGGTATGGCTGCCATGGGTAAAAAGATGGCTGGTGGTATGGTTCTTGTCCTCAGTATCTGGGATGATTACAACGTAAACATGCTCTGGCTCGACGGTGACTACCCAACTACTGGTGATGCTTCTACTCCAGGTGTTTCCCGTGGATCTTGCGCTACCACCTCAGGTGTTCCAGCAACAATCGAGGCCGCTTCCGGTTCCGCTTATGTTACCTACTCAAGCATCAAGTACGGACCTATCGGATCCACCTTCAATGCCCCAGCCAATAGCTCTTCCCCCGTTGTCGCAGTTATCGCACCTTCCTCCGCAGCCGCTGTCCCAGTTAGTACTTCATCATCCACCAAGTCCAAATGCAGCAAAATTAGCGCTTCCAGCACCCTCAAGACTTCCGTAGCAGCTTCAACTGGTTCCGTCGCTTTGTACGATAACTGCACTGGTGGAAAGACCTGCTCTGAGGGTACTTGTGTTGCTCAGAATGACTACTACTCCCAGTGTATCTCCGCATAAATGGAGTCATAGACTAGAGAACATGATTGGCTAGGCCAAGTGTCAGGGGGAGACATTGTACACTTTGTGCAAAGTCTGGGTGTTGAGAGTTTTTAAAGTTCATGTTTTTGTAAATATTAGCAATGGTGTATGTAGTATATAGTTTTGGTCGGTTTCGATCATTAAGTTTGGAGAGAACATTGAAATATAATATGTTTCAAATAATTATTATCCCTGCGATTTTGTGAGCTTGTGATTATTGGGTTAATGATTTATGAATTTTGAACTAGTGATATGATACAATAAGACACCTTGTTCAGATAGAGGTAAGATATTCGCACAAGTCTCAATATCGAAAGGATTTTAGATATCAAAAGACTTCAAATATCTAGGTACATGTACCGACCCAGACACAGACATTCTCCGACATACCTATTCAATTGATTAAACATACATTCCTATACCTATTGCTGGACTGGAGAATATCTATCTATCTATTTATCCATATCTTCAATATCCGTGGCGGATTTTGTTTGAAATATATAATGGAGGAGGATATATAATAGGTGAGTTGATGGGGGGTTGATGGGGTATTTGATGGAAAATTTGATAGGGAATTGATGGAGAATTGATAGGGGATAGGAAATAGGAAATATATTGAGAGTGTATTGTATTGTATTGTATTGTATTGTATTGTGTTTTGATTAATTGATTGATTGATGCTTTATTTGATGTTGTGTGTTGAATGAGGGAGTTGGATGAGAGGGGGGGATTATGTAAGCAAACCACAGTGGCTCAAATCATCATATCACGTGTATGTCTCAAGCGGCTAAGAGATCCGGTCTGCGGGGCAGCATCTCACGAATCTTGTCTAAGATCTCTTTAACCCCTCCATGTCTTGTTTCATCATACATCGGTTTATCCATGTTTGTAATATATCTGACGGATATTATTTCTCCACCTTAGATTAAACTTCACTTTGCAAGAAATATTTGAAAGGGATGGATGGGATTAGTCAAAACACTGAAAGGGATACGGACAAGCGGTCCGCTGTGTTTCTAGGGCGGTAAGATGGATGGATATGGATGGGATTTCGGGATTGGTGATTGATTAATGGTTGATGGTTAATGGTTGGTTTGGAGGATTGTGTATACGCCCAAGTACCAGAGATGTAGGTAAGGTTAACTGAATGAAGCCTGGAAATTAGTGAGGGGGGTTTAATAAGGGGGGTTTATTGAAGGCTCAACGGCGAAGCAATTACAGACAGGTAAAGTATCATAACTCTCCTTCTTTTCATCCAAACCCCCTTCATCCAACTTCAACACTCCTATTTACAAATATCACATTCATTCAACATCCAGTTTCGTTTCTTCTAGATCTTTTATCCATGCCAAGCACGGATAAACACATCATAAACATTAGCAAGTGCCCACTTCAACGCATCCAAATCAGATGAACTCAAACCATTTATTATATCTGATACAACACCTCATATCCGGACCGTCCTGCCATAAAAACCATCAATTCCATCTAATTTCCTCATAAATCTTTTGTTATATACCCCAATTATACCATTTGTATTGTTCATCTGATCCTATTCGGCGTTTACTCCATTTACGAATGTCCTAGTTAGGGATTCCTAGCTCTGGGCGGTTAACGATTCCATATTTGATAATGGCACTTTAATTTGGGAAATTGGAGGTATCCAAAAAGTTTCCGAACACCATGGTGCTTAACATGTTTCGTAGCAACTACCTAGGTAGACATTATCAAAATCCCCTTGCGAACAAAACATGCAATTCTCTATAATAAGTTTCGATTCCTTTTATCTTCTGCTTTGTCCTGTGTGCTATTCAGTTCGTTTCACTCTTTTAAACTTTGCTTTCTATTCTATTCTTTACTCTTCGACTCTTTTTCAAACGTTATATATCCAGTGGATATATCAGTAAGATACTTGAAGTATTTACATATTAAAATCAAACACAATGCATTTTTCAAAGAAGGCTCTGGCAGCCCTTATTGGGTCTGTGACTAGCGCGAGTGGTACGATTTTGTGGGATGGCCGATTCGATTCTTCTACCATGGCGGATTTGGAGGCTTGGTCCTTCAGTAATGCTGTTGGTGATTATCAAAATTATATTGTGAGTTTTGTACTTCGTTTTCTAAGTTGGGCGGTATAGATCAAATCTAATAGATAAATAGCATGGCACAGGCAACTTCACCAAATATGTCGCCCTCGACAGCAGCTACAAGAACCCTGCCGATTCTGGATCATCCCTCGGTGCCAAAATCACCCTCGATAGCACCTCATACTGGGAAGGCCAAACCATGCGTCGTACCGAATTGATTCCTCAGACTAGTGCAGCTATCGGCAGCGGAAAAGTCTACTATCATTTCAGTATGATGCATACTGCTACCAACGCACCAAGCATCTACAGAGAACATCAAATATGTTTCTTTGAGAGTCATTTCACTGAGATGAAGAGTGGTTGGATTAGTGGGGAGTCGGGTTCAAGTGATCCGTTGTTGAGATGGGATGTTAGTGCTACTAGTCAATGGAGTACTAACTGGACTGCTGGTGTCTGGCACAACATTGCTTACGGAATTGTACATTTATACTCTTCTTCACTTCTTCTTCACCTACTAACCTACACATCAGGATTTCTCCGCAGGCTCTGTTGAATTTTACCACTCCACCGGCTCCGACGCCCTCACTCTTACCGTCCCAGCAGTCTCGGTCTCCGCCTCTTCTAATGGTGCCGACTGGCACTTGGGAGTTCTCGAACTTCCTGTTACCGGCCAAACCGACGGAACCGAAGATTTTTATTTCTCGGGTGTATATATCGAGAGTGGATCACTTACTACTAATGTTGCCGGACCTGGAGGAGTTGTTTCATCAAGCTCTAGTACTTCTGCAACAACGTCAGTAGAATCTTCCTATATTGCTTCTTCTAGCTCGGTTATTTCTGTCCCTAGCTCGACCGATGTTGTGGAGGTTTCCAGTTTGGAACCCTCTAGTGCGACATCGGTTCAAGCTGTTTCAACTCAGGCTGCTGTATCTGTCTCTTCTTCATGTGCATCTACTATTATTTCGTCTGTCCTTTCAATCGCCTCACCATCCACCAAAAAGTCCTGCACTAAGAAAGTATCCTCGGCAACCTCAATCGCTAGCGTTTCAGCCCAAGCCTCAAGCCCAGCAACCAACAGTATCGTCGAATTCACCTCAATAGCTACTTTAACCTCTGTGAACGTCATTCCCACCACCATCTATGTCATAGCCGGAGGCTCCACATTCACAAGCACCTCCTCAATATCAACAACCTACACCAGCAAATCCGCCATCCTCACCCAATCATCCATAGCCGCGCCCTCCACATTCCTTACTAGCAAAAAGTCCTGCTCCAAGAAATCTTCTACATCCATTTCCGCCATCTTTTCTGTAACAGGAAATGCCAACGTGCTCTCATCCACAGCCCTAACATCTGCATCTAGTACACCTCACACAAGCGTTACTATGACGATTACCCAAACTACTTCAACTACCATTAGTTCTAGTGCAGCGGCGACTTCGACAGGCGGAACGGGCGCGGGTTCCATTGCAAAGTATATGCAGTGTGGAGGGACGGGGTGGACAGGAAGTGGCGCTTGTGTTAGTGGATCTACTTGTACGGTGCAGAATCCTTATTATTCGCAGTGTATTTGAATTAAATATGAGCCCGAGTCTGAGCCTGAATCTAAGCATGCAGAAAACTGTGCAAAGGCTTGAGGTGGGGGAGGAATGAGTGTGGGAATTGGAATTTTGAAGGGAATACCGGTAATGGTTTTGTTCTTTGTATATAGTTTAGTTTAGTTTTGGGTACAGAGAGAGAAAGAGAAGAGAGGGGAGGGAGTCGAACTGAATACTGATAGTTGATTGGTCTGGATACTGAATTAAATACTCGTATTTGTTTACTGTATCAAAAATATTGGATCTAATTACAGACTTACAGTGCAGTGAGTGCACATGTAATTCCGTGACCATTCAAATGCATTTAATTTTGCACAATTTCTCCATGCTACACAGGGTTTTGTTTTTTGATATACTACGAACGAGTACAATCAAATTTGAATATTGAGGGGAGAATTCGAAAATTTGAATTTGAATTTGAAGAGGATTGAAATGTGGAAAATGATTTGTATATTGAGAGTGATTTAAACATTACTCGAGTAAGGTTCATATAAATACAAGAGAAATCTAAGTATTATACTAAAACAATCCTAAATACCACTCATCATCCATGTTATTCTAAAAATCCAATCCTCTCCTCAATATATACTATAAACTCACAAACTCATGAACCCTCAAACCCCAAACCCCAAACCCTAACCCTCAGTCCCCAGTCCCATCAACCCCTCAAACTCCCCTTTCTTTCTTCCACTCTCACCCACCTCAAACATCATCAATCCAATCCAATCCAATCCAATCTATATAATTTCAATCCATTCCAATTTCCACCACCTGTACACCTAAAACATCTAAACAAATATACATCACCTATACAAGTATTACTACAGTACTATAGTACTACGAGTATATAGATAAAATATATTTCCTTCCTTAACCTTGGGTTTATTATACTTAATTAATAATCTTATAAGTCAACTACTCCCCCCTCCCCCCTTCCAGACTATAATATAGTATTCGATTAGATCAGAAATTTTATATAGTATCTTTATATATAAAAGAAAATTGAGTTTTTAATATACAATTAAATTAAAACGCTTTTGTAACTAATTATACTTCAAAAATTATTTCGTTTAGATCTAAATTTCATAATATTATTACTTTTAGATAAGGTACTGTATTATATTTATCTTTTATTCAAGTTGTTTTCGTATACTTAATTAGATTATAATAGTAGTTTATTAGAGTATAAGAATCGCTATATTCTATTATGAAAAGCGATTATTAGATTAAGAATAACGTTATAGCATATATTGAGAACGGGGTTAGATGTTTGTAATAAGATAGATGAATGGTAAGTAGCGGAAGATACTCGAGTAGGTAAGTTGATTTACGACTACTCGAATACATCACATAAAGGAAAGTCAAACATGCACAGAGGGAAAGAACATCATAGGCAAGAAAGTGTTTTAAAATTCATTTTGACATTCTTTAAGAGTACTTGTCCGCAGCCAGGATATCTAGTATCTGTCTCGGGGGTTTGGTGAATGTATTGCGCATATCATGATAATTGTATCATGAAAAATAAAAGGAAATTTGCTATCAAACTAAACATAGGATCCGTTAAAATCGCCCTTGTAGGTCTCCAGGTAATACAAACTGTACCTAAAGGGCCCATTTCGCTTATATACTGCTTGAATATGCCTTCAGCGAATTTAGTACGTTCCTCGGTTGACATGGTACTCCAGTGCTCTAGTAGTGAATCTCCGAGAGACCAATGATCGAAAAACTCCTTTTGTTCTTTCGCCATTGTAATTTCCGAGCTTGACGTGGCAGATGAGATGAAGGAAGCGTTGCTGTACCGAAACTGGAATGGTTTACCACTTCAATAGGTTGCTTGCGAGGAAGTTGAACTGAATACCGCAATGACTGATTGTAATGCTATGAAATGTTAGTTTATTCTCTACATGCATGTGGTCAATAGAGAACTCACTACGGGTTTATTCGGAGAGTAACCGACAAGTGTCCACGCAATGTCTTCATCGTCAGTGTTAACCTTCTTAACATTCTTAATCCGGGACATTGGTGTCTTCTCAGCTCTCGTGGGGACATAATTTTGTACCCTAAGATTGGTAGCAGACGACAAGGTATCTTTGCTACGACACCACCAGCAAGTAGGCTGAGTATCATCTTTGCCAGATTTCTTGGTATCGTTACTATTGAAACAGAAACCAGGAAGATACTCAGCACATGCGAGACATCGGATTGAATCGCCAGTAGTCGTGGGTTTTAAACCTGTCAACTGACGAACAAAACTCTCAAAAGCCAGTTGATAACGACCGTTATTTGAATCTGGGCGATTGAGTTTTTGACAGTATTTATCTTCTTGAGGTTCATTATCGAACTGCGTCAGATGATCGTTGAATTTCGTGGATAGGCGGAGCAATTCCAACGGAAGACGCATAGTGTTGAGAACATTTCCTTCGACATCCTCGTAATGGCCTACTCCGGCGTCTGTCAAGTATGCTCTAACCCGAAGACGTTCTTTGATTCTGGCTTCGGATAACATATTGGCCATGACCATGAGGGGGAGTCGCTTGTACAGGACGGTAAGTGTCAAAGCATTGGAATTGTTATCGAGATCTGCTTCAAGCTTCTTCACCAAATCGAGAAATGATGTGGCGTGAAATTGGGGGATGTGGCCAAGACTTTCGTAAACTGGGAGAGCTTCCATGACAAAGGTGCGCCAGCAGAAATTCTTGCAGCCAGCGACATGTATTTGTTCGGCTTTGTAAAAGTGCTTTGCGAACTCGACCAAAACTGAAACGTCGATTAACGGCGAGTGCCATAAAACCAAACTGTGATATGATGCTGATTCGGGGATGGATTCGATCTGAGATCTGATATCATGCCATGCCATGTCAGCATCACCACTCAACAATGCCTCTTGGCTCAAGACGATGACCTTGATAGTAGTTATGCCTCGTCGGAACTCAGCAATGCCCCACGAAATGTTGTCGGGAAGTAAATTTTGTGCCCAGAGCTGATAAATTGCATTTGGCAGAGATGCACCAGACATGACTTGGTCAAATATCTCCTGTGGGAATACGTTCGCTGCATCCTTGATGATACCTCCAAGTAAAACAGCTTTTGCCGCATTGGACCTCGCAAGAGGCTGAGGTTGAGGTTGAGGTTGAGGTTGAGATGGGGAATTTGCAAGAGGGGGAGATTGAGATTGGTCTTGCTTTTCCTTTTCTCCTTGCTTTAAGCGGTCGAAACTTTCAGGTGAGACAAATTTTTTGTTAGGAAACCGAGGATTTGCTCTGCATTGATTTGTGACTGGATCCCACTGAGGAACGAAAAGATGAGCAGGCAAGGTGTGATTCCTGCCCTGGATGTTGGCTGAGTCCTGCTTATCAGTTGGGTGATCACCGGGGAAAGATTTTAAGAAGGGTGAGATTCAATCCTGTCCTTGAGTTTGTCTCTCTGGGCCAAAAACAGACTCTTGAACAAGCGACAAAGATGGTGAAGCTGGTCTTGATGCTTGTGTGGCCTGAATTGAACCATCAACAGACTCTTGATGGTCAACAACAGATGTATGACCTGAAGCTTGTCTTTGCATTGCTGCTCGTGACGCTAAAATGATTTCATCAAGGTCAAGGGAGAAAGAAGGGCGTTGTGTTTCGATCCTAGTACACGTTAACAGATGATAATTACAACAAATGCATGGTAACTTACGCAATAGTGTCGATTTTTGAAGTAATTTATCGCCCTCATCGTAAAATCCTCCATCTGACCTGAAACCACTGCCATTTCCAATTCTCCACGAAGATCGAAAATGAGTTTATGAAGTGTATCAAATGAGTGGTGATCTCCAGGCAGTCTAGATCGATCCTGTATAAGTTGAAAATTAGTATGGTATAAATAGGACTGATAGTATGACAGTTAAGGCTACTCACAATGGTATGTTGCAGATTTTTAATGAGTCGATTGACCGTGACTAAGTTGTCGTGATTGACGGAGTAGCGTGACAAAAAGGCCTTCCAGCGAGACATGTGCGAACTGGGCGACTCCATCTTGCCTAAGAGTAAAGGAGAGACAAATATTAGTATGTAAACTTTGATGATAAAGCAATTCTTGAATGATGAGGAAGGTTGAAAAGTGTGAAATTACGAAAATAACCCTAAGATCGAAAAGTCCTCACAATGGGAACTTGACAATTCTGCGTGCTGGTGGTAGGAATGACTTACTTATACAGAAAGAAAAATCAGAAAATTGTGTCCCATTCCCTTCCGGTAGTTGAAGATTGATAAAAAGAAGTTTACTTAGGGTTTACGTCGATCTAGATCTTGTCGTAGTGGAAAACAAAAAGATCAAGACAAGTTGCTTTGGCGACGACGATATTACTGTAACGAGAAGACTAAGCCGAAAGTGATTAGGGCTTGGGCAGCGACGGGGCCATACAATTTAGGCATTCACATTCAACATTCAACTTTCAAGGCGCCTCCTCATTTCAAGTTTTATCTGCCACATTTATTTCGCTGATTCTGTCCTACAAACGTGAGGTTTGTCACGTTTCTTACATTCCTTTATAGCTTGGTTCATCGACTATTGTGCAAATCACTTGGATGTCTATGAGGAGATCTACGTTGGGGAGACTTTGACATACAATAAGACGGATGGCCAGAATAGCGTATTTCGTTCACTGTAAATAATGGTGGTTGGGAAGTTGAAAAGCGCGCAATGAATACTCACCTTGTTCCCCTTTCCATTGATTTCTATTTTCAACCTCTCAGGCTCTCACACACTTCAAGAGGATCAGTTTCTACCGAAGTCTATACCACCTGACCACCTCCTGCGCTCTTTGCTATGAAGCGTACGAGACGAGGAAACTTCAGAATGCATATAATTCCTTACAACTTCGGGATTCATTGCCCATACTGCAGGACTTAGTCACCAGTTATAGATTCCAGAGTCACCAAGGAAAATCTGTGATATAAGATCAATCATATCTCCTCGAGTATATGTAGCTACGTTACCAAAATCTCAAGCCGAACTTGGACTCGGATTCTAGTAGCAATATTCGTGTACAAAATCATCAGATAAACAACTCTCGTATACTCCTACATATCCCCTCCCTCTCTACCCTCCCCCCTCACCACCTACCTAGTACAGCATTCTCGCCCCATTCTCGTCCCTACAACATCAATCGATCAACCCATCCATCAACCCATCCATCGAATCAAACCAAACTTCCCATATCTTACATTGCATTCCATGATTCCAATTAAGTAACCTGACGAATCTACCAGCTACTAGCTACAATCTCCATCCATCCATCCATCCAGCCCTTCATCTTCTATTCCGTATCACATCACCAAATACATACATAACAAATCTTCAATCTTCAATCCTCAATTCGATATAATTTATTCCATCACTCTTGCTTGTATGCATGCTGCTTGCTGTACTCAAGTACTGTATGTAGTGTTACAAATACAAATAAGCTCTCGAAACGAAAAACTTATTAGATATGAATTCTTGCTCTTTGGATTTTGCTGTATGCGGATGAACTACTCGGCAACTAGCTAGCTGTAAATCAAATTCATCTATCATCTGTCATCTGTAAGTCCAAATCCAAATCCAAGACTCACTCACATAAATCACCAACACATCCCCAACTCAACACCAAACACTACACCAAACACAACAACCAAAAAAAATGAATCGAGAATTCTCAATTCCATCTGCTATCTACCTATCTACCTAACTATTTAATAATTACACACCAAATTACCTGGTGGGGGTATCTGTCTGTCTGTATGTCCGTCCATCCGTATGATGGAACTGTTCAGTTCATATGTACTCGAGTACTCAGTAAGTAAGCATGCCCACCATTCGAAATCCACCAATCCCAGATCGCACTCAACTTCCGCTATTGAAAACCATGCAAGAAAGCAAATTAAAGAAAAGTGATATCCATCCATTAATCCATCCATCAATCCCATACTCCACCACTATGCATTTTTGACGCCAATCCCATCCAATCCATGTATGCTGTCGATTTACCCCATCCCATCCCATCCCACCCCATAAAACTGCGCAAAAGCGAGACGAGAAACTATGAGTATCTGAAGAAGGAACTCCAAATTTGAAAAAAGGAAAGAAACAAAGAAAATAGAACACCTGAAGCCTTTCATCAAAAAACTTGAGACGTTATGATTCGATGAAGTGGATGCAGGTGAAGCAAATAAGTGTTCAGGAAAAAAAGAAATCAGACTCAATCTGAACCATCCAGTCCGAAATTTTTGAATCTGCAAATCTTTGAAGAAAGTTGGCCGATACTCCTCATCTGATTGAAGCTTCGAGGAGAGTATTGGACGTCAGACGGCGAGGATCAGATTGCCAGAGAGGTGATGCAAGTACTGATTAATTTTATGGACTGATCCGATGTAGAAAGAACCATAATAAAGAACGGAGAAAACAAAGAAGAAACGTGAAGAGTGCAGATGGGTATCATAAAGCCGAAATGCGCCCTTGAACAATCGTCCCAAACCCGAATGGAATCAAAATCAAAAGCTACGATTAGATGTGATCAATATTAATAGACTTAATTGCTTTGATCGTATTGACGACGTCTGATATTCTCATCGAACATCTGATTTCCTCGCATCTGAGGGTTCTGGCCTCGTCTGATATTGGATTGAGAACCTTGTTGAGAGGGGTTGTTGATTTGACCAACTGGGCCTGTAATAGGGCTATTGCCAACGCTACTAGTGGCTGGAGATTGTTGACGGAACTGGCTGCTAGTTGCTGGGGACTGCTGACGGAACTGTTGAGATTGATTAAATTGTTGCTGTTGAGCGAATTGACGACGGCCTTGTTGCATACCATAAGAGCTTTGGCGGACGTTTTGCTGGTGAGACTCATTCAACTGAGTATAACCAGATTGCTGATATTGAGGAGATGAGAACTGAACATTGCTATTATAGTCCTGGGAGGAAGACATAAGATTTGGCTGCATAGCAGTTCGAGGAATCATCATATCCGACTGTGAGCGTTGGTGGGAAGGACGGGAACTACGATTGTGTGTGCCACCCATGCCCATGCCCATTCCCATTCCCATTCCCATGCTGCCATTCATACCAAACCCAGGGCTGCTGGTCTCGAGTTGTTGGAGTTGAGTTTCAACCTGATTTTGATGGATACCCAATGGGCGAGCAACGGGTGCTGCCAATGGTGATTGGTAAACTGATGAGGAACGACCATATTGACGATTTCTCAAAGATTCAAAATCATTATCACCGACTGCCGCCTGATGATTTTCATCAATTCGATCAAAACCAGTGAAGGCAGGTTGGAATGACGTGCGGCGACGCTCAGCTTCTGTAGGAAGTGGTGCGAACTGCATGGATGAGTATTGTGCATTGACGTCGCTCGGGTTTTGACGACGACGCTTTAATGTAGTACTGTACACAGGTACTCCGGTATTTGGGCTTTGAAAGACAACTGGTTGACTCATCCTACGGTCGGATCCTCCAGGGGTGCTAGAGTTTCGAGTCTTCATAGCGCCAACGCCGAGGGATTGAGAGCGCTTGTGGCCTGCAGTTGATACCTTTCGCTTGGCATAACCCTTTGGGGACTTTGGCTCTTCTTGATCAATGGTGATGTTTGGGAGGATTTCCACATCAGGGAAACACGGCAAGAGATCATCGAGAACCTCTTGATGGAGGCGATTGAAAATCTCGAGAATCTGTTCAGTAGTGTAACCCGATCCAATCACATGCAGAAGCCAATCCGGAACAGCAGTTGGTGGACGCGGAGGAGCATCATCGTCACCCTCATCCTCATCATCAAAAGCAGAGGCACGTCTCTTTCGACCGGAACCCTTCAGCTCATCCAAACGCTTTTGCTCACGCTTTCTGATAGCAATTCCCCAATCTTGGATAGTGCCAGGTTCTCCCCGACGTTGATTCTGTTGAGACCAGTCGTGGACACGACGAATCTGCTGTTGTACCAAGTCACATTGCAACTTGGCATACTCCTTTGGATTGCGATAACGGCTGCGTTGGTAATGCTTGCGACAATAGTGAACCCAAACAGATTGCGGAATCAATCGAGTGCACATCTTATTTCGACCGAATATATGTGAGATGGCTTTGCGAGGTTGCGAACCGGTGTCACAATTAGGGATATACATACATTCCGGAGGTTTCTCAGCGTTGTCATCTACGGCAGGTGGTGTAGCTGGATCTCCCTCAGCATCCTCGTCCTCGTCATCTTCTGGAGATGGGAGATTTCTAGTACGAGTCGAGTTCGGAGGAGTGGGACCGGCGGAATTAGCAGCAGCTCTACCTGGTCGACGCAGAACTGGTGCAGATATGTTTCGTTTATGCAATGTAGGTTGCATAGCAGGAAAGCTGTAATCGACAGGAGCGCTGCGATCATGACTGATACTTAGTTGATGTTAGTTGAGTTGATAAGTTGATGGTATAGATAACATCAGGAATAAAAGATTTGAGACCAATGAATATTGTATGAAAGGGAAACTTACTTCTCTGAATCAAACTCATTGTCACTGGTATCGGTAGTCAAATGAGGTAAATCAGGACGTCTGATAAGCATTGCATCGCTAGGTGAACCAGGGCGACGATCAGATTCTCTGACAGATTCAATAGAGTCAATCATCAAAGGTCTTGGAGCAGAAGCATCAACACTTTGAGATCTAGCATCATTGTTCTCAGGAGAAGAACGAGATGACTCTTGCTGAGATGACTCTTGCTCGGCCACAGTTGCCAAAGCATCCAAATTATCAGTCGGTTTGGAAACCATAATGTTACGTCTTTTGATGTGGTGTGGGGAAGTTGGGGCGGAGTGCGACTCGATCTTATCTTGAGGAATGAAAGAAGAGTAAGAAGAACAATTTAAATCTGTAGAGTTTTCCACCAAAGAGTTGCAATAGCTGTGATTAAAACTGGTAGGATAACTGCTGTTGACTGTACTTAGGGAAGAAAATCTGGAGTGATTGGAAGCAGATGTTGTAGTTGAGTTGGCTGTTGAGGTAAAGGAAGATAAACTACTTCGACTATCCGAAAATTTGTGATGAGGTGACCTTTCCGAATCCATCCCGTGTGAATCAGAGCAGTGAATTTTATTATGATTCGCTATACTCGGCTCATTTCCTGCTGTACCGAGTTCTCCAATATTTATCGTATGATTTGATGTGTTGATGGTGATGGGTAGTGAATAGCCACCTGCATCCCATGGAGTTCGAATTCTTGAAGGTAATACGAATCTCTCTCTCTCTCCTTGACGCTTTTGCTGCTCAGCAGCGACACTGCTCGAATTCAATAATGATGTTACATCCATCTTGAAATGAATAAAGCTCTCCGAACTTTAAATGAATAATTCCTCCGCGCTGCAGGGTGTTGTTCTGTCTTTCATGCAAGTCTTCTGGCACTCGATATTCCTTTCTCCAATGCTTTGCAAAGTTGCGCAAAGGGTTTGAATCAGTAATAATCTTTGTCGATTCGATCGATATAAGAACTGTCTGATGCTTTCGATGGCCTTTCAATCCAGAAGAAGGTCGAGGATATGTGGCATTAAAGTATATTGAGTGTTGTAGGTTGTTTCAGAACCCGATTTAACTAGAGAACTTGACTGGCAAGGACTCTTCCTAGTTCAGACTGACTTTGATAGAATGATACTGTATAAAAATAGTGGTGATAGTCCCAAGTACTCTTGCGAATTGACAAGGCTAAACTAGTTCATGGATCGATGTCCGACAATGCATTGACCTTACAGGACACGTTCGAAACAACTATTATGAAGCTTGGTGTATCGTTGATATCGTCCAAACACCCGACCTGACGGAACTGACTTGCGGATCTCTTGAAGCCAGGAGGAAACAATGAGACAATACTATCTCTTCCAATCTTGTCGAAACGTTGAAGTTTTACAGCTTGGACAGTAGCTGACTGCTTCTTCGAAGGTTCGATATATCAGACAATGCGAAAATTTTGGACAATGATTAGATCCTCAAGTATCCATCCTTATCCTTTGATCTTTTGAGTTTCTGTTGAATTGCTGTTAACTGTTGACTTTATCGAGGGCATTAAGAATCGGAATATACTTGGTGTTGAGATGATTTAACAAACAAAATTGATTTCGAAGTCAGGCGAATAAGTGGTCAGAAAAGATAGGATGAAGCCAAGAACGATGATTGACACTACTAAGAATGAAGTAGGGCTACTTCGGGTATGCGCGACCGGATGATCGTGAGGAAACAACAGAGAAAGAGGCAACTGGCGGCGACCGACATAAACCCAAGTAGTACTGTAAAGACATTGGATGTTGGATGTGAAGCAAGGTCAGTGAGTAGTGGAGATCCAATCCGAGGGCTGGAAGTGGTGAACTTGCATGAGTGGCATTGAGTGCATTGAGTTCACTAGCAAAACGGGACTTTGTCCAGTGTTTGATGTTAAGATTCCCCACACTCTTTACTCTTGTTATACATCTAATCCATGCTGACTGGGTAGGCTAGCTCAACTGGGTCCCATCTTCGGAGCCTTGTCGATAGTAGTTCAAGGATCTTTTGGTCGAGTTTTGTCTGTTTATGGGTGAACCCATAGCCCTTGTGCTCGGTAGGGAATTTTAGACCCATGCATAGTGGCCGTGTGGCAGTGTGGTCCGCCATGTTTCGAGATTTCCCTTAGATGGGGATCATCATCTGAACACTTGGATCTTCCTCACCCGGGTTATGGTGAATCACAATTGATACAACACACGATTGACCCCAATGCTCCACACAAGCTACTTTGAGAAGCTGATGCGAGGAATTAAAGTGTGGAACATATGGAGTAGAATCAATCACGGAGTTGACTTGGCCAATGTTTCCGTAGTTCAGTCAAAAGATACATTTGTTGAATATGCATGATTCAAGATTCAAGAACCCATCAAACAAATTCCCTTTGTTCTAGAATGACATGTTTGATCTCAAGGCTAGTGGTCGATTTCGGAAACTCGTTCAATCGTTCAAATTGACTGGTTTCTGACCAGTGAGCTCACGGACAGATGCAGGTCGGTAGTCTGAGTGCATCGGCTCTTACTACTGTAGTTACAGGAGGGTAGAGACTAGGTGGTGGTGGTGGAGGCCTTTCAAACCTGGTGCAAGCTTGTGCAGATGAAGAAAGCAATCGAAATAATCAGATATCTCAATATGTTTTTGTTTTTCCCCGTTTCTCTTTCACAACAAAGGACGAAATTACACCAAACTCGGGTGTGGTGCGGGTGTTTTGCCTGGTCGCTCTGATTTTTGCTAGTAGTTTAGATGGTGGGTTGGATAGATCATGGAGGTTTGGTTCTATGCCTGCAGCCACGCGGGAGCAGAATGTACCTTCGTATAAAGAGCTGTAAGGGGAGAATGTACATGAGGCTGACCTATGAATAAGTTGTTTTGCCATCGTGACTATGCTGTGGCACCATAGATGACAGCTGCAGAAGGGTTATTTGCATGGCCAAAGTACTTACGGGAAGTGAGTAAGTTTTCTACTCATGTTCATAAGACGCATATCCAATCCTCTCTCAAATCAGATGGATTTTTTATTCTCGCTGTGTTCAGCTCGTGCTTCTGCTTAGTATAAGTTTGTGCTATTGCTTGCCAACACATCCATCAATAACACAATGCGTACGGAGGAAAGCATCTATTCTGTATACAAGACAGTACATACATACATACATACATACATACAGACATACGTATCGAAGATGGCTGGGATCCATGACTACTTCCTTTATTTTCTTCGATTTGGTACATTACATCTAGATAATTGAATTTTTTGAGATAAAGACATGCGTCGTCAGATAGTGGTACCATGTCGTCACTCACTCTGGATGGAATCGCTTCGGAGAATAGTTGCATTCAAGGGTTGAGGGTGACTAGATGAATGAAGCCAATTCGTAGATAGAGTGAAGTGTTGAATTGAGTGAAAGATGTTTTAAAAAAAGAAAAGAAATAGAGTTATCCTGCCGTTCCAATTAATTACGATTGGTCAAAACTCATGATTAGTGACCGAGCTTTCGTTTCATATTCTACTAGGATGCTGCATCACCCAGACTTACTAGGTCGGACGCTTTTACGCTTTTTAAGTTCAAGCTAAACCACGAGAGGGAACTAATTTCACTATTATACCAATTTAATCTTAAATATAATCCCGATATGGTAATAGATACACGTTTAGGACCGTTAGGACCGCCAACTTTTGAGTCTCGAATCTTTTTTACCAGTAATCACATAAACACATGATGTCCCACGTTTTATGCCTTCTTCTTTTACTACCATTGTACTTCTTCTCCCGCGGATCGCCTTGATGCTTGAAAAGAGATCTCCAAGGGGTAATTTGTTGAGGGGGTCGGAGAGAGAGAAAGAAAAACACAAGACGACATGTCCTCATACTGTATGTACTACTCCTCGTCAGGAAAATATATCACAGCACAGACACGAGCTTTCAGAATATGCCATCCGAGAATTAAAACTTGTTGTACAGACAATCCCTAGGTGCTTTGGCTTATGCAGCTCAGTTTCTGTATTGTATCCGAACAATAATGGTACTTACTGTACTGCTGAGAATGATACAGGATCTAGTATCTAGCTACACTATTACACTGCTACACTGCAACAGGATGATTAGTAAAGTGGCTGTGTATTATTCCAAACTTCAGATTCATTGTAAAGTCTACCCTCATCTGATTCGTGAATCGTGGTCATGATATATTCTCTGACGTGAGATGGAACAATTGGGGAGATCAAACAAATTAAATGCCCGTGCTTCTATATTGGGCGTTGAGATCACACCCTTTCCCACATACCCTGAAGCAGATCGGTTCTTTCTTCAGAATCTTTCATCCGAAGTATTCTTCACATGTCTACTCACCCACTCACCCACCTAATACCTACCTACACAGCTAACACCTATCCGTAGGACCTCCGGAGCTTGCTGTCAGCACAGCACTGCAAACACTCCTCAGTTATATCTGCATATCCTCAAGAAGCGATTGGTCGGATCTCTTCGGACCATGTCCTACCCTGGGCGCCCGGTAAGAATCTTTTTTATGCAGTACAGGGGGGGAAACTTAAGGTGTTAGGAAGGTTGCACCAAGCCATTCCGTGTACCGTGTACCTTCCCCTCCTGTCAAATTCTAATACTTCAACGGTATCAATCGAAAATTCAATTTGAAATACTCTCACGACGTCTACATGAACATCTCAACTTTTTACAGAGCTATTTCAGGTTCTTGGTAGACAATACCTAGGCATTGTACTGTATGTCTCAAGGCTCTATGCTCCGAATACCGGAACAGGCAGCTTTAGAGTGCGGTTGAAGCATGCCGTCAAGTGTTGTGTCATGTCATCCCAAGGTTATTTAGAGTAGCACGGTACATACAATCACCGGAACTGGAGATAAACAATTTATGATTTCGAGAAGAGGGCATAGGTCCTCCTTGTCAAATTGCATCATTTTCTGACAAAAACCTCCATATATTTGAACGCATATGTATACTATCACTCCAGATATAGCACTTTCTACAGTATCTTGGTCCGGACTAGAAGTCGGAGTATCTCATTGGTCGGGTGGAATCTTTTTCAATGCCTAGGTCAACATCTATTCCCATCCCATTTCAACACCACTCTATTTATCTCAGGAAGCTCCAAATTGCCAAGATATCCAACCAATTGAGTTGATGTCATGATACGATGCCGTTGTTAGATCTACAGTATGATCTGTAGTGCATGGCGCTTCATCCAAAGTCTTTTTCAATCTTGAGATGAAGTGGAGTCCCATCAGAATCTCAAGTGGGTATGTCTCACTACCTTACTTTGCCCTCGGCTCCTTGCCCATTACATCTCATAGAAGCTTATGATGGATCATTGTGCTCAATTATCGATGTACGACACATGTCCCTCACCTACGCCGAGCGAATCCCCCTGCCACCTCTAAGTAGCTTGTTACCTCGAAATCAGAAAAGTTAGACATGGACTAGAGCTTCAAGTTGATACATAAATGTTCTAATTGAAGAATGCAACGCTTCAAGGCCGAGATTTCTTCTGTCAACCCTTCCCCATAGCTGCTTTACAAAGCCACCTTTTGCCATAGAATGTTAGTGCAAAAGACTAGATAATGGATCTTGAATATTTTCTCCGTTGCTTTATACTGCATGAACTACTCAGAGAGTAAGAAATCTAGCAAGGGGCCTTCTGACCCAACTGCGTTCATAATGTATGGTCGATAGAGGAGGTTCTCTCTTCCATTTCCTTCCCTTTGATTCGTCTCAAAGATACTAATGATACCCAATGACCAAGTATGATGCAGATCTGATTGTATTCGGAAGTCTCTGGATTGCACTACTGATTATTTTATCCGAACTTGTTGTCAGTCTTTTCTTCAATCAAACCATCTATTATTGTTGATGATCAAGCTCCGAGGAACTACATAATCCAATGAATTCAGCAGATGTATGTCTCATGGCTCATGCATTTTGATCATCCCAATTCTACGATAAACATGTTACCAAGGTTTCTATGATGGCTGGGAAAGGGGTTTGCATGGAAGTTTCACAACCTCGAGTGACTGACAGCTCGTTCTCTAGCTATCCAATAGTCAAAGGCTATATAACACTTCACATCCTCAATCGTACTCCGGTAACCACATTATACATGCTTGTTTATCGCCCCCAATTCGCGCATGCTCACTTTCGCAAGCAATCCTCCGTCAGTCATATGTACTTTTCGGAAAAAGCTCTCAATACATGGGAAGATGACAGAAGTCGTACTACACCAATACCACTGCAACCCTACCACTACCCACGCTTGACCTCCTTCTTCACCGCTTAAAAGCATTGCGTATATCTTAAAACAGCTCAATGGTCCGCGTACCTCACATGCATACAGCCCTACATTATAGCTCTTTTCACGGTCCCGCGGGTCGCAGGCCGCATTTCTTGTTTTGCCTACGTTTGCCTTACAGATCGACACCTTCCGGACATCCATAAATAGCATGCTACTCGCTTGCTTCTTCACAAATGGTCCGGCATTCGAGACATCCATCTCAAACCTTCAGCGTCTGTTTAGTACCCGAGTTCCAACCTTACAAACGGTTGGCGTTTACTGGGTTCTCCCTTATCAAAAGTTTCCGGATGGATTCAACCCTAAAACTTATGATGTATCGCATAAGCTTAAAACCCTTCTATTGTTGTTATCTTTGCGCATATCATTTCCAATCTTTCTGCCATTTTTTCAGAGGATTAATCGAGTCTTCTCATCAATCCATCTTAAGTATTGTGTCGTTGCCTGTTGGAATATATTTTAGGGGTTGGATAGAGCATTCGCCAAGTCTATCCTACATAAGCCGATAAACATATACGCATATGCAAACGTACACATCATTCTCAGGTGTTTTTTTACTGGGTGGTCTAGGATAGTATGTCTTGGACACGCACTAAGCTAGACTTGGATGCTCGCGACAGTGATATCTCAAAGTCCACCTTCATGAATGTACTTTCTCGCTCAACGCCTGCCAAATTGAGTATTTCACCTCCCACAACTTGTCTTAACTCACTCATCCATGATGCCTCCTTAAATAAAAACAGTCCATCAAGCTCAAATTCGTAAGAATCTCGAAAGCCTGTGGCAGCTTCGTATATCTCTCAAAATGGCTACCATGCATTCTCTTCTTAGTCATTCTCATCATATACATCTCATCCTTTACACGTTATATCATATCGTGTCATATTATATCCCACCAGGCCACGTCAACAATATAATACTTTACTTCACCATAAGAGCGATTACAGAATACTATTACATATATTACCGACCACCACTCCACCCCACTCCACCTTCTACGTTATCAATCCTCACCTGTGTATTACAACCACAACCACAACCATATCCTCCTATCCCATCACATCTCCTTGGTCTCTTAGTCCTTACCTTGCCCCTCAATTATCAACCCCTCATCACTCTCACTCTCACTCAGCCCCCTAAAACCGGAACCACCCTCACACCCCCATCCTATGCCATTCTATCCTATCCCATCCCATCCTATCCCATCCCATCCAATCCCAAGAGCCCATTTTCTTACACGCATACAAGTTACAACTCGATTTATGTTTCAGCTGAAGCCACCAAGTCTTCAGTGTTCACTATCCACACACAACCAATCCTTTGGGACCAATCACATCCGATTCTCGGTTTTTAAGGAGTATTCCCTTACGTTTCGGATTAGAAATCTGAAAAGCCATCAAGCTTCAGCGATCGAGGGTTGCCGTATTAGATTTTAGTTTACTTGTGGATGGGGGAGAGAACCCTAGGTAGTACCTATACTTGTTGTTGAGTTCTACTTTTGGGCCAATCAAATATATGTTCTGTTTTCGAATCGAGTGGGAAATCTGGTTTCTTACTTATGCTCAAGTTGTATCTTTCTCGAAATTCGCTGTGTTCATATATAATATACAGACACAATCATCATGATACATTCATATTTTCAATGGATTGTATACCGGTATTTATCGCCATCCATCTCTCCTGTTACCTTAAGCTCTAGCATTCAATCTTCATTCAGAACATCCATCCATCCATCCATCCATTGATATCCTACAATCCATCCATAAACCAAGCAAGCAAACCGGCTACATAACTCACCCCAACCAATCATGTCATGTCATATCATATCATACCCCTCCTGCTTTCTACTCATTCACAGCCGCGGGGAATACAATCCTGCCGCCCCCAAGAAAGCTCCCAAGAAAGCTAGCTTGCCGAATCCTTCATCGCGATCGCCAACGTTTAATAAGTTAGTAAAGGTAACCCATATCCTTATCTTTATCCATTCGATTCATTCACATGCACGCTATCGAATGAATTCTTTTCCTTCCAACATCTTCCTTTCTTTCCTTGTCTCTCTAGAGTAATATCAACGAATACCGGTAGATGAATAGATATCACCTAGTCTCATCTACATATATATATCTTTCTCTTCTAATCACTTCCACTGACTCACATATATTTCCCATGGTTTCTTCCTCTTATTATACTCGTACCTTATTACCTATTGTACCTTACGCATAAGATAAGATTACTTGAATATTTTGATAAATGTAACCTAAGCTTCCTTCCTTCCTTCCTTCCTTCCTTCCTTCCTTCCTTCCTTCCTTCCTTCCTTCCTTCTATTCCCGCACACCCACTTATTTCTACTCACTATCTCTCCATCCCATCCCATCCCATCCCATTCTATCCCATCTCAGTCCACCCTAACTTTCTTTACGGCAAAATACGACATCAGCACGACGCACGGTAAGGAAAGGTTAGCTAGTAGGTTTCCCTACCGTAATCGTGCTATGCCTAGGTAGTCGTGGGGAGATATAACAATGATGCTGTTGATATAGACATATCCTTCCTTTTATTCCCATTTCCTCCTTTTTGTTCATTTATATACCTAGGTAGTAGTTCCGCGATTCTTGGGTCTATACTGTATACAGTACCTAGGTATACTATGTTTTGCATCTCACTTCTTGTATCTTATCTCATTCTACGAGTATTATCTTATATTGTACTCGAGTAAATCATTCAAACTGAAACTTAAACTTAGATTCGATGGAACATAGTATATCTTATTAAGTAGTTAGTAACTCCTCGAGTATCATAACAGATCAAATCAAGTTATTCTTTGTTCTGTATCTGTATCTGTATCTGTATTTGTATTTGAATCTTTATTTGTATCGCATCATGTATGTGTAAGACTCGAGCTATTGGTATAATACATTTCTTCCTCCTTCCATCCTCATCCTCATCTCCATCTCCATTCCCATTCCCATTCCCATTCTCAAAAGCACGTATCTATCTATTCCACTCCACTCCACTCCACCACCACCATCACAACCAAATGCAATCAAACATTCGCACCGGCCTAGGCAGCACGACACATAGTGACACAAGTACCCGCCCCTCTATCTTCCATGATTTCGTCCTCGCCCGGCCGTCCATTCGCCCACCCCACTCTCACATAAACACTCCATCCGTCCTGCCATCCATCCACCGACCAATCAACTCCCCTGATAATACAAAACAACCCTAACCCCTCCACTCCACTCCACTCACACGAGTAGAAGATCCCGAAAAACAAAAGAAAAGAAAAGAAAACTTGCAAAGAAGAGAAAAACGTAAAGGGGCAAAAACCAGTACTGAAATCTCGCATGTGGTTTTTACCATTACTATTTGGTGCGCATCGCATCGCATCGCATCGCATTGAAAAGGTATTGTAATAGTACAAACGATCTGTCGGGCAGAATCGAAAAATGCGAATAAAAGGTACTGACTGTATACCGCAAATTGTATTGTAAAACGAAGTCGAAGCGTTTGATCGTCGTTAAAAAAGGAATTTACATGCCTCTTCATTTCATCCCGAAACGCCATCCAATGTCATGCTATGCTGTTGACTCGCAAGAAGTTGAAGAAAAAGTTCATCGTTCATATGCCATATTGCAACTCTTAATATCGATCTCGTCCACCTCCACTCATACCCTGATCTTCAGGCTCATGAGAATAAGTACAAGCTGTACCCTTGGCACATTTACCCTCTCCCCAAAATTTGCATGGTTGTTTCTTGCCCTTGTAATTCCCATTTTCGTCCAATGGTTCCCATTTCGAATCTCTCTTCCACTCTGAGTTGTTCTTCCATTCTGAACCATTCTTCCTCTTCCAAACATCATTATATTGATTGCTTTTGGTTCGAGATTCCCGATGTTCATCATTTTGATAGCTGGAAGCCCATTGTTGTGATTGAGCACTATCATTGGGAGTGGTAGGTGCATAGCCTTGGAGTGCAGGATTATTGGACCAGGCGCTGAAGTCAAATTGTTGAGGAGTTGAAGATGAATTACTATCAACATTGGTGTTATTGTTGTTTCCAGTCAAACCCGCAAGATACTGTTGAAGTTGAACTTGTTGATTGACGTCGGGAACAGCTCCTTGATAATTCATAATCGGCTGGTTTAGTTGTGGTTGATAACTTTGCATTTGAGGAATCGGCATAGCAGGTACCATTGGTGGTGCGGGTGGCGCCTGAGGAGCTTGAAGTTGGGCAAACAATCTCTCTTCTGCGGCATTAGGGTAATCCTTATTGTAACCAACCCACCAATCATTCTTCGAAGTTTCATTCATCCATTCAGGTGGCTCGGTGGCTGGATATGGTTTGCATTTCAACGTTGCGACAATACGTTGCAAGTTATCCCATGCTGCTGCATCCATGCTAGGCTTGGATTGTGGTGCTCCAGCAATTTGTTGTAATGTTGAAGAAACTTCATTTGAAGATGAAGCATTTTGTGAGAAACCGCGTGCTTGGTTGTCACGTAATTCTTTGTACTTTCTTTCTTCAAGACGACCAATTGCAAGGGTACGTGCATATTCTGGACCATACTGATGAATGTCATGGAGTCGCTGTATCAACCAAGGAGTATTTGGGTACTTCAATTGTCTTGCCATAGCATTAGCGGCGTCATTTGCAGCAGATGGTTCTTTCGCAGATGGTGGAATTTCTGAAGGATCAGTATAGATAACAAGTAACTCGTTGGCCTCTCGTCGCTCTTGTACCTGTTGCTCCGGGGTAACAAATTTGACATTTCCGCCTCTGGTGATATAACTTGGACCGTATGTTGTATTTTTATCAAGGTTTGAAAGGTCGACTTGGACCAAAGTAGGATAAGGTCGATCTTCAATCGTAGCAGACATAGGTTCATCATCCTCGTCATCTGCAACTTTAACACGTTGCTTGTGCATCATACCTTCGGAGTGATTGTTATGCGCATCTCTCAACATGTTATCTTGTCGTCCCTCATCTTCTGCCACCTCGTGTTTGAACAGACGAATCTGCGCAAGCTCATCATCTGGCTTAAATTTGACTCTAAGGTGTCGTCGGCTTTCTTTTCGCTCACGGCGTTTCTTCTCCTCTGGCGTCTCTGGAGGTCCTACCGCCGGTGCAGCCTTCTTCGGTGGCTCAGGGGGCTTCTCGATGCTGGCCAAGATATCCCCTAATCTGGATGAAATTGGTGGGGATGGTTCCTTCTTCTTAGGTGGCGCAATCTTTGGAGCAGGCTTTGGATTTGGCTTAGAGGAGATGCCAAGAAGGTTAGTAGATCTCTTAGGTATTGGAGGCAATTTTGGTGTCGAAGTAGGGGTGCCGGAAACATCAGTAGCAAACTTTTTGTTTGATTTGCCATTGTTGCTGTTTCCCTCATAAGGTCTCTTCGAACTTGGATTAGTCGCTGTGGGCTTTATGATTTCAGCAGTTCGAGATTTAATTTGTTCTATCTTTTCAAGCTTCTTCTTAGTCTCTTCAACGCTAGCCAGTGTCTTCTCTACATTAGAAGCCTTTTTCTTTGCATCGGTTGTGCTCTCCATTATAATTCTAATGTAATTTTTGATTTCCTGGTCTCCTTTCTTATTCCAACGCTTCGCGATAGCATCAAATTTACTCTTCTTAAGCAACTCCTCGGTGAGTGTTTGAAATTTGGCAAGTAAAGCGAATATAGCTCGTGGAAGTTTACCAAGATAGTCATCTGATTTCGTACATTCGATGAGTGTGGCTGTCAGACTACTTACCAACTTCTGGTGACCACCAAGATTTTCGACAATTGGACCGTAGCCAAGCTTGTTTGCTGCCTCAATCGTTTGGTACAAAGCATCGGTTTGCTCGCCTTGGAGATTCTTGAGTCTTTGTAATTGTGCTTCGGGAGCTTTGGACTTGGTTGCTTCGTCAATCTTTGCTGCAACATCCTTGATTTGGGTTCGAAGTGCGATAATAGTATTGGCATAATCGTTCATAGCACTTGTAATAGCCGCCGCACTTGGACTGGAGTTGGGGTCCTTCCAGATGATACCTATAGCATCCCATCGGGCAGCATTAGGAGTATCAGTGGGACGTATGAGCTCACGAACCTGTATAAAATTACCGTTAGCATTTGGTTTAGTGGTATTTGCGACTCATCAAACACTGATTGCAAGATCAACAACGTCGAAAGAAGTATGCGAGAGGGCCAACATAAATGATTTATGATGCATGGAAATAATTCACAGAGAATGTGTCAATTATAGTTTTGTGGAACGGTAACAACAGATGCATGCCATGCGCATAATACAGATCGATCACATTCAGGCACCGTTGAGAAAGGGGGAGGATTTGTACTTACGGTACTGATATCTATTGGAGGTGGCATCTCTTCGTCCTCGTCATCTTCATAATCAGACTCTTCTTCCGAACTTGATTCTTCCTCAGAAGAACTTGATTCTATGGGTGTTGAAGGAGACTTGGTTGGTGTGTTTGTCCCATCAGCACGTATGTTGAGATCTTTATCAAATGCCGAACGGCCAGTGCCTTTGTAAGTACTAACGTGTGCTTTCTTTCTCTTGGGGACGCGAATTTTCTGTGAAACATTTGCCGGTGTTGAGATTTCTAACCGATATATCAATAACGAGGTAAACAAACATGACCAATGATACTCACTTGATTTGGTTAATCCCACTACAAGCTCTTTTCCACTTCTTGATTTTCTCGGGTGAAATTTCGGAATGGTGTCTACGTCAGAGAGTTTAGCAAAACTTCCATATTAGAAAGAACAAAAGAATTAGGGTATACTGACTTTTCAGTCCCGGAGCCACTTGTACAGGCATATCTTCCCATGAAACAAATGGAGCATATGGAAATCGAAGTCGTGAAGAAGTATTGTTCGCAACGAGATTGGGATGAGTGACTCGAAGTGTGTTTGCCGGAGCAATGTGTCGGTATTCAGGAATCATCTCTCGCTGACGCGGAGCAGCAGCAGCAAGCGCCGCGAGAGATTGTTTGTCCTCAAGCGGGGTATATTTCTTCACCTCCTCCTTTAAACCAGGATCTGTGGTAACTGGAGAATACCGCACAGTATTGTTGGGCACGTTCTGGGCCTTTTTCTGTGGCAAAACACCATTCTGAGGTTGATTGAAGAAATGGTTATCATTGCTTTGTCTCTGGCCATAATTATAATCAGGTTTACCTCCAATTCCACTATTTGATCGTTGAAAAGTGGCCGATACGATCCCATTATTCAATTGCTGTTGAGCCAACATGTTGTACTGAAGAGTTTGAGGAGAAACTGTAGGATGTTGGGTCGCACTTTCTTGATAGGGAAAAGAACCTTGGGTTCCATGGTAGGTGTTTGATTCTTGCATAGAAGGATCAAGATTGTAAGAGGTAGGACCGAACAAGTCTGATGGTCTGGCATGTTGGTACTGAGCAGCATATGCCGGATTATTCGAGTATGATAGCGAATTGTATGAGGGTTGTTGATGAGAGAGATCATACTGATGTCCATAAGAAGGTTGATTAGCCGAATATCTAGCATATGGATCTGATTGTATATGCTGCTGTTGAGCTTGTTGCTGTTGCTGAGGTTGTGATTGCTGAGGTTGAAATCCGTATTCATCTGCTGTATTCGGCCAGACAGGAGCATTGTTCAGTAGACCATCAAAATCAACATCGTCTTGCATGTAGCCATGATTATCGGGATCCATCTTAAACCGTGGAATCAAGAAACAGGTCACGTCACGTGTGTGATATATCTCGGGAAGATGCGCTTAAATGCGGGCCGTTATTGCTGAGAGAGAGGGATAACTGTAGATCGGGGCGTGTCAGGAAAAAAGAAGGTGGTGTGTCTCGAAAGAAAAAAGACTGGGTGTGCAGAATTATCGGCTAATCGTTTCAAGATAAAGTGGATGATTTGATATCGTTTTATTGGTAAGCTAAACGAAAAACATGAATTAGCTCTCAAATAACATGAAAGAATGAAAAGATTCCCCGATGTATCTTGCTTGATGGTGTGTGAGGTTAGGTGAGGTAAAGGTGCAAAGTGGGAATGTGACCAAAGGAAAGTAAAGAAATGATAATTTGGTGGGCAAGGTAGAATATTGAATATTGTATGTGTGTGTGTATGCATTCTTTGCAATCTGCACTCTCTTGTAATATATGTAGTGATCGACTGAGGGGATTTGGGGATCTGGGGATCTTGATGAATAAATGGCTTCCGACAATAAAACTCTCACTCATCCACAGTCTTCACTGTAAATGATGATTGAAGGATGAATTCTGGGTCATTATCAGTGTGTGATGTTCTATGAAAGTACCCTTGATTTGAGTACATTCAGCAGTTCAATCACACACTTTTCTTTAACACCAGAAGCTAAACAGCCAAGAGATACTATTGTTAAGGAGTACAGTACAGTACAGTCCAATCCAGTCCAGCACAGCCAGGTTCTAGATATATATAAGTATACCCTCTCTGCAACAATGATATAGATACGAGATATTCCTATTGAAAGTATCTTTTCTCTTTTCACTGTGCTATACGATACGGGTAACTTATTATATCACAACCTTGCATGTTGATATGCGGTCCCTTCCGACCTCTATATGCGAAAGCAAAAGCGTAAAAGCTCTATGTCTAAGCAGATTGAGGTTTCTTTGGGGGTGCAATACAATTTTTGTAGGGGGGAAAGGGGGTAAGAATGTAGATGTAAATGTAGATAATTTTGCCAGCTTCAATTGCATGGCGTATCAAGAGTGTTGTGTGTGTATTAAGGTGTCACCGTACCCTTTTTTGAATTCTTTGCTGCTTGCGCTCTCAAGACTTTTTCCCTTTTTCTTCCTCTAAAGTTATGCTCTTAGGAGCGAACCAGCAGCCTTTTGTTTTTGGTCAATCCGGTCACTTTTTGTTCAATAATTAATTTGTACGATCATATGTTCTGATTAGACGTCGCGGCCATCATAAAACCATCAAAGAGAATTTGTAAATGGGCAATTGATGAAGTTGGGGAAGAGTTTGGGAATTGAGAAAGGTCGAAAAGTACGAAAATGACGATTGTTGAGGTTGTTGAGGTGTTGTTGTTGATTATATTGAGGAACAGGAACGAGAAATTGAAGGAACGAAGAATTGGGAGAAAGAAGATGAATGGGTCCTTAAGTTCCTTAGTTCGCCTGCCAGATGTTTCGTGGTAGGCCGCCATGTACAGCACCCGTACCGGTACTATCTTTAATAACGCTAATCATTTTGGGTTAGGTTCACTATTATTGGATAACCCAGGTAACCCTCCATTCACTCTGATATTCACTCGAGAAACCTCAGTTTGGGAATAAGCTACCTATATCGCAAAGTCGCAAATGTGTCCTTGAGAGAAGGCAATGATCTTATAATTTTCTTGATCTTTATCTACTTCTATTATTGCGCAACTTGTTATTACATGATATATTTTAGGTAATTTGGCTGAACTTCAGCCTTTCAAATCAATGACAAAGATGGCAACTTCTCACAACTCACTCCGGGATCGTCAGATCAGTATGTAAATATAACCGAATGCCCCAGGTTTCCCAACATAGCTATGTACTAACCATTTCCTTTATAGGATCAATCGAACGCATGCTAAACTTGAATCATGACTCTCCCGAATCTGCGAATGCCCACGATCAACATTCACACACTGGAATTGCAGTTCCATCCGTGCCGATTCTGAATGAAGATGGAGAACCAATATGGAAGGTCTTGGTTTTCGATGACTTAGGGCGAGATGTTATAAGTAGTGTACTACGAGTTAGTGACTTAAGGGCATGGGGAGTTACAATGCATATGTATGTTCATGTGCGAGCAAACAAGAGCTTCAATGTTACTTCAGAAGTACTGACGAAGTTAGGCATATATCAGCAAATCGTCACCCTATTCCAGATGTACCTGTACTATACTTGGTTGAACCTACCGAAGCCAATCTAAAGGGCATCACAAGTGATCTCTCGAGAGGTCTCTATTCCCCGGCCTACATTAATTTTCTATCCTCAATACCCCGCGCATTACTGGAAGCTTTCGCAAAACAAACTGCGGAAGCTGGAACATCAGAGAACATTGCTCAATTCTTCGATCAATATCTGAATTTCATTGTGGGAGAACCGGATCTGTTTAGTCTTGGGATGAGAAAAGAGAATACATACTGGGCATTAAACAGCGCAAAGACAAAGGATGAGGAGTTAGACAATGTGGTTGATAGGATCGTGAGCGGACTATTCAGTGTTATGGTTACAATGGGTAAGGCATTTGGTATATGTGTGTTTGAGTTTAGCTAACATCTAGTAGGGGTCATGCCAATAATTCGATGTCCTCCTGGTGCAGCCGCAGAAATGATTTCTGCTAAACTCGATCGAAAGTTACGAGACCACATCCTAAATTCAAAAGACAATCTTTTCTCCGCACCAAGCAATCGACAATCAACTACTGCGCCTTCTTCTCGACCTGTTCTTATTATCCTTGATCGAAATGTTGATTTAATACCTATGCTGTCGCATTCTTGGACATATCAGTCACTCGTACACGATGTTCTCAAGATGAAGTTAAATCGAATTACCGTCGAGACACCAATAGATGAGGAGAATCCAGCAAAGGGTACAACTAAAAAGGCTTACGATTTGACTGCAAATGACTTCTTTTGGGCGAAAAATTCTGCTGTACCATTTCCACAGGTAGCTGAAGATATTGATGCAGAATTGATGCGATATAAGGCCGATGCAAACGATATAACGAAGAAGACTGGAGCTTCTTCCATAGAAGACCTTCAAAACGATACGAGTGCTTCAGCACAACATCTGAAAGCCGCCATTACCTTACTTCCCGAATTGAGAGAGCGAAAAGCTGTGCTCGATATGCACATGAATATATTAGCTGGACTTTTGAACGGCATAAAGGACCGACAGTTGGACAACTATTACCAAATGGAGGAAACTATCATGAAGCAGACGAAAGCACAAATGCTTGAGGTCATAAACGATCCAGATAAAGGCAAAGAGCCAACTGACAAATTGAGGTTATTCATCATATGGTACTTGAGTACCGAGCAAGAAATTACAAGAGCAGAGATGGATAATTTTGAAGAGTCATTGAAAACCGCAGGTGCTGATACTACATCTCTAGCATACGTTAAACAGTAGGTTTCCGTCCCCTTCTTTTGTTCGGATAACTTGAACTAACAATTGCCTCAGAGTTCGCACCACAACCCGCATGACTATGCTCACTACAGCCCCTACACCCGCTTCTCAACCATCAAGCACATCCGGCGACCTTTTCCGGGGTTTCTCTTCCATTTCTTCCCGCCTTACCACATCCCTCAAGGAAACCGGCATCACCACCAATTTTGATAATATCATTTCCGGGGTGAAGAACTTCCTGCCCGCAAACCGTGATCTTACCGTTACGAAAATTACAGAATCGATCATGGATCCCTCATCAGCTTCTAGCTCCGCCATCGCAAAGACGGAAGATTACCTCTACTTTGACCCTAGATCCGCAAATACAAGAGGTACCGTACCTCCGGCAAGTGTCAGCAGAAGAAATGAAATGCCAGGGGGTCTGCAAGGACCGGGTATCACACCTAGTTTTGGGATGCGCAGACAAGGATTTAGTGAGGCGATTGTCTTTACGGTTGGTGGGGGGAGTATGGATGAATATGGTAATTTGCAAGAGTGGACGAGGAGGATTAATAAGGAGGGCGGGGGTGGAGGAAGCGGGATGGGGAAAAGGAGGGTGGTTTATGGAAGTACGGAGTTGGTTAATGCAGAGGAGTTTCTGAGTGGGGAGTTGGGAATGCTAGGTGGTGAATGTTCGTAGGTGTACTAAGTAGATATATGGAAAGGGGAGAAAATCGAAATTTCAAAGTATGGAAATGAGAGGTGGATGATAGGAATAGTTGTAGAGTAAGATATTGAATGGGAGGGATATCGGTCATCTCCATCATTATTGGTAAATATCTACCGTCTAGTGATTATCTCATCTCCCACTACCTAATAACTCACTTCTATACTTCTATATTCTAAAGCTTTATTATAATCTTATATTGTATGATTCGTATCGGGGGTATAAAAGTAATCTGTTTCTATATAAGAATTATACTCGTACGATTTCCATCTTTTCTAAATATACTTCTTATTCGAGTCTTCTTGTTTTATATATATATATATTATTATATACTCTCTTCTACTCGAGTATACTTTTCGATACTTCTTCTATTAATTATACTGAGTATCTATCTCTCTTATATCTTATCTTCTTTTTTAAACTTTTTAAAACTTATCTATTATTTATTACTTAGTACTAGTACTCTATATATTACTTTATAATAATTTTTCGAATATATTTAAGCGAAAATACTATATTTAGGATCTATCGAGTATAGTATTTATTATACTAATATTATTGTAGTTTATATAAAAGCAATAAAGAGAATAAATAATAAAAGTAAATAGAGTATATTGATATATATCGATATATAAAATACTAATATTATAAAATTACTAAAAGCCTATTCGATATCTAGTTAATAAAGTTAATTTATTTATTTACTAATATAAAGTTAAAAGATCTATAAATATATATTTATTCATTTTAAATTATTATTCAATATTTAAATAATAGAATATAATTATATTCAGATATTAATATTATAAATAAATGTATAAGCTATAGATATCTTTTTTTTTACTAAAATTTATTAATATTCTATATATAATATAGAGATATCGATATATAATTAGATAATATATTTTAGACTCGAAATTCTATAGATTTAATAAATTGAAATAAAGATCTATAATGATTATAGAAATCTTTTAAGAATTTAATCACTTTTTGTTTTCTATTAAAAAATATTAGTAATAAGAGATTATTCGATTTGCTTTCTATTTAAAAAGATTTAACTATTTATAGTAGTACTAAAATAGCTTATAGGTTTACCAATGTGGGGTACACAGTTCACATAGTCCTCATTGGCTGGTTTAGATTTTTTTAGCTAAACACATGTGATTTGATTATTTATTGTAATCACGTAACACTAACAAAACGCTAATCGCGGGGCATGAGCCCCATCATTTGCCAGCTAGTGGGGTCACCCACGATCAGTACCCAAAAAGAAAAAGAAAAGAACACATAATGATTCTTTGACTACTAAAGAAAACAAGTGGAAAACCCGACACAGAAGACTATAAATACCAACGCAAGAAGACTTTACTCTGAAGCAAATTTACTTTTTGTTTTCGTCAATTGATTCAAAACTTCGACTTCGACGTGATTGCATTGAAATCGAGCTTCCGACAACCAAATTAAGGAGATTCAGCAAACATAAAGATGGCGACAGTTGTACTTGGTGCCCAATGGGTATGTGCATTCTGCGAAGATCTGCGGAGATAAAATACTAATGTGCGAGTGTTAGGGTGACGAGGGAAAGGTATGGCGCATTGAGTGAAGAGATTCTGTGTCCTAAGAACTTAACTGAGGCTGGATTAGGGGAAACTGGTCGATGTTCTCTGCAACGACGAACTGAGATTGTGCTGCCGTGCACAGGTGAGTCTACCTACATCTGCTTTTTTTGGACCATATCTGACAGAACACCACAGGGCGGAAACAATGCAGGGTAAATCGATGAGACGTAAGAGACCGGGGCAACACTTTGACTGACACTATCAGGCATACAATCGTAGCGAATGGAGTGACATAGTGAGTCTATCTGGGGGACCTTATTATCCTAGGAACTCGATTCGAAGTTATTCCGGACATTAGCTGAGATTTCGAACAGCGACTTTCACATTTTACCTAGCGGTCTCCTCAATCCAGAATGCCAGAATCTTATTGGAAGTGGATGTGTGGTCCACATTCCGGGCCTTCTCAACGAGCTTGCCGCCATCGAGGACAAAATCCCGAACGCCAGGAAGAGACTGTTGATCAGTGACAGATGCCAGTAGGTTTTATATTTTCTGAGATGATGGGATATACCTGACTATGAATTAAGTGTCGTCCTTGACCTCCATCAGAAGTTAGATGGACTCGAAGAGGCTGAACTTGGTGGTGGTAAAATCGGTACTACCGGCAAAGGTAATAATATCTTGGCTTTATATTCAGGATGCCTTTTTCTGATGAACCCTAGGAATTGGTCCTTGTTACTCTACAAAGATGGCCAGAAGTGGTGTCAGAGTTGCTGATATCTTCCGGGAGAGCTTATTTGAAGAGAAGGTTCGAAACATGGCCGCGGGTGCCAAGAAGAGATTTGGAGACTTATTGCAGTACGACGTCGAGGAAGAGCTTATTAGATTTAAGGTATTGCTGTTGACCCAAATTTTATCCTACCTTTGTTAACATTTTTCCAGACCTACAGAGCTGAATTGGCTGATATGGTTGTTGACCAACTACCTCTGCTTGTCGATGCCCAGAAAAACAACGCCCACATGTTAATTGAGGGCGCGAATGCTATCATGTTGGACATCGATGCTGGTACATATCCTTTCGTGACAAGCTCAAACACAGGCCTCGGTGGTATCTTCACTGGTCTCAGTGGCTTAAACCCAACCAAAGTCAAGAACATTTACGGAGTGGTCAAAGCCTATACTACACGTGTTGGTGGTGGTCCATTCCCAACAGAAGATTTAGGAGAGGCTGGTACCACTTTACAAGAAGTTGGTAGAGAATTTGGTGTCACGACAGGTCGTCGGAGAAGATGTGGATGGCTGGATCTAGTTGTTGTCAAGTACTCGACGGCTATTAACAGTTACACTGCCATCAACCTCACAAAGCTCGACATTCTTGATTCGTTCTCCGAAATCAAGGTCGCAGTCGCATATCTTGATCCCGCTACTGGCGAGAGATTAGATTCATTCCCTGCCGACCTCGAAAGACTGGAGACACTCGAGCCAGAGTACGTTACACTACCAGGTTGGAACAAGCCAACCACTGGTTGTCGCACCTACTACGATCTTCCACCTGCATGTCGCAAATACTGCGAGTTTATTGAGAAGGAAGTCGGCGTTCCAATCAAGTTCATTGGCGTTGGTGAGTAATTTTTTGTCCATGTCCTAGCACGAATTCACTAATATAAATACGACAGGCCCATCGAGAGATGACATGATCACGAAATAGATCACAGAATCACGAGCACGATGTCTTCGTCTATGATATTTGGGGCGTCCTCCGGATGCGGCCAAGTCTTCTCATGATAACGATTACATAATAATTTATCAACCAATCATATTACAATATTCTGAAAACTATATCCTTTCCGCCTTTTCCACCCCTCCGCATGAAGAGCGCATCTCTTGCACAAAACCCGAATACCCTCAATTTCCAATTCGTATAATATCTTCCCGGAAACACTCCACCAAAAATTTCAAGGATCCTGGTGGTAATACCATAGACCAGCTTATTCATTGTATCGTCATCCAAATTAAGGCCTAAGGTCAAAATGGCCTTGTTGATGGCTATTCTAACGATGGCGAAGGCAATAACGGTAAGGCCGAAAAGAATAAGATTCGCGTTGTCCATTTTTCCTTCGTACAATTAGATTAAGCTTCGCGCGAAGGGGGGGGTGGATGTACTGTACGAGGAGGTGGAGTCTTCGTGCAAGTATGGTTGTGATGATTGTATCGTGCGAAAGGCCTTCCTGGTTCGTACGGTTAGCATATTAACGTTGGAAGGGGTGATGGTGAAGGGGCTGTACAAACCTTTTGACTACCGTGAATATGGATGGGGTAGGAATTGAGGTTTTGAAGAGAGATGGGAGGGCTCATATGCCCCGCGCTGGCATGGCAGCGCGACCTTGTTTACGCCAGTGAGATTAATAGGCATCAAGTGGTGCTTCAAGGAATACACTGTAATAAGAGCCCGTTTGGTGTCCAGTTGACGGTGTTGATCAACACTAATATAGAGCAAAAAGATCTGCAAATTCGTATCCACCTTATAGAATACTATTTGATATCTAGTTGATAGAATATTATTCTATTCAAATCATTATTTCGAGTTCAGGCACAATGATAATAGATTATTTTCATTATCAAAATTCGTATTATCAAATCTCAATAAATTTGAATGGAATTTTGTATAATATTAGTTCTTTAATATTAGATTTAGATTATTTACTATATCAAATTTTATCAAATTTTATAAAGAATTAAACTAGTAATCCTTGCTTATTTTGATTTTTGCGTACTATCCCTCTAGGCTTTAGAACCCCGCCGAGTATATCTAGCTAGGAACCTAAAATAATATATTAATATATTAATTATTATGATAAATAATGTGAAAATTGATAAATATATTTATTAAGTTATTATTACTCGCGGTGCCCACAAACCTCGATGCAATATCGGTACTCATACTCATACTGATAACAAAAACACCACATCATGATCTCACCAGATAATAGAATAGAATACAATACTCGTAGAAGATATTTATTGTACTCGAGTATTACCCTCCCTCTCTCTCATAAGACTTATCATCGCTACCCACCACGCACCATTCATCGTTAATATCACTCGAGTAGAATATTGTTTTACTCGTATGAATACCTTAATTTCTATTTCCCTTATGTATTCCCTTGTATTTTCCCTTGTGTTTCCTCTTCGTTTCGACTACTTTATTTTACCGTGACTCCCTCACTCTACGAGACTATGATCCATAACCATATCCATAACCACGTCCACCCCCCACCAACCCCAATAACTTTGCAAAATCTGGTGTTCCTAATCCAGTTACTGGATCCCATCCCTTGCTACATCATCAAATCAATTATTAGTCATCAGTCATCTGTCAATAATCCCCATCCTCATCCTCAAACCCATCCATAACCACACACCAATCCATCCTTCCCAAGAAAAAAAAAGAAACTCACGTAGCATTCCAACTAGCCCAAGGCACAAACGGAGTCGGCAACCCCGAATACTGATCAATACCCGTACACCCGGTACTACCACCGTGCACTACATCATTAAGACCCTGTTTGCCAATCGAGTAGAGCCATGGGTTAAGGAAACCGAGAGGTTTGCGACCTGCGTTTAGACGGGCGTTGTTGAGGAGGGAGATGATTCCTGCGAAGGCTGGGGAGGAAGCACTGTGAAAAGGGGTGGGGGTTAGACTTAGGAAGGGAGAGGAAAGGAAAGGAAGGAAGACAAAGGGAGAGGAAAGTTACCTTGTTCCTGAACCGAGAGTATCTGTTGGTACGCCGGTGATGGGGTCGACCTCCCTATTATTCTAATTAGTATCTAGCACCCGAAGCTTTTACGCCCTACCACAAAAGACACAAAGAAATACTCACGTAATATGAAACCTAACGCCCTGAGCCGCCACATCGGGAAAGCCTCTCCCATGAGGATTATAAAGACCCTTCCACCTATCCCCCAAAATCTTCAAATACCCCTTCACTGCATCATCCTGATACGAAGGTCTGGCCCATCGATCACTAAACCCACCCGACGAGAAAGAAACCGCGGATTCCGGCTCGACATATCGTGTTGCTCCTACCGAAGTCACATACGGACACGCTGCTGGGAAAATGGGGAGAAAGCGTGTGGTGTTTTTGCCATCGTTGGTTTGGCATGCGGATCCAACCCCTGTGTCTCCGGATGAGAAGAGGATGGATACACCTCTTAATCCTAGTTGACCGAACATTTTGCAGACAGTTTTGGAATAGGCTTCGGGAACGGATTGTTCGTCTTCGCCATATGAAGTTGTGATTGTTTGAGGTAATTCGTTGTTTGGTAGACTCAACATGTAGGTGAGGTAATCCAAATACGGTTCATTTTGATTGTTGTCCAGTGATGGTTGATCAAGATCCGGAATGAGATCTCCTAGTCCGCCTGTGCTATAGTAGGTAATGTTAGTCTCAAAGCCTATGGAAGCCACATACTGAATATCCAAATTTGCTTCGCCATCATTAAGCGTTGAGTTTTGTGTGTCCAAACCTCCGTTAATGAGAGCATAAGAAAAGTTCTGTGAAGTAGCATATGGAGCATATCTCTCCAGAAACGCGTCTAGAGCTTCGTATTTTGCCCACTGATTCAAATATCCGGCGACTCCTAGACGTGACTCAGGGTTGGCTTTGGCTGTATAGTTACCAATATTGTAGAGATCTCGGAGACATTGAGGAGTAGTTGTTACATTGCAGGCAGTAGTATTGAGCGATGGTAACGCAGCAGCTGCGAAGTCCTCACGGAAGAGTTGACTACGCTGTGCTTCCATTTGGCCAAATCTGGTTGTGGGTTGAACCATTGTAATGTGACTAGAGATTTCCTGTGGAACCGAATAACTCAATGTTCGAATCTGCTTGCTTCTCTTCTTATCTTGATGAACGTAATAATGGAAAGTAGCATTTAACATCTGTTCCGCTTGCTGAACCGAAGTACGAAAGTTGATCCATTCTCCATCATTGACGATGTTTGACTCCGAGATACCAGATTTCTCCAGCCAGGAAAGAACGGCATGAGTAGATTCATCGGCTGGCTTGATGAATCTTTTGAGTTCCTCACGATCAAGATGTTGACCATACTCGTTGTGATCAGGGGTCGAAACAGCAAAAAGTTTCTGCTCGAAGAGTTCATGATCAGGCTGTTCCAAAGCGATCCGAAGCTTGATTGTCTTGAATGGACGAGGCTTTTCAAGTCGAATCCAACCTTGTGGTATTTCACGAAGTGATTCTAGGAGCTCCATAGAAGACTCACATGCAGCAAAGCTACATATTGCTAAGCCAGAAAGCACGCGAGAGAGCTTCATCTTGGATCTGAGAAGGTGATATGTTAGCTATATTCTAATCTAATATTGTAGTAATGGTCATACTCACGAGTTTGAGACCGCGGATAAACTATGAAGGCTTATCAGGGAGGGAAACCAAAGATAGATCAACGATGTTGATTGCACTTGCACGAAAGAGAACTGATCAAGGACCTAGGGATGGGGATGGGGTTAAACTTTGTAGTCGATTACTTTGTATTGATTGCCTTCCCGTTCGGCATAGCAGAAGAGGGGTAGAAGGGAAATTACCGTTATCTCATTCACCTCATGTAAGCCAAGATGAAGATGTGAAGTATATCTTACAAAAGAGGCAGGTGCTATCGGCTGGAATAGCTTGGTCAAATGGTGCCATCCGTCGCCATCAAAGAATCAATTGAGTCTATGAGGTTGGAATTCACTGAACCTCATATTCTTTCACTTTGGTATTGAATGCAGCGCCTCCTCATTCTGATTTTCTTTTGTTATGCCACCTCGTGAGAGATAGCATAAAAAGGAGATGCAAAGAAAGGCAAGTGCAGTCAGTCAATATCATCAGCTCAGCTTAAACTTCGACTTGGCTTGCATTTCGGAATGATATGAACATGCACTTGTATCATGTCCTGCGTTATTTACTCGAAGTGCAGCCGACTTGAAGTTGTACAACCAACCTCTTTACCATCCTAATTCGGAAATATCCCGCCTTATCCCAACACAATGCCTTGGTATTTGTACACCATCCCTTGAATATATGCAGGTAACCCGATGTTGTGATTGGATATTGAATTTATCAGCCTTGGCTATCATTTTGGGTTCATTGATAGATTGGGCCTTTTGGCCCTATGCCTGCATCTAATGAAATGCATCAAGGTACGACGGACTATCGAATTCGAAGCTTCGTGGATTAATCAAAAGCTCTATTACTTGATGTTTCATTGAACAATGGGATGTTTGATAGAAATTGTCATTTTATCAAGAAGTGACAATCAAAATAAAGATGTCGGCATCGGAAAATCCGTTTCGGGACCAATGGGTGAGCGGGTGGCTGCAGATCACCAAATCAAATTCTTCTCCAGACTACTAGTAGTAGTAGGTAGGTACTCGATAACTTTTGATATCTACCAACTCAACTTAAGAACATTAAAAAGTTCCCTACTCGAGTATAACTGTATCAAGATGTCGACAGAAAATATCTCAGTCCTATTTGTTTGTTTAGGAAACATTTGTCGATCGACAATGGCGGAGGGAATCTTCAGCTCAATGATTTCCAAGGGTCCATACGCATCCTTGATATCTAATGTCGATTCATGCGGTACGTTTCATCACGGACAAAATTTCCCTTGAGCTATATATCTCGATATTGATATTTGGATCAAGGAACTGCGGCTTATCATACTGGATCTTCCCCGGATTCTCGTACTATGGCGACACTGAAGGATAATGGAATTAGTGATTATAAGCACAAGGCTCGAAAGGTAATCTTACATTGATACTTTATGTGTGGCTTGATGAAACGGAGTTCTTTTGTTGATATGATATGATATTGATGTGTCGTTTCTAGGTTTCGGTGAACGATTTCAGGAATTTTGATTATATCTTTGCGATGGATAGGGATAATCTTGAGGATCTTTTGTCGTTGGGGAGGAGAACTGAAGGTAAGGCAAAGGTTATGTTGTTTGGGGAGTATGCGGGAGGTTCTGACCCGGAGGAGGTGGATGATCCTTATTATGGTGGGAATGATGGGTTCAAGGCGGCTTATGAACAGTGTACGAGGTTTTCTGAGAATTTCTTGAAGACGACTTTTCCGGATGTTGAGAAATGAAGGAAGTTTGATGTTTTCAATGTAGGCATGGATCGATAGATGGATATAGGTCACGGTTATATGAATACCCATGAATTTATGATGGGAGTCCGTCTACTGGTGGAAGGTATAAATTGACTTCTTGTGAAGCTTCACTACCACAATGACATGCATCAAGAAATAGCTACCTGTCAAGATAATTTACATGTCACGAAATGTCGATAAGCATCCTCCCATCAAAGTATGGGGACGGACAAATATATGTCTATATAGAAGTTTCTAAGCCAGAAAGACGAATAGCAACAGCTTCTCGAGAGTCAAGTTGCCAATGAGTCCAAGGCTTTGAAACTTTCCATATACTCGTATATGACATGGCTATGCTACAATGAAGCAAACCCAACATGAACGATATCCAACGGGGCTGGATATCCTTCGAATCACGAACCTCGAATATAGCAAACAGGCAACTACAGTACTTTGTTTGTATGAAAGAGCACTGCCAACATTCATCAGCTGAATTGAACATTAGATTTTCGTTATCATAACTTGTACTCGTAATCTTTCTGACCTTTCCCTCTTACTGAAAGAGTACAAGAACGCGAATCAATTAGTATATCTCAGCAAGGCGAAGTTCCACATATTGAGAGTCAAGCATGAATATGACGATGTTGAAACAGATGAACTCGATGTTATCGAATCGTACATACTAACTAGGTCTTGCTTGGTATACTGTAGTATGGATGCATGGATACAACTTTACTCAGCCTCAACATATCTATATACCTAGGCTTATCATGATCAAAGCAATCGATTCGACTTCTCGAGGTAAGGTGTTAGCTAAATTGTTAGATTAGCTTCCAAGTTCTCACACATCTCCCAAGTACCGACAGCAGCACCTTTTGGCACAGCCTCATCTGTGCTTTCAAAGGGGAAGGAAGGCTATGTATAATATATGAAAAGAAAGATGAGGTTTGATTGGTTGAATGGAGGATTGATGTCTTGCTGCGGTTTGTCTTGTTGTAGTAGTAATTAAGAGTGCAAGGTGTTTTTAGTGAGGTTTCTATTTTGAGAATTTGGTTTACTGTACGTACTGTAAACTTTGGAGTAGCGAGTGATTATTTTTCGTATTAGTATACGTATATACTGTACTGCTGATTTGACAAAGAGATCCTATGAGCCACTAAGGATTGCAGCTTTCAAATGTAATATATACAAATAGATGATTGTTATAATCTTTGTACTACTTCATACCGGTATATGAGTATTATAATAATAATAATAATAATAATAATAGTACATTACAATAAGTCTCCCCAAGACCCTTTCACGACTCATGAGCCAAATCATCAGCTACATATCATTATTTCTTTGGGGCTCCGTGCTATCCAAACTCACCCGCTATCTCTCTATCTGATGAATTTGAAACTTTGAAAAAATCACTAGGAAAGTGGTATCTCCATAAGAACAAGGGACCTTCAGGGATTATTTTACCTTGGCAACCATTAGTTGCACCTCTCTGTTTACAATAATCCCTACTAGAAATTCTAACATCTTCAAGGTGAAACCACCTGTCACAAGAGACTTTCATGCTTCTAAACTCACTACTCACCACTCACCACTCACCACTCACCACTCACTACTCACTACTCACTCAACCACCAAGAAAAAGATTGAAAATTGACATCTTTTTCTAAACTCCTGCCTGGGCGGAAAATAACCCTGCCAAAAAGAAAGAGGCTTTGACGGAAGGGCCATTCCCAACTGAGAAATTCATTTCGCTCCTACGTACATCCTTCCCCCCACAGATCAGATCACATCACAATAATAGGACGGTAGTTTGATACAACGGTACCATGTCATATAATCGAATAGGTATGTCCTCCTATCTAATTTTGCAAGTCTCTTCTCCACCTTTCAAACACACTTTATTCGAGTTTCGCGTCGTGATAGCAGTGAATGAATGTCAAAGATTGATATCAAATTACATTGTTGTCTTGAAGACCATTCACCTCGAGCCAGTGTATCCATCTTGCAAGCTGCAGCGCATAGCGACCAACACAAAAGGCACAATCAGTTGAAGTTCTATACTGCGCAAAGAGGATTTCCTTGATGGAACCCTGAATAACTCCATACATTCAAATCACCCTCTGCTAAGACAGGAGCACTATTTCTTCCTGTCGAAAGATCAATCGCAATATCTACACGTTTGTTTATTTACAGCAAGCCTTTTCTAATATCCAAACTACATAGATCCGGCGGGTCAAGGCCAAGACGATTATTACGATATGAATAATAGACATAACTCGCCGCATCCTCAAGGGTACCAATTAGAAGATGCGCCATATGGAAGACCACCCATTGGTTCACCCGGTCCTGGAATGCATAATCTTGAGATACCTATGGGTCCTGGAGCACAGAGAGTCGGAACTCCAAGTGATCAATTACAAGCTCAACCTTCTGTAAGTTCATACTTTGATGTGCCTGCAGAGAGAAGGGACTTGGGCTGACCTGAATTCTACAGTATTCCGTCGAGCATTTAGACCAAAACCAATATCATCAGCGTATGCCTCTCAACCCCAGTCACAGCTACGACTCGGAATACACCGTAGATCCTAATGCGCATCACGATGCTTATTACCAACCTCCATATCAACCATCTCCTCATGAAGAACACCCACTGCAAACTTACCCACAAGGCCAAGACCCCTACGGTTATGCCGACGATGATGACCATCAACCAATTTTACAATCGCATGAATCTTATGGACCAGATCCACATACTGCTAGTGGTGTCGAGTATAAGAGTTATGATGGGGCTCATGGACCAGATCCATCTGCGACACCTGTACCCGCGTTAAGGAGATACAAGACAGTGAAGGAAGTCCAACTGTTCAATGGCAATCTCATACTTGATTGTCCGATTCCTCCCAAGCTCTTAAATCAAGTCAATCATGCACCACCACCGGAGAGAGATGAGTTCACACATATGAGATACTCGGCAGCAACATGCGACCCCAGCGAATTCTTCGAGGAGAGATTCACATTGCGACAAAAACTCTTTGCAAAGCCTCGGCATACAGAACTCTTCATCGTTGTTACTATGTATAACGAAGATGATGTATTATTTGCTCGAACAATGCATGGAGTATTCAAGAACATTGAATTTATGTGCTCTCGCAAGGATAGCAAAACATGGGGAAAGGATGCCTGGAAGAAGATTGTAGTATGTGTGGTCAGTGATGGACGTGCCAAGATTAATCCAAGAACAAGAGCCGTATTGGCTGGTTTAGGAGTCTACCAGGATGGAATTGCAAAGCAACAAGTCAATGGCAAGGACGTAACAGCACATATCTACGAATACACGACGCAAGTTGGTATTTCTCTGAAGAAGGATATCGTTGAACTTAGACCAAAACAACAACCCGTTCAACTGCTTTTCTGTTTAAAGGAAAAGAATCAGAAGAAGATTAATTCACATAGATGGTTCTTCCAGGCCTTTGGTCGGGTGCTTGATCCAAATATCTGTGTGCTCATTGATGCTGGTACAAAACCTGGAAAGGATTCGATTTACCAACTCTGGAAAGCTTTCGACTTGGAACCTACATGTGCAGGAGCTTGTGGTGAGATCAAAGCTATGTTGGGTCCAGGAGGAAAGAATTTACTCAACCCGCTGGTTGCTACCCAGAATTTTGAGTATAAGATGAGTAATATTCTGGATAAACCTCTTGAATCGGCCTTTGGATTCATTTCGGTATTGCCGGGTGCTTTCTCTGCATATCGATACGTTGCGTTGCAAAACGACAAAGCTGGAAGTGGACCACTCGAGAAGTACTTTGCAGGAGAGAAAATGCACGGAGCAAACGCGGGTATTTTCACTGCCAACATGTACCTTGCCGAGGATCGTATTCTGTGTTTTGAGTTGGTATCAAAGAGAAATTCTCACTGGATCTTGCAATACGTCAAATCTGCTACGGGAGAAACTGATGTACCGGATACGATGGCTGAACTTATCTTGCAACGTCGAAGATGGCTAAACGGAAGTTTCTTCGCTGCTATCTATGCTCTCGCTCATTTCTATCAACTATTCCGAAGTGATCACAGCTTCTTAAGGAAAATCATGTTCTTGATTGAATTTGGTTATCAAACTATTAACATGATCTTCGCCTGGTTCGCTCTTGGTAACTTCTTCTTGGTTTTTCACATCTTGACTACGTCTCTCGGAAACGATGACTTACTCGGCAATGTCGGTGTAATTCTTGGTGTTGTCTTTGAATGGCTTTATCTATTTACGCTTTTGACCTGTTTTATTCTGGCGTTGGGAAATCGACCTCAAGGAACGAATAAAGTTTACATGTCTATGGTTTATTTCTGGATTGTTATCATGATGTGAGTATCTTCTGTTTTGATTGGTTTTCTCTCACTAACTGGAATAGATACCTAATGTTTGCTTCAATTTTCATCACGGTCAAATCAATACAAACTCAACTTGCGAAAGACCAATTCAGTTGGACGGATATCATCAAGAATCAAATCTTCTATACTCTCATCATCTCTCTAGCCTCAACTTATCTACTCTGGTTCATCTCATCCTGCTTATTCTTCGACCCATGGCACATGTTCACATCTTTCTTTCAATACCTTCTTCTCACCCCAACTTACATTAACATTCTCAACGTTTACGCTTTCTGTAACACTCATGATATTACATGGGGTACAAAAGGAGACGACAAAGCCGAGAAACTTCCCTCCGCAGTCCTCAAAGCAGGTGGTAAAGTCGATGTTAATATTCCCACCGATGACGGCGATCTCAACGCACAATATGAATCTGAGATGCGCAAAATTCAAGCTAAAGCTCCTCCCGAAAAACGAGAATTCTCACCAGAAGAGAAACAAGAAGATTATTACAAATGGTTTAGATCTTCGGTCGTCTTGTTCTGGTTGGTCTGTAATTTTGCACTCACGAGTGCGGTGTTAAGTACGGCTGGATTGGAAAAGATCGATACGACTACGGATGATACGACAAAAAGTACAATCTACATGGCGGTTGTGCTTTGGAGTGTAGCGGGATTGAGTACGTTCAAATTTATCGGGGCGATGTGGTTTTTGATTGTCAGGATGTTTAGGGGTGTTTAGTTTGATGTATGAGGAAAGGAAGAGAGGAAGGGGAAGGAAGTGGACGAGGCGACTTTTCAATATGAATGCATTGGATGTGCTATGATAGGATAGGATAAGATACCCCAGGATATGTTATGTTGCAGGTGGGAGGTGGAGGATAGGGGAGCTGATACATACAATTTAGATGTATGCGCGCGCGTTGCTTTTCTACATTTTCCAGGTTTTTTGTTTCATGATTCGGAGGGAGATTGAGATTTAGGTTGGGGAAATTCTTATGATTGCATGACATGACCTATGTTGCTTTGCTTTGCTTTGCTTGGCGAGAGCAAGTTAAGCAATCTTGTATATGTTCAAGAATGGATGGAGTTTTTGGCTTGGGGGATTGGGGGATTGGGGGAAGGATGGAGGAGGGGAGGGGGATGAAGTGTAGATTATCTTGATGTGGATGAATGAGTGGTGGAGATAGAGGGAGGGGATAGACACAAATCTGAATATGAAAACGAATATGAATAATAAACCGTTCTTTTTTTTTCTTCGGAATTTTGTGCCTGCTTTGTTGACTGCATCACCAGCAAGTCTACCTAACAGTATCGTCTCCCCTTACCTCTCCCGCTCTTCTGGCGTTGACCATCTCCATCTCCATCTCCATCTCCATCTTCATCTTCATCTTCATCTCCCTCTCCCTCTTACCCCTTAACCCCGATCCTCTACCCCGATCCTCAACTCTCCTCCCCACAAAGTAGAAACTAAACGTCCGATCCCAACCCCCCAATCCTCCTTTAAGTAAGACTCCTCACCCCCCCCTCCCAGACATATCTTGATTCCTATCACATCATCCCTCTACAACCATCTCCCCAACTCCCATCTTCCCATCTTCCCATCACTTCCCATCACAACCACATACCCTTACCATCCGGCTACACTCCCAGCAAATCAGTAGACCCAGCAACAAGCGCGCAGTTCTTAGCTAAATCAGCTGAAGATAGTAATAGCATTAGCAATAGTATTAAATATGATTTTCTGCTTTTGTCTCTTCTCTACTATCCATCCCATCTCATCTATCTCGTCTCAAATAAGCATCAGGTGAATAATTCACCTTATGCACCTTGTTCTTCTAACTTCTAGCTTCTACCTTCTACCTTCTACCTGTACCTGTACCTATATCTACTACCACAGCTACAGCCAGTAAAGATTCACTTTTCCTTTTCCTTTCACCTTTTCATTTTGCTTGACTTTCCTTTCCCTCTCCCTCCCCTTTCACTTTCAAAAAAAAAATAAGAGAAAAGAAGAGAAGAGAAATTCGCACACCATCTACAGCATCAACCGTACATCCATCTACTCCAAATCTCACCCTCACCAAAAAGCTCATCATAAAAACCCCATCTCCCATCTCCTATCTCCCATCTCCCATTTCCTATCCACAAACTTCTCGCACCATCTCTTCCAAACAAACATCCCACACAAAATCCTCTCATACCTTCCATCTTCTATTCCACTCACCCAAAATGCCGCCCCTCAAAGAAACGACCGCATCTCTCCCACACACCCATTCTCCCACCCACTCCCACTCCTCCTCTTCCTCCGCCGGCTCCGCCTCACTTTCTCCTCCGCCCGAAGACACGTCCATGTTTTTAAGCGGACAACGAGGTTTTTTGAGAAGAATTGAAGATGAGGATGACGATGATGATGACGAAGAAGGAGAAGGAGGAGGAGAAGAAGAAGGAAAAGAGGGATCAGAATCAGAGATCGATCAAAACAACGAAGAAAATGGAATTGAAGCGGAAGTCGAAATGGGAACCGAAAGCGAAATCGAAGCCGAAGTCGAAGTCGAGATTAATGACGAAGAAATCCAACATAGGCTTCAACATGACGCTGCTGCTGCCGAAGAAGAAGAACAACAACAATACGCCAAAGCCAACACTCTCTCCCCTCCCACCCGCACTCTCCTCCCCTCACCCAAGAAACACATCGCCCACATGCCCATGCCCATGCCCCGCACCCGCCAACAAATGCGTGCCCTATCCGCCGCCCGCAAAACCAACACCATGCACCAAAGCACCTCATCCACGCATTGCGAAGCAGCTGCAGACACTACACCACTTGTGAAATATTTTGCCGTGGGCGCCGATATGTCTACGCCATTTATGGAAAGCGTGTGTGCGGACGCGCGTATTTTGGCGATTGGTCGGTTGGATGGGTGGATGTTTTGTGTGGATGGGGGGGTGCAGGGGGTGTGTTGTTATCGGAATGTTTTGCCGTGGGATGTGAAGATGGAGGGAGAGGGAGAGGGAGAGGGTGAGCAAGAAGAGGAAGAAGAAGAAGAGTATAATACGAGAGGAAAGGTGGTTTATGGAGTACTGTGGGAGGTGCACGAGAGTACGATATATAAGTTATTGAATTGGGAGAAGAAGGAAAAAGATGCAAAGTTGGATATGGCACGCGTGGAGATTATGAAATTGGAATGTGAGAATGAGTTTAGGTCGTTTGGTATGGGGTGGGGGTTGAACAGGAAGTTGAGGGCGGTGGGGGTGGAGCCTGATGTGGTCGTTTTTACGGGGACGCCGGGAGGATGGGGCCTCGGGGATGGGTATAATTGGGATGTTAATCATGGGATTGCGGAGGGCTGTATGAGGGGAATCCCGGATGAGTGGGTGAATAGTGATGTGAGGTGGTGGGTTCAATATCCTCATCCTGTACACCCGATGAACCTCAAATAGATTGGTGTGTGACTTTGGGAGGAGGGTTGAGGTATCTTTGTTGTTCGGTAAATAAAAGTTCAATATGTTATTGACCACTTGGGGATATTTCCTTAAGATTAGACTCAATCTTCAGCATCACGACTTCGAAAGCTAATTTGGAAATTGATCCTATGGCTTATGGCGTTTATGGGCGAAGGAAGGGGCAAAGTGCATAAATTTCATGAGAATCAGTTTACTACTATGACTCTATGAGGAGCAGACAGATTACTACTGCATGAACATGAGAAACACTTTTCTTCTATCGTGCTAGAGATTACGATAAACTCAGCTTGTTCTCTGTGCTTGAGGAAACGAATAATGATGCCATCTTCTAAAATCAATTGCCTTATTACTGTGAAAGCGATTGCGACTCCTGTTCCATAACACAACAGGAGAATTGACAAGAAAGAATCACAAGTAAACAAGGCAAGTAAAACAAATCTGAAGTCAGGTAGAGGATTCGAATTGGGCCCCATCTCCTTCTATCGAATAGTGACCTTTCAGCATCTAGGGCAGGTAGAGGAACCAAATTGGGCCCCATCCCCTTCTATCGAGTAGTTACCTTTCACCCAACTATATCTTTGACAGATCACTTACCCCTCCACCGGATTTTGCAACCAATGTATCATTCACAAATCTAATTGTGTCTTTGACCATACCATCACTAAAAGCATGACCAACACCTGGGTAAACATTGTCTTCCACATACACATTTCCTCCTTTATACCATCCACTTGTTGCATTCTTCAAGAATTGCATAAAAGGTTTCGAACAATGATACGGAACCAATCTGTCATTTGCTCCGGAGCAGACGAGTATTCTTTTCCCCTTGATTTTTTGGTCAAGAATTGGTGTGTAAAGCTCTTGCATGGCTAGAGTGGGAGTGTCTTCAATTTCAGAAGTGCCAAATATAATCCCCTTGGGATCCCACTTCTTCAAGCTACTCATAAGGGCAAGGGGGAAATCTTTACTGCCGTGGAAGTCGGCTCCTTGGGTTGACGTGTATGTTTGTAATTTGGAAAGTCGAGCTCGATCAGTCATCACGCCTTTTAGATGTCAGCATGTATTGTTTGACGTTTGTTGATCATAGTATATGATTGCCAAGAAAAGGTGCTCAATTTGACCCTGAACAATCCATGGTCTCCATGGTCAAGCAAATGTTCGATCTCCCAACATATAATACACCCTTTCGGAGCACAGTATAAATGAGGAGAGACTTACGCATATAGTCAGGACATCCAATAATCACAACACCGGCCGTGACTCGAGAATCAGACAACAGAACCTGCCATGCTGAATGCCCTCCGAGAGAGATACCTAATACAAGGTGCTGCTCGATGAGAGGCGAGTCCTTGGTGTTGAAGATATAAGAGGGCAAATGATCTATCAGAAGGCTTGTATCCATTGCCGTTCCATTGAATATACTATATATATCTGATAAGTTGTTTTCAATCCATAGCGAAATCATAATCTCTCACCTAAACATATCTTGTGCATGAGTTTCGTTACCATCTTTCCATGATTCGTTTGCTAAAGCATTAACTTCCCTACTTCCATGATTCCTTTGATCAAAAGCGACAGCGATTAGACCAATGGTTCGATTGGACCCTGCTTGTTGATTCCATTCTTGAATACACCTCGAAGCTATATATCTCATCATCTCCTTGGTTTGCAACCTCGGATGTAGGAGCCATAAACATGATATTGATGTACATGATGTGGTTACCTCTTGGAGGCCATACACTGTGGTAAGGATCCCGGCAATATGAAATGTCTTCTCTGATACAAATGAAGCTGGACCAGTACTTTTAAGGGGGTTAGGGGTAGGCATGATGTTTGAAGCGAACACTGTATATATACTAGGTAGGGTAGTCTTATGTAATTGAGTACTCGTATGAACAATACGAGTATTGAGTAGAATAATCCTACAGTATTAAAGCTTGGCTGAGAATGTTACAAAGGTGGTGGGTGTATAGGACAAAAGAGTGGGGTTGGGAATGCAATGTACTCCACTCATGACAAGGGGTTTGCTTGAATTAGTCAACTTAATGAGTATACTGTATCTTCCCCAGAATCTGTTCAAAGTTCATATATAACACTTGAGTAAACAAGAAATAGAAGATGGCGAAGGGAGGCTTTTTCATTTCTTTTCTAGAAGGCAAAGAAGGAGTACTCGAGTAGTTAGGAAAAGGTAACAATAAGGAATCTACTGTACGGTGACTCCAAATAAAACATCATATCTAATCCCTGGGAAATTGGCTCCCTATTTTTTGAATTACTCGAGTAACCTTAGCATCCTCCATAACTCTAAAAGAAACCCTGAACAAATGACAACCACAACCACAACCACAACCACATGTACCTCGGAAACATTTGCAATTGCCAAATCTTTTGGACATTCTTTGAGTTAATACATATAAACAACAAGAAGTATATATCTCTGTTTGCTTCTTTACCTTTCAAATCATTCAATCAATTGGAAACAATCACCCACCACAAGAGCCTCGGTTCCTCAAATCAACAAACTTTGGACACCCTTGAGACTTTCAATAGTGCATTAAGAAGTGTATCCAACAAACTTTACAAGCTACGACATAGTTACTCATGATGACCTTTGTTAAGTACATCTAACAATATCACAATATCACAATATTGTCTTAACTGGACTCATCTTATCGGAGATTGAACTCACCTCCGATCAGAGTCTCACCACTGGATTCAAGTGTGCAGAATGGCACAAAGTACAACAGGCTCAATTTCACCATCTACACAAAACCCACACTCCCAATCACCGGCAAACACCTATGGAAATGGAGCAGCAACTGTACGGCCATCGGGTGTACGGACTGTGAGTTCTGAGAAGCCTGGAACTTCACTCAACCTGGCTATACCTACAATAAATTCGAATGGAATCAGGAGCAATGTATCGAATGAGGCAGTCGACTATATGAACGACGGCGTTGCACACAACACACCCATAATGCCTATGTCCGACGCAGGCTCTCCTGGGATGGCCATCAATCATGCCGCGACCAACTTATCCCCTATTCCTCCCCCATCGTCGTTCTCTCACGAGAGTCACCCCGCAATAAACGGCATATCAACTCCGCCTGACAGACGTAGCGTATCATTCGCAAGAGATATGACCATCGCTGAACCCTCGAGTTCTGCACGACAAGATTCATGGGGAGTAGAAGATGGTGATACGCCAGCGAGAGATAGGAGAGGTCCGTCTTTAATATCAAAATTAAAGGCGTTGGCTATCCCGAGTGGAATGCAGGGTCATGGGAGAAGTCAAAGCACCCCCACGAATTACATTGATGAAGGACTCGGAACGACACCAATTCCTACAAATATCCCACAAACATTACACGAGGAAAGTAGCGATGCTGATGCAGAAGAAACCGCCGATGAGGGACCATTCAATCAACCGACGCGCATAAGAAAGAAACGCCGAACTCGAAGACCGCAAGAGAATGTGAGCATGCCCAACACACCCAGAATTCTTGGCTCTATGCCAACAGATTCCCCGAGCGGGAATAGGTCTTTTTTCTTGGGTAGACGTACAACCGATGGGTCATTAGAACAAAGGGGGCATTTGTCGGAGGGAGAAGGTCGTGATCGTTTTGCGAAGCAGAGTGCGTGGATACGAGGGGGTTCATGGATGCCAGGTCGGGGATCAATTGCTGATAACTCACCGCAAGCACAAGATTTTGCAAATGCTGATGGTACAAGATCAAAAAGACCAAGTCAATTCAGAAGAATGACAGGACTAGGGGGGCAGAGCGAGGGCGAAGCGCAGACACCTAGAAGGCCAGGGTATTTTGGTGGAGAAAGAGCTAGCACTTTTGGAACGCAGAAATGGCGGATGTTAAAGCATAGCATGAAATTCTTCGGCGGCAAGGGAAAAAAGGAAGACAAGATTGACTATCTCAAATCTACTGAACTGATGGCGGAATTACGAGCTGTAACTCCAGCAGTGCTCATGATTGCTAGCATGATGCAACGAGATGAGCACGGAAACAAAAGAATCCCAGTCCTTCTTGAGCAACTGAAGATCGAAATCACGGACAGCAAACCTACCGACGATGATGCGGATGACACGGAGAGGCATCTTGTTTTCCGAATCGAGCTTGAATATGGAAGTGGTCCAAATCGAATGAAGTGGATAATTCACCGTTCTCTCAAAGACTTCGCCAACCTACATCTACGTTACAAGCTTCAAGGAAGCAGTGACAAGTACATCGGGAACGAAGCCCATGCACGACCAAAACAACCGAGGTTTCCAAAATCCGCATTCCCTTACTTTAGAGGTGTTCGAGGTCTAGGGGAGAGTGATGAGGATGAGGCCGACAACGTCCGTGCGGAAGAGACCGCCGGCGAGGCCACTCACGGCGAGGCCACTCAAAGTGAGGCGGAGCCAAAACGAAAGATCAAGAGGCGTCCATCCATGAGTGCCGCCCGGAAAAGTACCCGTGCCATCTTGGATGCTAGCGGAAATGTAGTCAGTGTCGAAAAACAGAAGAGGATATTCAACGAACGTCAGCGAAGGAGATTAGAGCAGTATCTTCAAGAGATGATTCGATGGCTCATATTTAGAGCGGATAGCAATCGTCTTTGCAGATTCTTAGAATTATCTTCCATGGGAGTACGCTTAGCGGCTGAGGGCAGCTATCATGGAAAGGAGGGTTACCTCGCTATTCAATCGTCAAAGGGTTTGGATGTCAGGAGAATCCTTATGCCTAATAACTTCTTCCAACGGCATTCTCCAAAATGGTTTTTGGTAAGACACAGTTATCTTGTATGTGTTGAATCACCAGAAAACATGCACATCTACGATGTGTATTTGGTGGATGGAAAGTTTGAAATACAAAAAAAGAGGAGAAAGATATCTGATATGGGCAAAGGAAAAGCGAAAGCGAAAGAGGATGCTTCGCAAGCAGGTAGATCTGCTAAGCACCCTCAACACCATAGTCTCAAACTTCAAAATTCCGAGCGCAAGATAAAGTTACTGGCCAAGAACGAACGTCAACTCAGACAGTTTGAGGAGTCGTTGAAATATATGGCGGCTAACACACCATGGGCAAAGGAACACAGATTTGGCAGTTTTGCACCAGTGAGAACTGGAGTGACGGCCCAGTGGCTCGTGGATGGCCGCGACTATATGTGGAACGTCTCTCGAGCAATCAATGAAGCAAAGGATGTGATATATATTCACGATTGGTGGCTCAGTCCTCAATTATACATGCGAAGACCTGCTGCCATCAGTCAGAAATGGCGCCTTGATCGTTTGCTACAGAAGAAAGCTAGAGAAGGAGTTAAGGTTTTTATCATTGTCTACAGAAATGTTGAGGCTGCCATTCCTATCGATTCCGAATTCACAAAGTTCTCTATGCTGGATTTGCATCCAAACATATTTGTGCAAAGATCACCCAATCAGTTCAAGAAGAATCAATTCTTCTTTGCGCACCACGAAAAGATCTGCATCGTTGATCACATAGTCGCCTTTGTAGGAGGTATTGATCTTTGCTTTGGTCGTTGGGACACACCTCAGCATTCTGTGGTGGACGATAAACCTACAGGTTTTGAGCATTCCGATTCACCCAAAGATGCCGATCATTGCCAGCTCTGGCCCGGAAAAGACTACTCCAATCCTCGTGTTCAAGATTTCTATAAACTCAATGAACCTTATGCAGAAATGTATGATCGTTCAAAGACTCCTCGGATGCCTTGGCACGATGTTGCCATGCAAATTGCCGGTCAACCTGCCAGAGATTTGACTAGACACTTTGTGCAAAGATGGAACTATGTCCTTCGAGGTCGCACGCCTACGAGGCCAACACCCTTTCTCCTTCCACCTCCTGATTACAATCAGGCCGAGCTGGAAGATCTTGGTCTCACGGGTACTTGTGAAGTTCAAATCTTACGATCAGCCTGCGATTGGTCTCTAGGTCTCATGGATACCGAGCATAGCATCATGACTGCCTATTGCAAGATGATCGAAGAGTCGGACCATTTCGTTTATATGGAGAATCAATTCTTCATCACAAGCTGTGAGACGATGAATGTCAAGATTGTCAATAAGATTGGCGATGCAATCGTGGAACGTGCCATACGCGCCTATCGAAACAATGAAAGCTGGAAATGTGTGATCCTCATACCGCTCATGCCTGGATTCCAGAATACAGTGGATGAACCCGAGGGGACAAGTATACGCTTGATTATGCAATGTCAATTTCGAAGTATTTGTCGTGGCGATGGATCTATATTTGGCCGATTAAAAAGTCAAGGTATTGATCCAGAGGAGTTTATACAATTCTATAGCTTGAGAACCTGGGGTCGAATTGGTCCAAAGAAAATGGTCGTCACAGAACAATTGTACATTCACGCGAAAGTCATCATTGTCGATGACAGAATTGCTCTGATTGGTTCTGCAAACATTAACGAGAGATCCATGTTGGGAAACAGAGACTCGGAAACCGCAGCAGTTGTTCGAGATACTGATATGATATGGTCAACAATGGATGGTAAACCGTATCTTGTCGGAAAGTTTGCTCACGAATTACGCATGCGCCTTATGAGGGAACATCTGGGATTGGACGTGGATGAGATCATGGAAGACGAGAAAACTCATGAATTGGACCGCGAAGAAGAGGAGTTCAAAGCACAGATGGACGGCATATACGACGACGAAGAAGAAGATAGCGATAGTCCATCGCCGGCTAAAGGGGTTTCCAATGAATTTTCTACTCGTGTTGCCTTGAATGAGAACTTACGCAGCTTCAACCATGATGTTGATTGGGAGCAAGCAGGCAATCCCAACATACAGCCTGAGAGATTGAAGCCACTCACCACGGATAAGAGAGTTACTAATAATGCGGCTCATGCAGCAGATGTGGATGGTGACGGTCATGACAAACTAAAATCTCTGTCACAGATAGGACAAACGAGGGGTAGAGATTCTGTTCTTGTCGAAGGCGGCCGTGAAGTGTTGATCACTGATGTTGCTGCAGAAGGCAAAGGCACACTAAAGCAACCCAAAAGACCACATTCACGATCTATACCCCTTCCAAGAAAAAATAGCTCTGATAGCGGTGACGGCTACAATGGCTTACCGCCTGCGCCTCATTTGCCAAGAAGAACGACAGAGCAACTTGGTCTTTCGCAGCTCTCTCAACTACCGGCATTACCAGTCGTGGATGATACCGATATTGGTGGCCCGCCGATAACGATAGATGCTTCCGGAAATGCTGCACCCAAACCTTTCAATCCCCTAACGGCTGATATCAAGATGGCCCAAGTACACAAGGACTGTATGCGTGATCCCCTAAACGATGCTTTCGCGGATGAGATATGGCAACAAATCGCCGAAAACAATACCAAGATCTATCGTAGAGTCTTCAGGTGCAATCCAGATAGCGAGGTGACCAACTGGCATGAGTACAGAGAATTCGTGGCCTACGCGGAAAGATTCGTACAAGCACAGGGAGGTGGAAAAACTAATGAGCGAGAGGGACAAGACGCTCAAAGTAGACATGGTCCTCCAGGTTCAAGCTCTGTTGGTCCAGGGGGCGTTCTCTCCGAGAAACTAAAAGCTAATGGGCAAGGCGGTGCCCATCCTCTAGGAACGGTGTCTGAATGGGTTGCCAGCGCTAATGCTGAGCATGATGCTCGAGCCAATAATACATCTGACGAAAGTCGTCTGGGTCAATACGATGGTACCGACGAGAAAGCCGCTGCTCGTAATGAAGCGGCATCTTTAGATGGCCCAGCAGGCAACGAAGCTTTCCCTGCTCTCGACGCTACGGCCCTGGGTGTCCCTCCAACTAATGGGACGACCTCTCAAGCAAGCACTCGCAAAGCCACCTTCTCTACTACACCAACACCTAGCGATAGAAAAGAGAACAGCAGTTCTATGAATCAGCCCGGATCAGTGAGGAAGAGGCGTCGTGGTACCACGAGAGGTAGCCGTAAGGGCTTTTCAGGAAGTGATGACCTACTCTCCAAAGATGATATTGAGGATCTATTAGCCATGATACAAGGTCATCTTGTCGTATTCCCTTACGATTGGCTCATCAAGGAAGAACTCAACTCCAATTGGCTTTACCAGGTCGACCAAGTTGCTCCTCTACAAATTTAGTAAGTTGATAATAATCCTTTGATAACATAATCGCCAGTTGCTAACACGTGAAATAGTAACTAGTATTTAATGGCAAAGCCAGACAGCGCCTTGTATATTTCATTTCATCTATGTACAGTTTATAATACAAGAGAGAGCAGCATTCACATGGGACGGCGTTTCCACACGGATTTCTAGCATAGGAAGCAAGCAATAGAGATCGGAGTTTGTTTTATTTCAATCGTCTATCTTGTCGAAAAGGCCTGTATTGTACCACACTTAGATTAATCGTATGAATTCCTATATTGCTCTGCAACACATCTGACCTTGCTATTCTGTACAACACTGTATACCCAATACTCGTACAATACTCAAACATCGTATCATACCCTCTCACTAACCCAGATAGCGCCTCTGCACCCCGCTCTAATGACTCCAGTCAACAGTTCATGAGGCACAGCTTTCTTCGCATCATGCTCAACCGCATGATCCAAATGTTCTAATTCCTCATCTCGTATCCTTCTAATTGTTACCAATAGCTCCGTCAACTCCTCTCCCATATCCTCGCCGCGCGCCTTCATCTGCTCCTGCATCTCCAACAACACTTGAACCTGCTCATTATAATGGGTCCCAATCTCCGTTTCCACGGCTTCAGTACAAGCCATCGCCACCTCACGACCCATCAGGCCAGTGCCCCAGCCCAGGGCTGAAGCAGCCAGTGACCAAACGGGAGTAAAGGCAGTGGGGCGAATTCGATGTTTTGCAAGCAGATGGTTGAAGGTTTTGAAATGGCCGGCTTCTTGATCATACATGTGGGTCATGAGAGGGCGCAGATGCGGGTGAGCGTTGGTTATGGGGGGTATTTGCGCGGTATAGATTAGAGTTGCGGCAAGCTCGCCGGCTTGATTGACCCGGAGGGCGCTGGTGAGGAAATCTTTTTGGGCTCGGGTTAGGGGTTTCGTTGATGGGGCGGCATCGATAATTGCTTCTGCTCCTGCTCGAGGAGCTGGGTGAGATGGATTGATGGTATGGTGTTCATTTGCATTTTGAGTATGGGATGGAGATGCAGTGGTAGAGGAGGATGGCGGGGTTGTGGAGAGATGGCGAATACTGCGCGATGATCTGGGGAAATTGATGAAGCTTGGGGTTAGGAAATCGTAGAGGGATAATTGAGTATTAAGAAAAGATCTTGCAGAACGATTGGAAAGTCTATATGTGTTCATTTTGGTGGTGAAATTGTAAATAAAGTCGTCTATAAGTTTAATATACAATGAAAGTAGAAATACCTATATATACAAAATAGTCACAAATTAGTTCATCCATACCCTTACCTGTACCTTCTTTCATGAACGCCTAGATCATATCGGAGGCTCGGAGGTTTATTAGCGCAAAATACGTTATCGACAATCAGGACTTAAGCGATGCGCGCTAGATTTGACGCTAATGTTCTATCATAGGAGAGCCGCTGAATGTCTCTGTTAGTATGTACTAGTATCTCAAAAGATATCAATTCACTTTATTACGGCTATACATTCGATCATTTAAACACATTTCGAAAGAATATCTAGATTTTCTTTCCCTTCAAGCGTCTCGCACAAATCTTTCCACTTTCAATTAAATACAATACCTAATAAACCTAGACACCAAAACTTTGGATACTCTCCAAATTGCGCGCCTTCACCTCTCTCGTTCGTTTTCACTTACAAACACCCTATCACTTCTACCAAATACAATTCGGAAGTCTTTCATCTTCAACCACAGAATCGGCATATACCAAAACTTACTACAAACGAAATATAACAATGGCGGATATTGATGACGAACTTCTCGCTCTTGCAGGAGATGATTCTTCTGGGGAGGAGCAGGTCGCAACAAACGACGGAGGAAGATTGAATTCTTCATCGCCTGATCGTAATGGAGCGGTAAAGAGTGCAGCTAGTCAAGGAGGACAGAAGGGAGGCAGACGAAATGATGATTCTGAGGAAGAAGGTGAAGCGTAAGTTCTCTTCTACCATAGTGATGTCATGATATATTCCATTGTCGCAGATGCACCCAGGATCAACATTTACGAGATGCTTCTACAACATTCATGCGCAGCTAGGCATTGTGCTAACATCTTACTTCAGTTCTTCTGGCGATGAATCCATCCGTTCGGAACGATCAGCTCCAATGGACGAATCTGATTCCGATTCCGATGGCCCAGGTTTCCGCGATGATGCTGATCGATATCCTCTTGAAGGCCGGTTTATGAACACATCCGATAAGGCAAACATCCTTTCTATGCCTGAAATTGAGCGTGAGCAGGTCTTAGCTGATCGGGCTCAAGAAATCGAGAGGGATCGACAAAACAGAGCACTTCGTCAACTCTTAAATGCTCGTGACGCCGAGACTAAGAAGGCAGACAAAAAGCGAAAATCCGGTGCTGCAGAGTTGGATGAGAATCAGCGCAAGACATCTCGCCAACGTACCAAGCTTGGTGGTGGAAAGGTTGGAGAAGCCAGCACTGGAATCGACAGTCTTAAACGCGCACGAGCTGAGAAGAATGATCGCCAACGTCGCCGTGAAGAAGACAAAGAGCGTCATAAGGGTGATAGCCGAAGAGACAATCGCGATGATTACTCGGATGATGATGGTGATGGAGATAGCGAGGTTGAATGGCAGGCATCAAAGTCAAAAAAGAGGTCGGCATCTCCAGATTATCGCGATGCAGAGCCAGCAATTCTTTACGATGTTGAGCGAGTCCGAGTTGGTAGAAGCAGATTTGCTATGGTCTGCTTTTATCCTGGGTTCGATGAAGCTATTACAGGATGCTTCGTTCGGGTAAATATTGGTGTTGACAAGGAGACAAATCAAAACCTTTACCGCATGGGGTTTGTCAAAGGTTAGTGTATCAAAGCTATGCTTACAGCAATCACGCTAACTCTATCTCAGGCTTTAAAGAAGACAAACCATACGCTATGATATCTAGTAACGGGAAGCAATTCTCGACAACACAATATGTGATTGCTTCTCATGGCAAGTCCGAGAGATCATGGCCATTTATCGCCTGCTCGGATTCTCGATTTACGGAGGCTGAATGGCAACGATTTAGGCAAAATTGTATCGCGGATGGCATACCTGTTCCAACAAAACCAAAGTTGATGCAAAAGTGTGCAGAGATCAATGCTCTCGTCAACCGACCCTGGACTGAAACCGAGCTCCAAGAGAAATTGAAGAAATCCAGTGTGTTGACCAAAAGATGGAATGAATCTGAACGCGTGCGTATTACCAACGCTATCAAGGACCAAAAGGCACTTGGCAATACCGAAACGGAAGAGAAATATCGTGCAGAACTCGAGGCACTCGATAGTTCTAAACTAGCTTATGGCACTACCCTCAAATCAACACCAAAGAAAAAGGTCCACTCTCAACAAGACCGACTTGCCGAACTGAACCGAACAAACCGTCGCAAAAATATCGAGGAAGTACGCCAAGCACAAATCAACGAACGTCGCGCCGCTCGACAAAACGAAGCAGCAATTGCCCGTGGAGAATTAGTCGATGAGGATCACTCACGACGTGTCAAAACTCGAGCTACTTTCAAGCATGATCATACTGGAGGCAAGGACAGTGCAACGGCTACTCCGGCTAGTGGTACTTCGACCAACAACACTCCCAAACTGGTGGCGAAGAATGATGCGCTACCAATACCGAACTTTAGTAAGCTTCAGACGACGTCGAAAGGTGGGGTTCCGGGGTTTAGGAGACCTTTGATGGATGATGATATCATTGCTAGTATCGATATTGGTATTAGTGATGATTTGGAACTGTAGGGGAAAACTGTGAGGGATAATTATTAAGAGGGAACTCGGAAAGGAAAGGGGAATGGGGAAAGGGGGAAGGAGAAAGTTTGGAATAGATACAGATATGGATGGGCTTTAGGTAGGAATACAACGATAAGATACTCATTAGACGTCTGTCTAGCAGTCATTCCCATGTTGGTTTCTATTACTCGAGTATTCTTTCTCTTCATCCAGAAGCTACGGCGTATTCAATTGTATTTTTAAGTAGTAGGAAAATCATGATTCTTGTGAATGGGAAAGGGAAGGGAAAGATGGATATCATGGATAGGATTTACAGAAATACATGAAAAACTGGGGTGGGGGAAATAGTTATTTTATCACTGTGGTTTTTTTGGTTGTTTCTTTCTTCAATAGCATGGGTTTTGATGGGTTTTGGTTGGTTGGTTTCTTTTTCCTTTTTTTTTTCAATATTGGAGAGGAGAGGAGAGGAGAGGAAATGAATGGGTTTGGGATTGAGATTGGGGAGGGGAGGGGAATGAGAGGGGAATAGGAGGAGAATTGATGAACTGAGTGATGATCAGGGGTGGGAAGGGAAGGGAAGGTAAGGGAAGTGAGGTGGAGTGAAGTGAAGTGAAGTGAATACTAGAGGCCTGTCTGTAGGTACAGACAGTTACTGCCAGTCACATTTGAGAGATTTCTGATGAAGTCCAGTCTAGTCTAGTCTAGATGGTTAGTATAGCAAGTATAGTCTAGCGTAGCAAGTTTAGCGTAGTTTAGTGTAGTAAGTCTAGCACAGTCTAGCATATCAAGTCTAGTCTAGTCTAGCGTAGCGGGTAAATAGATGGATGAAATTCAATGGATAGATAGATAGATAGATACCTAGTACTGGTAGATACTGTATTGAAGATTTGAAATTCGGTGTGGGTGTACGAGTATTGTATCTAGAGCTGTGATTTGTGAGTGGGATTGGGATTGGGATTGGGATTAGGTTTAGAAGGGGAAGTGGAATTGGGGTTGAGGATTAGGGTTGAGGTTTGGGGTTGGGGTTAGGATTGGGGAGGGAGAGGAGATTTGATAATTAGGAATTGGGGTTGAGGATTAAGGTTTGAAAATGGGGCTTGATACAGATATAGTGCATTATACTCGAGTATATGCTGTATGCAAAGCAGTGAGTTAGTTTCTGGGCAAATGAGAATGAAATGAGAGGAAGATGAATATGAGAATAAAAATCGTGGTCGATATTATATTACTACTATACAGTACTATACAGTACATTACGAGTAGATTAGAGTGCATCTAACCTACTCGTACTCGAGTATAAGTTCATAGTTGGATTTGCGAAAGATAATACTTATATTAGTTCTTCAACATTTTGAAAACATTTTAGATACAGTAGATACTACTTACTTTACTGTATTGTACTATACATACGCGCATGAAAAGAAAGTCTAATACTTTGTTTTGTTTTGTTTTGTTTGCAATTACAATAACGAACGTACGTATGGTGAATGCACTGGTGGTATTGCTCAAATCGAGTACCGGTAGTGGGTAATATGAATATGGATAGACTCGTGTATGAATAAGTACAGTATATGTAACGTGTCTATTGTTTGTAGGGCGCTTCTCCTTTTTCGTTTGTCTGATCTAATCTAGACTAGAGTAGACTAAAGGTAGCATTACCGTTGAAAAGCGAACTACTTATAGTATAGTACCTACCCCCTTCTCCCCAATAATGGTTCATTCTCCGCATTCCCATTCTCACCCGCATTCCTACTCCTATTATCCTCCTCATCCCCCTTCCCAACCCCATCTTCACCACCCCTCCCCGGCATCCTCTCAAACCTCCCCCCATCCACCCTCTCCACAATCCATGTGTCATCCCCCTCCGCACACCTAAAAAACTCCTGATTTTCCTCAAAACTCCTCCCTCCACTCTCAGGACTATATCGCCAGGTCCACCACCCTGCAAAAGTATTCGTCGCGGCGAAAATCAAAAAGAGCCCATAGGATAGATTATTGAATCCGATGGGTGTGAGAAGTGTGACTGCAAAATTGGCTAATCCCCATACGATGACCGAGATGGCGGAGCCCTGGGCTCGGGCGGATGAAGGATAGATTTCGGTGGGGATGAGCCAGACGGTGGCGAGCCAGGTGATGCCGAAGATGCCGGTGGCGAGGAAGAGGGTTAGGGAGCCGGGGATTTGGATGGCGAGGATGGGGATGTTGGGGAGGGTGGCGAGACCCCCGAAGAAGGTTAGTAGAAGGAAGGAGGTCGAGAGGCCTATGCTACCCCATATCATTAGTTTGCGGCGGCCGTAAACGTCAATGGAGAGCCAGGCGAGGGTCATCAGGAGGAAATAGGAGATGTAGTTTCCTAGAGTAAGAAACTCGGCTTTGCGGGTAGTGAAACCGAGGAGTTCGAAGATTTGGGGTCCGTAGACTAGAGGGTTGGGGAATCAGTGTTTGATTCTTATGGAAGGCTTTAAGACTTTCGATCCGAGTTTGATATTGGGAGACTCACCGGAGACAGCACCGTAACCGGTGAGGGCTTGGTTTATTTGTCCCATTATTGTTACCATGGTTGGATGGAATTGTGCATGTTTTGGGGTGAACATATCTCTGTAGTGTACTTTTGTATCATCCTCTCGAGCGGTGGATTCTTGAAGATCTTCGAATTTCAATTTGGCTGCCTCTTTGCCATAGACCTTTTCAAGAGCTTTCTTAGCATCGTCTTCGCGTTGGACGCTCATAAACCACTGTATATTTTTAGTATTGTTTACCTTTCATCTGTACATTAAAGTTCATTTGACACGAATTCCGGGATGAGATAATACGGACCCTTGGTGTTTCTGGAAGTTGAGCAATGAAAGACATAAGCAGGATTGGGAATATCTGCATAATGATAATTGGACTTCTCCAAGCCCATTGACTATTCTTCCCAAGTCCAGTTGTCACCCCTAGATTAATAGAATATGCCATCAAAAGCCCAAAGATATTCATTTGAAATTCTTGAGCCAATGCTCTTCCACGAGCACCATCCGGGGAAAGTTCACTACTGTAAACGGGAATCGTTGCATCAATCCCTCCAACTCCAAGTCCCATAATCACTCTTCCAGCTATCATACAACCCAACGCCCCACCTTTCCATGGAGAAGATCCATTCATTGACAGACCAGAAATAAACATAAGAAGATTCCCGAAAGATGTAGTTGCGAGACAGGCAAATATAGATGGTTTTCGACCTTCTTTATCGGCGAGCCAGGAAGCTATTACAGCACCAATTGCACAACCAAGATAATATACGGAGACGATGATACCAACTAGAGGGGATTCTTTTCCTATTTGCATTGTTTTCAAATAGCTATTGTTGGTATTGATCAGGGACATCATTCCTGGCCAAAATAGGTCAGATCATTGTGAAGATAGGGCTAGACCTTGGATGGAATGATATACCTTGATCATAACCATACAGTGCAATTGCTGTACTAGAGAATATAACAATCTCATGTTTCTTGCTGAAAATCGGGAAGATGGAAGAACTACCTCCTACTCTCGAAGGAGGGTTCGGCATCGTTGAGGTTTGGGAAATGAAGTAGAACTCTATGAATATTGAAATATGAAGACTCAAAATATAAGATATAGAATGCACCCGAATCTGGGTTCTGTGAATGAGAAAATTGACTGAGACCGTGGATATGATTGTTATATCTCTTCATGGACAAGAAAAATAAGAAATTCTGAGGAGAAAGGACTTCCTTGAGCTTGAATGCCTCTCTGAGCTAGATTCACGGGTATGATAGCATTGGCTGGTACTGGCTGATACTTTAGACTTTGTGCTTTTTCTTGGCCATGATGGAATTCTCAAATCAGTACCGGTAGGTATCCCACTTATTACTCGAGTAGCTCGATTGAGAGGAACAATGACATCAATCTTGCAGCGGGATGTCTTCCACGCATTGATGTGAGTTGCAAACCGTGTTTGTTCTGTAAGGTTGCGGAAGCAACGAAGCAACATTCAACTCCCCATGATTTGAAGAACGAATACTCTTGTGCCCCTGCCCCTTGTTATGATTTAAACTCGACATCTATGTGGTTGTGGAAGATAGAAGGAAAAAGATGTCAAGTGGGATGGAATTGATCTACAAACCATCCCAGCCCATGCATATATTCTGCCTTCTACATCTCCACCGCTTTTGAAACCACAAGAAGAAGCAAATGTAATGAAGCATAAAAGATGCCTCTACCCGTAGTAAGTTCTATATGAATGTTACTACTTGCAGGTATAATACTCACACAGTAGACACCATCACCCCATCGGTTTGTGATCAAGAAACAACCTCCACCCCCACGATCCCAACTCGCACAAGAATCCACTCCTCGTCCAGCAGGCTCCCAGCAATTCAATGCTACTCCACGATTTACCTTCTCTTCCACGCCGAGACCTACTGGCACACAAGGTATCATCCCATCATCTACGCCCGCGGGACGATACTTGACACCAGCTCGTCAAACTTTGAAAGCGAGAGAGAGTATCGATGATCTTTCAGATGATTACCCTGCCAATCTTCCTTTTCACGATTCAATCGATACGCATGATGAATTTGATACAAGCATACCATTCTCAACAGAGGGCGCAGAAGATGATGATGTTGATGAAATAGATACATGCTCTTTCAAACGTCGACGAATATCAACCTCTCTAGCAGCAGATATTGCATTGGCAGAGGACGATGAATTAGAAAATGATTTACTCTCCTCCTCTATCCCTATAGTCTCATCGCCTATAACCCAACGAGCAAACCCCACCCCATCCACCAATAGTAAACCCAAGTTTCTCCTCTCAACCCCCTTACCACCATCAACACCGCAATCCACCGCCTCCACACCATTTCTCAAACCCCCTCGTTTTCGACCGCCTGATCCGGCTGAAACACAGGGAAATATCGATCCTTTACCTGAACAATTTTCTCCTCATAGAAGAGGTCAAAAATATGTAGCTGGGGGCTTAGCGGCTGAAGTCAGGGATTGGTTGATTAATATAGATTCTTCAATTCCTTCACATGGTACTGGTGTGCAAAGAGCAAAGGATAAAAATAAAGATAAAGATAGCGAATGGGTAGTGAAAATGGTGATAGATGAGGTGAGTGCGGGTGGAGGGATGGGAATGTGTTTAGTGAGGGGAAGACAGCTGCGTGTTTTGGATGGGGATGAGGTGGTGGATGATATGGGGATGGTTAAGGTTATGTTAGCTGGAGAGGGAGCGGGGACAGGGTTACAAAGGGGGAGGGATGTGGAAATTGGCAGAGTTGTAGGGATTAAACGACCAGTTTGGGAGGTGGTGGTAGAGGGGGAGAAATGGGGTGTTGGGGTCGATTGGAAGGTGTTGTGAAAATGGGATGAGATGACATGAGATACGACGTCTCGGCTGAACAAAATTTATTATCGCATACTATGGTATGGATGGGTATGCAATATCTAGTTGCTTGCTATTTGCAAGCTGTACTTTTGCATGGCTGACCCAATTACTTTATATGAAGTATAATATCCGCACCAATATACTATACAATACATCATATATACAACCAAACCGAACCAAACCCGGCCCAACCACCACTCCCTCTATATCTATCCCACCATCTATATCTGATCGCACCCCCCAACAATAAAAGCCGCCATCTCCGCCAATACCTCTCACCTCTCCCCTCTCAATTCTCACCTCTCCCCCTCTATTTCACATCCCCCCCCCCAATTTCCCTCACATCCTCCTCCTCCCCCCTCGCCGCCCTCCACATAACAACATGACTCGTCCCGCCCATCCCCTCCCCCCCCACATAATCACGCAACCGAATATCCATAACATGCACCTCCACAAATCCAAATTTCCTATACAACCCTATGCCCCACGGACTAGCTCCTAGCACTACTTGCAGCGCTTTTTCGTCGGCGAGCTGTAGTCCTTGGGTTAGGAGCTGTGTGCCGATGCCGAGACGTTGGTGCTGCGGGTGCACTAGGAGGATGTTGAGTTCTGTGGAGGGTTAGAAGAGGGAAAGGGGGATAGGGTGGGAAACGAGGAGGGAGAGGAAGAGGGGTGATGGGGGGAAGAAATGGGGAAGGAAGGAAGAAGGGGATATACATACTCAGCCACCTATTACCCCCGCAAGCTTCAAACATATACTGATCCCCCTTTACAAAAACATCCTCGCATAACTTTGCATTACAACCTTTTCCCCAGATTTTCTCTAATTCCTCTTTTGTTTTTTCTTTCGGCACTTCTTGCACTTTCTCTCCATCATCTCCCTCCCTTTTCTCCCCAACATTCGCCTTCTTTCTCTCCTCCTTTCCCCCCTTCCCCTCCCCACCCCCCAAACTCCACCCCGCAACCCCTACTACCTCTCCCCCTATCACAGCTTTTACATACCAACATTTATTTTCTCCCTCCTCCGAGTCCCCCTTCTCAATTTCACCCCCCAAAAGCCCCTCAAATTGTCCGGCCCTCATCCTCAAAGCTTCACTACTGCCTCTTTCAACCCCAAATGCTAAATCGCTAAATTCATCTTCTTTGAATGCTAAGTATTCGAGGTAGGCTATTGTGTGGAGATCGGGGAGGGTGCAGGGGTGGAGTGTTAGGTTTGGGTTTGGAGCTGGAGCTGGATTTGGAGTTGAGGGAGTGGGGGTGAGGAGGGAGATGGAGGGTATGGGTATAGGGGGTTGCGTGAGCATTGTATTGTGTGTGTGTGTGTTTGTGGTGTGGGTTCTTGTGTGTATATTCGGTGTAGAAAGATAAATAGATATATTTGAGGGTTGATAAAAAGTATCTGAGTGGTTCTGTATTATAGAGGAATCTGTGGTAATAGATGAGATGAGATGAGATGAGAAAAATACTCGAGTTTGATATATGATATCTGTATATACTCGAGTATACTATATAGACTACTGAGTATACAAAACAAATTACTCGAGTATACAAAACATTCAAATAAAACAAAATCCAAACAAAAAGCAAGCAAGCAAACATAAACTGTTCCAGGAATTATTCAGATACTTATACTTATACATATATATATGTTTATACTTAACCTTATATCAAAGTATAAAAACAAACAAACCAACCTAACAAACCCAACCAAGCAATTAATATTACCTAGTAAGGTTAAGAGATGGAATGGGATAGGATAGGAAAAGTGTTCCTGCATAACCTTGATTGAGTTGAGTATATTACCCTACCCGGTGAAGTGGATGGGATGGGATTATACAGGCAGGTACTGTATACATGCGAGATCGATTCGTTACCCATCCATGTGTTACCAACCACCCTTTCCCTTCCCTTCCGCTTCGCTTAGCTTCACCGCCCCAAATCGGGTCGAATCGGGTCACGGATTTGATATCCGGGGTTCCTGACGAATCAACGAGTAGATGATACTTTCTGTAGCTAACCGTTTATTATGCCGCTTACCATGTATCGCTTACCGTTTACTGTTTACCGATTGACTCAGACACCGAGAGATATTGTGACATAGCAATAACAACACCGGTTTTTCTTTTCCCCGGTTTCGGCGTGTGTAAATGAGTAATACCGGTAGGTAATAAGTAATAAGTTCTAGGCTGAGGTATCGGTATGAATGAAAAACTTATAGATATAGAAATAGAAATAACAGTATGAACACTAGTACTCGAGTAGACCAATCAAGAAATATAATTGAGATTATAATTATTATAATGTATCATTAGTTTTTACTACTATAAGTAGTAAATTATTATATCTACTTTTATCTTTCTTTATTATATCTACTTTTATCTTTCTTTAATATACTTGTATAAGTACTCGAGTATGAATATGAATATTATAACTATATCTATATTGATATCGATATACTATATCTACGAGTATATCTATATTATATAAAGAAAGAAAGAAAGAAAGAAAGTTATACTTTTATCTATAAGATTATATCTACTAAGTAGAAAAGGAACTACTCGTTCTAGTATCCGAATCATCCCAATCCCTAAGAATTTAAGTCTTCGAAATCCCTGTACTAATAACCTTCCACGAGTACCAGTATTACACGAGTTACCTTTCATCTCTAAATTTCAATTGCAAAAGCAAGGAATCATATCATTGAAAGAGACAATGCTTTTACTCGAGTATATCTGGGCCATAACCTTACTGCTATACAACCCGACTGACTATACTACCCTTCGAACGCAAGTTTCAAAACCTCTATATAAGAGTACCTCCCTCCCAATAACCTATTTTTCCGAATGCTGAAATAAGTGTATACACTTTTGACGCTGAAACAAGTATTCTTATAGAAAAAGTTTTTTGCTGAACATGCCTCTAATCCAAATCCCTCCCAGTTCCCCGTCCCCAAATTCCTTTTTTTTCCCGGATCCAATGATCCAATCCGTATCCACCAAATCTACCTTCAAGCAAAATCAAGAAGCCATCACTCTACCACGTAAACATCATCAATGCCGGATTCAACACAATGGGCATCAAGAAATGTGACACCACCACTGTACACAGCGGGAAGATCGCCACAAAAGTATCGATTCTCCAATTCCAGGGGACGAGCAATGCGCACACAAGCATGCAGAACGACGCCAAGATACAAAAGAGAAAAGTGTATTTGAAGCGCTTGAGCAGCCGAGGGATTTCCTCAAAGAAGGTAACGTCTTCGACCTCTTTGGCCGTGGCGCCCCAAGTCATGTCGATTTCGAGAAAGTGGGAGACTAGGGATTGGGAAACGTGCATCGAGATGCCGCCGAGGAAGATGGACATGAGGAAGAGCCACTTGAAGTTCTCGAGGACTGTGGGGTGGATGTTTAGCAAAGGTTTGCAAAGAGAAGGGAATGATATGTGTGAAAGGGACGGGAGAAGAAGGAAGTACTTACGAGAAGAGAAGAAAGTGCGCTCAGATAATCGATAGCGAAGAATAGCCAATGAAACATTTCCCAAGGCGGTGAAAACGATAATGAGGGAGAAATACACTTGGAAAGAATCCAAATAGTATTTATCATAGAAACCGTTATACCAACCCATGATGAAGTAATTAGCCAAGGTAAGAATCCACGATGCGCCAATTGCATAATAAGTACCAATATACGCCATCATAGTAAGTTTAGTCGTGAGTCTTATATTAGAGCCCAAAAACTCCTTGAACAATTTGGTGAATGGACCACGCGTCAACCAAAATCTCAAAGGATTGAAAAGGAGTTCGTTACATCCATAAGCGTATTTTTCCCAACGCGCAAGTTCGTCGTAGACGGTGAGAGATACACCTTCTTTGAATCCATCGGTGGTATAGGCGGCGTAGCGGATGGTATACCCGTTGACCTGGAGACGAAGAGACATGTCGAAATCTTCAGAGACGTGAGATTCGGACCAGAATTTCTCATAGCCGTCTTCGTCTTGGTAAGAAACTTGTTGGACGGCGGACCAGCGGAGCATGGCGTTGTGGCCTACGAAGGGAGCGACGTCACCCATGGCGACTGCGAATCGAATGGCGGTGTAGATGAGGTTGGTGAAGAAGGTAATTCTGGTGTTTGTGTGTTAGTAATATTATTTAGTAGAGTTGATGAAAATAACATACCCATTCTCGAAGAAAGTATCGGTAAGTTGCATGACACCAGAATTGAACTGCAAGATTCCAACTTCAGGAGATTGTTCCATCTCGCTAGCAGCATCCAAGAGACAATCCGCGGGAACACGGGTATCGGAATCAATAAGCAAAATGTAATCACCGACACGGATGTTACCCCCAGCCCAAGCACGACCTTGTTCCTCCTCTATGACTCGAGCCAGACATTGATCGTAGGCTACATATTCCTCGGCTTGAGACCAAGCATCATGACGAGGGATGGTGAGAAGTCTTTCCTCGACTTTATTGGTGACCATTAGAGCGTAATTCATATTCGAAGCCTTCTTGAACTTTCCACGACGAAGGAAAGCCCGTTCACCAATCTCGGGATTGGGGTTGTGTCCAGGACGCGCGACCCATCCAATGGTATGCTCATCATAGAAATCACGGCGAGCTGAAGCTTGTTCTTCAGTAAGTAATTGCATACCATCGTCATTAATGAAAATGTTTGCAGTTCCGCCTTGGAGCTCATAGGTGGAGATAGCGGCCTTCAGAGAATGGACAGTGGGCTCAATAACACCGGAAAGACCTTCCTTGTAGACAGGCATTTGAATCGTAATATGAGGAAGGTCTCGGCTATTTCGATCGAGGCGCCGAGGAGCCTGGCCGGAGTAGAACTTGGAGTTGATGTTCAAGTAATTGATTGGTCCCAAGCATTGAGCGATATTGACGATGATGACCTGCATGAAGAAAAGCGATACAAAAATTTGAAAGGGAGTGACAACAAGTAAAGCCAATCGAGCGAACTTCCCATCCACGGCAATTTGAAGAGCAATCTTTTTCCAACCGAGTCCAAGAGCGGCGATGAGAAGACACAGGGTTGCACCAACCATGAGTGGATTCATGAGTAGTGTTGGTCTCTTTTCATTCAATCCATTACCAGCCTCGACATCAGCTCCGCTTCCCAAATTACAAGTAGATAGATGTACTCCGTCCTTCTTCTCGTCGACTGCGGCTTCATCTTCGGCCCATATCATTTCTAACAAAGAACTCTCGATAATCTCGACTCGGTCAATTAGTTGTTTGGGTTCATCGGCCCAGACAACTAGAATCTTCTGATCTTGAATGAAAGCACCAAAGTGATGTTTCTTGCATCGGATTAAATCTTCGGTGGTAGGAAGGACTTGGAGGCGAAGATTATTCGAAAGAGGAATGTAATCAGCGTGCTGATGATCGAGAAAAGTTTTGATCATGCGAGTATTAACGGTCATGGCAGACTATATTGCAGATTAGCGGATATTCTTGGACGAGCGAATCCCAAGTGCGAATGACTTACTTTGACGTTCATTGCTACGATGTGATCAAAGATCCTTGACGGGTCCGTCTTTAGGGAGTCTGGACAGCAAGTGAAGTCACCCTTCGCCTTCTTCAAGATAATACCTTCTCCTGGACCTCCAGTAATCCACATCTTTTCCATTTGTTGTTGATGTAACCAACTGACAGCTACACCGGCCTTGAAAGTCTTAACATTCGCTTCAAGACCATTTCGAAAATCACCTTCCGGATATATGGAGGATGTTTGCGAACGATCAATAAAAGATCCTGACATTGGCGAACCCAATGTAGCTGTTGTATGCATTTCCATCTCTGCTGGTGGTGCTGGTGCTTCAGACTTCTTCATCTTCTTCGTCATCTTCCTCATCTTTGTCTGCTTCGACATTTTCGCCTTCTTCGCTTCTTTCTCCTCCTTCGTCCCCGGAGCGAAGTAGCCTTTGAATGCCTTCATCTTGGGTAACAATATGATTAAAACCCAAGCAGATGGCAGGATAAAATAAGAGATTATTAAATATTATTTGATGAAAAGAGAGGATACATGCAGGTTCTAAGTGAAAAGAAGGACATATTTTAAGAATCAGCAAGCAAGCTAAGGATAAGTGTACTGGCGCTACTGACCATTGCAAAAAAGACTATTGAAGCTAGCAATAAGTCGAGTCATCCATCGATTGTACTTGCGTTGCTTCCGGGGAGGCAACATGAGCTGAGCAAACCTCCTACCGACATTGCTAAAGTCTGGAGCTTCAGCAAGCGCGAACCATTGAACTTAAACTTTGTAGGTCGACCAGACCTGGGGGAGTAGCTACTAGCAAACAAGCAAACAAAACCATGTATTTAGTTGGAACTTAGTGGCTGCCAATTCAAGTAGAGGTGGATCTGAACTCAAATACGACAACAAACTCGGATTAGCCATGCGGAGGCAGCGATTTGAAAAGCATCCGAACTCTCGGGATTCTTCCCAAAACTGCAATTTCCCATTCTTTTGAGGAAGTACAGTACTACTAAAATTATGCAGTTTCGACTGCATCAATATTTCAGATCATACACTAGGACTCCCAATCATTGTTAAAGTTCTTGGTAGTTAACAACCACTACTCTCGAGGTCGTTGTATATAGCCTCAAATTGATAATAAGATGTTAATACTCGAGTAAGGTTTCGGCTTTTATGAAAGGATCCCAAATATGATGCTTTGCCAGTGATAATTGAACGATAATAAGGCTGTACCGAAGAAGCAAGCGCAAGCGGGTTAGACTCAATCCGGTAATGATTTATTGAAAAGTATGAGGGCTTTTTCAATCCGAAGCTAGATTGAGATGAGAGTTCGTAGATGGAAGAAAAAGTCTTTTCCATGATCATTGCAGATGACTTTATTGAACTAGATGCACGCTTCCATAAACCAGGTTACAGGGATTACTGGAGTAGAGTAATACTTTAGTTTTAGTACTATATAGAAGACTATAATTCAACTTTTTAAAATAGCTTATTGATATTATTATACTAAGATCTTATAAAAAAGTCAAAAGAGTAGTATAAGATTATACTCGTATTATAGCTTAGAGAAGATATTTATATCTTGATTTATTCTTTTAGAATTATATATATTATTCTCTTTTACTTGCTCTATTAAGCGATATAAAAACTTGGCTTAGGATAACTGCAGTAGTGCCCTCGAATCGGGTTCGCAAAGAGATGTCGATAAATTGCACTGTGGCTCAAAGATTCAAAAATAAACCTTCGATCGTGGCTGATCTAGTATATATACTACTAAGTAGTACTGTAGTACGAGTAACATAAGACACTAACAAATAGCATACTACCCGGGTCTCTTGCATTCAGCACTCCAGCTTCCCAGCCGTTACCAATACGTATACCCAAACATCCCAAGAAACAATAAACACATTAGAAAAAATAGCTGCTGTGCTATATCACATTACATTACTCGGGTACATCATGATCAAGTTATTATTATTTATCGCCATATAAGGTTATTAATAGAAGTGGAAAGATGAGCTGAACATTAACTCACACAGTTTGCTAATAGGTGCAAGTAGCTGGTAATGAATGATATCAAATGATATCAAACCAAGGACTTACATTTGAAGATCATCTAGTAGGATACTAGTACCGGTATAGTCAGCGGAGCTGAGTTGACCTTGATTGAAATATATAGGTCCAGATTACTACCGGTATTGCCTCTCCTCGTTAGAGAGAGGAGTACTCTTGAGATACCTAAGGTTTTTGGATTTCACATTGGGATATACTAGTAAACCTAGGGTTTTTACATATCAATTCCTTGATTATGTTTTGGTAACATTAGATTTTCGATTTTTTTGGGTAAATTTTGAGTACTAAGATTAATCATTTTGATATAGATTCAAAGTGATAGGATGGATCTAACAAGAAATGGCAGATCTTAGGTGGATGAGTGGGTGGAGAGTTTACGGTTTCGAGGTTCGTGGTTAGTTATAACTCATCCAAATCAGTTCATGCGACGATATCGAGGAAGAGGCAAGAAGGCATGCCCGGCACATGTTGTACATTTTTGTCTAACTTATTACCTAGTAATCCAAGTTTCTCATCGATTTGTATATACTATAAGTCTATGACGAAGTTGAGAAACTAAGATCTGTTCTTTTATAGTATAAGAGTCAACGTGTCCTCTATCTCGATATCTATCAAAATCAAACTCAAAATCTAAGTTTAGAACTAGAGAACCAAAGGATATCAAGCAATCATACTTATACTCTAAGTTAACGATCTTCAATCTACCCGTTGTTATACTCGTATTAAAAAGAATATCTACATCTACTCGAGTTATATCCAGTCCTTCATTCAAATATAATTAATAGATAGAACTTCCGATAAGAATTTGGATCATGACCAAGAGCAGAGCGAGTATACTATATTTTCTTCCTCGTAATATTATATCATATCATCGTACAATTTAATTTACTTAATTTATCAATTACCTAGTACTCGAGTATATCCGTACAACCAAAACAAGGCAACGAGAACAATAAGGTCCAAAATCCATCATCTATCCAATATTAAAATATTAATCCCAAAACCAAGATGCTTGCATGCATAGTGGTCACGGGACACCGCATACCATACCATACCATAACCCATAATAGACTTGCTTGCAGCTAGCCGAACGGACCCCAAGCATCTCTTCCGGTTGGTTGGAATTTCTCTCTTGATTCTTGATTCTTGATTCTTTTTGGGAAAAAGAAAAATGATAGAAAAAAACATCTTAAAAGTCTATTGAGTTGAACATTGAACACAGGTCTTTTTTTTGAGGCTGGAAAAGTGAAGTTTGGTCACTTGCTCTATTCTATTCTATCGTCATTCAAATCCAATACCTGTCTCGGGTCACAACGTCCTAGGAGAAGGATTGGACGGGGAGCTTGGAGGAAATCTATCTCGAAGGTTGGGATATGAGGTATCACGATTTGCAAGTTAAGTCAAGCCGACGGACGATGCATTCTAGGTTCTAGTTGAGCGAACGAAAGATAAGTGAACTGTTATCTTCAGAATTAGATTGCCCAAATATTATCCAAAATTCTTATCTATCTGCGGAAGAATTTTTGTGTATGTGGCACAATCCCCGGGATTTCTTCATCCAATTCTCGCGTGTGCGGGATACGGGATTATTCGCAGTCTTACCAAATCATACCATTTGTTTCCCGTGTTATGAGATGCTACCTGTATGTGTGTACAGTACATGGACATCTGCTTGTGCCGTTTGAGCGACTCCTTGATGCTGAAGATAGAGAAGTCTAAAGATCTTCGGAACCGGGTCATGTGCATGATGCATCTCTATTTTGGGGATGTAGGGTTATTAGATATGTTCCAACCTGTCACTGAGAGATCCGTGCGGAATTCAGTCTACCGAACAAACTCAGCTGATGACAAGTCGTTATCAAAACGCTCGTTGCCCAAAAGGTATTTGTGGAAGATACCTATTTACTGAGCTGCAGGCACCTATACCTAGTATACCGCTGTGTTCTAAGGGAGAAAACAGCGTGGAAAATCGACATCGTACCAGAGAGTTGAATGTTTATAAAGGAATGTTTGATGTTCCAATTTGACTTCTATTTGATAGATAGTCATGCCTTGAGATAGCTAATTACCCGAACAGTTGATGAACCCGTAATGAGGACGAGCAGTTATTTCTACTACTACTACTGGTAGTGATGGAATTATCACAAGTTCTTCGTGCTATCAACACCAAGGGAAAGAAAGACGAAGATATGAAGAAGTGGTCCTGTCGGTCGGCATGATGGATAATATCTCATATACCTAGGTATACCTATGACTCTGATGAAGATCGTGGCCCATATGCACCGTGTCAAGTTTTCCCACGTTCACATTCAATTGCTGTGCGCTTGCAATTGCCCATAAGCCTGGCCAAAGAATATTGGGGTGCCTGTTGGTGACACAGAAGTTTGAAAAATCAGAAATTGGGCAAAACTCACGGTTCCGCATCCACGCTACATCAGCGGCTGAATTGCTGTAGAGTGCTCATGAGCATATCGCCTCATCTCATTCTCTCATGGTCATTTTCAACGTCCAGAATTCATATAAAAATGAAGCATAACTCTATCGCACCAATGCTTCTAATTATCTCGGTCGATCTCGATGATCTGCGCCCAGTGATGCTCATCTTTTACCAAAGGTATAGCAACCCAGAGCTGTCACTTGCGCTCTGCCAACCTCAAGCAACACTAATGATATGTACCTTGAGTTCCAATAGTTGAATAACGTGACCCATCAGTTGTAGTTATTAGCGAGGTCTTTGGGTACAAAGATAGTGGTTCCGCTCTAGGATGAGCTCAAATAGAGATTTGACACATCTCATACTCGTAGATGACCAAGCAGCAAATATCCCTATATGGAGATTCTAGTAGTTAGTTGGTCTTTCCTCTTCTCGCTGATAAAGGTTTGGACTGAAAGTATTGGTTGCCTCTGCTTTCTGACCATTAGAGATTGAGATATAATGTGGTAACGTTTGAGCAAAGATAGAGTGGTTTTCTCGCATCTTGCCAGAGTCCTTCGACATAGCATCGATTGAAACACAAGAAGAAATCGGGGCCCGTAATATTAATTCTTTGGGGGAGAATTTGCAGTAAAGATGAAGCTAATAATCTTTTATGCTTCTTGACTGACGTGTTGAAAAAATCTCGTTTCCTGGAGGTTGCGATACTTACATGACCTACATCTTGTTTACTTACAGTCATCCAAAAAACAGAGGTTGATCTTGGAAATTATGCTTTGAACCATCGAGGTTGACAGTCATATATATGCCACGAGTGACCAGCATGACTTGAATAGCTGTTCAAGCACAAAAGGATTACTTTGTCACTCTGCACACGTAATTGTGACTGATACCCCGGAATCTAAGGTAGACACCCTAACCAGCTGAAGTGACTGCTTCTTAATTTCCGTTGGTGCATCTGTACCACGATTCGCACATGGCGGTAGCAATGTGATGTAACATCGGCTCCGGTGTATAGTATCCTCTCGACATGATTCCGGAATTGTTAAGTGCGGGTCTCAATTCGATAGCCCATCCTATCTCTCAGTCCCGTGTATAGTGTAAAATGAAGTCAAGTAGAGAATTGCAGACCTGGCCAGACTCCATGAAGAATTTGCTGATTCAGAATGACTGGTATGCCAAAGATTCATGATACCAAGAGCTTCTCGTTGACTATGTATGCCAAAGATTTATGACACCAAGAGCTCTCGTTGACTATTCATGCGAGTTTGGTTGAGGAATCTATATTTTCGCCGCAAGCCGGCGGAGGATATCATATGTAAGATATGCAGTACGTGAATTGGGACGAATTTGGCACAAAGATCATGCAGCGGTCAATTAGCAACAGTATCGAAGAGTAATGATTCATGTGCGTGCCAATGGACTTCGTATTCTGCTTTGTTGAGGTTGAGATGTTGTGTTGCGTTCATTGAACTCTCGACAAAGGAGTGGAAGTTATGTACTAAAGAGCTGCCACTATACCGATACCGCAACCCCCACGAAGTTTATTTAAACCCTTGAAATCTGGGGCTGCGAGCTTCCAATGACAAGATTTGATAAATTATGAGTGGTGGGATGAACGACAAGCCACAGAGTAGTAATTCCCACTCTTTCTTTCGACAGCATGTTGTGGTTGGTTGAACTTGTTGAAAGTACCGTCGCTAATGTATATTAAGATGTGATATTGACGGCTTTGAGGCGGTGAAGAATAACATCGAAGATCCAAAAAAAAACTCACAAATTTGAAAGTTATTATTACAGTACATTAATTACCATACATTCACGTCCTGTTGCCATTGCCAACAAAGCAATCAAATATTGCGCATGCATCATCACATTACCCACCGAATTTGAAGTTATTCATATAAAAAAAAAGAGTAAATGTCGCTCAAAGTCCCCTAAGATTGGGTTGAATATTTGGTCAAAGTATTGAGAAACTGCTGGAGCAGGAGCAGGAGCAGGAACATGAGGCCAAGACCAGGAGTGGATGCTGTGGTTACTGTATCGGTATCTCATGTAGTCAGACTAATCTGACTGTCAATCAGTTACTTATTATAAAACATTTCTGCTGACGTTTTGAACTTTCCAGTATTCATATTCAGCACACGACTGATTCATACCCGTCTTTTCTGTGGAGAACCAACATAACTATACATACAGTACTTTCAATCTCGTTCTTAAAACTTGGCAGATTCAAAGTCAAATCTAAAGACAAATCCAAAGTCAATTTCAATATCAAATCCAATATCAGATCCAAATCTCATTCAACAATTCTTCGTCTTTCTTTTTCAGAACTCAAGACCTTATCCCCCACCTCCCGCGCCTCCCATCCATCTCCCATCTCCCACCCCACTGTTTGTACCTACCCAACTCTCAAAACTTATCTTATTACGTCGTCAATCTTTTTGAATTCCCACAGGATATAGTATAAACACCTCCGAGCACCTTCCAGCCATAGAATGACATCGCCATTGCGGAAACAGCGCACTTCCAGTTCTTCTAGTGATGTTGACCCGTTTGCTGCGGCGCATGTATACTACGGCAACGACGCAAATCAGAAATCATTTCGACAGTTCCGGACTCGTACATACTCTTCAGTAAGCACGGCATACCCGAATAAGACCTCTAAATCACCCAACTGATTTGTTCGCAGAATCAGAGCACCTTGTCTAAGCCAATTTTCGATTTAAAGAAGCCAAAGAGAAGAGGAAGCCATGGTCAGTTTCTCATACTCTGATACCCAACTTCTCGTCGACTTACGTACATATTTTTGCAGATGATATCGGGGATTACGGACGTAAATTCTTAATACAGGTTGACTCGACTCTGGAAGCTCTGCGAAAACAGGAAGACACGGATAACAACCACCAGATTACAATTGAAGATTTGGGGCCAAAGGTGAGAAGTCCCAGGCATTTTGTACATGCAGTTTCCTAACCGACTTATCTCGGAATAGTCACTTCCTCTCGGAACTGCTACCTCGAACGGATTCAAAAGATATGATATTCGTGGGACTTATATGTTATCAAACCTTTTGCAGGAATTGACCCTGGCAAAGGAAAATGGTAGAGAGCAAATTATCTTGGACGAATCTCGCCTCAACGAAAACCCCGTTAACCGCCTCTCGCGATTGATACAGGGCTCTTTCTGGGATAGATTGACTCGTAGAATTGATGGCTCGGTGATTGAGATTGCTGGGCGTGATCCTAAGGATTGGACCGATGATCCTCGCCCACGAATTTACATACCTCGAGGCGCACCCGAACAGCATGCATACTATACTAAAGTGGCAAATGATAGACCTGAAGTTCGTTTGGATGTTTGCTGGCTGCCAGAAGAGATCACACCAGAAGTCGTTCGTGATATGAACTCTAAACCCGGCCTTCTAGCTGTTGCCATGGAGGAAGTCGTGGATCCATTAACTGGTGGCAAAACTCTCAAGGGCTTGCCATTCGTTGTACCAGGTGGTAGATTCAATGAACTTTATGGATGGGACAGCTATATGGAATCACTAGGACTGATTGTCAACGATAAGGTCTACTTGGCAAAGTCAATGGTGCAAAACTTCTGCTTCTGCATTGAGCATTACGGAAAGATCCTTAATGCCACTAGGTCATACTATTTATGCCGTTCTCAACCGCCGTTCTTGACAGATATGGCACTTCGGGTCTTCGACAAAATCAAGCATGAACCAGGATCACTGGACTTTTTGAAGACCTCTATTCTTGCAGCCATCAAGGAATACCATAGCGTGTGGACGGCCGAGCCAAGATATGACCCTGTCACCGGCCTATCAAGATATCGTCCCGAAGGCCTTGGTGTACCTCCAGAGACTGAAGCATCTCATTTCGAACATCTGTTGGAGCCTTATGCTAAGAAGCATAAAATGACTTTCAAAGAATTTGTTGAAGCCTACAATAATGGGAAAGTCGTGGAACCGGAGTTGGACGATTACTTCCTACACGACCGAGCAGTACGTGAATCAGGACACGATACATCGTACCGTTTGGAAAGAGTTTGTGCCGACCTTGCAACAATTGATCTTAATTCTCTTCTCTATAAATACGAAAAGGATATTGCACATTCCATTCGTACCTTTTTCAACGACAAGCTTGAAGTTCCAGCCGAATTCTGCGTGGGTGATATGAAGCCTGGTCAGCTGCAGACATCATCAATGTGGGATCGAAGAGCCAGAAGTCGCAAGCTGGCCATTGACAAATATCTTTGGAACGAAAATAAGGGCATGTACTTCGATTACAATACCGTAAAGCAAGAGCAGTGCACGTATGAAAGCGCCACAACATTCTGGGCGATGTGGGCAGGCGTTGCTTCACCACAGCAAGCTGCCAGTCTGGTCGCCAACGCTCTTCCTAAATTCGAAGCCGCGGGAGGGTTGCTTTCTGGAACTGAAGAATCTCGTGGTGCAGTTGGGTTAGACCGACCTAATCGCCAATGGGATTATCCATATGGTTGGGCTCCGCAGCAAATGCTGGCATGGACAGGATTACTACGATACAACTACCAGGAAGAGGCCGAGCGACTTGCCTATAAGTGGTTGTTCATGATCACTACAGCTTTTGTCGATTACAATGGCGTGGTAGTGGAAAAGTACGATGTAACCAGGGTTATCGATCCGCACAAAGTTGATGCAGAGTATGGTAATCAAGGGTCGGATTTCAAGGGAGTTGCCAAAGAAGGGTAAGTTCTTCAAATGTGTTTGATCGACTCCAAAGTTCTAATGAGTTTAGTTTCGGATGGGTTAATGCCAGCTATGTCTATGGACTCCAAATAATCAACGCACATATGCGACGAACCCTAGGAACACTTACACCTTGGGAGCAGTATAATAAGGCGATGAACCTCTGAGTAAACGAAGATAGAGGCCAAGCAGAACCTTTAATGCTTTAACGACATTTGCATTTTTGCTCTATACCCCTTGAATACGTTAGATGGTATTCGAAATTGTTCTCGAGTTGAGAAGTAAAACGATTAAGAGGTTCGTGGGACGATAGGGGCGTTCCAAAACTCAGACAAAAAGTTCCTTGCTGGAATGGAAGTGCAAAGGATAATTTATGGCTGATGTTTGATGATGATGATAATATGCGGTGGATATTTGCTCTGGGAGGGGGAGCTGGTTACGATTGATACTTTAATGAAAATATGTGTATATTGGAAGATGGCAGTTCTGCGCTGTCGCAAGAAATCAATAAATATACCGGCAAATTGCTGATAAACATTGTAATTTGTGTACCCAATACCATTAATGACTTTACTTGCTTTCTTGCCAATAAGTCCCAAGTACTGATTCAACATGGATGGTTACATGATTGATGCACATTTGACCGAATAGATAGGTTATATAAATGCCTAGACTTCACTTCCTAAAATCGCATCCTATAATCGGATATTTCAAAAGCATGATCGGAGACAGTAGATCGGATCGGACTTTTATGATGAAGGGGCTTCTGAGCCGAGGCGTTTTGGACCTGCAGAAAATGTCCACAATCCCCTCTTCCTCCGCGTTTTTATTTTACCCCTCGGCAGGCAGCTCATCTGCATCCATCCTTGTTATCGGATGGTTAATATCGGGTTTTCACATGTTCGAAGATTTACTAGTAAGTAGGTAAATAAGTGATAATGATAATGATCATGTCAAGTGTTCTAACATATGTTATTTATGTTGGTGTTGTGTTAATGTACAGATTAAGTGATATGTCAGTGTGCGATGTAACTCTCCAAGAGGTTGTCTGACGGCTGGGCACTGGGCAGTGGGCAGTGTGAGTGAGTATTATGATGTGTATGGAGATTAACCTTAGATTATGGTACTGTATGGTACTTTACTGTACGGTAGGCAATTGGTAAGTGAGGACATATACCATACCGGTACATATACATACGCATATACATAATCCGCTATTGATGGATTTGAAAGGTCAGAGACAGAGAGAGAGAGAGGGATTTGCAATTATTACTACGAGTATTTCAAATCTTCAATCAAAATCCATCAATTCTGCTTTCGTCATACCCCAATCCAAACCGCATTTAACGGCAAGCCAAGATCTGGGAGAAGCCAAGAAGGTTATTTCCCCAGTTTTCGGGAATGTATCCAATCACGGCATTCCTGGGATCTTCTTTCTCCCTATGACTCTCTGTCATGCTCATGCGATATAGGGAGCTAGCTCGGGTCTTTGGCCGGGTAGCTTCTCTCTCTTATGTTTGAGGGGAATATATAGCTATATTACCTTGGGGAAATTTACTATTTCTTTCTTTCTTTTGATGGTATACTCGAGTATTACTCCAAAGATTCCAAATATCACTAGTTCAATATCTTACTATATCTTACATTCCTGTCAAAGATAAACGAAGTAGGAATTCCAACTACATACTCTTATTCTATCTCATCGTTGTTTCTTCAGATCTTGAAAGAAAGAACATACACGACATTTGCTTATTGTTGTTTTATACACGCTCCATTCACATACATTCATATATAAAATATGGCTTCCGCCAATAGAATGGCCGGTGTTGCGGTGGATCCAGAACAAGAAGAGCAGATCTTTTTGGCAGAGGTTGTTGCAGTTAAGCAATGGTGGTCAGATGAAAGATGGAGATATACCAAAAGACCATTTACTGCCGAGCAAATTGTGTCCAAGAGAGGTAATTTGAAGATCGAATATCCAAGTAATGCGCAATCGAAAAAGCTTTGGAATATCTTGGAGGGGAGATTTAAGGTATGCATTCCTAATATTTCCCATACCGTATTGGCAGATAGATACTGATGTTTGGAAAACAGAATAAGGATGCTTCTTATACTTATGGTTGCTTGGAACCTACCATGTTGACTCAAATGGCAAAGTTCCTCGACACGGTTTATGTTTCGGGATGGCAATCATCATCTACTGCATCTTCTTCTGATGAACCTGGACCAGATCTCGCAGATTATCCATATGTAAGTTCAATTGATTATTCCTCCATCTCTATCATGACTTTGATACACTAACACCCTCCAGACTACCGTCCCCAACAAAGTAGCCCACCTCTTCATGGCCCAACTCTTCCACGACCGCAAACAGCGAGAAGAGCGCGTGATGACCGCCTCCAAAGCCGATCGTGCCAAGCTTCAAAATGTCGATTATCTTCGTCCCATCATCGCCGATGCTGATACTGGACATGGTGGTCTTACTGCCGTCATGAAGTTGACCAAGTTGTTTGTGGAGAAAGGAGCTGCCGGTATTCATATTGAGGATCAAGCACCTGGAACCAAAAAATGTGGACATATGGCTGGAAAAGTACTCGTGCCTATTAGCGAGCATATTAATCGTCTTGTTGCTATTCGTGCGCAGGCTGATATCATGGGTATGTTCTCAAATCTATAGCATCTTTCTAAAAGCACTGAGCACCGACTAACACACCATATAGGCTCTGATCTCCTCGCCATCGCCCGTACAGATGCTGAAGCCGCCACCCTAATAACCACGACCATCGACCCCCGCGACCACGCCTACATTCTCGGCTCCACAAACCCCAATCTCCAACCTCTCAACGATCTCATGATAGCCGGCGAGCGAGCCGGCAAATCCGGCGCCGAACTGCAAACCATCGAAGATGCATGGACCGCGCAAGCCGAACTCAAACTCTTCAACGACGCCGTCGTCTCTACCATCAACTCCACTCCCCACAACACCAAATCCCAAGACCTCGTCTCAAGATTCCTGACCGAAGTCAAAGGCAAGAGTAATTCCGAAGCCAGAGCCCTCGCCAAAACCATCACCGGCGTAGATATTCACTGGGACTGGGATGCTCCTCGTACGCGCGAGGGCTATTACCGCCTACAAGGCGGCTGCGGCTGTGCCATTAACCGCGCCATCGCCTACGCCCCCTACGCCGACGCCATCTGGATGGAATCCAAGCTCCCAGACTACCAGCAAGCCGAAGATTTCGCAGCCGGCGTACACGCCTTCTACCCCGAGCAAAAACTTGCCTACAATCTCTCTCCATCCTTCAATTGGAAAACCGCAATGCCACGCGCCGAACAGGAAACCTATATTCAGCGCCTGAGTAAACTAGGCTACTGCTGGCAATTTATTACACTAGCGGGTTTGCATACGACGGCGCTGATTAGTCATCAGTTTGCGGAGAGATATAGTAGGCAGGGTATGAGGGCGTATGGAGAACTAGTCCAGGAACCGGAGATGGAGCTGGGTGTTGATGTTGTGAAGCATCAGAAGTGGAGTGGGGCGAATTATGCGGATGAGTTGCTGAAGATGGTTACGGGGGGTGTGAGTAGTACGAGTGCGATGGGGAAGGGGGTTACGGAGGATCAGTTTCATTGAGGGAGGGAGGGAGGGGGTGGAAGGTTAGGTTAGGTTAGGTTATTGGGGTGGTAGAGGGATGTTGTGTTGTTGAGGGATTAGCATTTTATTGCATGGTGCATACATTCATTTATTTATACATTTCATTCATTTTATTAATACATTTCATCGATCCATACAATTCATCACAATAACAAACAGTATGTGTGTGACTCGGAGCATCATGAATAGAGACAGCATCTTCAAATCAGCACCAAAGATCAGATCGGACCGGACCGGATCGGATCAGATAGTTTCATTGTAAGATTTCAAACAATGTAAATAAATGTATGTTGTTTGATGTTTGATGTTTGATGTTTGAGTATATTATAATTGAGTAATTAGTGAAGTTCTTTGGGTTTTTTTATGGGTGAGTAGGTGAGTAGGTGAGTAAGTGAATGAGTGTACGGTATTGATATTGGGATAAGTGAGTAGGTTGGTGAGCGAGTGGATGGGTGGTGTGGAGTAGATATAGATGTAGGTGTAGATAGATATAGATATAAAACAAATAATAATAATAATAGTAATAGTAATAGTAATAGTAATAGCAACCAAGTATTAATCACAAATATAAAAAACTACCAAAAAAGCAAAATCCAAAAGACAATCCGAAGAAAGCCTTGGAATTTGATATAATAATTACAGCTAAGTAGTATGTAAAATCAGCTTACAATTAGTTCATCTCATCTTATCTCATCTCATCTTTAGTCAGATTCTCAATTATCGATACTGATAATATTGATATTGATATTGAGATACCTACCTATCTATTCTTTTTCCTCACCGGCAGCTCATCAGGAAGGAGCTCATGGGGAGTGAGCAGTATGTTATTGGTATTATCAATGAAAATCTCTCCCATGAACTTTCCTCTCTTTTCCTCTCTTTTCCTCTCTTTCCTCTCTTTTCTTATTGACACTGTTTCTCTACCGGTATAACACTCAACTAACACACAGTAAAAAAAAACTTCATAATACAAGTAACACTATCAAGTCAAAGAAAATATTGTCTTTCTTTTGATTTACCAAGTACCTATATCCTCACGGTATAGCAAAAAAAAACCCAATTAAATTACATCTCATCTCATCTCATTCCCTTCCCCCACTCAAAAACATCTTCTTGAAATCCGCATTACTTTTCAGGGGCTTATTCTCTGGAGCCGTGGCCTTAGTATCCGCATCCTTATCCTCCCCGGTCTTTTTAGCCCCTGAAAATCCTAAGCCTTTCTTTTGTCCCAACCCACCCCTCGCACCCGGTCTTCGGACTAGAGCACTGGGCTGCATGAAATTAGTCGTACCCATATCCGTACTCGAACCCCCTTTGCCTGTTTCCTTCTTGGCGTTGCCATTCTGCCCAATCACAATGCGATCTGACTTGATTTCACTCGCATGTGCAAAAAGATCTTTCATGCCTCCTGTTCTGAGTTTGCGACCTGGAGCTATCTCGTGATTATCGAGTCCGAGAGATGCTTTACCCGCTGAGACGACATCTTCATACTCGATTATTGCACCCTGGTGATCTGGGCGGAGGACTACTTTTGTGACGTTGCCAAAGGGCTCTGCAATTGCACGGATTCTCGCATCGTTGATCGTATCAGGAACATTGAGCAAGGTGATCGTTCGATTGGAACTTTCTGGTTTAGATGGCTGATGTAAAGCATGTTGGTTGTTATGAGAATGGCCTGAAGCAGAAGCAGGATACATTGTAGAATCTCCATCACCGTCTGGGATTGGAGATGCTGAAGTGCCCTTTTCTGTACTGGTTGCGATAGGCTTGTAGTTTCTCGATTGCGTCAATTCGACATGGAGAACCGAGGATTTCAACTTGGTCTTATCCAATTCGAGTGCTGCAGTCGCTTCGTCCTTGTTCTCAAAAACGACAAAACCTGCACCCTTACTCTCCCCCTTAAATGTTCTTAAAATCCTGACAGATTCAACTTGACCATACTTCGCAAAAACATCCTTCAGATCATCTTCCTTCAGGCTTGAATCGAGACTGGTTATATGGAGCTCTCGACCCTCAGCGGTGGCACCTTCTCGTTGTTTTTTCCCAGCTGGGTCGGAATATTTGGCCACAAGTTTAAATTTGTTCTCGAGCAATTTTCCATCAAGCTGGGTAGCAGCCGAAGCAGCTTCGGCCTTGCGGAAGGTAATGTAACAAAATCGACGATGCGTGTTGAATTTGAGACTTGGCCATCGAATACTATATATTTCACCACAATATTTGAACAGGTTATGCATGTAATTCTCATCAGCCGTAGGTGGATAATTTGTTACATAAAGAGTCAAGCCAGTCCCGGACTCTACTTTGATTTGGTTCTCGCCAAAGAATTTCCCATCACGGAGAAAAGCCGATTGGACATCATCATTGGAACGAAATTCAATCAAACAGGTAGAGGAAAGCTTGTCAGCTTCGGGCTTGAGCGTCAAGCTATTGATGTGACCATATTCCTTGAAATACTGTCTGACTTTGGTTTGGGTGACCTCGGGGGGTAAATTGGTGACCATTACGGTCGTGTTCTCGCGATCCCTTTTCAAATGCTGTTGCCGCAAGGCCTCTGAATCAGCTCCCGGTTGCTCATTTTTTGGCTTCTTGTGGGTGTTACCATCAATATTTTCGGGGGCCGGTTCACGCTTCCTCTTCACAAGTCCAGGATATTCATCAACTGTTGAGTCCGGCTCAACAATCTGTGGCTGTTGTTGAGAATACAATTCTGCTTGCTCGGCAGCAAATTTTTCTCTGCGTTTGACCACTAGTTGGAATTGTCTACGGACCAAGTCTTTAGCCGCTAACAAGGTATGTGCGTCTTCGTAATTGTTGCAATGTGCAATGTACATTTCCATGATCGCCTCCGGCCAATCTAGGCCTTTCGTACGTATAGCTTGAGACAAGACCATGGAGGGTAAGTCAGGAGATGTGTTCGGATTCCGCACCGTCATTTCCCAAACGTAATACTGTTGCCAGAAAGCGTAGCTTTTCTGATGTGTATTCACAAGGCCTTCCCAAGATTCACGAGCTTCTTCGATTGAGCCTTTTTGAGTGAGATATTGGATCAATATCCTCTCGATTCGAAATGAAGGATCCCCTGTATACTCCCTTTTGTGGAGCCTTCTACCCCAGTCCTGAACGGTCTCAAGCGAACCAGTGAGACCAATGTCGGCCATATCAAACGCTTCATCTTCTGGATTTTTGTTCAAAGTCCTCCGTTTGAGATATCCGCACCAAGCTATATAAACCTCAATCACTTCGTCCATTTTCCCGTCACGATCCAATACGCCAGTACTCGTCGCGGCATGCTTTATGTCTGCAATCGTAGAGAAGTCCAGATCCTGCGTTTCTGCAAGAAGGATGTATCGCGCCCACAGACTTCCTGACCAAGGGCAATGTGCAGTGGCGCGCTGTGCGATGTAGAGAGGATTGCCTAGTTGCGCATCTGGATTTACGGCATAGCTTTGTTGGACGAAAGCAATGTAATCTTCCCAGGTGCCAGGATCCCGGCCCAGAATAGTCGATGCTAACGCGCGTTCGTAGAGGGCAACAGTAAGAATCTGGGGGCTGCGAGGCAAACCCTTTTTAGGGTTCTTCAATGGTTGGAGGCTCTCCCATTCCAAATAATCTTTCATTATAGCTGCTGCACCTTCTTTATCACCGCCTGCGACAGCCTGCTGAAGCTTGAGCTCGTGCTCTTCGCGTTGCTCATACAAATATCTGGCGGGGCTACCCAGCTGTGTAACTTGCACCATTGTAGATTCCCAAGAAGGCTCGTCATATTTCGTAATAAATGTCGAGAACATCTGCGAAGTCTCATCCCATTTAGCATGTGGAGTTTGCAAACGATCGAAGAATATTTTGCGGACGCGCTCTACGTAATCGCGCGTGGGTGATCTCGCAAGCTCTTCCAATTCGATAGTAATCCATCTATTCCATAGCTCATGGCTGTCGTTCAATCGAAATTGCGTAGCTGCAGCACCTTCCTGCCAAAGGTCCTGTACTGTCTGTAGGGAAAACAATTCCTGCCCGAGCTGCTGTTCATCTTCCGGCCATCCGGCATCTAGATCCCGACAATCGGTGTATAATGACAGGACCCAGTCGCATCTCGCCAACCAAAGTGTGTTGCTCCAAGGCTCTGCAGATATTGCGCGTTTGTATAATTCGACAACTTCGATGCGCTGCTCCAGATCTCTCGCGTTTCGGCTGGCCTCATCTACGAGCGCCAACCACTCGTCTTCGCCAACAGGTTCACTCATTTTGTTAACAAAGCTATTCTCCGACTAGTCCACTTTGGAGATCTCGTATCGATATCGGGAGGTAGCCCCAAGAAGCATTTCGAGAACTTTCTTGAGGATTAAATGATGGAAGGTAAATACTAGATATGTATTGTAAAAGTTGATAACAAAGACTACCAGGAGGCATCACGAAATACAATATATCTCGAACATTTCAATCCCACCGGACCTTTGCCGCCGCTTAATAGATTCGGAATGCGACCGCGGAAGATATTATCGCCGATTTCATTTAACCCTTCCTTCGGGCTGGAGATGTGGAAAGTTTGTAAAAAGCGACTGCGTTTTAGATCACCAAAAGCACCTAGTTGTAGATAAAACACAATATTGAAAGTCCGTCTCCTTGGAATAGCTCTTAGCTCTTGTAAGCTTCAGTAATAAAACCTAGTATGTCCCGAGGTGGTTCTTGCATACTCACTCTGTAGCGTGAATCAATCTTAAAACATGAAGCTTAAAGCAGCCATATAGATTTGACAAGCTAAGAACTTCAATTATTTTGATAATATGATGGGCGGGACATTGACAAGCAGCCCAACGCAATCCACACAATGAGTTTGAATCTTCCTTCGCGGCGCCTGCTAAGGTCTGGTAAGTACACGATTGTTTTTTCGATATTAGCAATGCTGATCATCTCATAGCCGCAGTTCTTACGACATCCCATCCACCTATCGCCGTCCTCGTCCCATTATATACCAACCAGCGAAGATCGCTATGGGACAACTTCTCAAAGCGTCTCGACGATGCAAAGAGGATGCTCACGCCGAGCAAGGCCTCCAAGAACCCCTTGACAGAGGAATACCTGAAGAAGAGATCAGATACCCAGCGACAACAACAGCCTGAGCGAGGAGATATCACACCAGCGTCTATCTTCAAAGATGATAATACAAGACATAGACAAGGCGGCGAGGAAAATAAAATTGTACCTAGAAGCCCCAAAATAATGGCCAGAGCACTGGACGCAAATCCCAGAGCTACCATTGCGTGGAAACGGAAGAAGGTAATACAGGAGGTCAGAAAACGAGGGCGTTTGACCAAGGAGCAAACGTTGAAGAGAACGGAAAGGGTGCTATTGTCAAGGAGTCATGATTTCAAGACTTCAGTGAAGAAATTGGTTCCTTTGGCTAAGCAAATCGCGGGCAAGACGGTGGAAGATGCGATCATTCAGATGAGATTCTCAAAAAAGAAGGCTGCGAAGGACGTCAAAGAGCATCTGGAGCATGCGAAGAATGAGGCTATTCTAAAGAGGGGTATGGGGTTAGGGAAGGTCGCAAGAACATCCACTGAAAATTTCAAGACGCGATATATCGTGACTAAGGATAGGAAGAGAGTTAAGGTGGAGGATCCGACTACGCTATATGTTGATGAGGCTTGGTGTGGAAAGGGAGACTGGACCCCAGATTACGATTACAGGGCGAGAGGAAATGTTAACATCATGAAGAACAGGACAACGAGTAAGTTGAATATCTTTACGAAAGTACTGTCGAGGCTAACGTAATTAGGTCTTTCGCTTGTGTTGAAGGAAGAGAAAACTCGCATTAGACTTCATGAAGAGCGGGATGAGAAGCTCAAGAAGAAAAAGGTCTGGGTTCAATTGCCCAATAGACCTGTGACTGCACAAAGACAGTTCTACTCATGGTAGTTTTTGATGTACATTCGCTTTGACCTGTATATTATAAGATTATCAAAGACCTCGTGGAAATGCTATCAACTGCCAAAATGAAGCCCGGTTGTGATGCCTGTAAAGGCAGCCCCGTCAAATTAAAATACAATTTGGCAGAAGAGCTATGTCGTTCATGCATATGCTCATCAAATTACGCGACTCCTTGATCAAGCGCCGGAGAGCAATTGTTCTTCTTCATCTCCTGGACTGGCCGTAGCACTTTGGGTCTTTCTCTCGCCATACCTAGTTCTCCAGCCTTCCCAGGCATTCCACAACCTGGAAGATTGATTGAAACCATGACACATCATACCAGCCAAAAATCCCACACCATCATTCTTGAATGCTAACAGAAATCCAATGGTCATGAACATCACCGTCCATCTCTCCTTTCTTTCCTCGTCAGAAAGTTGTCTATGGCGTTTTATCGCTTGTGGTTGAGCCGAGTCTAATCCAAGACTCGATTCCGATATGTCCCACAGATCTCGAGCTCCGTAATTAAGACTTTCTCCCACCTTTGCCAACTCTAGGCCAGCCGCTACAACCATGATTCCAAGTAGACTCTTTGGATATTGTCTTAGAAGTCCTACAAGAGTCTCGCCAAAGAAAACCCCCAAGAACATTTTGAATGCGCCGAGTATGATTATACTTGCACCACTTCTAGCTCCGAATCGAAACTGAGCAGCTAACCCTCCCGAGCCATGGCAGACGGGCATAGCACCAAACCACCCACCAATCAGATTCATGAGTGCGACGCTGACGCCAATCGAAGTGACGCCCGGGGCCGGAATGTTTGGTAAGAGATCAGCTGCCAAAAAGTTGACTGCGATAATGGAGTTCAAGGTTGTCAGGGGTATCTGTCCAAGACCTGCGTCTAGCGCCCCGCTTTTGAACGAGGTCCAAGACGGAACATAGACTTGAGGATGCCACAATCTAAAAGAAGGTAAATCGCTAAAGTCCGTAATGTAGAATGATAACACAAGACCAAGGATGAAGATGGCTAGAGCGTATGGTAGCCTTGGGAATCTCTGCGTGAGCAGCAGAGCGATGAATGCAAATATTGCCCAAACTAAATTATCGGCAGCATTGGGAGAGGTCCAACCTAGAGGTTGAAGAAGACTTGAACCAGCTGAAAGGACCAAGGATAAACCGGCTCCAACCTGAATGCCTTTGACGACCGGTGTAGGTATCATATGTGTGAACCATCGAAGAAGTCCCGTAGCGCTTAAAATTAACACCACGCCAGCCACAGTGTAACCAGCAGAAACTGTTTCCTCGATCGAGAACTTTCTTAAAATAGCTACAGCGGCGATAGCCTAGAGAATGATCAGCTAAGAACATTCCCAGCTATGAGAAAAAGTACCTTCATAGGTTGTACTGGTAGAGGTATACCAAAGGCGATACCGGTTAGTATATTCCACAGACCCGAAAATACCAGAGTTGATGAGAGTGATATTGAATTGTTGACCGCAAGAGCAATCATCAGAGGTAGAAGGGTTCCAAGATCACCAAAAGCGCCTGATATCTCTGCCGAAGGAGAATTTCTCAACGCGGTAACATTGTTCTTAGACCTAGCTTTCAAGCGGTAGAGGAGAGTAGTCGTCATGTTTACATGTAAATGGATCTCTAAATAAGATAAATCGATTGCAACGAGGGAAAAAGAATGGCTTCGTGGTTCCTTTATGAGGAGCTTCTTTCAGTATGTCATCTGGAAATTATACAGATATATGATCTGAGATAGATATAACTTCACGATATCTCGAGCTTACGAATTTCTAGTTTCCATGGGTCATGAGGAACAGACCGGAAATGCAAGTGACAGGATGACAGGTCTGGTATCAAACGTGGGGCAGGTGCGATTATCAAAATGACTTATGGTTTTACAGCCACACTTCTATACCGCCACACCACCGCCACACCACTCACTAGAACTTAAACTTACCCTTGCTTGTCGCGTTCACGTTTCCTGGAACGCGTTTTCTCTAAACCTCCACATCTCTTCGACACACTTTATTTCTTACCTTCAGCTATTATACAACTCCATCAAACAAGATTTGATGATTCTTCTTTTGTGATTACGTCCAGGCTTAGGTACCATTTGTATTTATTTTTCTCAATTCTAATTATATTATATTTAATTACAATGACTTCATCCCGAGGATCTTCGCCCGCGGCGCCTACCTCACCGATGGAGTTGACACCCAATACAAAGATCAGCGCAACTCTCACAGCTGCAGGATTGGGTAGTTCTGACGAAGAGAGCGTCTCTGGAAACGCAAGAAAAAGAATTGCCTCGAGAAAACCGAAGTCAGACATCTTGAAATCAGGTACATCCGATGCCAACTCACAATCAACGGTACCGGGTAGGAAAGAAGGTTCAATCGAGGTCGAAAGCCAGAGCTCCTCAGACGATGAAGAGATAGCACGACCAAGGGGACGGATGGCTGCACGTATGCAGGCTACACTGGACGGGTCAGACGACAATCAGCTTGTTGTGAATAATGCTAGGGAACGAGTCAAGAGATTGTTCACGAAGAAAGCAAGACCCGTCTCTCCGAATATTGCGGATGCTGATAGCCATGTCGATGAAAGCGATACACCAGTAATTCCACGAAAGCACAGGTTGGCAATTTTACCTCGCCAGACACCTGTTAAATTAGCTCCTCGACAAGATTCCGCTTCTCCAGGACTTTTTGTTACACCCGATGCTCGCAGATCAGCCACCCCACAATCTAATGCCTCAGACTCAGACGACCTGCCCTTGAACCCGGCATCAGCATCGGCATCAAACACACGTTTCCAGGCTCTGGTTGAGAAAAAACGCCAAGAACGACAAGCGAAAGAGGCAGAAGATAGGAAGGGAAAGGCAGCGAAGGCAGCAGAACGGAGAAGACAGGCCGCATCAATCGAAGAGGATGACCAGGATGGTAGCGAAGATGAAGGAGGACAACGACTTACACAACAAAATCGTCCTACCCGCAAGGCGAGCAAGAGGGCTATTGAGGAAATGCATAGAGAGACTCAACGACTGAGCAGGAACATGCAGTTGGCTCACCAGGCAAAGACCAAGAAGAAGATCACGAAGGAGAGTCTGTTTGCTAGATTCAATTATAAACAAGCTGGCGAGCCCAATATCGTTTCTTCGGACCCTGTTAGACAAACGAGTTCAAGTCCTCCACGCGCACCACAATCCGATGTTGAGATGCGAGAAACGCCACCTACCTCTCAACCAGATGATATGGACATTAACGACGAGCAAGAATTTGTGGACCTTCCTACGGTAATAAGCACAACTATGGATGTGGTAGACGAAGAAGATGACTTACCTACTCTCGAGGAAGTCCTAAAGCCATCGCGACCTTCTAGGAAAGACAAGGGTAAAGGAAAATCTGTTGATATGGAGTCATCTGAAGTCTCACTTGAGAAGAAGCTTGTCTTCAAGCAACGGCCAATTCGAGTACGGCCAGCTATAGTCAACACTGACAACTTGGAGCTCGATTCGGATAGTGATCTCGAGATCGTGAGCGTCAAAAAATCTGCTCGCAATGCAAAGCTAGACGCGATTTTCAATCGTATTCCAGAAAAACAAGCCAATTCCTCTCACTCAATGCTAGCCTTACGAATGCTTGCACAACTCACATCGCCTGGAAAGAAAAACGTTGGAAGAAACCAGAAGCCGTCGATGACAGCTAAAGATCTTCAGATCAGCTTACAGCTAAGAGCTAGGCAACAAGCAAACCGAGAAAAGGAGGAGCGACTCCAAGCTCTGAGGGATAGAGGTATCATGGTACAAACTTCCGAGGAACGAGAAAAGGAAATGGCGGAAGTTGATGACTTGCTCGCGAAGGCTCGCCGTGAAGGGGAAGAGATCCAAGCGAAAGAAAAGGCAGCTGCTAAGAGAGAACGGAAATCCAATGGCGAAGTGGACCCACTGGGCGATAGCAGTGATGATGAGGATTGGCAGGAAACGAATGAAGTACCAGAAGAGGAAGAGGCTTCCGGCTCAGAAGACAATGAGCACGAAGATTCTGGAAATGAAGAAAGTGGTGAAGGCGAGGATGAAGAAATCGAGGCAGAGGAGACAGCCGATAATGCAGCATCAAATCCTTTATTTGACAATGAAGCGGAGGAAGATGGAGAATCTGAAATTGACCTTTCGATTCCAGAAGACCCAGCTGACCCTACGGATGCTGAGGAAGAAGAAGATGAAGCACTACCGGTCAATCAGAAATTTAGAAGATTAAGAGTCACGAACATTATATCTGATGACGAAGAAGAGGAAGAAAAGGATCTCTTTGCAAAGACACCTAAAGCTACCCGAACTCTATCTCCGAGACATCCACGGACCGACTCACCGGTAGTTCCGACTTCAGTTCTTCGCTCAGCCACCAAAACATTCATACCGGGTTTGCCCATAACGGGTCCCGCTGGACTCAGTCTTACACAAATATTCCAGGGTACAATGGATGATAGTCAAGACGTCTTTGAAGCATCAAATCCAGAATCACAAGGCTTGGAGGCAAAGAATGATTCCATGGATTTCCTTCGCCGACGAGCTGTGCCAGAGCTGCCCGATTTTGTCCCCGTCATGAATGATGAGGAGTCACAAGACATAGTAATGGACAGCCAAACGCAAATTGCAGCAACACAACCAACAGATAGTCAGACGCAAGGAATTCAGATTTCATTCTCACAGTCACAAATATATGATTTCGATAGCTTGGTTGAGAACCCCTTATCAACTCAAGTGTCCGAGTTTCCCAATACTCAGGACGAAGGGTTTTCCACGATCACACCAATCAAATATCGATATATGGAACCACCTTCAACGGCAGATACATTCAGGATGGGATCTCAGCCTACTCAAATCACTGGTGAGGATGTTCAAGAAACGCCTATCGCGAAGAAGAAAGGAAAACTTCGCCAAAGAGCTCAAGTTGCCTCTTTGTCTGACATTGATGAACCATTAGATGCTGCCCGAGAGGACAAAAATCAAGATGACGACCTTGGAATCTCGCTCAACCTTTTTGATGTCATGAAAAAAGCCTCCAAAAAGAAGACGAAGGTTGTGGATCAGTTCGATAAGAAGAAAAGCAATGCTAAGAACATGGTCAATGAACAAGCTGAGGAATCGGAAGACGAATATGCTGGCTTGGGTGGTGCCAGTGATGACGAAAGTGGTGGGGAAGAGGATGCTTTCGTCAAGGAAATGATCGATGACGAAAAGAAAGATATTGACGAGAGTGAACTCGCCAAATTCTATGCGTAAGTACTTTGAACTTGTCGTGTATGTTCCTGCTAACCTATTTTAGTGACCGTGAGAGAGCAAATGACGAGAAGCAAATAGAAAAACTCTACAACGATATCTCCAAGGGCATGCTTCGCCGCAAACGTGGTGCTGATTACGACCTTTCGGATTCAGATGATGGTGGAGAGGCACGCCAACGTCGAAAACGCGCAGAGTTCGCGAAGATGCGGAAAGCTTTGCTTGCCGCAGACGAAAAAATCGGGAAGATTGCACAGGATCCTAAGAGAGAGGCTTTTCTCCGTGCTATCGAGGATCGAGGAAGTGACGATGAGATGGGCTTCTTGGACGATTTTCAAGAAAGAGATGACACACCCTCTGACTCCCAGTCGCAAACGCAGAACGGCGAATTTCAACAACTGCCACAGAATCAGACTGATGAAAGCATGCCCCCTCCACCGAAGCGTAAGCATTCTGATGATATGGATTATGCTCGACCACCAGCATATAAGCGACGCACAGGGAAGAAGCCTTCGAATCTATCAGAAGTTCGAGAATCATTGTCAAGTCTCATTGAAGATCCTCATTCCATGGTCACTTCAATAGATGTTGAGTCCGATTCAGATGATGATCTAGAGATTGAAGGAGGGCCAGAGAAAGGAAGCCAAAAGAACCGCGATCCTTTCGCCGTACGCCGGACTGGCATCTCCATCATTGATAGAATACAGCTCAAGCGTGAGTCTTCAAGCAGTATTGCTGCCAATAATGAACGTCTAGCATTCGCGGCACCTTCGTCACAACCAGGCCACAGGGGGGTACCTCTATTGAGAAAAGCCACGACAAATAGTAGTATCTTGTCGGGGACATCAAGCACAGGTGTAAGTATTGGGATGTCAGCAACGGAGCGAATGGCGGGTGGGAAAGATGAGGGATCGGGTATAAGGAGGGGAGGGGGAAAGAACAGTGGAGTGAACTCTTTCGTCAGGGAAAGTGAACGGAAAGCTGTGATGGAAAAGAAGGAGAAGAGAAGAGAACAGAAGAAATTCAAAGGTGTGGAGAGTAGGCGTAAGGCCGTGGGAGGTTTATTTGGAAAGGGGACGTTCGACTAAGAACTTGTTATTGGGTTGGACTGGATTGTCTCTGTCTGGATTAGCATTTGGTGTTTCTGGTGTAGATAGATAGTTTGGCATAGCATAGGCGTTTTGCTAGATTTGATCCTTGAATTGATGATGATGATATTGATGCCAAGCTTTTGTAGTATACTGATCCTTTGCTGCCATGTGATATATTGCAGACTGCTTCATCCCACGAAATCGGATTCGTTGAATGGAAGGAAAGCTCCAAAATGTAGTTCGTGAACCATCACACAACATAAATGTCACTCGAGAACCTTGGTCGCCATTATGTAGGATGGCTCCGTTCATCCAAAATTCTCTACAATATACGTACGAATCGAACTAAATTGGCAAGTATAATCTCATCTGATACATGAGCGTATAGATGTTGCAATACTTGAGTATCCATCCACATCAACCTCCCAAACTGCAATTATTCTCTTCAATATCATACTCTTCCTTTCCCCTTCCCAACTCTTCCCAACTCTTCGTATCGCCAAAATATCGTTCATCCCCAAAAATCCCTCTATGGCTTCGAGCACGCGATCAAATGCCACAACCACCAAGTCATACAGTAAGGTTAACACAGCGTCTTTCATCCGGTCTACCGTCCCTATCCCATCCCTAAACACTATGGAATTACCACAGAATTACCACATAGAAATGCACGGCACCGTAAGATACCTCTGTATGCAAAGCACACATGCACATTCATCCCCCCTTCTTTAATGGATTCCCTCGTGGATAGATGCTCAAGCGGATTCTCCTTTCAATCTTACAGTATCGTGGGAACCCCACCCAATACTCGTATGTGTGCACTGTGATTGTGTAACAAGTTATCGGTACAAGTACCGGTACGGTATTAATATGAGTCTGGATTCTTCTTGCATATCTCGTTGAATTGAAAATTCACACCACGCAGCTACGCAAGCTACGCAAGCGCGGCGGGCTCTACTCGAGGATGTAGAAGTGCCGTGGATGTGGAAAACTATCCCGAAACAAAAATCCCACTTCTCCTATATCTGATTCCTTGAAACTCATACTAAGGCAAAGGCCGAGAAATAAGACCCCCAGTATACTCGAGTATATCAAAGACGCTAGAGACCGAGGACGGACGAGGGGTACTTACCGGATTCTTCCTATCACTTCTTAAATTCCTCCTCCTTTAATCTATACTACGGTCTTATCCATATTTTACTTTGGGTAAAAGGAAAGATAAAGAGAAAGAGAAAGAGACGAAAGAGGAAACAATTCCATTGTCATCTTTCTTTGAGGCAATCGATAGGACAACAATCACACATTAACACTGATTGTTCATTTCTTATCCTTATCGTCATCTAAAACGTCATCATTCCTAGTATCTACATCAACATCAATATCCTCTTCTTTTACATTAACACACCTCAAATACGAGAATGGTAGTCTTCGTTGATTTGGAAGATGATTCGGAACCTTCAAGGCATATTGGGCGGCGATTGACACATTCACCACATGGATTAATGGGTTTCCAAAAACCCATTTGGGGTGGCTTTGAGGGGGCGAACAAGGGGGCGAAGACTGCAGGCGGATTGGTGTTGGAGGATGATGGAAGAGAGAATCCAAATAAAAATGCGATTACAGAGGCATTGGGTTGTTATCCGTAAGTCTTCATCGAAAACCATCGCATACATCCCCTCCCCATCACATAGACAGGAACAAGCTAATCCCTCTTTCAGTATCATATCCGTCATAGCATCACATATCGACCTCAACACCCTCGATGCACTCTCCCTCACATGCCGCCAAATCCGCGTCAACCTCCTCCAATTTCGTTCCAAACTCCTCACATCTACCCTCCACTGCGATAAAGAGGAGGAAGATCTCGATCCTGAACATGCATTGCGCTATCGAGCGCGAGCCACAGATTACTATTTTGAAGAAAGTGTACAAAATCCATATGCGACTCAGAAATTAGGGTTTTGCGCGAGAGATCTGGTAGGAGAGTGTAGGAAGTGTGGAAGGGTGGTTTGCAGGGTATGTCTTCCCGCAGAACTCTGGGGGGAGTTTGCTCATTTAGCGAGCATGTTTGGACACGGTCATCATGATGAGCTTTGTTTCTTAGTGTGGAGGCTAATGCTATGCGATAGAACTGCACCATTAAACCACCCGGCCCTGTTCTTCTACGTCATCGCCATCGCCGTATCTGTAGAACATGCTCGAAAGCTCCTCTTGCCTCCTTAGTCTCTACTGCCTCCTCACATTGTTCCTCGTATTCCCCCTCAATTACACATGACTATACCCCTTCACTGTCCTCAGAAACCATCAAAATCTCTCTCTGTAGCTGTCCGACGGCCGTCTGGCTTTGCCAACCCTGTGGTCGCTCTTTACGTTCCCTCGATCAAGAATACGAAGGCATCTGGAAATGGCGCACGCGCTACCTCCCGTCCCTAGGCGGTCTCGGTGTCGGTATTGGCGAAGGAAACCGCGGCGTCCCATGCGGACGCGGAAGCTCCTGTTTAGCCGCCATAGAAGTGGAACAGGAAACAGACTGTGACGCCGAAGATGCCCGTGAATTCGAGAAACACAGTCGAGCAGGCAGTCCGAGTTCCAGTCCGGCGGGTAGCATATTCAGAGGCGCAAGCCCGAATATAAGCGAGAGGAATTTAAGTCTGGGACCAGGGTATGCGAGGCATGAAATTGAGGGGATTGGAGGGGTAATGAAGAAGAAGAGGGTTAAGATGGTGAGGGTAGGGGCTTGTGTGCCGGAATTTGAGGATGAAAAGGCAGAGGGGAGATACTTGGTTAGGGAGATGGAGGGAAGGGCTAGGAGTTGGTGTGGATGGTGTCATAGGGCTGTAAAGGGGGGTGATGATGTTATTGATTGAGTGATTCGAATGTGATTTGGAGCGGAGCACAAAAGTTGAGCGTATACCTACCTATCTACCTATTTGTAAGCTGGCGTAGATAGATTATATCTACGCATGTTTGTTGATAGCATGGGATTTCGGTACAATATCTTATATACACGAAAAGTGAGGAGTTATAAAGGAACCTGAGTACGAGTATGCCGGTATACACATGCACGATAATAATAATTTTCTTACCTTCTTTTACTCCAAGTAAAGTAAAGTAAAGTAATACTCCCCCCTCCCCAAATAATAACCCCAATATAATATAAATAATACACTAGAGTACATCTGAATAGAAATATAAATCTATATCTAAATCTAGCTATAGACCCAGATCTAGACCTAATATAATCCACACTCTTTCAAGTGATATCGATATTTATATTTGTATTCATACCAAGTATTCATAATCACATTCATTTTCACATTCGTATTTAATCTCCACTATATTACTCGAGTATAAATACTATACAAGTATATATCCACTTCAAAATCATCTCTCCTTTCTATCTCTCGCTAAACCCAATTCCAAGTCATTACTCCTTCAAGTTCGAGTCTAAACCAAAACTTTTTGGTCGTATATCTATTATAGTAAAGAGTAGTGCGTTTAGAGGGAGAGAGAGACTTTGTCTGTTTAGATAGTATTATAAGTTTTTATTGGGGATAGTATTGTAGATATATATATACTATGGATATCTACAATCTGGGCGAGGAAGCGGGGAATAGCAAAGGTAAAGAAACATCCGAAGGTATTATGTCGAATATTCAATGACTTGTACTGGAGCGCAAAAAGCTTTGCGATCCCATGTCAACGAGACGAAAACAAAGAAATGTTGTTTCTAAATAGACATTCCTTCGGAAAATAACTTACTTCGTACATTTCGTGACAAGATGAACGAGACTTACATACAGCTGGCACTACCACCAAAGCAATACCATTCTGCTGTGACCTACCGTATTCTCTATAGAGAGACGGAAGGTGTTAGCAGGGCAATGGAGTTGGGGTTATCATACAAGGTTTAGATCGCAGAATCCTTTGGAAGGATAACTGACTTTAAATTTAGATGAGTGAGGAAGGTTAATACGTGACACATTTCCCAGAAATATACCCTTGCTAGTAGTGTCCGACTCTCTTTCAAGAGAATACAGTATTGACTCTTATGCACAACAACAGGTTCCTTACGAACCAGCGCCTCAGGCGAATTAATGTGGCTTTCCCGCTCCACGACTAGGTCCTTATGAGCCAGCTCCGCTGATAAGAGTACGTACTCAAGACGCGATTTCCCCAATAAGGATCTACAAACTCTTAAACAAAAGGGTTATCATTCCCAGACTACATGAAGAATGGGAATTCCTGCATATTAGTAAGCTGTCATCGATATTGTACTCCACCAAACTGCATTGCAGGTAACCTATATCGGGCAGTTTCATAGGAGAAAAAATGAGATAGATGTAACGGCACCATGACAATCAAGCCGTGGGTGTCCATTCCAGCCAGATACCCAAGCGCTGAACTAAATTAAGGCGATGTGCTTTTAGATACAGCCCAGCCTGCACTGACATGGTCCTTATGAGGCGAGTCTCAGGCAACTAAGCCCTATGCCATGATTTAGATAGTCTCCACAGCGGAGATAAACTCATTCTCAATAAGCATCAATGTCGACGATGGCGACGCCCTGTTACAGCTAGGCTTGTCAACCGATCAGATATTCGTATCGGCTTTCTTAGTATGACCTTAGATATGAATAAATTTTGCGACTTTTTGCGTGAGAAAAGGCACATCTTAGATATATTGAAAAGACGAAGAACAATTGAACGCAAATACTCGTACACTCACGTATTGCTTTGCAAAATGGTTCGTGGATCGTGCACATTGTAATGCGATTGGTTCGTTTGGGTGGGACTGATTCTGCTATTAACAGTTGATCGAATTCTGAACGCTGTCTATCATGTTCGTATTGAATTGTGTCTCAGATTGAACTGAGGAGGTGGTATTCAAATGGTAGTGCCTCTCAAGGGAGGTTGATTGAAATGCATCTCTTCCTCGAAGTCTAGCTAATGAGGTTGTTGATCTTAAAAACTACAATATGCTTTCGGTGCCGCTATGTGTATTATTCTCACATGGCAAATGGACCCTGTCCCTCTCTAGTCTTGACATAAAAGTCTAAATCCACACCGACTTATACGAATACTATGTAGCGGTCCATGTTGAATTACCAATAAAGGTCTAATCACTTGCCGTAAGAGAGTAAGAACTTCCAATAATTGAGTTGCAATATGAGACACAGATATCGAGAACCGTTTGTAGCATTGCTGATCTTGGTCGAGGAAAACAAATGCGAATATTATAGTAAAACCAATAGGTAAGGTGGATGGACTTATATATCTGCTCTGCTCTCCCTCTTTTCCTCAACAATAATTCTTGCATTTAGTTCTTTTTGTCTGCTGACTTTGCCTTCGCAAGAAATTCAATTTCGCTAAACACATCTTGTCAGTATCTACTGTAATCCTTCTATTAGCCCGCCTGGGGTTGTCACTCGTTGACTCGACTTCTGAGGCAGAAAGATGGACCGGTATCGGCGGGATAAGAATGTATGGAATTCCATCGTTTTTTGAGATTTTGAAGGAACATCTTGTGTTTGGCTCGATGTCGAAGTGACACGCATCAAGAGCATGGCTCTTACTTCCACATATGACGCAAAAGCTCACGTCTATCCATAACTTAAATGGATCCAATATCAGCACATACTCGAACGATGACAAGTTCATTTTTCTTCTGGCAACTCTCCAACCTGGTTGTTTTCATACAGTCGAAAATGAATGGTCTCCACGATCTGCAACCGACTGCCATTACACCTGCGTGATCTCAATCTTTTGTCACCCACAGCTATACTCCGATACGAATTCCTTGGTCCTTCAAACTTGTGATTATATCGTTAACCTCTTACTGTTGTCGATTTCACCTTTCGGGACGAACTGCTGTGGTTCGGCGTCGGGACTTTCGGCACGGAGAAAGATAGTGCAATGATTTAGTTATGGACTTGGTAGTCGGTTCTTTATGCGGAAGACATCCACGAAGGAGGGTTTTCTTTGCATTTGCGTTTTCTTTCCTACCCGAACAGTTCTATTCTTGTATGGAGTAAACCTGTCTTGAGGTCTATTATGTTTGTCCACACCTGGACAGTATGTCCAAGTTAGATCCTTAATCGTCTCAAGGCCATATTCAATAAATATCGTAATGGTAAATGTTTTCGAGACTACAACGGCAGAATGCATTCTCGTTGACGTGGTTTCAATCGCTAGTCATGAAAACATTTTTCCCTTGGACAACAAGTATTTGCGTGATATCGCTAGAAACTCACGAGAAACGTTACTTGCTACTTCACTGATGGAGAGATACCTTTCGACAATATGCTATGTATCAATGCGATGGCAGTCTAGCTCAGAGTGCCTTCAGGTGGGGAAAAATACAAGTTTTGCAAATATGAGCTCGAATTTGTGCTTTTAGCGATAGAATACTGCCATATGGGTCTTGTATTAAATATGCGTGGTGAGATACTTGGTAAATCATAGGTCCGGGAAGGGCTTGGCCAAAATTTGGCAGAAGCAGAAACCATAACGGACAACCTGCGTAACTCAGAGTATTTGTCTGCAACGATCATTACGCTGCCAAAACCATGAAAGGACAGAGCACATTCGGGAAATGACAAGCCGCCACCAGTACTGGAGTTGAGATCCCACTTGGTTTGAAAATACTGCTTTTGAGAGAAGGGTTTGAGCAACGACAAAGATGGAAGACAACGCAGAAATGGTCTGAGACAGAACTTGTCAAAGCCGCAAAGAGCGCGGTCACTCTCCGCACGTGGCCTGTACAGTTTGAGGCCAAAGTTACAGAGACTTTTTTATAGATCTGAGCTGCAGATTTGTGTTCGGCAGTGTAATAACGACTGTGAAATCCGGAATGTCACTCACTACGGATATCGTTGTGAGTAGCCGAATATCCACCAGAAGGGGGGAAGGAAGACAGAGAGCAAACAACGCAACAACGCAACAACGCAAGATATACAACCTCGATGTCATCCCATAAGACCGAACGCAGCTGTAGAGAGCACAACCACGGCCCTGATGAATGAGGAACAATCTTTAGGATCACTTTGCGTTGCTTTGAGTATGGATTAAATTAAGCATACGAATAAACTCATGATATAGGAAGGTTTCTGCCATTGAGAATAACGTATAATTACCTACTAGCCTCAGGGTAGGCTGAGTAGGTTGTGGATGAATCATGATACCAAGATGCAACATAAATGCATAGGCTACTCGAGTATAATTGACTAGCTTGTTGTAGTTAGTGCGCTTGTCGGGAAAAATAACCTCCAGGTCCCGTCCCATCTTAACTTTTTTTTTGCGAATCGCATCGCAAGCCTCCTCAAAGTGAAAAATAAAACCTTTCGCGACATCTTCATCTTACATTTCTTTTCGTTAGAATTCTAGGATGGCCGCACCATTGACAAGTCTGCCGGGGGTCAAGCTTCCTACTGCCCCTTCGCCAATTACACCCGAACAACGATATTGGAAGGGATTTCGCTCACAGCAGCTCATCCCATCACCAACGAATTATCCTATTACACACATATCATTTCCTCCCTCGCCGACAAACGCTTTACTGCCCTCCAGCAATGATCATTTCTGTGTTACAACTGGTACTCGACTTCAGATCTATTCCATTCGCACACGGAAACTAGTGAAGACTATTACTCGATTTTCAGATGTTGCGCATAGCGGAGAAATTCGACGAGATGGACGTGTTATGGTGGCAGGTGACGAAACTGGAAAAATACAAGTCTTTGATGTCAATTCAAGAGCTATTTTGAAAACGTGGGAGGAACATAAACAGCCAGTTTGGACTACCAAATTTTCACCAACAGAAATGACAACTCTCATGAGTGCTAGTGACGATCGGACTGTTAAGCTGTGGGATCTGCCGAGTCAAGAAAGTACGACAACTTTTGTTGGGCATACAGATTATGTTAGAAGTGGTGCTTTCATGCCTGGATCGATGTCCAATATGATTTTGACTGGTAGTTATGATGAGACTGTTAGACTTTGGGATCCTAGAGTTCCAAGTAGAGCAGCGATGACCTTCAAGCATGCTGCGCCAGTCGAGACTGTTCTCCCTATGCCTTCAGGGACAACGGTTCTTGCCGCAGCTGATAATCAAATCTCAGTACTTGACTTGGTCGCTGGAAAGCCATTGCACATCATCAAGAATCATCAGAAGACTGTCACTTCATTGTGCTTGGCATCAAACGCCACTAGATTGGTCAGTGGTGGTTTGGACGGCCATGTTAAGGTTTTCGAGACCACAGGATGGAATGTTGTAACTGGGTTAAAATACTCATCTCCTGTTTTGTCCGTCAATGTTGTTTGTTCCGGTGCTAATCGGGAGGACAAACATTTGGTTGTGGGTATGCAATCTGGGGTCTTGTCTATCAAAACGCGATTATCAGGTCAGCAAAAGGTCAAGGAAAGAGAAAGAGCGAAGGAGATGCAAGCGTTGCTCGACGGCACATTAGAAGAATACGACAAGAAGAACAAGAAAAGGAAAAACACCAGCGGGGTAGAAAAGAGGCTTAGAGGAATGGACTTTATGGGCGAAGGGGCAGACGTGGTAATCGAGGGTAATGCGCGTTCAACAAAACGAAAGGAGCCGGAATGGGAGCGTGACCTTCGACAAGGGAAATATCATCAAGCACTAGACTCTGTACTTCAGAAAGGTTTGCCCGCAGTCACTGTTCTTACACTTCTCACAGCCTTACGACACAGAAGTGCCATGCGAGCGGCCTTCGAGAAGCGCGACGAGACTACGATACAGCCGATTTTCAAATGGGTCTCTAAGCATATCACCGACCCTCGATATGTTCCTATGTGTACTGATGCCGCTATGTTGCTCTTGGACATATATTCAGAGTATACATCCGATTCGCCAGAATTAGAACGCCAAATCAGGGTTTTACATCGACGTGTGAGAGTGGAGGTGGAAAGGTCACAAAAGGCAATGCAAGTCAAGGGGATGCTAGATTTGCTTATGGCTGGGGTAAAATAGGAAGTCTAATGAGGAATTTTGTTTTTTGCATAGCGTTGGCGTTGGTGTTGGTAGGAAAATACCGGAAATGTCAGGGAAAGCTTCCTTGTCCCTTCTATATTCGAAAGACTCAATAATTGAACCGATCACATGTGCTGCCAATGCACGTTCTCTCAAATGAGAATTAGAATCATTTTTTGTCTTATTTTTGATACCATTTTGATTAGTGTTCTCAAAGTTGACATTGGTCTTGTGTATTCTCATCCAAAGACCAACTTTATATTCCTTTGACTTTTTAGCCGTCATTGTAAGTCTTACATTCACAAGCGCCAGGGGTAAAAAACTTAGTTGACTTCACCGCACCAAAGCATTCACCGAATGTTTAATTTTATACCAAAACGGAGGTCTTCTTCGAGTACTCATAGATGTCATGGAGTCACGACACTTGTGTATTCTGCGTGGCAATGCTTACGAATAAATCATCGTTAAAGAATAATTTGGAAATTTGGTTGGTACCTTGCTTGATTGCTCTCGTAATTGCTCTCGTCCCAAAACATGATATGATATGGAAATGATATCCCCATTCAGATACCTAGTAGTCATCCCATACTTTGGTCCAGCCATGTCATCAGATGGCCACTAAATTTGCAATAGACACCGAGGAAAAAGAGCTTCAACACCAAGCAGCTCCACAGCCCAGCCATGGCCATATATATAATTAGTAAACCATCACTCAACTCCACTTCCGATGCCCACAAATCTTTTTATCATGTTTCGAAAGAGAATTCAAACGCGATAACTGACCGCTACGAACGAGGATATCGATATTGAGCACTATGTATGTGTGAAATTGGTTGTGTTGAATTTGAATGGATGGATATGGATGAGGTTATGTGGAAAGGGGATAGGGGATTTAGAATAGTGGTACTTATATGGATGTGTTTCTATCTTTTGAAATTTTGATTCGACGCTAATTATTACTGTATATATTGTGTGAAATAATATAAGATAATATGTATGTATATATATCATTTCAAGCTGTAGCTTGTAGCTTGTAGCCAGAAGTTCCTCAGCCCGGCCCTCTCTCATCGCCATAATATCGTCTCACTTCTCTACCATCAACATAACATAATCTAATCCAGTCCTTTCAAAGAATCCTAATCGCGGGCCTCGTAATACTCCCCATCTCTTCACATCTTCCAACCCTCCCTCCCCCAAATTCAATCTCCTCAAACCCAACCCCAACCCCAATCCTACAGCGCAGCTTATCCTCCTTAGTCCTTAAGTCCTTAAAAGCCCTTATTGTAAAAGAACATCTGTCTCCGCTGGATGGATCGTAAGATTTTACTAGGGTATCGTATCGGGCTGGTTCTGCGGGTATGTTTTGGTTTTGGTTTTGGGTTTGGATTTGATATTGTCATAATTACAGTATATGTGGCTTTTAAATAGAATAGAACTCTTTACCCGGGTGTTTGGATAGTATAGCGGTGATGAGTGAATATGCGATGGATATGGATATGGATATGGATGATGGATGTGCATAGTCAGAAAGGCAGTAAGGAGGCGCAAGACGCGAGGAGTGTCCATGTGTCACGGTGGTTTGGGGGTGCTTATGTGTGTGTGGGGTGGGAGATTGGTTGGAGTGTATAGTTTATGACATGACACTGAGGAAGAGAGCAGATGGCATGAGAGGGAGATGGAAATTATGTGGTGAGGGGCTTGTGGCGAGGGTAGAAGATGGTAGAAAAGAAGTAGATCTGCCGTTTGGAACCGGGGAGCTGTAATTCAAGACGTGCGTACTGGGTTTATGAGAGCGAAGCTGGTTTGTTTGGTTTAGATTAGTTAGTTAGTTAATTGAGCTGGATCTGGTGTTTAGCTTTGCTGTGATGATATGTTGACGACTGGAGAGATGGTAATTCGCTTACTGAGACCAATCTCTCATAGGAAATGTAATGTAAACAAATGTGATAAGAATACCGAAACCCTAGTAATCATCCAAATTATCCAAAAGTTCAAGTCTATGATTGTGGAAGAAAGATATAGAAAGATAGAAAAACATTATCATGACATGACATCACATCTCTAAGCTACCCTAAAATCAATGGATAGTATTCCTACTCGTATATCATAATCCTAACCCCATATGATATAACCCCTATTCCCCTCGCTCAAATCAAATGCCCGAGAAATATGTTATAACCTTTCAGAACACCATTACACCTTCCTCTATAATATATATCCCGAAAGCCAAAGCCATATCCATATCCATATCCATATTCATACCCATACCCAAACTCAAACCCAAACACCATGATCCTCCCTCCTATCTCAGCCTCCTATCCCGTTCCCGTCTACCCATAACCATAAGCGAAGAAAACACCCTATAGCCCACTCGATATTAAAACAAAGAAGAAAGAAGAAATATGAAGAAATTCGAGTACCCGATCCTGATATGAGAGAAAAAAGGGAAGAGAGGAGAGAAATAGAATAGAATAGCATGGTAGCACAAAAGAGGATAACAAGATCCAAGAACTCGAGAAATTGAGAAGAGAAGAGAAAAGAGGACAAATCGATACACTGTCAAAGTATCCAAAAAGTAGTAAAAGTTCCGAAATGGAATCTTCGAATGAAAAGTAATGTGAAGAGAAGAGAAGAGAAGAGAAGAGAAGAGCTGGGAAGAGAGAAATGTGTATAGAATCGAAAAACAGAGTGATGCGCAAAGCAAAGGCAAACCCCAAAACCCCCCTTTAGATTCGAACACCATCTAATTCGGTCCCCCGCCCAACTCCAACACCTAGCAAGAGGAATGAATGTGTCTTGCAATCAAGGGTAACTACCCTACCTTTTTCTTTCATAACATACCATACCTCATCAGATCATAACCAACATCACTTTACTTTAAGACAACTTCAATAAGCAATCTCATACGAAGTATCATACCCCGTATCTCCCAACCACCTCGCATCCTCATAGTTTAGTTCCCCACTCGGCACACAAATCGGACACGGCACCCAATTTCCCTCTCCAAAAACATCATCTGTCACCTGCTTACTCCCATTACAACTTGTGCACTGAGCCGCAAACGTCATGCTCATATCCCGTTCCGAATATGGCACCCGATCACTTTCCAATTCGCGCCTCTTTGATTCACGAGCCTCGATCCTATCTTTGGCGCATTCCTCGTTGCATGTGGTGCATTTATAGCCATGAGTCTCCACGTACACTCTTTGAAGACATCGCTTGCACCTCCACCATCTAGGATCAATCTGTCGTTCTTCGCGCCAGGCTTGCTGAATGACTTGCCATTTCTTGGGATCTTTGAAATTCTTAGGCTGTTTCGCACTACCCACGTCTTCTTTGTGGAAATCTTTTATGTGGTCTCTGTAATGGTCTTTTCGTGTGAAGGGATCTTTGGATCGGTCACATGGTTGGTAGTCGCATGGGAAACTGCCCTTTTGATCTGCGTCGGCGTGTACATGTCTGTAATGGCGTTCTAGATCCGCGGGTCTACCAAATTGTCTTCCTGAACAGCCGATTGGAAATTGGCAAGGATAAACACCTTTTTGAGGATTACTGTGCATGTATTAGCTTTCATGAAAGTCTTTCCATGTATATTAACGTACCTTGGTGAATCAAGAAATACCTGCTGGGGTGTGTTGGAATAAACTTGATATCCCGGAAGTAGTTCTAGATATGGTTCCTTGCCCTTTGGTACGATCAACTTGTAGAGTCCCAGGAGCTCGTTTTCTGGAGACCAGCCGAGGCTAGAGGGTGTCGATTTGATAGAGCTACTATGGTTTGACAAGCTTCTTTCAAGGCTGGGCGATGCTGCGGTGTAGCTGTTATACTCCTGACTGTAACTATCGTCATAGTATTGCGGTGACTGATAGGTATTCGGGTCTAAAGACATGGGCGGACTGTAAGAAACCGGAGAGTAAAAGTCCCCTGAAGATCTAGAATGAGTGCTGTTCGAGCTTTGGTTCGAATAGTCTCGACTCATCTCCCATCCTCCTAGTGCTGGTGCTGGACTTGCGCTGGGCCAGAGTCTATTCTGGTCAATGTTTTGTTTTGGCCTCAAGCCTCGGTCAAATGAAGAGGGATACATAATAGCAGCAATATTGTTCTGGAAATGGTTTTGTGTACCCTTTTCCATAATATCAGTCTAGGCTTCACTTGAAAGGTATCATCTTCTGTTCAAGATACGCCTTAATCGGATTATAAACTTCAATAGACAGGCGCAAAAGAAAGTTTACTTACCAGCTGTTTATATAATGAAGTAAAGCTGATGACTTGAGTGATATATAAAAAGAAGAACTTCAGAAAGAGAGAAAGTGTTGCTTGAATACTGATATGAAGATCTCAACTCCTCCGGGATTAAAGGATTTTAATTTCTTTAATGAATCGAGCTTTGCGAGGCTGCCCAATACCCAATTTTTAAAAGTTGATAATCTCATCTCATAGTAAGTCAGGACCTGAAGTACTCACATATGTGATCTCTGACCTGTGCATTCAGGCGGAGGTCAATATCAACATAGTTTATTATTTACCAATGGGGTCTCGTAGCCTCGTTGGTGTTCACGGTAAAAGTTTGCCCCGGACAAGATGACTGGCTCAGGGGAGTTCGTTGACGGCATCCATATGCATGGAAAGGTTAAAAAATGCTCCTCACACGTTATCTGGTGGAGCCTAACTAAATGAACTCACCGAAGTCAAAAGTTTCTCATGTTATGAATCGCCAATGAAACCTGTCAGCATATTCTTGACCTGTGTAACGTCGAAAATGGAGCTAGGACTCGGGCTACCTTCGAGCCTTATTGTCGAGCGACACAGCGGGCGAACGATCAAGAAGGGCGTTTGCTTTTTTGGCAACTAAGCCTTATCGAGACGAACGACAATAATCCCAGGACTTTGATCCAACTAGCGAAAAGGCATCTGAAGAGGCGTCTTGCTTGTTGATGGTTGTTGATGCCCCATATGCGCAGCGAGGCATAGAATGCTGACAAGACTCGATGGGGCATTTGGCTGAGTAGTTTTGACAAGGGGATATTTTCTCGTTTGTTTGACTATATTGGCAATCGGGCACCGTAATGATGAGTTTTGTGGTACAGCGAACTTGTCTGAAAGAAATCTGTTTTCAAACTAGATCAGGGCAACTTGTTCCTATATCATCGCTCGAATACTGACCGCCATTCCCAATGAAATGTATCTCGAACCGACGAGAATTTGTGTTTACTATCCAATGAAGGAACTTTTGTGGTTTTGAGGCTTCTGGGAGATGAAATTGTACCGTTAGACAGCAAGAAACGAGAAGAGCGGGATTGATCGTCCGCCTTCTTTTGCCTTGACCTTACCTTCGTTGTACAATTTTGTTTGCTGGCACTGGCGATAACGTCTTGAGACTGGCAGACGCCGATGTAACGCGTTCCCATGTCTTCCTTGGACTACCACATTGAACCAATCGCATGTGAGGAGAAGACCGGGCTGTGTTCTAGAAAAAGAGAGGTAGACAAGAAGTACAAGGATCTATATCCATGTACAAGCCCCCATGCTCATAAGATGGAATGTCTCTGAACACAAGACAATACCTTTGACCTGCGTGACAATTAGTATTTTTTTACAATTGAACAGAGAATATGGGATGACACTGAACAGAAGCCGTAGTCCGCGACATTAGAAGATCATTGCGAGATTTTTAGTCTCGATATTCAATCAAGGTTGTAGCATTTTGTGAGGTCTGCAGTCGTGTAACGTTCAGTCTCGGTTGATTCGGCGTGAACCCTTTTTGGGGTCCAGGACCGGTTGTACTTGGGTAGAGACGAGGCAAAAAGGAATATGCAAGAAAAACATGAATCCTTCAAAATCCAAATCCGGGGAGAGCTTACATCTTTTTATAATTGGAATCGAGGTATGAGAGATTGGGTATCAAACATTGAAAGTAATGCTGCCCAAAGTTGGTGTCATTATCGTAGTCTTACATGATATCTGCAGGTCATTTCATGGAGACCAATTCTTTTGTTTATACCAATGACGCTCAAGCAGAGGTTAGTATGAAGATTGATTCGTTATACAAATTAGACAAGGGGGTAATTGTCATGCTTGTATAATATGAAAGTCTCCTCCTTTTGCTCGCCTTGAAGAATGTAATTCATCTACTTCCTAGCCGTTGATAGAGCATGGGTATACCTGCATAGTAAGTGAGCCTGTACAGAACGAGGGTAGCTTCGTAATAGTATCATAACAACAACAACGACAACAGCAAACATTATTTCAGTACTGTCAGATGACTTAAGGAACTTCATCCGAATCAAATCAGACGAGCGAAATTGTTTGCTTTGCTATTAAGACGACTAAGGTCATTCCGCTCAGCCAGATGCTGGTTGAGCATTCCCACTGCGCCAACCTATTCTCCAACCAAAAGATACCATAGGCGCCAGAGCATTATTTATACATCGTCCTCTAGGAATTTGTAACTAAACTTAAAGTCTGCCTTTCTTCGGTTCATCCTATATGTAATTGATTAGTTGGTGTCGAGGCAAATGTATCGACATGTTGAGACTTACCATGTGCTTTCATAATCAAAGAAACGATAGGTCCCTTGCTCATACAGCTCCGTAATTTCCTTTGGTTCCTCGTGTCGTTGAAACCAAGTTTGATATTGCTTATGAAATCGCCAACTTTGTTCCTTTAACGATCTAGCTGCAAGATATTGTTGATATGTGGCTTGCTTGTAGTAGAAGACATAGAACAGAGTCTCTCCATCTATACGACTATAAAGACGAGGGTCATCAAGCACCGAGGGAACATCTTGAGGGTAATATGATGGCGTGTTGAAAGGGGCCTCTGGTTTGTAGCTTCTAGGGGGTGATATATCTGACATGCCTGGACCACTAGCCTGAGATGATGCCAGCATTCTCTGCGATGCCGTGGACAAAGCATCTGGAGCACTCTTTTGAATTACTTCGAAAGACTGAAGCATGTCCTGGAATCCCGACGGCAGATGATATACCGATTCTGTGGTCTCTGGGGTACTTGACTTAAGACCATTCGAGATACCATTTGATTGTGGTGGAATAGCTTGCGTAGAACTGTTAGCATTGCAGTTGCATGATATAGCAATTGACGAACCTTTTTTGCCTTCTGCTATCTTAGACACGGTCGGTGCCTTCCCTGATGAAGCCTGAGAAAGGTTTGGCCTCGAATTCTCTAGCTTCTCAATTGATTGGGACACACTTGCTCCACTAGGTGCAGTACTTGATTGACTCAGAGCCGGGGATTTCGTCTGGGCACTTGATGGCGTATCAGTGGTTGGAACACTGGATCTTGTCACAGGTGTTTGATTGACACTTGCAGCTTGGGAATGTATAGTCGTGGGAGATGCCGTTACACTCGGTCTTCGCCCGGCATTTCCAGATAACGGTGGGTGGCTGGCTGAGGTTGTGGGGGCTGGAAGGGCTTCAGGTGGAGGTGGTAATGGAGCAATACCGTTCTTATCACTAGCAGCCGCCGCCGCCGCCGCCGAAGCGTATTTTAAAGTCTCCCCAGGGGCACGTGTAGGCACCGCAGCAGGTTTCATGAGGTTACTTGAGCTTCCATTTGTTGATAAGGTCGACAAGGGAGTATGTAATGTGGCTAATGCAGGGAGAGGGCTTTTTAGTTGTGTAGAGGGTCTTCGTGCAGCAGCCAGAGGTGGTTCGGAACCTGACTTTGATTTCCCAGGTAAACTATTCGATCGTAGATCTGTATCTGGAATATCCTCCTGTATCGATTGTGTGTCTTGCGATGATACCCGATCATTATCATTATTCATGCCATAGTTATCCTCTTCCTCATCGAGGTTGAGCTCATCGTAAATTTCCTCGTCCTCCATGAAGTCATCATTCATGTTGTCGCTCACATAGTATTTGATGGACTCCTCAAGATCTTTGACTTGTTCAACTTCGACATTACCATTTTCCAGACAGCGCTTAATAAGCTCCAGCTTATTTTGGTGAAATTTATGTCGTTCGGTCAGGTTATCCAGCTCTGCTATCCTATCGGCCTTGGCATTTTGGCTTTTCCCTTTCTTCATTGTTGCTGATATTGATTCGCGCTCGGCTTCCATTGTCTCGATCTGGCGCTCAAGCTCCTCCACCATGTTGCCCAGGAATTCCCCGGTCTCCAACTTTGCGCGCTCCTTAGGATCCAGTTTTGCAGCTGCTGACAGCCCTTCTTTCGAATATGCCTTCGTCTTCATAGCTTTTTCCACTGCCTTAAACTTCTCCATTTGCTGCAACTGTTTAGCTCACCTCACAGTAAAGTAAATGGATGCCCTACCGTCTCAATCAATTTCCGATGATCTGACAGAGGACCCTTATCCTTTATGTCATTACTTGCCGCCCATGTCTTTATCTGATCACGGAGTCTTTGCAACCTTTTGATCTCTCTTTTGAGGTTGTCCTCCAGCTTCTCCTTCTGCGCAGCATTTGTGCACTGTTCTATCTTATCATAGATCGACTCGAATTCTGCCACTCCTTCAGTGACTTTCTTGAAGCACTTGTCGACTTCTTGCTGAAGTTTTCGTGCCGCCATCGTGTAATTGTGAGGGGTACGGAGAAATGTATCAATGATTTGGTGTTTGGTGATTGCTGTTGTGTACAAGGGGCTAGCTTTGTTTGACTTATATCTGACCCCATGCGTATTATGGATATCTGGCTCAAGCCTTTTGCAAAATGCGTGGTAGTACAAGGATCCGACAGATTGCCTTGCTACTAAGTGAATGTGTTTGGATTTGTTGAATATTGAATGGGGGGGAAATCAAGAGTGTTGCTGAATTTTGGACCGATTAAGTTGCGACTATGTTGCTTGGGGGTGAGATTGCGGGAAGAGAGCCTCGCTTGCACCTTGCACCTCACATGCACGAGCTGCAGCCTTAGAAAAATGTGGGGGAAATGGCTTATGATTTCGAACAAAGAATGGCCATGCAAGGTTAAGGTTCTTGATTCCTGCTTTCATTTTGAAGATTAATTGTGATTTAATATCTTCATATATATTCACCAGGGGATCATATCTTGTAATGTTGCTCATTATTGATAGACGATGAAGTGCTCAAGTGAAGATTGCATCAGATCTATTGGTATCATATAGAGTTTCGTCCCTACTATCTGTATAAGCCTTGTCCCTCCTATTTCTCTTATCAAACATTGAAAAGGAATACACACAACCTTCAAACCCTCAAACCCAATCTTTTAGAGACAATTGAACCTAGCTTCAATCTACAGGATATCCTTCAAGGAGAATAGACCTTTGTTCTAGTCAGGGTATCAAGTGATTGGATCATGAAGGGTATCACTTCTTACCCCCTCTCTTCTTTTCTTACTCTGAAGTTTTATACTTACTGGGTTCTTTCTAGCTATACTTCAACGAGTCCTGTCTGCTTCTGTAACAGTAGACAAGCAGCTGATATCTTCTATTGGGAAAGGCATATTAGTATTTGCTGCTGTGGCTCCTGGTGATACAGAGAAAGATGCAGAATCATTAGCAGCAAAAGTCCTCAAGATGCGATTATGGGATGATGAGAATGGTGGTCGGGTATGAAAAAGGAGTCTCTAATTTCTTAGTCTTGATATAACATGCTATGTGACTTTTTATACTAGGCATTAAACCATCTTCCGGTTTTGTTAAAGCTCTTGTTAAAGCTCTTGTTAAAGCTCTTGTTTGGGGATAGTTCTGATCTTTTTCATAGTGGAAACACAATGTACAAGATATTCAGGGTGAAGTTCTCTGTGGTACGTGAAGATAACCAAAGCCACATACATGAGAGATTTACAAAAGGCTGACAATCATCTCCATGATATCAGTCTCACAATTTACATTGCTTGCCTCAACGAAGAAAGGATCAAAGCCAGATTTTCATGGAGCAATGGGAGGGGACCAGGCAAAGGAACTATATCAACTATTCTTTTTAAAGGTCCAACAAGGCTATACTTCAGAAAGAGTCAAAGATGGTGTATTTCAGGCAATGATGGTAGGTTAAATCACCAATTAGATTGCTTAGTTCACCTACTAATCAATATCTAATTGGTAGGAAGTGGCTCTGGTGAATGATGGCCCGGTATGTTCCTTTTCACCCTGGATTAAGTGGCCATTCCTAGACTAATATTGAAAGGTAACATTGGAAATGTCAACTAGGTCAAATGAGAAAGCATGAAGGGTTGGTGTATTACAGTCTACAAGTTGCTATTCTTGGCCGGTCAAGTCTGCAGGGACCCCCAAGCAGAAAAGGTCAGAGAATTGGCCAGTGGCTGCCATGATTTCTCAAAGCATTCAATTCACCAGAGAAAACCACATCAGATTTCTATTCTGATGTTTTGGTCACTCTAATGGATTTTATGAACAACAACTTTCAATGAGCCACCCCTTCCTTATTGGTGACAATTTCAGTGAAGTGGTGAATTGTCTCACGTGAATAGCCTCATTTTTCTGATTTAGGTAAAGCTTGATATCGGAGAGTACAAACACCGACCCCCACATTCCAACTTCTCTATCTCGAAGCTTCTACTCATAAGAAGGCTGAAATTGTTTAGAAGAAAAAGCAATCAAGCAATTAAGCAATCAAGCAATCAATTCTAACAACCTGTAAAGCTTCCTTCGTTTTGCAGACAATACCACAATACCACAATCTTATATTCCAATTCAGTCCTACGTTCCTCTTTCTCCCTCGCCCATACATATATCCTCAAAAACAAAATGTCTGCTACAGAATCCAAACCCCGCAGTCGAGTCTTTTTCGACATTTCCATCGGGAAGGACCCCCAAGGCCGAATTACTTTTGAATTGTACGATGATATTACTCCCAAGACGGCAGACAACTTCCGAGCTCTCTGCACTGGTGAGAAGGGTGTTGGCAAATCCGGCAAGCCTCTCTCTTACAAGGGTTCTGGTTTCCATCGTGTGATCAAGCAATTCATGATTCAAGGTGGTGATTTCACAGCTGGCAATGGAACCGGTGGAGAAAGTATCTACGGTGTCAAATTCGACGATGAGAACTTTGTAGAGAAGCATGAGAAGCCTTTCTTACTGTCAATGGCCAATGCTGGTCCAGGTATGCATATTGCTCACCCTTCATCTTAAGCTCTCAATCAAAAGAAGAAAACATGAGACTGACCAATCCTCCGTTACAGGTACCAATGGAAGTCAATTCTTCATCACAACTGTACCAACACCCCATCTCGATGGCAAGCACGTTGTCTTCGGCCAAGTCCTCAGCGGAAAATCGATCATCCGCAAGGTTGAGAATATGCCCACACAAGGTGGTGACAAACCGCAAAAGGACGTCACCATCACTGACTGTGGAGAGCTTACCGGCGATGAAGCTGATTCTGCCGACGTAAAGATACCTGATTCTACGGGCGACACTTATGAAGGTACTTCTTCTAAATCATCCTTCTTCAACTGTTTCAAGAGCTAGTCAACATACATGCAACATTTCTCCTTGATACCTCGTCTTTCCTTTTTCGTCTTATATATGGCATCATCCAAGATATTCAGCTTTTCTGTTTTGGTCTTTCCTTTCGTCGATTTTGGTGTTTTGTTCTTGTTTATTTAATTATTGGGAGCATTGGTTAACATAGAAATTCCCTACGAAAAAGACTTCCCAGAAGATATGACCACCCCTCCAACCGCCGATGAAACCGTCAAAATCGCAACCGAACTCAAGACCTACGGAAACTCTGCCTTCAAAGCCAACAGACTACCTCTCGCCCTAGACAAATACGAGAAGGGCCTCCGCTACCTCAACGAAGACCCAGACCTAACCTCTTCTCCCCCGGAAACTTCCTCCAAACTTTCTGCCCTCCGCTTTACCCTAAACAGCAACTCCGCCCTTCTTCACAACAAACTCAAGAACTTTTCCGAGGGAGAACGAACCGCGAGCGCCGCTCTCGCAGTCTCCGGTACAACTGATACAGACAGAGCTAAGGCTCTTTACCGTCGCGCAATCGCATACGTAGGTCTCAAGAATGAAGAGGATGCGTTGAAGGATTTGCAGGAGGCGAATAAGTTGGTTCCAAATGATGCGGCTGTGGTTAAGGAACTATCGGCTGTGAAGAAGAATGCGGCAGAGAGGGCGAAGAAGGAAAGGGCTGCTTATAGCAAGGCCTTTGCTTAATTGAACGGAATAGTACGGGATGGGTTGAAATGCAACGGAAAAGGGAAGTTATTAAAAACAATGCGATTATATACCATGATTGGTGGATGGCGTTGCTACAGCTTGCGAAGTTTTTTAATTATCATACCACATCGACTTCATTGTTCTCGGCGCTTCTATCTTTTAGTGTCTAGCTTAGAATATCCCTTTAGCTCCTCGATCGAAGAATGAATGAATGAATGAATCTATCAAAAGTTGCAGTGCTAGTATCACATAATTATTGAAACATTGAATATTGAATATTGAATATTGCATGGATGGATGGAATGTAAACATCACCCACACACCGTATGAGGAGTATAAACTTCTATATTATATTATATTGTATTGTATTGTATATTAGATGAGATGAGATGAGATGAGATGAGATGGAGAATAATAGAGTAGCTTGAAGCAAGATGGATAAATAGGTTTTTTCGCTCAAAGAGTCAAAGCAAGATATGTATGTATGTATGTATGTATTTATATAAGTATGTATGATATGTATGATATGCCCAAGCAAGGAATATATCCCCTATGGATTCTGAAAGCAAGAGCTTCCTTCTTTCTCTATTTGCCTTCTCATTGCCTTCTCCTTCTCCTTCTCCTTCCTTTCTACATTCGACATTCAGATCTCCTCCTCCCCCATTTATCCCCTATACTAAAACATACCCCCATGACCCTGTCCCTGACCTTGACCATCTCTCTCTCTCTGCGTATGAACCCAACCCCCCAACGTCGGCGACACAATATCTTCTCCCAAATTCTCCGCTCCTCCACTTCCCCCCTTCCCACTACCAGTATCCACACTCATCCCCATCCCCATGCCCATGCCCATCCCCATCCCCGGTATACCCATCACGAACCCCCCATCATTACTACTCCCACTCCCCTGACTCTTCGGTTCATGTTTACCCTTCCTGCGCAATCCCCCCAGAAAACTCCTACTCTGTTTTTCCTGTCTATTAATCCCAAAACCCGCTAGGCCCCTTTTATCCCCTGGACCTGGAGGACTCGAAGCTTGCATCATCAATTGTTGGGTACTATTATCTAAAGGTGGAGCATACGGTCTCTGATATTTCGAATCTTTCCCAAACGTTGCTTCCCAGAAATTATGTTTTTCTTTCTTCTCCTTTTCCTTGCTGCAAGAAGTAGCGCCCGTTTTTTCGCTACCACTGCCGGCGGAGCCGGGGGCGCGGAGATGTGTTTGACTGGTGTTGTTGATGCTTGTACTGTTGCTGTTACTCATGGAATAGTTCTGCCAGGAAGGAGTGAGGACAGGATTCTGATTTCCTGGATGGAGGTGAGATTGTGGGGGAGGAAGTGCGTGGATTTGAGGAGATTCTTTGAAATGGGTAGATTGGAGACCTTCGACGATGTTTTCGAATTGAAGGGAAGCTTGATCGGCAACGCGATCGCCGTAGTCTTCGGCTTTAAGTATACATTCATCGGTACGCCTTTTGAGAATGATGCAGAGATCGTTGAACTTGGCAAGATCGCCTTCAAAGAATTGAGTCATGGAATGTGATGTTCCTTCTAGCCATAATTTGACTAGGTCGGCAAAGCTTCGTGCATGATCAACCAAATATGGCAAAGATGGAAATCCTTCTCTAGATGTGGGTGGTAACCTGGCGAGGATCGTGATGGGGGTGGAATACGACGCAGGAACTGCAAAGGCTGTGCGATCTGGGGCTATAGCACAAATAGCATCGAGGAAATCCTTGACACCTTGACGATGCTGGTAGAGAAATTTGTTCATTGGCTCCATCCACGACTCTTTTTGACCAAAGCTTGATAGATTTGCCAAGGCCTGTAAGCTTTTTGCTATCAGAGTGAATGTCCGTTGAGCTTTTTGCTGAGGATGATCTGGGAGTAGACCAAATAATTTGGGGTTGAGAATTGCCGGACAGAAAAAACGTAGAAATAAGAAACCAGAGACACTGGTATAGGCTACAGTGCGAAGGAAGTCTCCATATCTATCCTCAGCAACAGCACGGATGTACTTGAAAACTTGTCGTAATTCTGGCGGACATCGCGTCGCAGAATCAGCGATTGACCTCCAGACGTCAGTAGTCAAAGCGATTAATGAAATCCAGTTTCTGTCGAATGCACCGGCAGTATCAATTCTAGACGGGTCGACTTCGCAATCAGGGTTAATGTTGTTGATAGTGCGTATTTGCTCTCCTAATATTTCAGAGAGATATTCCTTCCCGACTCGTCTCATGTGGAAGTCAAAGGATTGGGTAAGTAAAGAGTTTCCTCGAAACAAAAGATTCGCTTCAGTGTTGAGACTTTTCCCCATGTCTCGAACGGATTGTTCCCGATCGATGGATGTGAAGGATATTTCATTTGAACCAATCCTCCGGCTGTATCTGAGTCGTTTGGTCGGAGCTTCTTTTCCGATGCCATCAATCTCGTCCTCAACTAGGGCCTTCAGCCATTCCGCTGCATTCCCAGAGACCTGGAATATGTTTATCAGTATTTCAGATAACTGTCGGAGATTGTTGGGTATGACTTGAGATATCTGCAAAGTCAATCCGTTGTTAAAATTGTGTAAAAGCTCAGAGATAGGCTGATAATCTTTAGCAAGGAGTACCACGACTTCATCATGTCGCACCCTCATCAGCATCTCTACAATCGGCTCTTGATTTTGATCCACGATTGGCCACCATGCCTCATTATCCTTGCCTCGCTCGAGCTTATCAACGGGTATGTCAATCACCCCGCAGATGGTTTCCACTTGTTGGTCTGTCACCTGGACGCCTGGGCTTGACAAGAATCCTTGTACGGTGAGTTGTGACGTTTCCATACGCTTCAGAACTATCGATAGCTTGGGTAAATAAGGAGGCAGGTCTGTGAATTCGCATTCCTCCCGCCAAAATGGGTTCCTAGTCTCAAACTTGGTATTTGTACGGGCGCGAACCTCGCCGTCAAGCATAACTTCTGCAAAGTAGTCACCGAGAAGCCCATCTGGCTCCGGTCTTACAGAGTGTCTGCCATACTGAGGTAACTCCGCCCTGATACCAGGTTTTCGAAATTTAGCTTCCACAATTCGCATGCTAAGAGATTTCTCTATTCGAAACATATCATTGGTTGAAGAAGAATGTCCCTCGGGTAAATCTTCCTCTTCGTCGTGCTCCTCGATTTTCTGTGGAGTATCAGGGCCATATATTTCTGGAATTGTGAAGGCCCGCAAGAGACATAGCCACACTTCAAATACCAACCGCGACTCTAATGCCAGGTAGATAGGTCTAAATATGGACAAGTCTGTTGATGTAGATGTGTACTGAGGGAAAATGGCGACACAATATTCCTCTCCTAGTACTGACTTGTCAAGCTTTTGTATTGCGCTTCGAGATAGTTGCGGAAGCTGTATGACTGACAGCAACAAAGCATCGTTCTCCGTCAAGATCTTGAGGTCGCCATTGTCTTCGAGTATGCAAGATATCCTACGCCATTGTTGTCCAGAATTACGTAGATGTCGAGTTGAACGGCGAGTTATAACAAAGTCAGGAGATAGAGGCGGCCCCTTGTCCCATAAGAGTAGCTTGCCCACTTTAATGACATTTGAGTCCTTATTACTATACGAGGAGCCGCGTCGATCCACGCCTGGCCGTCTGTCATCGTGATGACCTATTGGCGATTTCAGGGGACCTGGCACAAAGGCAGCCGGCCTGATCTGTTGCCATGATAGTATTGCTGCCAACCATAGATCAAACTCAATAGGATTCGTGGGTAGAAGACGAACATCTAAACCGAGACTAGGATTTGAAATTTCCAGACACCTTACTTGTCGTTCCAATAAGTGCATGATCGGTTTGACCCTGCATCCTCGGAGGTCGGCTGCTACAGCAATATGGAAAGGTCCTTTATCATCGTCCTCGTACATCAAAGAGCCTTTTACATTGTCAATATAGCATATACCTCTAAACCACTGCCCACGTTCTCCTGTTTGATACTCGACTTCACCCCTCATACGACCACGTAGACTTTTCATAAGACCCAGTAGTCTTTTGGCATCCCCAGTAGGCACGGGATCTGGAAGAGAGTCGATGGCAGGTACATCCACAAATGCTTGAAATGGCGAGGTCGGCCTTGAATGTTTTCTGGCCAATCGTCTACCATTGCCCTTCTCCTTTTTGAGAGAGTTCGATCCAGTCAAAGCATTTTTATTTGAAGTAGTCAAATATTCAGACGCAGTATTATCATCGGGTCGCGGCTCGATATCATGGAATGACGATGAATTTGTAGAATGTATTGAACCAATTCGCTGCCTATTCCTAGGAGCCCCTCCCGAGCCCGATCTTTTCCGTGTGGTAGAATCTACAGTATACGTTCGAGGTCGAGATCGAAGACTCATGGTATTTTGAGGTGGCTTGTCAACAGAGTCACTACTATATGTATCATGGAAAACAAGACCCTGACGCCGTTCTCTAGGCTTCTCCCCGCCGGGTATCGATCGCGGTGACGACTGCACAGTTGGAAAGAGTTTAGGTGGAGTCTCCAATATGCTTAAATTGTCGTCGGTTACCTCGATAGGATCGGGTGTAACTGTGCGAATGGTGGCATCCAGTCCAGAACCCCGCGATCGTCGTGGTTCACTGGGAGAGAGTCTTCGTGCCAATGTCTCCGCAGCATTTTCTCCCCAATCTCGCACAGTATTTTCTTTTCCAGACATCCCATTATAATCTCCTGCGTCCATACCTGGCAACAAGAGGCTCATCCCGCGATTCCTTCCCATGGAAGTTCAAGAAACCATGCCTGACCATGCAAACCTCTCAAAGTTGGCGGGCCTGGTGATGCTAGGTTATTTAACGGGCTCGCGTATTGGAGGAGTCTTGATGGGTGCGGAAGCATACAAGCAGTTGTCGAAGATGGCATGGGTATCGTCTGAATAATTTGAGTTGAAGATCTTCGAAACAAGACAAGCTGTGGCGTACGTGGGGAAGTCTAAGATGTGCGCAATTCTGAATCTGTTGCCAGTCTTTGTACAGCGCAAAGTAGCGTAGATCGTTTGACTGACTGAATGAATGACAAAGCTTTCCTTCTTTTTACCGATAGAATTGCTTCCTCATCAAATACGCCTTATGGTTTCCCAATACCGATCGCGAGTTTCGACAGTTCTTCATCATAACTATCCATAAAACATATATAGTAATGTTTGACCAAGATTCCGTCGAATCTACTATAGCGGGTCGATTTTTCCCTTTTAGGATATAGAGGCCGGAGCTTTCAAGGGTAGAGGGTTTACTAGTATAGCTTGGAGGGATATCAAGACCAGGGCTTATGGCAGTAAAGAAACGGTATGAGTGAGACCCAGAGCCTTGAGTGGAGGAGAGATGATGTTATATAATGATAGCCTGCCGCCGTATATATAAAGATTAAGGTTTTCTGGCCCTGGTTGGGAGATAGCTGACTAAATACAAAGAGTTTGAAGAATGGGGGGGGGGGGAGAGGGGGAGATATCAGAATTGGAATTGTGAATGATAAAAAAAGGAAGGGAAGTTTTAAGAGGAAGAGAAAATGAAAAGGAACGTGTTGAGTTGTGATTGTTGGCGTGGTGTAGTGTCCTGTGGTGAAGGAGAGAAGGAGATAATGAGCTTCTACTCGTAGTTATGAACCATTCGATATATATGAGTTGTGCTTTTGCATACACATTTTTAGATCTTTTAGGTGATGAGATAGATAGATATATTATACTATAATTATTGACCGAGCACAAACTTTCGGTTGTATCGGAGAACAGAGAGAATCCTTGCTCAATCCGGCAGTGAAGATCGAAATGATGGAATAAATAGAAAAACTTGAAGTATATTTGGAGAAGTTCTAGAAACATGATAAACATGGTACTATTCATAGCTGGTACCAATCATATCCCTACGATTGTAACGGTTTAGTATTATCGTATTGATTATCGTTTTTATCGCAACTAATGAATTATTGGATTAGTTGTAGTAGATAATAATACTAAATAATGATTATATTTGTCTAATTCTTTCTACCTATTAGATAAATTATTTCACATTGCACTAGTACGGTATATAGCAATAATAAACAGTTGTAATGACAAATATCAAATTACATTATATTTAAATTATCAATACTATAAATCCAATATAATCCAATCCAAAGCAGTCCGCAGTGCAGCGCATTGATCATCTCCTGTTAAAGAACAAAAGGAAGACAACTCAATAATTCCAATAATACCAAGATCTCCCATCCAAGATCTCCCTCAGGCTTCCCAGCATCCAACCAACCAACCAACCAAACAATTCGGTATCCTTCCCAGAGCATCTACGGTATATCCCAAGGTATGGTATATATTTTCTCTCTCGGGAGTCGGTATGTAACCATATCATCCATACCCATACCATACCATATCATAGAATCCAGGTCCCTGCTCCCAGGCTTGCTCATCTGAATCTAGACATAGATGAAATGAATAGATGATTCGAGATGAGATGAGATGAGTGAGGTACAGTAAGAAATGTTTCTGGTGCTTTCAATATCATAGCGGCTGATACTGCACCATCCCGTCGTTCCTTTTGGATTTCTCGATCATCTCTAGTGCTCACTCATACAGTCATACTGTACCCCAATATGATATTATTGAGTGAGAACTTAGAAGGTTTATTCTTAGGTCAGTCAATACATAAAAAGCTCACTTGCATCGAATTATAATAACACAACACATCATGATATCAAATAGCACGACTAAAACACTTCGATTACTCCATCCACATCAGTCGCAAAGATACCTAGTATTGATCCCCAGGTCGAAGATATGAAAAAAATTAAGAGGATAAAAACCCGGAAACTCCAGTACCGTTGGCCTAATCGAGTATCTCAAATACGCAGCAATCCGTGCCCCTTTCCTGTCCCAATCTGCAAGCGTCTCAACCGTATTAAAAAAAACCATGGATATAGAGCAGTAATAGAATTGTAAACACTATTTTTTTAAGGAACCAATTCGGTCTCGATTCGGATAGCTAACTTATTTGAATGGCGTTTCTGGGCCATCAGAGCTCACTGGGCTTAATGGTAAACTGCGAACGCCGCCGCCAAGATCACCGCTCCCGGTCTTCCTCACGGCCTGTGTCATTGTCTCTATGGTTAATTCTCCGCCATTGGTAGGCGAATTGAGTGATGTTGGACTGGCCAGACCAGTTGGTTTTCGAACCGGTGAAAGTTCAACACCTTTCATCGAAGCAGATTTACTCGTCGGAGGTGATGTTCCGAATCCAAATGATGAGACTGGCGAACGCACGGGCGAAGGTGAACGGTTCACACTGGGTGATATGCCTGGTGATGACAACGCACTAAGTCCCGCAATGTAGATTGAGTCTCTATTGCCAGCATGTTCTGCATGTTCTGATTGCACTACATCGGCAAATGAGATGAAGCTCAGTCTTCGGATATCTGTACTGTCGAGAGCACCATAATTGGATGCCGCATCGTCTTTGTCAGGATGAGCGACCAACTCATCTGACCACATTCCTGCACCAGGTTCACTACTGCCAATACCACTCATTGACATCGCTGCCGGCTGATGAGAAGAGTGCATGACAATCTCCACTGTATCCGGATCAATGTCATTGTTGGTAATGGCTTGCGACGAAGCATCTAGGACTGGGGGAATATGATCCTCTGTTTGTATATGCGACGGAATTGCGGGCGAATTTGGCTGAATAGCACTTTCTTGCACGTCGCGCTCGAATATTTGTGACCCTGCAGGCGACACTACACGCGGCGAAGATGAGAACAATTTTCGACTTGGCGGTGATGAAGGATCTTGATATGGGTAGCTTGATCGAGGAGGAGAGTTTGATGTCGGAGTCTTTTGGAGAGGTAGAATCAATGGTGCATTACCAACAAATGTTCCATCATCCTTCTTTTTGCCCTTTGTTTTTTCATCGTTCTTCTTTCTTCCAAATCCGAATAGTCTTCTCTTCCCCGACTTTGCGGTTCCGCCCACAAAATCACCAACATCCGCGTCGGCATCGGCATCACTGCTTTCGCCAAATTTCGATGACGTTGGGTTCATTGGTATTTCGAATCCTTCGCCCAAGAGAGGGGCCTTTGACGTGGTTATGGATTGCTGGCCTGTGGGTACGGGAGTATTCGCATGTAAAGTACTAGATTCTGATGCACTCATGATGACAATTGATAGATAGCTCTGGTGTGTTTAAACTTTATAGGATATCGAGGAGAGTAATCTGGATGGAATCTTTAGCAAACTAATTGCGAAGTGTCAAATGGACATATATAAATATGCGCCGTGAAAATATGATGGCATCGTATGGACGCTGGCGTATGCGCCTTAATCAAACCAATACCGTATTTTTGGGGGGAAGGGAAGGGGAGAGGGGGTTGCAGACTTACGCGTGCAGGCTATCTTTGGAAGCATCAGCTTGTTTTCGGACAATGAAAAATAAAATCGTCGAAGGGAGAAAATTTGAGATAATAACAACAAAGAAATATTTAAAACGGATTGTGAATTACTCTATAAAAAATTGTAACCGTAAGATTTCACCTACCTTTTATTCGTAAAATGGGTGGCTCAGAAAGCGGTAATACCGGTTGAAATCAGAATTGAAGTTGAGTGAGGGTAAGAAGAGGAAGAGGGAAGAGGGGAGAGGGGTGATTTCGTGATTTCTTGTGAGGTGTTTTTTTTTCAGAAGAGGAGGGGAAGAAGGATATCCGGTTTAATGCTTGTGCTTCAATGCATTATGTTGGATATTCCTTGTCGATATGGAATACTGTAAAGAGAATATGTTTTAATTTCCTCAAAACGAGAAAACGAGTCGCATGACTTGTCAAAAAGACAAAGCCTAAGCCTAAGCCTTGTCGCAAGGCCATTGCAAAACCTTGTGGTAGTGGTATGGTTAGTCATCAAATATTTTCAATTCGTCTTTTTGGGGCCGAGACGACGATGGGTATTGTATATGGTTGAGGAGAGATTATTGAGTTCTACATTCAGTCAACGCCACAACTCCTTCAAACTTTCACGACCTACACGATTATGGATCTCCGAATACTGCGAAGACCAGTAGCCGACCTTTTTGCTGCAAGACCTCAATGTATACTGTCTTTGAACGCCACTACTCGTCGATATGAATCCTCTTTCAGACGGACTAAGCAACGTTTAAATATCAGACCAGATCCAAATTTTGTTCCAACAAAAGGAGCATTGCAAGATCACATCGTATTCAACCCGCCATCCTCATCTCCATCCGTCTTCCACACGCCTCTAAAATTCCTTCCCAAGGACGATAAGAGAAGAAAGATTCTATCCATTACGCAAGAACGAATTAATGCTCTCTCAAAACATCGATTACCACCTCTAGTCAATCCCAAACAGTTCAGATATGAGAGAGGTCACTTGAGTGAAAAGGATGTCGCGGAGATTCGAAGATTAAGGGCTGACCAACCGGAAAGATGGACGAGGCTGCAATTGTCCAAGAAGTTCCAATGCTCGTCAATATTTATCGGTATGATCACCGAAGCTCCGGAGGAGAAGAGAGAATTGGAGAGACAGAAGTTGGAAGCTGTGAAGGCCAAATGGGGACCGACGAGAACAGCAGCACGGGAGAATAGGCAAAGGCGTGTGGAGTTGGCAAAGAGGGACGGATGAGGGGTATAAGGACGGGCGGATGTTTCGAAACGATACCTTTGGTCGACTATTTGGGAAGGGAGTAGGACATAGAAGAATTGGCGATGAAGCACAAGGTACTTTGAGTTTGTGAGGGCTGTATCATTTGGCTCAACGTGTATAAGAAACGGAAACGCGTTTTCAGCATGAGCGCTGCGTACAATGTAGGAATATATCAAAAACTCCACATGGAAACAATTCCAGAACACACTATCATCACTTATTTTACATGCTCACTTTATACTACCAGTCTTATGTATTCATGCTGATATGTTTCCCTTTAAAGTCCCTGGTAGTTACCTATCCAAACTTGAAAATGGCCTTTTGTCCGACGCCTCTGATTCTAGTGAATCCTAGGAGTCATCTTTACAGTCATTGGCATCAGTAACTCTACCATGCTTTTCGTTAAGCCTTCCACAACAATCGTCTTTTCTATCAAAGAGTCACCAATTTCCATCTACAAACATATTCGAGCATAGATCTCCATTCCTGCGCTTTTCCTTTTATGTATATATATACACAGTCCCTCATTCCAGCTCTTCCTCTTTCTCTTTCAGCACCAGTACCTACCCGCAATATATCAGGTATAATACGGAACCTTTCAGCGAAGTTCGTTCCGAGTGGTTACACAACAGTTTGTTTCTCACTGCTTACATAACACATTCTGGTTTTAGCCATTTATTTCTCTATCAATCAATCAATCAAATGAAACCGCTCGCGATCTGCAAGGCCTCTCCAAAAACCTGCCTCGCGTTTTCCTAGAGTACTAATATCACAGTACCTCCGTACATTAAGCGATACTACTGTATAGGCTAAATTACGACATTCCATATCATATCATATCATATCTATCATGGGCCCATTCTTTTCTTTTACCCGAGAATCCTTTCCATAGGGGAATGAGATGTGTTTTCTCTGCATAAATTAATATATGCGTCGTTCATAGAATATGACATGGTGGATATAATTATAACGCCGTGTAATGGTTTGATGGCGTAGAGTTGACTCCCAACTTCTGAGCATCCAGAACCAATAATAATCAGAAGCGCACCAGGTGAAATTTCGGGTGAGGTTTGTTTCAGGCGGCTGCGGAGGAATGGGTTGGCTATGATATGATTTAAAGGAATAAGTATATTGAAGGTCTACTGAATCCAATCGAAATCTAGAGCTAGATTTCTTGGGGATGAAATGAGATGAAATGAGATGAGATGAGGAGACGCTAAGCTAAGCTAAATACGTTGTTGATGGAGGATAGGATACCAGAAAGTATTTGCAAAAACATGATTAAGCTTGGGTGTTTACTCGTACAGTATATCTTGAGAGACTAACATAACAAAAACAATTCAAGCGCGCGCGCGCGCAATGGGGCTGAACTGAAATGGGAGTTTGGGTTCTAGGTTCGACGCTTTGTTGGATGTTGGGCTCACTCTACGAGTACTGCAGTCGATGAACCGAATCTGTGACTTGCTTTACTTGTTCTTGTTCGTAGGTCATTTATGGTCGACTTAATTCATACGTGATATTGTGGTACTAAATACTACCTACTACCTAGACATAAAGTCTCACAATGAATGCAACTTCCACTCCACTAGATATCAAAGTCACAATCACGAGGTTATATATACTCTAGGGTAGGGGTAAACGGTATTTAGACGCTTCGTCTCAACGCACTTACCTCCTTCTCCTTCTACAATACAAGTGAGTGTCGAAGCATTAGATCCATTATTCGTTTCTCCCTCATTGAAGGAGCAATATCCTGCTATCTCTAGCTCCTGAATGTATCGTCGGTTAGTCATATACTCGTACTTGGGTACTGAGTACATGTCTACATATTGCATTTTTATTGATGGGGTTTTATTGTGATTTTGTAGGATACCGGTAGATATATCGTGAATCATCAGTTACACTCGAGTATGCAGCTTACAGTAGATTATTAAAATGAAATTATCATGCTGATTACAAGCAATCGACCATGACAGACATCTCCAAAGGATCACCACAAAACAAAACAAAACAAAACAAACGCTAAAATAAATTCTAATCACTACCCCACCCCACCCCAAACGCCAAAAAAACGAGATCCATCCCACCCACATCTTACTTACCTTATCACTCACTACACTCCCTTCATATTTCCCATTTCCCATTTCCCATTTCCCATTTTCCATATTCCTTTTTCCATTATGGCACATCAAACCACCTTCTCCAACACTCTCATCATTCTCATCTCATCTCATCTCCACCCCCAACTAACCCCAACCCCTAACCCCTAACTCCAAACCCCCAAACCCCAAACCCCAACTAATCATCGACTTCACTTGACTTCACTTGACTTCACTTCACTTCACTTCACTTCTCCTCATCACAACGTGTGTGTCTTTTGCGACCACGGGAGACGTCGGATTCGGATCGAGATTGAGATTGAGATTGAGATTGTGATTGAGTGGTTGAACTTGAACGGATAGAACTGGTTGAACTGGGTGTCTGGGTTTGGGGCCCTTTGTAGAATTTACTGGTTGGGTCTTCGAAGGCGTAGGGAGGTTCGGGATCTTTGTTGTTGTTCTTGTTGTTGCTTCGGTGGGAGGTTGTTTGTGAGGTTGTGGATGGAGGGCGGGTTGAAGCTGTGGATGGAGCACGGGTTGATGGAGGTCGACTTGAAGAATCTTGAGTTGATGGGGCATGAGTTGATGGGGCATGACGTGACGAAGGACCCCTATTAGGAGCATATGCATTCAAATTTCTCTCAGTCAAACCAGGACCATCAGAAGCCGGTACATCACCTGAAGCCCTTCCACTATCCAAAGAACCAATATCGGAAGAATCATCTTGTAAGGAAGAAGAAGAAGAAGAAGAAGAAGAAGCTCCCGCGACATTTGCCGGGTTCCCATATTTGTCGCCTGTTGGTTTTGCGGTGGAATGTCGGGAACTTGTTTTTGATAATAAGGTCTTATTACTATTGCTATTACTGGTAATACTAGGAGTTCGGACACTCGGGTTTATTGAGCTCGAGGGCGTTGAAGCGTTGTCTGTGTGGTTTCCACTATTGTGGCTTTGGGGACGATCTGAGCTGGCAGAAGATAGGGGTTTAGATTGGGATTGGGACTGGGACGACGTCACCTTTGGTGCAGAATTATTATCTGTTGGGTGAGACGTTTTCGAGTGTCTCGATGGTTTAACATCACCGCCATAGCTATCATGATTGGAACTCTCCGAGCTCCTCTTCGCTTTAAGGGTCGAAGTATCCGACTCCAAAGGTTCAGCATGAGAGACATCATGCCCATGACGAGTTTTAGATCCTTCCTTTTCATTGGTGTCTCTCTCCCTTGGCTTCGAGGGTCTTGAACGATGTCTCCTGTGCCGCCTATCTTCTTCTACTGTTGTCGTCACTGTTGCCCTCGGTGGAAAAAATCCAACCTTAGCTTCCGTGGTAGTTATTTTTGTTTTTCTCCGACCAGCATTTCGCGGAGATCCGGATCGATCTTTTCCACCAGAATTCGAATGTGAGTCATGAAAATAATGATGATGGTGAAGTTCATGAACATCTCTAGGATCTCTAGAAGATCTCCGTCTTCTACTATTTTCTTCCATGGGTTTTCCCTCTCGTTCTCTATCACTATTATTAACAAGCTTCGCCAGGGCCTTTGTCTTGAGTTCATTCTCACGTCTGCTGTTATTAGAGGGCGTCTGCTCGTGTGCCTCGGATAAAGCGATTTCGGATTTGGGTGGTAGTGTTGGATTACTAGATCCAATTTTGAGATTCCGGGTTTGGGATTCCAGACTTGCACTTGGATTTGGTTCTCTGCGGATCGATCCTGTGCGGTTGGATCCTGAATTCATCGATTTTGCTTGGGTAGATGATGGACGGTTAGATTTGTCATCGCCATTACCCGTTCCGGTTTGCGATGAGGTGTCTGGTTGATTTTGCCTCTTTTGGGAAGAGGAAGCTAATGAAGACATACTCGAGTAGTTTGTCGATTCGATGTTATTGAAATTAATGTTCAATTCAAGGAAGTTATTGTAATATAAAAATATATATTTTATCGATGAACTAGATATCAGCAAGCCAGAACCCGAATCAATGATGTTGATGGATGTTGATATCAATAATAAACGATTCCCCTGGAAAACCACACACCATATATACACATCCATCACACACAACAACAACAAACAACCCATAAGTCTAGAACCACAAGGCAACGATTCAATGGCCATCTTAACCTAATATTTAGCGGTTGGTTGGTCCTCTCGAAATACTACAGGCAACATAGTAATATAGACCTTGAATCGAACCCAGGACATATGGTATAGGAGCTGTGTCTAGGTGTCCGGCCCGGCCACATAATTCAATAAGCGGAAAACTCACATCTCTCTCTCACTTGTATTAGGTAGTTATATTGCAAGTTGTTTAATTTTTTCATATGTTACTCGTAGTACTCCTGAGGTATTATCTCTATTGTTATACTCGAGTATATATATAACTTTCCCGAAAATCATATAATCATATAATTCTATAGTATATATATAATATTGATTTGACTACTGAGTATATCTATCTATCTATCTATATAAATAATTTATATAAAATATAGATGAGATGATTTGTCTTGATTTGATTTGATCAACTAATAAATGATTTTCTATTGCAACTTTTTTATATATATAATAAGATATACTACGAGTATAAGCTCCACACTCCTAATCCAATTGTTTACTCTTTACTCTTTACTTATACAATACTCATACAATACTCATACAATACTTATATAATACTCCAGTACTCAGTATATGTAACAGTAACTTGCTATATTATATCCATCCACCATCCTCCATCCTCATTCAACAATTCGCGAAAATATTTTCCTATCTACTCACTACCCTACTCACTGGAGTAAAAGGTAGGTTTTGGTTTCTTTTTTCAGTGGCAGTTATTATTTATTATTTATTAGATATTAGATACTAGCTACTAGGATAGTAAGTAGGATTGGACTTTATGATTAGTGATTATCGAGGGATTCACTCACTCTGAGTCTCTATAGGTATTTGTAGGAATGGGTATACGAATGGTATAGGAGTGGTATAGGAGTAAGATTAGGAGGAGAGAGAGGAGAGAGGAATAGAATAAGAGGAAAGAGGAGAGAGGAGAGATAAAAGAAAAGAGAGATAAAAGAGAAAAGAATTTAAGAATTTGAGAAAAAGAATGAAGATGAAGATGAGCATAAGTAGCTCAGGATAATTAATTGAGGATTACTGACTAGGTGTATACTGTATTGTGGGATACTATGTATACTATACTATACTATAGAATAAATAATTATATATGACTTTCCTCCTGCCTTACTCGAGTACACTGTGATACACTCTGTATATAAGAAAGATTACAGTACTCGAGTACTGATAGTAAAAGTACATTCCCAACTTGAAATATCATTATCACTTTCAAACATACATACGAGTACATGTTTATATTTATCTTACTGTCATTCATTCACATTCACATTCACATTCACACCACATTCACGCCACACCACACAAAATCCAAACAAATATCATGATACTCAGCATCATTTATTCTTCCTTTCCCTTCCCTCCCCTTACCTTAATTCACCCCCAACTCCAGAATCTTAGCCATCAGAACTAACTAGCTACAATACAAGCAATGGTATATCCGTGTCTTTACCAAACGGCTTAGCAAACAATCAAGCAAAGTGCCCATCCATCCACACATCAAGCTTCAGGGATTTTTAATTTACAAGCTTCAGAACTCTCATCCACTCAATCCACTACACTTAGCCCCTCTCCACCCCCTCCCTAACAAAAATTCAACAAAAGAAAATTCCCCAGATTCATTCCACCCACCCATCCCATTTCATTCCCCATCCTCAACAAACAAAAACATAAACACCCCATATATTCCCATCCATCAATCAATCAACCCATCCATTCCTCCCTTGATATTCGGAATTCCCTCTCCCAACTCCCCAACGTTAATAGCAAAAACATTTCTAACCTCATGCACCCCATATTTGAGCACCTCGGTGTGTAGAGAACAAAAAAGAGGAATAAAAAGTTCCGAATAGACATAGCTAATACAAAGCAACCAAAATCTGGTTAAGCCTATAGCAAGCATGGATAGATATTATCTTTCTCCGTAAAACAAATCCATATGCCTACCTATCAACTCCCAAAAAAAAAAAGACATAAGTAAAAGGTAAAAAAGTCGCTTTCTTTTTTCTTTCATAATAATCTTGACATGATAATCGTTCAATAACTTGATCAGTGATCCCCACCAGTATTATATTCTTTTCTTTTTTTTGATGGTGTTTTGTGCTTTAGATGCTGTGGGTATCGTGAAGGCGTAAAATGAGTGGGAAACTCATATCTCGAAGAATAATATGTGCAAGAAGTGTAAGGTCGTTAGTCTGAGAAGGCAAATCGTGAATCGTAGAGGTGGTCGTAAAGTAGAGGTAGATATCGCTTTGGTACGCCGTTGATATCCTGCCAACGCCGTAAACACATGATCAAATTCAAATTGGAGTGAATCCAAATCTCGTCAAGTCCTATCCAGGATTGAGCGAGTATTTGGCGATAATGTTAACAGCGATGCTCGCAGCAAAATCCTCAAAGATTTTAAACATCCATCATCTCAGCATCATCTGCAAAGATTTCGTTTGCTGGCCCCCAATTGCCTTCAAAGACAGTGGCTCCAGCACGACGTCTATTGCTGACCCACTGAAGACCTTCTGATTCGAGGACTTCATGGATTAAAGGTCGGTCTTGAGGACGTGGTGAGATCATCCACCGAACAAGCTTATCGAGTGTAAATTCATGATCAGGGTCTCTCATGAATTTGGGAGCTTGTGCAAGTTCACCGCGCCGAGAAGAACCGAATAAGTTACTTGGGTCATGTGCAAATGACTTTGAAGAAGAGGTGAAACGTTTTCGGCTGGCAGCAATTGGTGAACCAAAGTCGGCGTCGAATTCGTCGTCGCTATTCATCGAATCGTCACTGGGTACGATAGGTATACCATTGGCATCACGGAGCATGCTGCTTGCTTCACTCCAAGTGAGACTTGGGGCTTCGCTCATGTCTCCGGATCTTAGACGTTGCCAAGAGATTCCATTGTCAGGTAGATATACGTTGGTGGCGATTTCGAAAATGACCATACCAAGAGCGAAAACGTCTGCGGGCTTATCGTACTGTCCGAGGAGAATCTCGGGTCCAATATATTCACGATCTCCTTCGCCTTCTATCGCATCGGAAGCAGGCCATGAAGTTGCCATACCAAAATCACCAATCTTCAAAACACCCTCGAAGGTAATCATGATATTGGCGGGTTTAATGTCAAGGTGAATGAAGCCAGAGTCGTGGATATGCTTAAGACCCTATGTGATGTTAGTTGTGCTGCAATAGCCGTAAAGAGATCTTTAACTTGCCTGTCCAATCTCAAGTAGAATCTTCCAAATTCTGAAATCATCTACTCTTCCCTTTCGACCAACTTGATAGAGAAAGATATCGAGACTACCTTCTTCACAGAACTCGGTTTGAATATATAAGTAATTCTTTTCTTCCCAAAAGTCGACATAGTGAACGATATTGTCGTCCTGGCCAAGCGCCTTGATAACCTCAACTTCTTTGTGTTTCCGGGCTCGATCCTTGAAGCCTTGATATGGTTGTTTTGACTTCTTGACGGCGTAAATACGTGGTGGCATGGGTGTGGGTGGTGTTCTACCAGTCATTGGCGAGTCGACAGAGTCATCGAAGTGGAATGCTGCAGCCTTTTGAGAGCTCTGGGTCACTCGGTATACCTGGGAAAACTCTCCGGATCCAATCATCTCTACCTGGTCGAATCGGGACACCAGAGACTCATCCACATCTCGGGGTGGGAAGCTGCCAACTGGAGTGGTGCTGGGTTTTCCGAAAAAATCTCGTCCGGTGGTTGGTGTAGCTGGAGGATGAGCAGCAACAGGAGCACTGTTAGCACCTAGTTGAGCTTGGCCATCTCGATGATTAGAGATGGAAAGGCCACTAGGATCGGGCGGCAACATGCTGTCTTGAGGTGTGCAGGGTGACAGCCTCTCGATGAAATCTACACGCTCCAATGGACTGGCTGGAGCCACGTGACTAAGTTTAGCAAAACCGGGTTTTCTTGAAACGCTCAAAAAAGAAGTAGTAAGAGATTTAGCCATCAACGGCGAAGGAGATTGCATGCCCCGCAATGCTCGGGACCTGGAAAAGGATGGTACAGAAATAGAATTACTGAAAGAAAGTCCGGCGGTCGCAGGTGTAGGGGAGTCGTTCATATCCATGGACGTGTCACTATCTTCATCTTGCTGCTCGCCAGGACTCGTAGAGAGGTTCAACTTACTGCTAGATCTTGGAATTTTTCCTAGGCTATAGCCACCCACGGCAGACGTTGAAGCCGGAATTGATCGATGGCTCGTAGGGCTACCATTCTGGAAATGAGAGAAGCTAGGAGCTTGCTTGGTCGGAGTCGGTGGTAAATCGAAATCAGTACTTTGGCTGTCGGTTTTGAGATCTGGAGATCCAACTTCATCTCCGTCGATACTGATAAAGCTGCCTCGTCTGGTTAGACCTCGCGGTTGGCCAAAACCACTTCCGAAGACTCCATTGCCCTTTCCGAAGGTGCCGATAGCTGGTGCTCCATGAGGATTGAAAGGTGTTGATGGGGTACCGAATGAATGGCGAATTTGCCTAGCCTTGGCAATGGCGCTACATGGAACGGCGGCTGGATATGTACCAAAGATGTTGTTCTGCTTCTTGCAAGGGGTATCTGGCACGTTTGACTTGGTATTTCCACGAAGCATTTGGACTTCTTCGGGTCTCCTATTGACCTTTGAGATGAGACCCGTAGACATGAAAGCAGCCGGCAATGGCTTGACAGCTTTAAAATTCTTGGGAGTTGAGAAGTCATCGGGAGGATCCAAATTGAACGGCCTTAGGGCTCCAGCGGGTAAAGATTTTGAGAAGTCAATCTTGGGCTTATGACTACCACCAAAGTTAACAGGAGCTTGACGAACGGGCGACTCCTCTGCGATGCTCGAATTGGAGGAAGAAGTTGTCATGGTCCGTGAGAGTGGGTGAGGTTGATGTGTAGGTTGTTGTGACTGACTGGCTATATGCATCGAGGAGTTCTGGAGATTACCTTGGTGGTTGAATGAACTATCGCGATTCATGGGTGCGACAAATTGATCCAATGACAATCTTGGACGATTCTTTTGCTTACTCGGGCTAACGATTTCCAGATTCGCATTCGCAATCGCAAAAGGTTGTTGTTGTGCGGATTGTTGCGCAGCCAAAATTTGAGCAGCATGTCTTCGACCCCAGGAAGTCTTCTCGCAATTTCTTTGAAGCAATGTCGACTTGCGCAAGGAAGAGGAACGTCGAGGTGTAGAGGTGAAGGGCGATGCGGTAATTTCCGAGGCAACAACTGAGGCGGATAATTCATATTCGTGATTCAAATCACTGTGAATGTCAAATTGCGATGGAGAAGCTGGTGTCGGATCAAAGACATTGAAGTCGTGGCCAAAGTTGGCGGAACCGTGAAGACTTCTGCGCTTTGCGACTGGACTTCCGAGGCTTGCTTGCTCAAAGTTCATGATGGTATCGCTGCGCTTCAGTGGACTCGGAGTGCATGTGTTGCAGTCGTTGGCTCCATCACTGCCTAATCTCGATAACGCCTGGTTGACGGGTGAATTTGCGTCTAGGTTGAGTTGCATTCTCGGAAGCTTCTCAAGATTCTTTCTCTCCAAAGGGCTGCTGCCTTCAATATTTTCTTGTCCACCCATATAACCCAGCGGTGTTGGAGGCGCGTTGCCAGTATCAATTGTTTGGCTCAAAGCCCGCTTCATGGGACTTCTCGGTGAGGTTCGTAGACGGGTAGCCTGTCGAGGAGGGGCAGTCTTGGCTCGCGACGAAGAACGAAGTGCCAATCTTGCGCTTGGGGGGAACGGTACAGCAAGCGGTGATGGCGTATGAGGTGTATTTGTGCCTGCGAATATGGCAGGATATGAAGATGCGCGCTTGGATGGCGACAGTGGAGATGTTGATAGCGGTGAATTTGGTGAGGAATTTGGTGATTTTGTAACCAGTCGGAATTTGGATGGAGAACGCGATAAAGAACGTCTTAGCGATCTCACTGCTGAGGTAACATCAACATGATGAGCATGTGTAGGTGATGGCATCGTAAGAGTGGCCCCGCCACTATTGGAGTACGACATGATGTTTGTTGGAATGTCGCGGCTTAACAATTTAAGATGAGTGATCTTTTTTTGTATTTTTGGTGCTGATATCGGAAATTATCTGTCTTACGACTCTTGCGACATGAAGAAGTGTAGTCTGATGCAAAAAGATGTATTTTTGTTTTCTCTTTTCGTTCTATGGTGAAATCTTGTCGCGTCTTGTCGTCTTGTCGTCTTATCGCAGTCTTCAATCTAAAAGAAGAAGGAAAGGTGTTCGATGGAAATGGACCAGCTAATACAGAGAGAGATCTTTTTATGTTGCAGTTGTTTTGAATGCTCGATTGAAATAGACTAGACTACAACTTGAGAAAGAAATAATCAACAAGTATTTGTCCAAAATGGGTAGTGTATTGGAGGAAAAACGATCGGAATGTAGACAGGCCGTATTGGCTGGTAAAAGAAACAAATTCGAGGAATGTTGGAAGAAGAGGATGGATGGGTGGCGTAAGGAAGAGGAAAGAGAGTTGGTTGGTTATATGAGTGAGTCGGTCAGTCGGGTCGTCGATGGGAAATTGGTGATTCGAGAATTGTACAGTGTAGATTATAAAAGGTAAGTGCGATGATGACTGAGTAGGTAGGTAGGTACTAGGTATATTCTGTGATGGAAAGAAAGGAAGGAAATAGTCGTCACGTCATAACTTTGTATGTTTCTTTCCCTTTTCAAAAAGACAAAAAAAATTGGAATTCGAATGTACAACTTTATCAAACACAAGGAGGAGTGAATGAGTGAGTACAAGACAGTACCGTGCCGTACTTTACTGACTTGAACTTTGACTTTGTGTTTTGGCGTTGGGTTTAGCTTTATTAGCTTGGCTTTGAGTTTGGCCTAGGTGTTGTTAGATGGAAGGTGGAAAGACCAATGGGCGGTTAATAAACTTGTCGCAAAGATGGATGGTGAAGGAAAGATGATCTTTGAATGTTTTCCTCTTCTTTCTTTCCTCACCGACCCCTTCTTCATCAATAGAAAACCAGTCTCGTATATTGCCAATATTATAATATTTTGGAATGTTGTATATGTATTATTGAATAGTTTCAAAGAGAATATGTGGAAAACTTTTGGGTTGTTACAGAGAATGTGATGATGGATAATAAAATGGAGGTTGGAGGCGGAGTTTTATTTATTGAGGGGAGGGGAGGGGAGAGGGGAAACCAGGTAAGGAAAGAAAAAAAATAAGTAAATAGGGAACGAACTCATACTAGCTAGGTAGAAAGTTGTTTACTTTAAAGTCGCGTTCTTTTCGTTCTTTTCGTTTTCTTGACGCGACTAAGACAATACATTGATAAATCCACACCCACTTTATAATAAAGAGACTTGATTACCGAGGTACCGGTTATTTGATTTTCATCCAATCTGTATATAATATATACATAACAACAGTCTTTACAATTATTCAAAGTACGGAAATTAAAAGATAATAAATTAAAAGATAACAATTCTCCAAACTCACTTACTCTACTTGCCGATATAATATCTAGTACAGTAGCAGTAACATCATCCACCAACTTTCTAGGTAGGTATGGTATTCTGTACAACGTATCAGTTTCACTGTATGGTTCATCCTTGTTACTGTAATATACTGTGTTTATTTATCTGCTCTATCTACCTAACTAGATATTTATCAACAAACTTTTTGAACCAATAATGAACGCGTAAGCACTGATCAACTCCAAGTCCAAGTCCAAGTCATTCAAGTCTTTCAAGTCTAGTCCGACTCTCCAAATTCATCTAAAGCGGCCTTGCACGAAAAATTGGTTGAATCAGAGCCAATCAAATCCCATACAAAGTCACTGCTGGCCTATATTAGGTAGCCAGAGGATTAATCAATCAATCAATCAATCATACCCAAGCAATAATCTCAATCAAAATACTTACCTATCTATGTAACAACTCACCCAATGCCCACCCACCCATTTCAACTCATCCAGATCCAAAAGATAATTTTTTGAAAGGCTGAGAATTCCCCTCCTAACCTCCTAACCCCTTTCATGCATATACGCATTATGATACGCTGAAGAGAAGCATTTTTCCAATGTTACCTCCAGCGCTTCTTTTATATGCCACAATAGGTATATTTTGGGCGATGTGCATTAATTACAAGCATCACTGTACTAGCCTACTAGGTATCTTTGAGGAAGTTTGAATTATTGGAGAGATACATACTAGAGATACTAGAGATACTATACAGAAAACAAGGAGAAGTTGGAACTAATGAGTTCTGACTGATAGTCTATTGATCATTGACTTGTACTCGAGTACAAAGGTTTGTTTACCTTGAATCGAAATCCCAATACATAGATATGTTAATCAAAACAAATAAATATCATACACTACTATACTAGTTAGTGAGTGTATAAACAATCGATAACAAAAGATTTAAGTTTGAATTTGCTAGGTAGATATGATATTACACTACGAAATCGGCATATAACTTCAATAAAGTCAATTGTCACAGTTCAAACGATTCCAGACCAACCAATTCGCGATCAAAAAAACATCCAGATTTCAAACAAGGATATGAAGATTCTCTCCACAGATTCATTTGTATAAAATAGGGGTTTGAGGGAACTTGAAGGGGGTTGGGGGAGAGAGGATTCATTGTATAACTGTACGAGTAGTAACAATTTATATCAACCCATTTACAAAGTCATTATTTAGGTAGGTACTCGTAGTACTGTACTTTGCGCTCCCGCATTTATATCTTGTTTTTAGATCCATATCATATCAATCCATTCTTAAACTCAATACAGTAATTCCTCAATCGTTGATTATATCATCATTAATCTTCAAAACCATAACTATGCTAATTAATGATTAACGATTAACTAACAATGCGATACGATACGATAACAGGGTTTTTATCTATTATCTACAGAAATATACTTGAGTAGAGGAGTAGATTTCATTTCGTTTTGGTTCCTTATGCATATCAATTCTTCAATATCATTCATCCCTATCGTATTGACAATCCGATACGATGGATAGGATGGATAGGATAGGATAGATAGGAGGAGGAGGGAGAACTTGCCATGCCATGCCATGCCATGCTTACAATCGATAGGGAATTAATTGAATGAGAGAACGGGTTATCTGTATATATCTTTTTTTGTCTGAGACAGAGTCACAGAGAGCATAATTTCGGATGAGTACCGGTAATACTCGAGTAAGTACTGTTTGTGAAAACTGTCTGTTCAAGTAATTTTCTCGATACTGATAATTACAAAAAGTACTCGAGTTATAATATACTGGTAGATGAAATCTCACTCAATGAATACATTTCAAATCTTATTATTACTCCTTTGATCATTACATTACAGTACCGAATCAATTCATTACGAAAATAATTGATTTGATTCATTAGGTTACAACTTACGGGGTCTACGAGTATAACTATAACTGTATAAGTAAGGAATTTTCAATTACTCAATTTCAATTTCAATTTCAATTTCAAATCTCTAGAATGGAAATATATACTCGAATAGGGCATGAGGAATGTACTGTAAAATGTAAAATGAAACGGTGTATAGAATGAACGTTAGAACCAGAGTCCTGGGATTTTTATATTGTTAGGGAAAGGATCTTAATTATTGATTTGAGGGATTGATTAGGAAGATTAATTAGGGATTAATAGGGAAAAGAGAAGAGAGCGATAGGTGGAGGTATGGTATCTCTTGGTAGTGGTTTTATTATTGTAAGGAAGAGTTAGGAGTTTTGTTTATTTAATGTATTTACTACTATAATCGTAGGAAAGGATTCGAATGTACAAGTATAAAAGTCATGAGTTGGAAAGTAATATAGTAATATATTGGGATTGCAAGAGCGTCTGGATTGATGTTATTAAAGTGTTCGATTCGAGTATAATATCTAGGTGAGTATAATACCTAGATAAGTATATCAAGTTTCGCCAATGAAAAGGGGGATTTAATAGAGTATTAAGCGTTACTTGTACTCGAGTATAGATAGTGTTAATGAATCCAGGAATCGGATAGTAAGACTTACTTACTTACCTTGAGATTTATTTCTAATAGTGAAAAATAAAATGATTAGTGAATTCAAAAACCTCTTACAAATTTTCGAGTAATAAAAGACAGGTTTTGATATTAGATACTCGGAGATTCTAGTGAAAATTCGAGAATCAATCAATTATTCCAACTAAAGTAATCTAAATTGTTTACTCGAGAAAACCTTTTTGATTCGTTATAACTAGAGATTTGTTTGGATCTGAAGTTTTATATCTTTTTATATATAAAAGTAATACACTAGTAGATAGTAGATACCGAGAAGTAAATAGATTAGGAATATTATAGATCTCAAAGACTTTTGATATAAAGTGAGTAGAGAGATCAAATTAAGTAATAGTCACGTTACTATAAGAGAGAGATAAAAGTATATTTATTTCTATTTATTGATATTCTATAATTATGCGCAAAATCCTTGCGAAAAGTCTTAAGGATTGTATAGAGGAAGCGGAGGGAGATAGAGCAGAAATGGGTAGTGACTATTATCGGGATAATTAATAATTATAATATCGTAAGTCAACTACCCTACTTTCGGACCACCCCCCCTTTCGGGCCACCCTTTCACACCAAAAACAGTGATTCTCGAATATTCACAATTCTATCAATATTGAATCTAATTAAATGAAATTTTGAATATAGATTCTATATATAGTTATTAGCTCAGCTATAGTTTTTTAGATTTTTCATAATTTTATATAAAAAGTTATTAAAGTTTAAAAATCAAGGTTTTCAT